TAATAAATCTTACCTTATATTTAATAAATATACCCTTCTTATCGAACTTATATATATAGACCTATCGGTAATCTAAGATCTTATATCCTATTACTACTAGGTTATTTATATATATCTTAACCTATAACTTTATTTCTTTATAGCTTCTAAGATACTCCTCTTTAACCTCTTTAAATAGCCTCCTTATCGGGTAGTTATCAAGTTCTTAATAGTAGCTCGGAGGCTTTAGGAGCTCTATCCGACCAATACACTCACAGTATCTTATCCTTTAATCAACTTAACTTTATATTAAATAGCTACTATATTTAGTCTTTACTATACTTACCCTCGTTCCAGTATAGAAGGTACCTTTCCAGGAGTCTGTAGGAATTACCTATACCTGCTTCTCTAGAGTTGAGCCGTTTAATAGGGCGGCTACCTCTATATCCCAATAATTAGTCGGTATATTAGTAGCTACCCCCTCTAGTTTCTATAGGTATATCTCCCTAGCAGTACCTACTACTAAGGAGAGTAGATCTAAATATTACTATATTAAGTAGTAAGTTTGCTAGTAGAGTAGGTAGTAGAGTAGAAAGCAGCTAAGCCTATACCTTAGTCTCTAGCCTCTATCCTACTAACTTATAAATAGCAAGGTTAACTTAAAGGTTTATAGAAACCTTATCGAAGTTAATAGGGGCTATATAAGCCTCTAGCTATAATAATAGAGTTGGTAGTAAGGCTCTATATAGGATATCTATATTTACCCCGGACCTTCCTAGCTCTTCGGAACCTTATAGTATAGTACTATTATAGCGGTTTCTAGGTATCTAGACAACCCTATATATAGGTGGCATCTCGGTTAGAAGTTTATAGTAGTAGAAGTATCTCTTTATTATAGGGTATTCAAACTAGTCTATTACTATATCCGCTAGTAAGGTTATCTATATTAGGTTATCTTATATCTAGTTTTCTAGAATTATATATTTATTTAGAAGGTTAGTAATTTATACCTATATTATCTCCTAGGTATTATCTACTAACTGTTTAATTAAGTTGTTATAGACTTTATTCTCGTTAAAGATAACTTTATATATATAGATAATAATATTAGCGATTAGGTTCTAAATATAATATATTGATAATAATATATACCCTATAAGATATTTAACCTATATATATAAATTAAATCTCTTAAAGTATTCTTCTTTCTTTATTACTACTATTATTATAATGTAAATCTTATATCTATAGACTTTAAGGTTCGAGATATCTAGTTAACAGTATACATCCCCTTTAAAGTAGAAAACTTCGAACAGTGTTTTCTATTTAAGACCCTATTATAACGTTCGGTTGAGGATATATACTACCGCCTTGCTTATCTCTTACTATATCGTTTTAAGGAGTCTTATAGAGTAGTATACTGCTGGAAGTCTTTCTTTAAGTATACCCCCTAAACGTTTAGTAGCTCCATTAAGTACCTATATATAGGCCGGCAAAGGCTCGAAGTTGATATTATTCTTATATAACTATACCTTAATAGCGTTTATCTTAAGTTTACCGTTATATTTAATCCTCTTAACTCTAATACTGTATTACTATTTAAATATATCTATATAACTATAGATAGTAGTAAGGTTCTATTCTCCTATCTTATCCGGTATATAGTAGTCCTATATATAGTAAGAGACTCTATTACTAACAAATATAATTTACTTATACCTATCTTTATTATTGTTGAAATTATAGAAGTTAATAGCTAATCTTTCTCCTAGGCTATATTAGCTTAAGTTACATAGCTTACAACTCGGCTTTCGCTTTATCTTCCTAGCGGTACAACCTATATAGTCTACCGTTTTAATACTATAGATCCCTTCTACAATCTTAGCTCTAAGAACGTTTATTAATAGATACTTTATCAGCTTATATCCCGGATATACTAGTTAGAGGTACTATCGGTCCTCTATTACCCTCTTTGGACCTAACAGCCTCTATAACTTATAGAGGTTATTATAGACCGGGAATATAGCTCCCTAGTCTCTAACTGGGATATACTTGAGAATGAATTGTTTAAAGATATTTTCGATAATATAGAGAGGTAAGCTATCCCTATTTTATAGCTCTATAGTAGTAGGTCGGTTATTCTAGAAGATACCTCTCTCCTATAGAGGTTGTAAGGAGATTAAGTTAGTTATAATCTCTAGAATATATACTACCTTATCTAGATATAATTTTTATATTCTACTATTCTTTATCTTAACGGTAATATCAACCTCTCTATACCTTCGAATTGAGATCTATTTATTACCTGCCTATAACCTTACCCCCTTCTAAAGAGGGTATATAGTAAGGAATCTATTAGAGCTATTAAAGATATAGAGGGTTGCTTCTAAGTTAAGGATAGCTAAGTTTTTAAGAGGGTAGATAGTATTTAATATCCTAGTGGTAGTACTAAATACAGCCGAGATCCTTCCTTTATAGTAGCTGGATAGTTAATTCTTCCGGAAACTAACCTTTAAAGTTTTCTTTTCTCCTACCCTATTAGTTAGAGAGTTAATAATATATACCCTCTTCTTTTTAAACTTTTCAACCATTTCTCAAACTTCGTTGTTTTCTTTAAGGTATTACTTTACTTACTTCCAGTAGTATAGAGCTAGGTTGCTCTATTTGGGCTAGCTTCCTTTATTAATATACTAATAATCGTTTAGACTATACTGTTAGTTATAGAGAGGGTATCCAGATTTAGATCCTTCTATATATCTTTGTTTATTCGATATATACCGGTTTAGGCTTCGGCCGTTCTATAGGTATAGTATTAAGTTGCCTCGGTTATTGCTATAGCCGGAGGATAGACTTCTAGATCGTTTCTAAGCTTATTTACATTCCTATTTATATAGCTGTTAATACTATTATTCTTCTTTATCCCTAAAAGATTAAGCTTCTCTACTAGAGTTTATAGTATAGGTTATAAATATATCTTTAAGAATAAGCTTTAAATTCTTCCTACTCTTCTACTTCTTTATTAACTTCTTCCTAAAATAGTTAATAATAGTATAGAGTATAAGGATACCGTTATTAATATCCTCCTAATACTAGATTCAATAAACTTTAACCTATATTTTATATCCCTATCTAGTTAATATAGTAGAGAGTTAATTCTACTATAATATAGATTAAAGTAGTATACCTACCTCCCAGTACTCAGTTACTATAAGGTCCTACTTTATTAGCTAGTTAGTTATATTCTTTAGCTTATATTAGTTAATATTAATAATATTATTATATACTCTCTTAGTATTAATAATATTTTATTACTTACTTATACCGATCCTCTTTAGAAGGTTTATATACTAGATATAGATTCCTCTTCCAGATTTATAGTATAAGCTTTATAGGGAATCGGAGACTATCTTATCGATCTACTCCTTAATATTAACAATATAATCTATCTCCTCTTTATAGTTAATATATAATTAGCAATAGTTACCTATCTCTACTTAGTAGGTGGATCTGGTAAAGGTAGTTATCTCCTTAACGTTAGTAGATATAGCTCTAATATTAATCTCTTCAAGGAGGGAGGTTTGAGTTAGGATCGGGGTTTACAGCAGCCGGTCTCCTACCGGGGTAGAGGATTTACCCTACCGGCTCTAGGTTAGTAGGCTGGTCAGTTCCTCTATTCCGATAGATAGTATCTTTGTAACTTTCTTATTATAATTGCTGAGGTCTGGTAGGAACAGTTCCTTAAGGAAGGCTCCCTTCTAGTTACTTTCTAGGTTAATCTTATACTAGATATAGTATTATTCGGTTTATTTAATAAACTACTTATTCTACTTTTTCTAATTAACTGTTAAGGTAAGGAGCGATATAGTTATAGTTATTTTTATAGTTGATACGAGTATTGTTTATCTTTCGACTTTTCATAGTTCGTTTCTAGCTGTTGCGAATTCGTTCTCGATATTTCCCGGAAGTTCGATACTAACCGGGCTTATAACTGTTGGAAATCCAATAGCTAGAGTAACAGTACTTCTAAATAGGGGTTTAAATATAGTACGATAAAGGTTACTGTATAGAAGGTATCCGAATCAACTGTAATTGTATTGTCTGAAGAACTTATGTATATCTAGAACAAACGGAGGGCCTCCTACGCCCCCTGAAAACTCTGTACCCGGGCGTCAATTGTGGGCCCGGTGACCCCCATGTCGTTGACCCGCCGTACCGTAACCTCCAGCCACTATCCACTACACGTTTTGTGCAACACGTCGAGCCGAAGGCGGGGTCGGCGTTGTCTGCGGCGATGGAAGAGGACAAGGGTTTGGAAATACCAAGTATCTAAGTAGGTAGGTTATTAAGAACCGAAACTACCTAGATAGATACCCGTTCCCAAACGGCAGCACGATCCATGAACACTCGCCGCCCTGCCTCCGCTGTCTTAATCCGTTATTGGCAAGTTGAAAGTTCTTCGCCGAGACGGGTGGTTGGAACTTCTTTGACTCGGCCGCTGCTGCCTGGCGCCGAAATGGTTTCATTCCTCGACTTGGAGTCGCTTCAACTTCGTTATTTCTTTTTTGGGCTACAGGCGATCTTCCTGCCAGACAAGACAGCTGGGCAGCCAGTCAACAGGGATAATCACAACCTGCCATAGTTACCTGAGGTTCCCGTCAACGCTCTTACTACGCTCCAGATACCATGAAATTCCTCATAACTCGTCTTCTTCACGTCATTTCAGCAATCGGTTTCGGGAATGGAGATGGCCCATGCCCAACCGAAATCCGAGCCAGGATCCCACAACACTCCTGGAAAGCTCAGGGCGGAGCGGAATCCAGTGTCTTCGCATCCATGGCGAGTGTCCACGCGGCTATGTTGAGATGCCCAAACATCACGACCCTCCACATCCACAAGGCACAACTCGGGTGTGTCTACGTCCCTGAACCATCCATTTTCCCATTTGATGTTCTCGGCGGCGACCGATATGCCTCAGCGCCAGTCGTTCTGTCACTCGAAGGCTATGACTCAGATGAAACGGATGGAGACTCCTGTCGATACAGTCTCGCGGACCCTCACCTCTCATTTCGGGCTCGACTCGCCCTCGCCTGGCGATGTCTGCGCTTCCGTCTCTCGTCGCCTAAAGCCCAAGAGGCCCAAGAAACGAAGACAAACATGGATCTCTGGCTCGACGCCATGGACTTCTCGCAGGTACATACTCTAGAGTTCAACGACACCCGTGGCCACCAGTTGACCCTGACCGAGCACGTTGCCAAGAAACTGCCCCCCAAACTGTCCAGCCTGAAATCTCTTACATTACATAACACCATAGCCGAGTTATTCATCCTCGCCCTCCCCGTTAACTCTCTGAGGCACCTCTCCTGGCAACATCCCAAAGCAGGTTGTGGGAACCGTGAGGACGAAGACGCCAACTCATCTCTGTTGGAGCGTGTCCTGCAGCACCATGGGTCCAGTCTTCAGTCGTTTGAGTACCGCACACCGGAAATGGACAACGAAGCTCCCCCAGTGATGTCCGTGGAGGAAGTGCACGCGCTTGTAACGCTCGCTCCTCAACTCCGTAGCTTGACTCTCGATCTCGGGCGGGTCGACAACGGGACGAACGGGGGTCCTCATTGGCCGTGGGGAACGCTCAAGCTGCTCGCCGAAGGCCTACCAGAACTGACAGACCTCACCATCTACTTTGAGCTGGCCAGTGCATGTCACAGGCAGGAGCGTGGAGCTCACTGGATGATGGATTTCATCCGATGCGGCGATGAATGTACAGGGCCCGACCGCTACGCCCAGCCGTTGCTGAACAAGACGAGCGCCGCCGACATGGCACAGTTTCTAAGACAGCAGAAGGCCGGTCAACCGTTTGAAACTCTAACGTTCCGAGCTGGGGAGTGGGAGCCCCCCTACGAAGGGCCGGATAGAATTGACAGATGGTTAGACGGGAGGCGGGTCTGGGTCACCTGCCGGCTGGAAGACTCAATTGCCCAGGAAAGTGACCTTGTCTGCGAATCAGGAGACACACTGCCAACCGGTAAACGCGATGGCGTTTGTTCTTTACTGGAGCAAGTGGAAATTGAGCCAGAGCAAGTACCCGAGGCATCAAATCTCGCGCAGGAAAAGGATGATTTATGAGCTCACTTCCTACTTCAAAACCAAACAACGAAAATAGTCAAGTCATTTATTTCTGTGGTTGGGAGGGAAATTCAAGAGTCATTGAATCGCCAGGATATGACTTTAACCTCTACGCAAACGATGGTCCCGTCCAACTCTTCCGACACCTTGCCGCCTTTGGTGATGCCAATACCGCCGCCCACTCGTCACCATTCCCCAAGCATACCTAGGTACCTTACCTATTCAACTTCCACAAAGCGCCCGACGAGTGGCTTATTGCCGCCGAATGAGAGCAACATACCTCTTAAAGGCAATAAGCGAACTCGTTTGGCACTACACGCGTACTAATATCAGGGCTGGGTTCCGCCAAACCTAAACCTCCTCGTCATTTGTCTCGGGTAACTCCAACGTTCCCGCGCCACTAAAGAGGTCCAGCAACTCTGACCGGCGGTGCTCAAAACATTCGTAACCCAACGTGTATCGCGTGACAGTGGCTGGTGTGACACATTCCATTCCACGTTGGTTGTTCTCACACTGATAGACCCGGTGCCATTCTGTGGCCGCAACGCAGCCACATTCATAGTACATCTGATGGTAGTGGCACATCGTAGTATTATTGTTGTAATGGAACAGGCGAGTTTCTCGGAGGGCAATTGCGGCTTGGTGGTGTTGTATGCTGGTGGTGAAGGCTTGCTTGTAGTTAAGCAAGCGAAGAACGCAGGGGTAAACAGCTAATACTTATAGTCCCATTGTGCGGCTGAGAACACCTCAACAAGTGTCCTTCCCGGGTATGACTACCTACCTGGTGGGTATCCTAATGGTGTAAGAGAGAAACTGTTACTAGTCAGAGCCGGAACAAGGGGACACCAAACCCACGCCACAATGCATGAAGGGTACACTTCAAAGGTCGCATGGGAATGGGTGCGGAACAGGACCCCAATATACAAAGAAAGAACTATGCCGTGTGGTACCTGTCCCCGCTGGCACTGGTTTCTTTCTTTATTGTTTTAACGCTCCTTATTTTGAACCCATCATCTACCCAGCACGGTCATGGCCCCTTGCCTACCTACTGCCCCTGAGGAAAGTCCGTCAACACGCTAACAGACTGCCATTCTTCGACCTCTTCCAACGTCTTTCGCGCGGCCTTGGAAATCTCACCGGTGGCGTCACTCCCGAGCGGCAGAAACTCGGGCAGGGCCCTGCCCTCCGCGACCCCCGTCCCCGTGACGACCTCGTAGATGACCGCGGCGCCCTTCACCGGGTCCCCTAGCTGCTTGCCGTCAAATAGACGAAAGTTGCCATCCGCCACCCGGTTGATCTCGTCGTACTCGGCCAGGCGCGTCGTCGGCGGCGTGCCCGCCAGGTTGGCGCCCGGCGTGAGCAGCCCCGTGCGGAAGAAGCCCGGCTCGACGAGGCAGTGCCGGATGCCGAACCCGCGCACCTCGTCGGCCAGCCCCAGCGCCGCCCAGCGTAGCGCCGCCTTGGAGGCGTTGTACAAGTTGCCGCTGGCCATCGGGTACCAGGCCGCCATGGAGCCGATGGTGACCAGCGTGCCGTGGCCTTGGCCGCGGAGGTGGGGGAGCACGGCGCGGTAGAGGTTTAGCGGGCCGAAGAGGTTGGCTTGGAACTGGCGGAGGGTGTCGTCTGGCGAGGCTTCTTCGATGGTGCCCGTTTGGACGTAGGCGGCGTTGTTGACGACGATGTCGACGGAGCCGTGGGCGGAAATGATATCGTTGATGGTTTCTTTGATCTTGGGGAGCTCATCGTTGTGGTCAAGACGGACGAGCTTGATGTTCTGCTGGTCTACGAAACCCTTGATCTTGTCCGGGTTGCGCGAGGTAGCGAGCACATGGTCACCGCGGGCGGCAGCAGTTTGGGCCAAGTGCAGGCCGAAGCCAGAGGAGCAGCCTGTTATGAGCCAGACACGGGAACGCGGTGCCATGTCAGGATTGGATGGTAAGGTAGAAAGAATACTGGGGGGACCGTGCGTGGCTCAGGTATAATTGTCTGAGATTCGGGAGATGGTGTTGTGGACTTCTAGGAGTAGGTTGGTGTGGCCGTCTTCAAGATCATTGTTTATATGCCCCTGGATTTCACAAAGTACCTCGGGACCACTTACCGTGTAAACGTCACAACTGACGTCGAAAGCCGCAGATGGGCGTTGCCAAGACCTGTACTTAGCATCCTCCTGTTTGGTCCGTCATGGGGGCCATTTCGGCGATCGGGGTTAGGTGATAAGACCAAATTACCACCCACACCCCCCCCTCGAGCGCTCCAACGTTTATGGCTGGGATAACGCCGTGGAGCAACTATCTACATGATTGTGTTGTGTCTTGCTATGGATCCTGGGCGGCGAAATACAGCGCTATCACCGATAATTACCACCCACGTTCACAACTCCGGTCGGAGTTTGGCCACACGCAACCGGCATGCATATACCTTACCGCCGAATACCATAAGAAGTTCGATGTCGATCTGAGATCGAATGATACCATCCAAAACACTTAAGAAATCTATTCTCTGGCAGTTGTACTGTCGAGCTAGGGGTTCCATAGACAGTCCATCTCAGTTAACAACGTGTCCCGTCTCTTTCGATCACGCACTTATGATACGACAGAATCCGTAACCTTCGACAGGATCCCCTTTACTCCCTTGTTTTTCTTCTTCTCCTTCTTCTCCTCGCCAGCCTTGCAGAAATTATTCTTGACCTTCTTCTTCTTGCGGTCCCACTTCCCGCAGTTCTTGTCAGGTACCGCCACCTTCTTATTGCACTTCACGAACTCCGCGCTGGTCTCGGTTATGTGTCCGCGATCACAATTTCCACAGACGTAATCATACACGATGCACATACTATGTCCATGGTGAGTAAGTGATCATACCAACAATACGGCGTGTGAAGGAAATCGGGATAAGACACAACGGGTAATCGGTACCACCTACTTTGCGTCAGTTTGTAGGGTAGGTATTGAAACTTGTTTTGGACTCTGTTGATCGGTTGTTATTGAGTGGGTTTGTGTGTCGCTAAATGTCTCGCGGGTTGAAGCTTTGAATATAGTGTAGTCTACTAGGAGAACTACAGGGACAATTACCGAGCCATCGAGGGATATTTATCTTTCCAGGCGTCCTCTACCACTACCCTATTCCCGAGATCACCTCGGAACATAACCGGCGCTTGGCCCTTGTCATGGTCTACCTAGGTAGGCAAAAGTCCCACCAGCCAGGGTTCCGGTGGTGTTGCCAGCGACGTTCAGCCAACAAGTTCAGTTCCTGAACCAGACTCCTGGGCTGCGCAGAAAAGGTAAGTCCGAGCCCTGGGTATCACCTCTTAGTGGTCAGATGGACAGTCAAGCATTCCTGTGCCACCTCGCATCGACTACGGCTGACAGCCTGTTTCGAATGGCTTCGGATATTTACGCCCCGGCGGCCCCAACACCCCCACAAAAAACAGGCCGCGGAAGATAATCGAGGCAACATCAAGAGAACGAGACACATGGTCCCATTTCTCGGCAAACAGTAACGTCTTGACGCCTCGTTGAATGACCGCGTGTACAAGGCGCTCGCCTCGCTGTTTAGTTCCGCTTAGATCCGCCGGCATGTAGTAGTTGTAGGCAAAAGCCGGTGTGTGGTGGCCAGACTAGCGCCCAAAGAGTGACAATTACGGCAGAGTGCGAGTCTCGGCTTTGGGTTGCTGAAAGTGACCATCTCTTCCGAAGATTCTTACATCCCGAGGTAGAGCGTGGGGCATCATCCTTGCCACACCTAGGAACATGTAATGGGGGAGGAAGTTGGTTGGAGGGAAATGAAATGAAAGCAATGAGAAATACCTATACAAACAACCCCAGGGGAAAGTTGCCTACACGCGCACTAGTCACACCAATGCCCGCCTGAAACCACCTCCTCTCGCCGTTCGTCGCCCACTATCCGCCTCCTTGATTCTCAAACGTTCGGCCTCTTTCCATGCAAATTCAGACGTCCCAAAGTTCACTCTGACTTTTGCAGGGCCAACACGATGCCCAATGCAGGGATATAACTTGTGGTAAACGAGCTTGCTCGCCATCTGAGCTACACACGAGTAATAATCGTTAGCTTTAGGACGCTCTTCATATTTCAGGAGCAAGGTCACGGGTGTCTTACCGACCACTTCCCCATCCAAAGTGAATAAGTACTCCCCCTTCTCGTAGTCAACCCCACAACCAACCGTGGTTCCTGGCCCAAAGAGTCGCCCGGTTCGGTGAACTCCGTAGCCGGTCTGCTCAAAGATCTTGCCGTCATCCCCGTGAAGCCCTACCGACCAAGACATCCAGCCTGGATGGGCCTCGCGCAAGTTGGAAAACTCCCCACAGAGTCCGACGGTTATGACAGCGGCGTCGACATCGACATGGTCCTTGTCGGGGTTGGGGCCCGGGTCGGATGATTCGATGGCTACTTCGAAATACGGCAAAGCCATGGGTAATCTGCGGTGTGGAAAGGGGAAATCCGCGCGGACGGTTAATGGTTCACCATCATCGTTTTGACCTATTGGTTGTGATGATTGTCAGCTCAGCCTGTAAATGCGAACATGGGAGAGTTTGACGATTTTCGGTACCTTCAAATGAAGCTCCGCATCCGTCCGGGGATATTTCCACGCCGGGTTTGGTGCCTGCATCTTCTCCTTGCCACGCTGAGGGCCAGACAATACCGGTCGGTGTTTTGATGCCCCCAGGGCCGGTGGCTGGCGGCTTGTGCGGGACAGATTCTCGTCGCGGCGACGCAGACTGTGACAAGACATGGTGTATCGTCCACCCGTCCTGGTCGGTCTCAGTTTCGAAATGTCTCATCAGCGGCTCCAACTTCTTCCACAAGGTTGCTGTGTCCAACTCGGCAGCGATCCGCAGCTCTCTAAAGCCGAAGCCCGACGATGACAGCTGTAAATCGGGAGGGACATACTTAACACACGCTTCTATGTAGTCACTGTTGTGGCGGCCGCCTGCCAGTATGCCGAGCTCGAATGCGGTCACCTGCTCGGATACGCGTTTCTGGAATGGGTTTATTCCACGGTTGATGAGGAGGATCGGTAAGAGCATGGTTTCGTCGTCCAGCTCATTGGGACGATTGTGCAAGAAATACTCTTCAAGCCCGTTGTGGCCGCCTTTGTCAGATGTTGCGTTCAACAGGCGGCTCTCCTTTTTCAGCAGAAGTTCCACGCAGCTCACGGAAGCCGCGCTCGGTTCGCGCTTGATTGCTTGCCAGTAGGCGGCTACCAAGTCGCCGTGATCCCACCCCGTACCAGGCGCCGAGGTCTGCTCCCCGCCAAGCAGTATAGCTAGCGTTTTGTACAAGCCCCTCGAGGCCGCCATGCTTAGACATGTCTCGTTCTTATGTGTCCTAGCCTGGACCTTGACCCCCCTTTCCAAGAGCAGTTGAGTTAATACTTCAGAGTCGCCTTCAGACAAAGTGGCGGCGAAGTGGATGGGGGCTAGGCCGTCGTCATTTGGCATCTCAAGATTCGGCATGTTGTTGCCGCGGTGGTCGAGCATGGCTCTGACAGAGCTATCGTCTGGTGCCCGCATGGCAAGCTGAAATGGTGTAGAGGCGGTATTGTCTTCGAGGTTTGGGTTGCCCCCGTGCTCGAGCAGTAGTTGAACTATCTTCCCTTTACCCCAACTGGAAGCAAGGTGCATTGGGCTCCATCCGTTCTCTTCCTGGGAATTGACGTCGGCGCCGTATTCCACAAGTAGCGCAACAATCTCTTCGTCGTCCGCTGCCGCGTGGAGTGGAAACCAACCGTCGCTACGACGCAAGGTGACGTCGGCGCCACGGCTCAAGAGCACCCTGACCGCTCCAACACAGCCGCTGTAAGAAGCAATGAAAAGGGGTGTAATGTGGTCCTCCTTAACAGCGTTGATTTGGGCGTTCTGATCGAGCAGGATAGAGATAGCCTCGATTCTGTCCCATCTGGCAGCATCGTGCAGTGGCGTCTCGTTCTTTGCATCAAGTGCACCCACATCGGCTCCTAGCTCGATTAAACCGCGCATGTTCTCGACCATGCCTTCGGCTGCTGCCTCATGCAAGGGAGTTTTCTGTCCCGGGCCCCAGTGATGTTTGACATCTGCCCCTAGGGCCACCAATGACATGATAATGTCTGGGAGATCCGCCTTCGCGGCGATAGAGAGCAACTCGTTTGCCCGATCATCGGTCGTGCTGGTTGTATCCGGGGGCCTCCGAATGATGAACCGCGCCACGTTAGTGGAGGAATGCGTTACTGCCAGCTTAAGATTATCCCACATATGGGCTCGAAAGGTGTCTGGGTTGGCTTTGAAAAACTCTTCAACCATGGCGAGGTCGTCCTGCTCAATGGCATAATTCAACGGGGTCTTTTGCCCGTCATCTTCAGCGTCCAAATCCGCCCCACGGCTGATGAGTGCCTTAGCTGATTCCAGATGCCTGTTACGCACTGCTAGGTTGAGGGGCGTTTGTTCGAGAGTATCCTTGCTGTCTACTGCCGCCCCTCTGTCCAACAACAACTCGACCGCCCGCGCACAGTTTATAGCCAAATGCAAAGGACTTTGCCTCTCCCGTGACCGAGCCTCGATGTTGGCCCCGCGGTTTAGGAGGAGGGCCATGGCCTCAATCTGGCCTTCCATGGCGGCTAGATGAAGCGGCGTAAATCCTAGTGAATCAGGGGTATTTAGATGTGCCTGTTCGCCCGAGACTGGGACCCAGTCTAGAAGTGTCCGAATGACATCACACCTGCCTTTGGCCGCGGCTTGATGTAGAGCTGTCCGTCTCTCCTGGTCTGGCATGTTGACATGTGCACCGGCGTGGAGCAGGCTAAGTACTACCGCCACGTGGCCCTCCGACGCGGCTTGTGCTAGGGGCCTTGGGCTTCTCGATTCCGGCCCATCCGGTGAGCAATCCTGCTGGAGGAGGTACCGCACCCCGAGCAGCTGACCGGCTTTTGCAGCGGCGAGAAGCAGGTTGTCACTTGAGTCATCTAGCGCCCAGCTAACCATAAGCTTCATCACATCCAAGTGGCCGCGCTGTGCAGCAAGCTCGGCGGGGATATTGCCGTTTACGTCCCGAGCTCTGCTACTCAACCGAAGGACATCCTTCTCCCCGAGGAGTCCTGCGATTTCAATCGCGCCGGACTCTGCGGCATGGTGCAATGCCGTCTTCATGCTGTTGTCGAGCACTCCCAACAGGTTAGCAAGATGATCAATGCCACTTGCGGCCTTCACCATGGCAAAGGCTGACATGGTACTGTTGATTTGAGCGGCCACGTGCAGAGGCGTACAACCGTCATGATCTTGAACCAGTAGGCTAGTAGGCTCCTTGGTCGCCATGTCTTCGACTACCTGTGGGCAGTTGACAACGGCGTGATGCAAGGCAGTCTTGCCATACTTGTCACGGACCGCAAGTCCTGCGCCAGTACATGTACTGACCAAGTACTTAGCAACCTCGATGTGGCCCATAATTGTTGCCAACATCAGCGGCGTTTGGCTGTTTATGTCCGGGTCATCCAGGATGCTGCGGACATGCTCCCCCCGGTTCTCGTTCCTCTTCTCAGGTTCCAAACCATCCTTTTCCGGAGTATCCTCTCCCAGTAAAGCTCGGGCGATACCAACGTGCCCACCGGCAGCCGCCAAGTGGAGCGGCATACGGCCATCATGGTCCTTTTCCGGTGGATCATTCATCGACTTGAGCAGCGCGAGGACGGTTTTCAGGCTGCCAGCTAGCGCCGCCATATGGAGAGGGAACTGCCTCGCCATAATTTCCTCGTTCTCTTCCAGCAACCTTTCTACTTTCTCATGGTCATCGTTGGCGATGGCACTTTCCAAGCAGGCATCTGGCGATAAAGTTTCCAGGACAGCGTCGTGCTGTGCGTGACCGTGGCGGACAGGAACAGTCTCAAGCAGACGAGTGGTCCCGCCTGCAGCCGAAAGGGTCGAGAGATGGGCTACGACCGAGACGAGGCCAACATAACCTGCCATTTGCACTGCTCTTTCCCGTGTCCTAGCTTCGCCCTTGGGCTGGTCATCTCCTGTGCACACGTCGGCTGGTGTCGCGGTGCAGAGCAAGTGCAGTTCGAACCACCGATCCGCAACTTTCGGTTGTTGAAGAAACTCGGCCACCTTGCGGATAAGCTCCTTGTCGGGAGCTTCAACGTGGAGGAAGTGGGTCGGCCAGAACAAGCATGCGTAGTGGAGGAACTCGAGGACTGGGTCCGGCGGGTCTCGCGTCTGTTGTTGATACGAGACGTAGGACAGGCATCTTTCCCGCTCCCTTGGCGAATCGTCGGCGAGAACAACGCCCAGGTAGTGAAGGCAATGTAATGTCAGGCGGTAATCGGTGTCCAGTTTGGAGAGTCCCGTTCTGCCGTCTTCGAGCAACAGTTCCTTAACAACAGGGCTGATGAATCGCACACGTCGGTTCTCGATGGAAAGAACACCGCTCAAGAAGTTTTGAAGGTCACGTTCCATGTCCACTGACATATTTTCCTGCATCCCTTGTTTCGTACCACGGCTGAGATCGATTGCTGCCGCGACCGCGAGCTCTTGCACGTGTAATGGGCGTGCGGCAAGTAGAACCCATGAAAGCGTCGGGATTGCCCAAAACAACACAGGTGAGTGTCCACGCGTAAAGGGCGCCAATTCCATTTGGTAGAGTTGCCGTTCTGAACGACAGGAGGTGGAAATGGCTATGCTCATGGCCCTAGGGGCGCTTAGAGTGAACGACTGAAAGAGGCGGGATAGATAACCGCGGATAGAAGTGAAAGACCCTTGGAATGATCTGGCAGCGGCGATAATATCCTTTCGCACGGCTTCGTTGAGGGCCTCCTCACGGAACGTTGAGTCTTGGGGGCTCTCATGAGACTGGCGGATTCTGGTTGTTATGAAGTCCCGTTTATATCTATCGTACCTGGCTCCGAGATCGAAGTGAAGAGCCTTTCCGGGTGTGAGGCCGTTGTCAAGAGTGCGGCTGCTTGTGAGAAAGGTGCATCTCGACGATATAGGAAGCCAATCCTGGATTTTGGGCCACCAGGAACGTACTGACGGCGGCCATGATTCCATGTCGTAAATAACCACCAGCAGGTCCACGTTTTCAGCGTGGAGAAGTATGGCGGACAACAGCACTTGGATGACTCTTTCTGACCACATTCTTTGCCTCAGAATTTGGACGACCAAGTTCTGAACAGGATGAAGCATCGACGGCCTTTGAGACAGGACCTGATGCAAAACCGAAGCTACTACACCATGCAGGATCTCGGTATGGTGAGGTGAATTATGGCTGAAGTTTTCGACAACCACAACTGATGAGTCTCGTCTCAGACGCTGACATATGGCTTTCACGAGACCCGATTTGCCATGCCCCGGGGGCGCAGTGACTTGGACGGATCCTCCGCGTACATTTTCGAGTCGAACCCGGCGAAGGAGTGATCGATAAGTCTGGTTGATGTCGTTGGAGTCATCTGGTCTATCGAAGGCCCGTGTCTCATGTATTACTTGCCGGCAAGGGGACAATGCCTGGAGGATTCTGAAATATGTGTCGCTGGTAGGCGGATGAAGCCCTCTAGTGGAGGGGGTGGCAGTTTCTATTATTTCAGGGTCAGACACCGCCGAGGTCAACTGATCTCGGTTTGATGGAACTTACCGTTACCCAGCTTCAAAAGGAGGCGCTGGGGCGCAAAGTGTGTCCTGAGCGACTCCATCTTCCCGATGTCATCGGTGGCACAAACGGTGGCATCATGGTCTCCGTTGTGATCCGTCCAAAAGACAACGTTCTCAAGTCCGTTCCCAAACCTCATGGCTCGCAGGTGGTCGGATTGGCCACTCGGAACGAAGTTGGCGATTGGGTACTTTGAAGTCAAGCCGTAGAACACATGAGAAAGCCGAGAGACTGAAATAACAAGTCCTGACAAGATCTCGGACAGTCGGCCGCGATAGCTTTTCCTTGATCGTCTGATCATGTCGAGCAACACTTCTTCCCAAGCTAGGCGCCCTGTCGAACGGTGGGGTGTTGAGAAAAAGATCAACCCTTCCAAATTAAGCGCAACGGGGTAGAATCTCGGTAGAGTATTAGCCATGATAACGGCCTTGTAGCACCTGGTCAGTGATGGATTCTTCGGAACCAAATGATGGCCATGACGGGAACGAAACAAAAGAACAATCTGAAGCCAGTTATTTACCTGCTTTAGCACCAGGCCGCCGAATTCATGGCCGGCGAGCACCACCTGACACGGCGCTCCGTCCACATCGGCATACCTGTGCTTCTCAATTCGATTGAGAAGACCGAGTGCCTCCTTTTCAAGCCAGCCGGGAGTAAAGTCATGGGCATCTCCGCCAACCGAAGTCGTCGAGGCAGCGGCTGTGTTCACACGCCTGAGACCGCGATATGGGGCGCTACCGTCATCTAAAGGGGGTTGATCTTTGTCCACTCTGAGCAGATCAGGCCCTGTCGGTGCTCTAACGCCGAGCTTTTCGTTCGCCACGGATTCGGGCAGTTCTAACTGATCGTCGTCCTCGGATACGTTGCTTTCATTGACATCCACGTTCCCTTCAGTCTCGAGGTCAGACTGCAGGAGATTCGGAGCAGCATCACCACGGAATATGCTATGATTAATGACCTCGGCCTCGGGCACGAGATCATCTATCAGCTTCGCGACTGGAACACTTTTCGAAGTTCCGTTGGTGTCGGGAAATCCAACAAGATAAATCCTAAATTAAGGGAACACGTTAGTCATTTCCCAGCATTAATCCTGCCCAGGTGGGTAGTTAATCACTCCAGGCGGTTCCTGAGGAACTGACCTGTATTTCCCCTGGTGGCCTTGCGGGCTTTCCTTCGGGTGTTCCATTGCCGGCCAAATATTGTGCAGGTAAAGGGGCACGACTAAGCTGGGGGCACCACGCGAAAGCAGAAAGTATGGTGAAGCTTTTTGAATAGAGGAAATACAGCCCTGGTGTTTGCAATCAATGCTGGTGTGCCTGTTTGCAGCATCAACATGGATCAAGTTGGCACGAAGCAGCAAACGAGCCTGGCCCAACAAAGGCCCTTCAACCGGCCTGTTGCTCGGTTAGCAGAAAAGGGCCGTCCCGGGGCACCATCGATGAAAGAAAAGGCAGGGGAGGTTCAGCTCGCTGCGCCTGGACGGGAATGGAAGGTAGATATGCACGAATCACACGGCAGGTTGGGAAGCACAGGAATCACACGGCACGTTGGGAAGAACTTGAAAAGGGTACGAAGTAGGTTCCAGAAACGGACAGGAGCATGGAAATTCGAGCGAGAATTCAATAACCCAACCATTACCCGAGCCACCCCCCAGTTGCACTCCGTGGTGAGACACAACCCGAGACACAACCCTCCATCCCGGCAAACCCCTCTCCTGCCACACCAAACAGCCAATGTCAGCCTGACGTTGCAAGGACAGTGCTGCCCAGGACTCCGGCATATCCGCCAAGCCCACCGGAGTTGAGATTGTCCTCGTCAATATTTGCCTGCAGCTTCTCCTCCAGAAAGTCTCCCAGTGACGCGGGTCGCAAGTACTGCACGCCTGGTTTGAAGATGACCGGATCATTTCGAGGGGACAAGCCGCTGATGTCCCTAATACCCCGAATTACATTGTAGGCAAAGTGAGCCTTGGCTGTGATCTTGACAGTCGCCGTGAATCTGTCCGTGTCGTTGGCGCGGCGGAGCAACACCGCTGCCCTGAGGTCGGTGACCAGCCCCGTGGCAGCTTTCGTGTCTTCGGTAAGGGTGAGGCGAAAGCCATTGTTCCGGCCGAATCTTCGAATGTCGGTATCCAGAACGATTGATCCAGTTAACCTGGCCCTCTCCGCCTTTTTGTAGCTGAGCTTCCGCTCCCACTTCCGCACGATGTGGCCACCTCCCGTCGCCGCGGCCACGCCGCCCTGAACCTCACCTCCGGCTTCACCACCGTCCGTCTCTTCGACCTGGAGCTCAGTCGGCTCTCCCAGAGTGAAGTCGCCGTTTGGCCAGAGGGCAATGACTTCGGGGTCGGCCCGTTCACGCTTCTGCTCGTCCTGGAATGTCACGTTGATCACTGCTTGTTTGAACCGTCTGTTCTCGTCGATGCCGTGAAAGCGGAAGCCAAAAACCACCAGGGTGGCGAGACTCCCGTCTTTCACTTCCCTGCCATGGACGATGCGGTCGATGCGCGACATCAGCAGGAGTCCCTGGCAGCAGTCGTCAACCACGTCAGGCCGTTGGATCTCGTCCCCATCATTCTCTCGGCGAAAACCACGGTCTTCCTCCTCGGTATTCAGCTGGATGGAAAATGCAAACGGGTCATGGGCTTGCGCTTGCGCATCCTGTTCCGCCGTCATCTTGCCTGCGTGTGTCATGTGTTGGCGTAAGTCGCAAAGTGTGTGGAGGTAAGTACAGGGCGTGCTGTGATGCGGACGGTGCGGACGACAATTTGTAGTGCTCCCTTCCTTCAATAACTGGCAATGGCATGCGGCTTGATGTAGCCGCTTTTTAATCGAGAATCTTAACCCCCTAACTATAATCGTATCCTACGATTCCCGTCCACTAGATTTGGCCGCCATCCCCTCAACACCTATCAACCTGCCACCCCTCCGAGCTTCTCACCATACCCGCCCTTGGCCAGATCAAGAAGGTGAGACGGCGGGGTTACGGTCGAAAAGGGCTTCTGGGTGGTAGCACCAAGTACCGGAGCACGTAACGACGGCAATATCCTCAGCCTTGCCAGCTCTCACGCGGGGTTGATACCTCCGGACACCTCATGTGATGATAAGTTTCTCGTGCATGCAGCATGCTGACTGGGCGTCAAGAGTCACACAAATAAATGCATGACCGCGGCGTAGCCGCATTTCAGCCCATTGGCCGTGGGGTTCCCGCGTCTTCCCGCCAGAGCCTCGACCCCAACCAACCCCCTGACTCCTTTCCTGTGCGGTTCCTCAGGGCTGCCACTGCTTCAAGCCGAGTAGTGCCGTTGGAAACCCCAATCGCCGTGTCTCTAAGTCTTTCCATGCTTTCCGTCCTCGTTTCCATCCCTATCTCACCTACTTTCACCTCAGCTCTGTTCCTATCATACTCAAGTGCCAATGGCAACACCAAATCAAAAGCTTAGGAGGGGTGGGCTCGGGCTGAGTGGTCCTGGGGCGGAAGCGGTAGATTCGTTCAAGCCTTCAGGCCCCAAGCAAGGTCCATCCACTGACGCCGGAGCCGAGGAGGATGACGATCCATTGACGGTGCTCAGAGGGCACATGGACATCGTCCAAGGCTGGTTCTACAACAAGGTGGTCGAAGAAAGGTCCTGGGCAGTGCAGCTCAAGACGGCATCCTATCATGAACAGAACCTGATTCACACAGCAATAACGGAGCTGCAAAGACAGAAAAAGCGACAGATACAGGCGGTGTTTCCTGAGCCGGCACTCGCCGGTATCGAGTCATTAGTGCTTTCAAAGCCAAGCCTGTTTTCGAACCCGGATGTCAACGGGGATGTCCCCATGTTCATGGCGCTGAAACTAGACGCCTCCGTTCTGGTTCGTGTTCTTGATCTCCTCATCCCCGGTCCAACGCTCGACCACCTAGAAACAACGAGGCGGAGTGGGTGTGACGAAAAGCTTTCCGACTGCCCGCTCTCAAAGGTAGCATATGTACGGCTGGACCGGTGTATGGAGAAGTCGAAAAGCGCCAGTGCGGCGCATGTGAAGCGCGAACGGCCTCTCTTTCACTCCGATATCGACACACAGAAGCTAGTTCAAGAGGACGGCGAGCTGAGGGCAATACTGCGCGACGCACTTAAGGAAAATGCCATTGCCCGCTGCCTAGAACCACTCCTTGTCGAGAAGAACTTCGACCGAATTGCCAAAGAAACGGGGAATATCATGCCCGTGAGCAGTTTCAGGACCCTGCTCGAACTCTGCCCCGACGAGGCGTTCAGCTGTGCGCCAACCACCGGATTCACGCCACTTCAATTAGCCGTCCGTCTCTATGAGAGTTCATTAGTGGCTTACGACCACATCTCATCTATCATCCAGGCGTTGATCGAGCGCTGCCCAAGCTCCATCTTTCTGGGAACGGGGAAGGGACAAGCGGCGACAACGCCATACCGGCTACTCATGGGCCTCCCGCGTGCGGAATCGGCCGAAAGTGCTTCTGCAAGGGCTCGGGCTCAAGAGCTCCTAAAGAGGGCGTGCATTGGCTATCGGGCAACAAAATACGACGAAAAGGAAAAGGAATATGTAGCTGACCAAATGTGGAGCGAGAAAAAGGAGTTCCTTTACTGGGATGCCAAATCTCGTAAGTGAAGCCATGCGTACCCTTATTTCACGTCGAGTTCACAGCCTTTGAGAGTTGATTTAACGGTGAATTAGAACGCCATTTCTTGTTGAGCCTAGTGGGAGAGTCCGTCATGCTTGACAAACAATACATCGAAACCATGGCTGAACAATCGGGAATGAAATTCGAGACCGTCCTGGCATTTGTCGAGCTGCCCTATTGGAAGCCAAAGGGTCCTCAGCAACCGGAGGCGCAACCGGAACCAAGTCAGCAACAATCCCAGGATGGCAGCAACACCGGCACCGGGCAAACGGGGCGTCCAGGGCCCCAGCCAGATCCATACCCGGCGCTCTTTACGTGGTTGTGGAGTTGCGGCGTGACCAAGATCTTCGAGATCAAGGTCGATGACGACGGCCCAGAAGCCCACACTGATGCCGCCATACGAGAAGCTCTACTCGGCAAAGGAACAGTCGAGGATCCAACTCGCAACTTCGAGGTTGAGATATGGGACTGGAAGAAATTTGACATATGCGCCGAGACAGTCGCCTACTCGGCCCCCCATGCCCGGGAGGTCCACCTGTACTCCCATGGAAACACGGCGGTCCTAAGAGGATGGGCCTGTGACTCCTCCTTTGCGAAACTGACAAAGGTGAGCCCGAACCCCTTCGGGGATGCTTCGTCAGACTCATAAGCTGATCCGTAAAACAGCTCGAGAAAATACACATCAACATTTACCCCCAGGTTGGTAACTTCACACCTGCCCATGTGCTCTGCTGATCTGACACCGGTTCAGAATCCGAGGGATGATAACGATTGCGAGGACTATAAAAACGCCCTGATACGGGGCATCCATCGCCAGTGCCCAAAACTGAACCTCGAAGACGATATTAAGGTGACAAATTACGGATACCGAGCCCCGGGAAGCATCGGAACCGTTGGGCGTGCCAACAAGAAGAAGGCCCGAGATACTCAGCAGACCTTGACCGAGGTCAAGTAAGTACCCCGTGCAGGATCAGGGAATGTTGTATCATGGCTTACGAATTCGGGTAGACCAAAGAAGGTGGAGTGGCTTGCCAACCTCCAGAAGTTCACGTACTTTCTGATCGAATTGGACCGGTCTCTGCCGGCTGAAGTCGCCGAGCAGAAACCGAAGGTGCGAATCGCCCTCCTAGATGACGGTTGTAAGCTACAGGAGCTGCATGGAACCCAAGAGGGCTGCTCGTTTCGGTCCGTAACCGATACCTTCTTTGTCGGCCCATGCAGCCACGGCACGGTTATGGCCAACTGTATTCGGCGAGTCTGCCCTATTGCCGAGCTCGTCATCGTTCGCCTTGATGACACGCGCCGGGTTGAAAACCAGCGGTTTACAATCTCTTCCTGTTGCGAGGTACGCCCCCACGGCCATGCCGTTAGCTAACGGCGTAGGAGGAAAACTCTAGAATCCCAGGCTAACCGTTCTCAAGGCGCTAAGATGGGCATTGGATCAGGATGTGGATGTGATCTCGATGAGCTGGACTTTCGAACACAAGGATGGCGAGGCAGACTCGTACAAAAATGAGTTTGCTAAACTCATTGGCGACGCCGTGGGTGCCAACAAGCTCCTGTTCGGCGCCCTCTCCGACAAGTTCATTGAAACGCACCCAGTGGCCCCAGCTGGGCTCCCTGGCGTCATAAAGATTGGTTCTGCGACCATTTATGGCGAAGTTTCACGGAACTTGACACACGCACATCCGGACTTCATCCTCCCCGGCGAGGAGATCGACGTATCGCCGGGGGAAAAGGCAAAAGGGAGCTCCCTCGCCACAGCCTTCGCTTCCGGTCTCGCCGCGGTGGTGCTGTACTGCTTGAAACTGCAGTGCGCACTCGCGCCCGACGATGCGCAACGGGCCAAGGCACTCCGCGTGGCCAAAACGCCCGCTGGTTTGAAGAAGATCTTCAACGCTCTCAGCGCCCACAAGAATGACGACGACGGGGTGGGGAACTTTGTCCAACCGTACCATACTTTCGGGCAGGAGATCCCCCCTTCGTGGGAGGAAAGGGTCAAGTACATCAATGAAATCGTGGGCGAGATCCTACCGGCCGATGTACTGCGGAAATTCCGGGACTAATCGGGCAGGGAGAAGCCTTAGCATCCATCCACGGATGGGATCTGTCGAGCGTCGCACATAGGGGCACAAGGGTTCCCATCTTGGAACCTGCTTGTAGCAGTAGGCATACTGCGTGCAGATTGAGTGAATGAGAATATAGCTCTGGTTATTACTACACAATACTATAAACAACAAGTCCTGCCCAAGTGACGGTGCAGACACAACAAGCCTCCTTAGTCAATCTTTCTATCATCCCCTCCGCCCAACCCAGTTCGAACCCCCTTTTTACACACAGAACCACCAACAGATGGTTGTTCTCATCTACCGCGCCCAAGCACCCGCTCCATTTGGTTCTCTGCGGGCTTCTGCGCAGTCAGATCACCCGGCTGCGTCATGTTGCTCTTGCTCTTGGGATTCGGTCGTCGCATCATCATGTACAAACCACCCAAGCCGACAGCACCAAGGCCGATGTATCTATACCTATACGGGCCATATAAAGTCAGTCACTTTCTTGGATCCTTTAGCAAACCCCAAAAGATAGACCCACATGACGTTGCTATCCGTCGCCCCCATCCCTTTACCCATCTTTCCGGTACCCGGGATGTTCTGGCCCATGCCGGGCTTGGGGTGGTGCGGTAGGGCCGAATGATAGTCCAGGCCCGACGTCTCGAGAGGCTCCTTTTGATGGCTGGTCTGGCCTTCGGAGGGGTAGTCGAAGACCAGGTCGATGTCGTCGACGGGGTTGGCTCCGCGGGGGTCGTTGGGTGGATACCTGTTCGTCGGCGTCGCCCAGGGGCGGACAGCCGTTGTTGATAGGCATCTGGTGGTTCTGGGTAGGGCCCAGAGACTGACCCGGGTTTGTTTTGGGAGAAGCATGTTGATGGTGTTTAGGTTTGTGTGACTACGAAAAGACTGGTGTTGGTAACAGGCAGCAAGTATCGGGGGGCAAGGAAACTAGAGAAACCGCCAGCAGTGACGGCGTTGAAATACGGTCTTCCGACGTGGCCTGGCCCCGCGGACTCTTTTATTCCATGACGTATGGTGACAATGACACCTGAGGGGCAGATCGGAGCTACCGGTCGGCAACGGCTGGAACGCCTGGGCCACAAGAACACTATTGGATGGCATTCTCGAACGACGGGACGGGGCACAGCTGCAATCCTTGACCGCGCTCGTCCCTGTGAGTGAGCTCGCCACTATGGAGGAACCATAATGCCGATGAAGCTTTGAATCCCAGCGTCCCGCTCACGGTTCCATGTTCTTATTCCAAGTGCCCCAATGATCTGGTTAGGTATTACGGCAGTAACACCCACGGTTCCTTCAAATTGATTTTAACACACAAAATAGGTATTTACTTCTTTTAATCATGTTAAAACCGAAGTGTCCTGAGACAACACCCTCCTGTTAATATGTACAAACCGGAATGAGCCGTTTCTAGTAGCGACGTACCGTGACCTATGTACTACCACAGCCATCTCACCACACCGGTACTCGATGGGTTCTGACTAACAGGAACCGATGTTACGCTGCGTGTTGAGTAATTTTAAGATGGGTTGGTATTCCTCTGACCTGAAACTTCAGATTCCTTGCGGGTATTGGTGGCTGTGCTGCCGTCGGGGTCGGAAGTCCATTATTGCGTTGGGGGGGACTCGGGGGATCAGGGAGATGCAACCTGTCAAGCCATCTAACTCCCACAAAGTCTAGCGACCACGTCACCGCGTAATTAAAGGCGACCTGATAGCTAGTCTCAAACACGTCCCGTCCATACCCAACTTCCTAAACAAGCCTTCCGGTTGCACCCAAGCAGTGCACAGCCTCAACACCAAAATACTGATCTCCGAGAATAAGAGAAAAACGCCGAAACATCCGCTCTCTGTAGGATTGAGTACCATGTCAAGACACGAATCACTCTAGCCTATGTAGCAATACCCTTCTGATGTCCGAATACCGCTTCGTGGATGATCATCTCGACTTCACGCGCACCCGCCGCACGCGTACGTCTTCCGAACTAAGAGCACTCAGTACCCCTTAATCTGCCCCTGGTCGCGTGGGATAACTGGCAGCTACCTTATGTACTTTGTGAGCCAGCCACTTCCTCATGCGCGTCATCAAGCCACCAGCGATGGGTTGAGCACTTCCCTGTCACACAGCCCTTGAGGCTTGAGCCGACATCGCCACAGCTGCCAGACGTATTGGTTCTTGCCGTATCCAAAAGCCGATTGCTGGTACCGTCCCGCCCTGGGTGAATGGGGACCAAGGCACGCTACCGTGCAGAACGTTCTGCTGGTAGGAAGGGTTTGAGCAGAGCAAGATGGAGACGAGGGAGAGGTTGTTCAATTGCTTCTTAAACGAGACAGGGCGGCATTCTTAAGGGATTTTGATGGCAAAGACCACAAACCACGAAGAATGAACTGCTTGGCCATGTCTTGGCCACGTTGATGCAGTGAAAGTTCCAGTCGTGAATGATGACGGTCTCAGAGCAAGTTGAAGTTGGTTGATCGACCAAGTTAGTTAGGGTTACAAGGAGACACACAACAACGATTTCGAGCCCCGGACGTCCGCGGCAAGAACAATGGGTTAATAAACAGTAAGGTACAATAGAGTCCCAAGACCCGAAGGCACATGTCCCGCCGAGATGGCCAGTCATAGGTAGTACAGAAATAAATAACTCATCTGCCCACCACGTACGAGGCATCACAATAGCAAGTAGTGTGTAGTAAAGACAAGCAAACCACCGGCCGGGAATCCGCCACCTGGGGATTAAGAGAACGCTCCCGGTAAAATGCAATCCATGAATGGGTGATGTGTCAGTCCAGAGATGTACGCCAACTCCACCCCGAAAGAACTCCCCGCTGCAGTATAAAAAGGGTATCACATACGCGCGCCCGCAACCGCCAGCTGATCGGCGGCGATATTACCCTGGTCTGTATCATGGCCCTTGACCCAGATGAACTGGGTGCGCCCACCCTTGGCCTCCCTCGCGTCGAGCCTGTCCCGCACTAACTGGACAAGGTCTTGGTTCTTGACGGGGCCATTGCGTGTCTTCCAGCCGTTCCGCTCCCAGTTGATGTACCACTCGGTGACGCACTGGATCGAATACTTGCTGTCGGTGCGGATCTCGAGGTCTTGCTGGAGGTCGATGATCTCGAGGGCGCGGAGGATAGCTGTGAGCTCGGCACGTTGATTGGTTTGCGTTTCGCCATCCAGGCGCTCCGAGACGTTTCTATCGGGAAGAGGTTAGTTAGTATGAGCCAATCTTTCGCTGATACGGGGCGTGTTGGCAGACAAACCTAGGATCATTATCCCCAAAGTAGACCCCAACACCGGCGGTTGCGCCCACCCTACCATTGCCCAAACTGCTCCCGTCCGTGTAAACAATGACAAGGCTCTGCGATGCCTTGGTCGCATTCCTGACCGTTTTCCTTTTCTTGGCGACGGGCTCCTCGATCCCATCGGCTTCGTCCTGATCTGAACCGGTCACGGTCGGCGCTATTGCTTTGGCCATGCCGCTGAATGAACGGACGAAAGCCTCGGCTTCCGCCCGCGTCTCAAACTTCTTGAATTTGGGCCCTTTCCAGCCTATTATTGCCTCCTGTGCTGCGGACCACTCCGTGTACACACCGGGCTTGCGTCCCACGGCGACGCCGTAGAATCGGGGTGGTTTGGCGTCATCTTTCGCAGAGGCGGGTTCGCGGCCGGCGGCAAAGGCAGACGCATCTTCGTAAGTGAGGAAAGACTTGACTACGGGAAATGTTAGCTCGGCAATGGCGGGAGAGAAAGGGCGGAAAACGTGCATTGGGCGCCTTTGAAGCCAGTGATCTGCTGCTGGCAAATGGTCCAGTTGGTGTAGACACCGGGTTTGAAGCCGACGCGAACAGCGTAGTACTTTTGCTCGCTGGCGTCCATCTTGCGCTTCCTTGTGGGCATGGTCACTGTGAATTCCGGAAGAGGGGCTGTCAGAAAAAGAAGCAACCCGGTGGCTCTGTTCCTCGCAGGCTGCCGCAGACCCCGAAGCCCAGCGAGATTGGCGCTGTCAAGAAGGCGAGGGCTGCGGGCGAAAGTGGGGGTCGCCGTGGCGTCAAATGCCCTCAAGAGGGTGGTAGTAGTGGCTTTGTCGACGAAGCGGCGGCGTCTGAAAGAGAGGGGTAGCTGATGCACGGTTCAAACGGACTGCATCCTTAGCAACTCAAACGAGTGGAAAATGAATGGCAACCCGAAAGCTGGAATCGAGCTTTTGACTCGGCTTTGTGGTATGCCTCGGGCTAAATCCGTTGATAAAAAGGCAGACGCGGCTATCCTTAAAGCGGGCGGCGCAGGGAAAGCTTGTGATGTTGAACAAACAATGTGCTGCGTGCGATGTTGAGGGCGGCGGGATGCGAGTTGGTTTCCAAAGACGGCACAGAGGCGTTTGGGCCGGGCCTGATAAGATAAGAGCAAACGCGCACAACAGGGGTTTGGTCTCCACTTCCGGGGCGGCTTTCAAAAGTTCCAGACCGTGCCACCGTGCGTCCCTAGCGGCAAATGCCGAGACTCTTGAGAGGCACAAAGCTGGGCGCGCTTCCAGCCTCCAGTCGCACTGCATGGGATGATCGCCTCCACGGGCTGCTGCGAATACAACCAATGGAGGACTGCTCGATGCGAGCTGACAGTGACCACAGCTGAACTGCGCCGCCATCCTGGAAGCTTGGAGCCTCTCATATATGTACAAGATATGTACGTACTTCGTACTTTGTAACAGGCATCCGACATGATACATGAGAATACAACCCTAGCACTGCTGAGGCACTTCACCACCTTTGCGATCCAACTAAATGGCGGAAAACATTGAATCTAAGTGAAAACAACATATAAAGCCGGGGTCTTATTTCCCAACTTTGAAAGAAACACCGACGAGCAGGCCCTGCTCCATGGACCATAAACGTTGCTCGGACTGGTTCTCCTGTCACACGGGCCGACTCGTCGACGAGTCAGCTGCTTCCACCGATTTGGGCAATACATAACGGCATGGCATGCAAAAACCAAGATGACGTTCGGAGCCGTCTAAAGGCGTTGCGATCCTGCCTGGAATCTGGTCCGAACGTATCCCTCGGAACCACACTCCAGGCCTGGGACCAGGATTCAGCGTGACAGAAGAAAGTCATTCAACCCGGAAGTTTTCCAAGGCTCTTAGTGGTTGGGTTTTGGCACTGTCAAGCTTGGAACTAGTCTGTGTGGTTCGAGTCCGACTTTTGTGCACGTTTTGGGCGTTCGACCCTTCCTCTTTCCCCGTCATCACTCATCTAGCGACCAGCAAAATTCCCAACTGCCCGTCTATGACCCCACTACTCGGTCCCCAGCCTAGAACTTCATGTCTGCCAACGCCGGCTGCTGGGAATCTCTTGCCCTGGTTTAAGATCCTGCACCGTCGTCCCGCCTCTGATTCCGCTTCCGCCGATACCGCTCACTGACTTGTGGCTTTTTGTGCATGCGTCTTCGCACAATTCAAAGAGCCTTGATGTTGGCCTGAACCACGGCCAGTCTCCTCCTGCTCAAGTCGGCCGTCATGGACATTCTTTCCAAAGGTACTGGTGATTATCTCAATCGCCATTGCGGCCGTGTGAACTTCCGGCCTCCATTTCCAATTCCGAAGCCCCAAGTTGACTCATTGTGGGCGACTCTAGTCACCCCACGGCAGGGCAACAGCCCAGTCCCGTTCGACATCCTCACAGCCACTGCCTCAGAGCTACGGGTGCTACTCGATCAACATAAAACAACCAGCGTTGAAATTGTCAAAGCCTATCTCGCCCAGATTTCGAAACACAATAAAAGCGGTGCACATCTAAATTGTGTGAATAGCGTGGTACCGGAAAAGATACTCCTGGATGTCGCTTCTGAACTGGACCGCGAGAGGGCCAAGGGCCACCTCCGAAGCCCAAATCATGGCACTCCATTCCTGGTAAAGGTGCGGTAGGGACTCTGCCAAGGTGGCTTCCAACGAGATCAGCGAAAAGTAAAGAATTAACTCGTCACAGGATAGTATCTGGACCGCCGCCTCGTTCTCCGTGACCACGACCGCTGGCACATACGCTCTGAAAGATGCGGTAGCGAGAGAGAATGCCGATGTCGTTCGGGCAGTGAGTCTCTTGGATGGATATTAATTTAATCGCGCTTACACTCCTACCCTAGCTCGTCAATGCGGGAATGATCATGCTGGGAAAGACGAACTTATCGGTATATCACACTGCCGGCTTTGTCTCCATTCCCCGGCACTAATTGAGACGTATAGGAAATGGCTGGCATGAAGGGTGTTGGCGGTTTCGCTGGTTGCTCAGTCGTCGGGGGGTGAGCATGCCATCGCTTTCGCCCGACTTTGGGCAGTTACTAACACCTTGTCACAGCCAAACGCAAACCCCATATGTCAGGGGCGGTGTTGACCCCACAGATACTTGGCTCGGCTTGAGTGTAAGCTACTACAATCCTATGTGTACTTTCGTGTCAGACCTTCTTACCCTGGCCTAGACTCCTGGCGGCTCGTCATCCGGCTCTGCGGCTTCAGTGGCCGCCGGCATGGCACCCGTTGCACTCGGAACAGAGACCGATGGATCCATTCTCGTCCCAAGCGACCGGGCCAGCCTCTACTCACTCAAGCTGACTCTAGGAAAAGCTCCGACCCGCGGCGCCCTTGGCTACACACCCTTCACGGACACCCTTGGCCCGATGACAAAGTCCCCCGAGGATGTGGCGATACTGCTGGACTTGCTTACGCCTATCAAAGGCAAGTCTCACCGCGACTTCCTGACCAAGTCGTTGGCCGGTATTCGAATTGGCTTTCTCGACCCCGCTGTCTGGGCCCCAACTGCAGACGCCGTGCGGCCAGACGCAGACTTTACCGCACAGATAGTGAGTCAATCCCCTGTTCGGCCCACCATGCATGTGCCCGAGCCCCGCTCGTGCTGACGACTATCGAAGAATGAAGAAGTAGCGGCAGCGGTGGATGCTATTGAGAAGGCTGGCGCTCAGGTCAAGCGGAACGTCACCCTACGACGGTTCAGCAACGAAGATGACAAGATGTTCAGTGACCTTGCTTGTAGGTCTACCATCTAAACGTGCCCTGACTATCCTAACATCTTGTCCTCCTCTAGCGACTGACTACGCCAACGAGTTTGCGAAGTTTGCTGGAGGTCTGGACCACGGCTCCGCCAAAACCATGGCAGAACTCGTTGCGTTCAACAATGAGCATGCATCCATCTGCCTTCCATCCGGTTTGTACCCCTCTTGTCACTCTTTATGCATCTCTCGGCTTGGTTACTTACAAGATTTGCGCAATTATCCAGGGACCGACCAACGGTTCCTCGAAGATGCACTCAACATTCATCTCTCTGATGAAAAGTACGAAGAGTATTCTCAAACCTTGCGAAGAAACAACAAGGAGCTTGGGATCGATAAGGTTTTGCGGGAATACGAAGTTGATGTGATCATGAGCATCCCGATGGGCCGAACCGCGACCATTGCCGCCATCTCCGGGTACCCTGTGGGCACTGTCCCACTGGGGTACGCTCGTTTTAACGGAGCTGCATACGGCATGTCCATCATCGCACCTGCGAACGCCGAATCACTCATCCTTACCATCATGAGCGCGTGGGAGTCCATAGTTCTTCCCAGCCGCCGCCCACCTCCACAGCTGGTGGAGCAGAATGCGTCTGAGAAGCTATAGGTTTGCGTGGTGGATGCTAATCCCAAGCACTCAACAAGCTTAGAGTATCAAGCTCGGGACACACGCAACGCCACGGGATGAATCATCATGGAGGGCCTGAGCTTATTTCATACATGATATTACAGACTTGCTACCCCAATCGATACCTAGCTAGCCGTATAAATGTCAAAATCTAACAGAGGAAATCAATGACACATATGGATGATTCCATTTCCCGTCATTTCTGACTCTACGGATTAAGAGACGGGGCTGGGTTCAGATTGTTGGCTACGGCGCCGTGACGTTTTTGGGTCGCGCCCGCCCCCCACTCTTCCTCGCCCCCTTGGCGGTTAGGGTTCTCGAACACAGGGGCCAACACCATCTTGAATTATTTGTATAACCGTCGGCTGCGTGAAGCTGCCATTCAGATCTTTGAACCAGCCGAAAGTTCTCCCCGGTTGGAATACACATGTCATCTCTCAAGCACAGTAAAGGCACGAAAGGGTAGGTAGCCGACAAAATTGACCGACCGTCCACGAGTTCAAGTGTTACCCTTTCTTCCGGTCTTGCATGTTGCGAGGAACCAGGGATGGCTTCCCACTGGACCTTGCTGCTTCATCGTAAGACACCCATGCGTTGATCAATCGTCCATCAGCTAATCAAATCCAAATATGTACAGAGACTCCACGACATCCGACTTGTGAGGAGTGCCAACAGCTGTCGGAAATGCACGTTTGTCCTACCGGAAGACCTGAGTGTACGAATGCGGAACTTCCTTAACCACTCGGCTGGTCGGTGGTACGTCAGCAGCAAGACCAAATGTTTCGCCAAGCCTCCAGGTTTTTGTGTGTTTGTTGTTTCTCGCTGAGCCCGACCAGATTCTTGTCTCCACCTGCTGTGGAATGCTTGTTTCTAGTAACTCGCCAGTCATAGCTTCTGTTTACCTCTCGCAGTTATTACGAATTAATTCCGTCGTTTTGTTGGTGTCGCCTGGAGCGTTGAGATCTTGTGTGCACAAAACGATCCCAGGTCGAGACCTTTCGGATCGGGCGGACCCTTGAGCAACTCGATGGGGGGATGCAACCACCGCCCGCTGCAGAGATGCAGGTTGCTGACGTCTGTCGTAACCTGTTGGCCAACCAAAAATCCCTAGCGGCCCTGCTTGGGTGGATGACCTCATCCTGTCAGGGACAGGTCTGCCCAGGAGAGGCTAGCGTCCTTCTGCCATCGGGCCCGTTTCTTCAACCTCTTGGCGCTCTGTTTCCGTGCCTTCCCCTTGGATTTTGCCGACACAGCCACAACTCGTGTTGGCCATCCAAATCTGATTCCTGACCCCCTGCATTGTTCGGGCCAACTCTGTTTCCAACACGAGACTCCCTGTCTTGCCGCTTTCTTGGTGGAGGCTGCCCACACCAACAGTCCCCCACTCGCTTTCGATCAACTTCACTCGTTCCAGAACCTCCTCCTCCGCGACCAACCATTTCATCGTCTATCGTGCAGTCTTTTTCGGCGACTGCAGCGGCCTTTGCTGGACCCGACTGTTGGAGAAGCGATTGTCGATCGCCGTCGCTCGTTTTCTACTCCCCGCCTTTCTCCGCAACCCGCAGGTCGGTCAACCGAACCTCGAGACCATTCGACCATTGTCGCAACCCCTAACCACCCAACAACCCGCCCGTGAATCGAGACCCGCCCCAACGACCGGCTACGGACTGCAACATCGATCCGATATTCTCTAGAATGTCCGCTTGAGATTTGACCTAACCACGCCCGTTTCCCTCTACATCCGGCCCGAAACCAACCATCAGCGCGCATCGGAGCCCCCTCGACGGGCATACCGGCCACGATGCGGCTTCCGTCGATCAACCCGTTCCTCCTGTTCACCTCTCTCGCGACCGTCGTCCTTCCTACGAGCGCCGAATATGTGCTTCGATCGAGCTCGCTGGCATCGTGCCAGGAAAACTCGGGCTTCACGGCTAGTCTGTTTGATGTCGTCTTCACCCCGAATAACCTCACGGCTTCCATCAACATGATTGCGACATCGTCTATCGAGGGCCATGTCGTTTTCGATATCTCCATTTACGCCTACGGGTACCCCATCATCCGCACCGAGGTCGACCCATGCGAGGCCAACCTCCCTGGTCTGTGTCCCATGACATCCGGCAAGATGAACAACCCGTTCAACCTGCCCGTTACCAAGGATGCGATTGCGCAAATCCCGTCTATCGCATACACTTTCCCGGACCTCGATGCAACGGTCCAGGTATTCATTAACAGGACCGATGGGGACCGCGCTGGGGAGAGCATCGCTTGCGTCGAGGCCAATATCTCGAACGGAATGACAGGTAAGCGGCTCGAATATGTTGCAGGCTGGTACGGATTACTGACACGGGGACAGTGGATCTTATCGGTGTGAAATGGGCCTCTGCTGGTGTGGCAATTCTCGCCCTTATTTCTTCGGCCATCATCAACGGCCTGGGATTTTCCAACGCCGCCTCGCACGTCGCATCCAACACCCTCTCGCTGTTTGGCTACTTCCAGGCCCAGGCCATGCTCGGCCTCTGTGCCGTGCCGCTTCCGCCCGTTGTGAAGTCGTGGACCCAGGATTTCCAGTGGAGCATGGGCATCATCAAGGTCGGATTCATTCAGGACATCCTAACGTGGTATCAGCGGTCGACCGGCGGCGAGGCCTCTACTATACTCGATACCCTCCACACCGTTTCCGTGCAGGTCGAGAAGGTCAAGCGTTCCGTGCCGCTTTTGGACTCCGCCGTTGACCTTGTTGGACGGTCGGCCGGCGGGCTCTCCAAGCGAGCCATTGAGACCTCGTACGGCAGCTACATCGTCTACGGTATCCAGAGGGTCGCCTTTCGGGCCGGCATCGAGACAACTAACCTGTTCCTGACTGGCTTGACCTTTTTCTACATCTTCATGGTGATGGCTGCCCTCTGCGTGGTGCTGTTCAAGGGCATCTGCGAGTTGCTTGTGCGCATGAAAGTGATCCAGAGTGACACTTTTGCTGAATTCCGTGCGGGGTGGTTGACGGTCCTCAAGGGTATGCGTTCCGTGTTGCCCCAATTGTGTTCCAAACTGACCGTCGATAGGCGTTCTTTTTAGATGGCTGCTCGTTGGTTTTCCCCAGCTCACCATCTTTTGTTTGTGGGAATTCACGCAGAACGACTCCCCGGCCGCCATGGTACTCGCCGTGTTCTTCTTCTTCGGCGTCGTCATTACTCTCAGCTATGCTGCTTACAGGGTGATTCGGATTGCCCGCCGCTCTGTCGCTCTCCACCGGAATCCCGCCTACATCCTCTTTTCCGACCCGCATGCCTTGAACAAATGGGGTTTCTTATACGTGCAGTTCCGCGCCTCTGCCTATTACTTTATCGTCCCGGTCCTCGTTTACATCATCGTCAAGGGCATGTTCATCGCCTTTGCCCAGCGCGCCGGCACGGTACAGGCGGTGGCCCTGATCATCATCGAGGCGGCGGCACTCATCACGGCTTCGGTCTTGCGACCGTGGATGGATAAGAGCACCAATTCTTTCAACATCGCCATTTGCGCCATGAACTTCATCAACGCCATCTTCCTATTCGTCTTTACTGACGTCTTCGGGCTCCCGAGATTGGTCATTGGCGTGGTGGGTGTCGTTCTCTGGATCGCCAACGCCGCCTTTGCGCTCATCCTCCTGCTGATGCTGATCATCACGACCGGAATCATCCTGTTCCACAACAACCCCGACACACGCTACCAGTTCATGAACGACGACCGCACGTCCTTTATGAAGTCGCAGTCGCACCTCGGCACGACGACTGAGCTCGACGCCCTAGGCGCGACGGCTCGCGGCGATGGGAAGCTGTTCAAGCGGAGCGATCTGGAGGATGACGAATCGGCCGTCTCGGGCCAGGAACACATGGCTGCCCGCGCCGGATCGCCCCACTCGGGACCTTACCGTGACTCGAACGGGGGGTCCATCAGGGACTCGGCGCGGAACTCGGTGCGCAGCTCGTTCCGCGCGCCCGTCGACCCCGTGTCGGGCACCTACCAAACAGATCCGCACCATCTGCGGGGGAAGCCGAGCGGGAGTATCAGGGCGCCGAGCATTGGCCCGTCGGGGTCGTCGACGAATCTGTCGCAGGGGGCACAGACGGGGCCAAAGCCGCCAGCTGGGGCACCGTAAGTTTTTTAACGCTATTCGTCTGACTGTTTGTTTGTTTGTTCATGTGGCTAACGTAAAGCAGTGTGTGGCAAAGAGGGGCCGGCTATGATTAGAAAAGGCTGTAATGAATACAGGTATCTTGGGTTTTTTTTGTTTTTGTTTTTTGTTTTTCTGTTTTTGTCAGTTGTCTGGTCATCGGCGTCGCCATTCCTTCCGGTTTTTTCCTGTCTCAAGGATTATCCCTCGTCAGGGAAGCGTCTTTCGACGTGGTTTTCGTACATACTTTTACCGTTCTCGGTGTTTCGGTTTTGGCATCGGGCATAATGTGTCATTCCTTGTTAAGGATGTCGTGGGGAGGCGGCATTTGTCGTCATGGGACATTGGCCACCGCGCTAGTTGGGCTTGTGTTGGATGGATACGGCGGTCAATGCAGAAGATGTGTACTGTTGAAGTTTGCCGGTGAATTTTGCTAGGAGATATCACCCATGTAAGGACGGTATTGTTTATCATAGAGCGGCATCATCGTGGCATTTTGTTCAATTATCTCCGTCATCCATCCCGGCCATGTGACTACCCACTACTGTGTACTGTGTAGGTATATTTGTTTGGCGCACCCGCCGCTTCATGTACATCGTTGTTGACGTCAGTCCATAGGTCAAAGGCTCATAGATCAGATGTAAACACGACACAAATCAGACATTGACGGCCGTCTGAGAGCATTGAAGGTCCAGAGTATAACCCCCCAGCTCGTTACGCCCGCTCAGTCCATTCTCCATTCCATTTTCTCTTCCAGTCACCACCAATGTGTTCCATTAGCCCACAACCATCACGATCAAAATTGTGAACGATGGCTGCCGATACGAACTCTTTCGGTTGGAACGGACCGGCCGCCCGGTTGCCGGCCGAACTGTGGGTGATGATCGCCGCCAACCTCGACTTGGACACTTTCAGCGGTCTTACTCGCGCGTCTCGCGGCTTCCACTACCTCTTGGCTGGGGAACTCATCCCCCACCACGTCAAAGGAGCCAAGACCAAGGTGGACCTTGTGGCTCGCATCAGCGAGGTCTTCGTTCACGCGGCGAGGATCGACTCAACGAGGATACTCGACCAGCTGAGGACCAACTACCGCAGGGTCGTTGACCCCGCCGGTTTCCTCGCCCCCGCCCCCGGGCAGACCACCTTTCTGGACTTCGCCCTCGCTGCCGACGCTCCCCGGGTCGTGCGGCATCTCGTCAGGACCGGGTGCGATATCGATCTGGTCGCCCTCCAACAGCCGCCGGGCATAAAACAACTCTCGCTCACCCTGGCCGGGTGCCACGGGGGCCGGTCCTGGATGGCGGCGGCGGACTCGGCGCTGCGGGCCGCTATCCATCATGCCATGCCGCGGACGGTGCGGTTCCTCCTAGCCCGTGGCGCCTCCGCGAATGGCATGGCGGACGGCCAGGGAGAGCCAGCACTCCACGCCGCACTCCAGCGGCGAGAGATGCCGGGATTAGTAACGCTGCTCGTGTCCCTCCTGAACGACCGGGTCCGATGGCGCCAAGGACGACTCACCGTCCTCATTCCCGGCATGTACCCGACGTACCCGGAGGTCCTTATGGCTCGGTACGGCCCTTCGCTGTCGCCCCTGGCCGCCGCCAGCAAGCTGCTCGGGTCCATCACCTCCTACTATGCGCTCGACCACACAGAGATCCTGGGCCGCCCCTTCTTCCCCGGCACCATCCCTTCCGAGGCCGACTGCCTCTGGCAGCACAGAGTCGGCCAAACGGTCGCGGCACTCCTCGACTTCGGTGCCGCCCCAGACACCCGCACGCCCCCCGCGGCGCGCCTCCACACGTGCAGCCGCCTCTGCTGGCGCTTCACCGCGTGCCACTACGGCTGGGAGACACCGCTCCACCTCGCCGCGGCAGCAGGCTTCGCCGAGGCCATCCCGCCCCTTCTGGCCAAGCACCCCGCGGGGTTCCACGCACCCGACGCAGGCGGCTACACGGCGCTGTACAGGGCGCTGGTGAAGGACCGACTCGACGCAGCCCTGGCCTTGCTGAACGACCCCTGCGCGCCCCCCAACCCGCCCATCCTCGTCATCACCGCCATCCCTCCCCACGACGGGAAGTCCAACCCCGCCAGCACCACCACCACCCCCCCTCCTCCCAACGGTAGCTCTCACCCCCCTAATCCTAATGCCAGCGGCACCACCACTCCCACCCCCCCTACCACCGGCAGCGGCACGACAACAGCCCTCCACGCCGCCTCCCGCCTAGCCCTCTTCCCCGTGGTGCACGCCCTCCTACAGCGCGGCGCGGACCCCAACGCCATCGACCCCGCCACCGGGCGGGCGCCGCTGCACGAGCTGCTGGGCCACACGGGCACGCGGGGCGCGCGCACGTGGGACGTGCTGGCCACGCTAGAGGTGTTGAGGGTTGGGGGGGCGGATATGGACTTGAGGGTGCGGGGGGCGGATGTGCATTTTCGACATCGGGGTGGTGGTGGTGGTGGTAATAATGGGGGTGGGGGGAGGAGTGCAAGTGGGAGTACGCCGGTGGAGATGGGCAGGACGCATCCGCAGGGCGGGGTGCGCGGGCGGTTTGTGGACAGGTGGCCTGGGTGGGTGGCGAGGAAACGGTGGGATACGGGGCCGAAGGCGGAAAGGATTGGGGGGGAACTAGTGCAGACGAGGGTTGGGGATCGTTCGCATGATGCGGTCGCGGGTGTGGATGGGTTTCCCGCGTCAGAGTCGGAGGTGGAGGGGCAGACGGGAGAGCAGCGGGCGGAGGATGCTGCGATGCCTAACAGGGGCCGAGGCAACGGGGCCCGTCAGTCGGGGTCTGGGTTTTCGAGGGGTATAGGGAGAGCGGCCGGCGTGGTTTTGGTGAGGCCGGGAAGAGGGTCAACTGGACGAGGCACACGGGGGGCGGCGACTAGCAATGCATCACAAGGCCGGACCGGACTTGGCGGTACGCCGTCGGTCAGGGGCGGAAACAACCGCGGGGGACGTGGTCGTGGCGGTCGTGGCGGTCGTGGTGGTCCGGCTGGTCGGGGTGGCCAAAGTAGTCGACATAGCCGATGTAGCGCTTGCGGACCGAATCCAAGATCATGATAAAACATGCTTCTAGTTGCACCGTGGTATCACTTTCACGTTGAGGACAGACGCGGACCTAAGGTAGGTACCTACCTACCTTGATATCCACATCGAGGACACATCCTCGGTCGAGCCAAGCTCAATGACATGCGCGGACTGGCATTGTATTTTTTTTTCGTTTAAGAGAAAAGAAAAAAAAAGCAAAAAAGGGGAGCAAGAAAAGGGAGGAAAGAAAAAAGCCATGGTAATTCCTGATGTTTGTATGGTTGAAGACCCCTGAATCGACTGACAGTCTCCATGTTGGGACGCGAGAAATCACAGGGGTGAGACAACCTGGGCCACCTACCGTACCTTCCCCAAGATACACCGCACTGCAGGGTAAAGTTGAATGCAAGAAAACTGTACATAGTATATTGGACACCGAGGTCAGACTCGTTAGCCCGAGATCCAAACGACCTCACTAATTAGTGTAATGTTTGCCAGGGCTGAAACACGCGAGCTCTCAAAGACATCCACCGTGGCTTGAGTGGCTTGCAACGGCCCTGAAGGTTTCCACGTGCAAGGCCCGGCATCCGATCCACCCCACTGAACAGACGTTAAGCGAAGCGCATGGACCCTGGGGTCACCTACAAAATCCCCTTCGGTTCGCCGCGTGCTCCACGGCAGGTGGGCAGTTCACCTCACCATCAATCTTCCTCGTCGAGGTTCCTTCCTAGGTAACTAGGTGTTAAAGGGATGGCCCCCAATTGTGACCCAAGCATCGGAAGTCACTCCTTTTGGCCTGCCAGTGGTCTCGACTGGCCGTGTGGCGTGGCCAGAGCGGCACCAGCCGATGCCCACTTCAACTGCATGTTTGATGATGCATCATGGGGCTGTGGGTGTCCATGGGTCTGGGATGATGCGATGCACTCGGTCTCGCTTCCGCCCGCTAATCGTGAGCTTTGGTCCGCACTCCACCAAAACACCAAAACACCAAAACACCAAAACAGGCTGCGTTTTGTTGTTTATGGCCATCTAATCACAGATAGACCCCAACTCAGCCTTCAGGCAACGCCCAAGAAGCCGACAACAGGCTGCATGACCTCGATCCGTTTTGGTCACCAAATCTGCGAGCCACTGTCTGTGCAATGCCGTGTTGGGGCAAGCGTCAGGCACCATGCAGCGAGAAAGGCCAATGAACCCAGCTAACCGGGCATGCAGCCAAGCGGCTTTGGCTCTTCTCAGCCCAGCCCAGCAGTCGAATGATACCCTGCTCGGGCGAGGCCCTCCTCAATGAAGTCCACCTTCAGTGCGCTCACTGCTGCTTAAGCACCTTCATGCCCCCTTCGCCGCAGCCTCTGGGGAAATCCCTCTTCTTGCGCCCCTCTGCACACACATTATTCGCTCTCTCCCCCCGCCAACACATGGCATATTATCTCATGTACTGGACCGGACGCGGAAGCAAGCCGAGTACTTGTATGATTTCAGGGTGTTGAAAGCAGCAAGCAACCTTGGTATTAAGTACCTCACTTTACGGTGGATACAAAAAAAAAACACCCCAGGACAATGCCGATCGCTGAAGATCCGTCATCCGAAAAGCGGCAATGGCGAGGGAGGGGCAACAGGAACACCAAGCCGTGGTGGTGCAATTTCTGGCCCCCGGCTTGCGCGACACCCACTGGCCCAGCGAATCCAGGCGACGGCGGGAACACCCCAAGTTCGACAACCAAAGCGCCGATCAGCGCCCCGACTACCACCTCGCCAAGGGTCACTGTGCCGCAGGACACGCCCCCAGTCGCAACGCGGGCCCCTGCTGTGCCGCCGGCTGCCACACAATCTCCAAAACCACCGAGTCGTTCTCAACCTGTTCCCTCTCCGACTTCCCAGCCTTGGGTTCCGCCACCAATGCCTCCGCCGACCGATACCGAGCAGACGAGCGGCCAAACGGCGCCCGTGGCTCCCGTCATCGTGCAGCCCGGCGGTAGGAACGGAAATAAACCCGGAAACGACGACGACAACGGGAACGGGCCGCCATCCCAGGGCGATGATTCGGAGACCGGCACGGGAGACGGGAACGAGGACGGGGGATCCAACGGTACCGGCGGCTCGGGAAATGGTGATCCCGGATCGAGTACCAGAAACCCGCCAACACCGTCTGAGGTGGCATCGACCACAGCTCCCTTGCCGACCAGTGCAGCGGGCACTGGGGGGATTGCAGGTGGGAGCCATGGTGGGACAACAGAGACTGACAGCGGCGACACATCTGGTGGTGGTCTGCCAGCGGGGGCAATCGCCGGTGTAATTGGTAAGTTGCATTCCACACTGCAGTGCATGTGTCAGAGTCTTCGATGGTTCGTACGGCTAACAGGTGGAAGTGGGTTTACTTCTTCTGCTCGCGCTTCTAGCCCTTCTTCTTTACAAATTCAGGAGGTCGCCTGCAGTACAACGCATGCTGGCACCGTTCCGCAAGCTCGGCGGGGCATCGGGCGGTTCAGATCGGGTTGACACGCCCGGCGGAGATAGTATGGGAAGGACCCTGATAAGCCCAGGGCCTACGGCGGCGGCAACGGGCGGAGGAGCAGCGGCCGCGTCGGTTGCCCGCAACCGCGGCCGGAACGGCTCACGATCCCAACCCCCTATGCGTCAGACGGGCCACCTACATCCCCTCTCCGGTCCAGCGGCCGCGGTCGGAGGAGACAGCAACCGCGTGTCAACCTTCACATACGACTCCGTCGCCACCACCGGCTTCACCCCGTCACCCATCTCCCCGGTGTCACCGGCAAGCATGCTCTCCCCGGGGACGGTCCGCACCTCCCGCCCCGTCCAGGCTCCGCCAGACCCTCGAGTCATCGCCTCCACCAACGCTCATGTCACCCGAGGTAGCATGAGCAGCACCAGCACAGGGAGCGGGATAAGTGCGGCGCTATCCCCAGGACAAATAGCGTGGCCCATGCCGCCCGGGACACCACCGGCCATCCAACGCCCCGACGGGCCGCAATACCTCGACTTCCAAGAGTCGGGAGAGACGGTCGTGAGAATTAACCAACCGCCGCGCAACAATCGCAGGTCTGGCGGCTACTAGAGGCCGTCCTATAACACGCAACTGCAGAATCGTCAGCGAGATTCCGAAACTCCACCCACATCGGCTTCCATTCCCGACTAGGTACCAACCACACCACAACCACTTATGATACCCATAATTGTACAACTTCATTGCTCCGGGGGCGAGAAACAGTCCGCCCACCCGACACCGCACGCACTCGTGTATACATACAACAGACCTGCTCATAGCTCCGGCTGCATAGCATTTTGGGGGACTCGCCATTTCTGATCAGGGGTACTCTTGAGAGATCTCATGTTTCAGTTTGCTGTTACTTGAAGCGAAGCAAAAAGACAATGTTAATGAATTAATGAAACGGCAATAATGTCTGGGGAGACTCGAGATAATTCCGTTTTCACTCTGAAAAAACAATGCCATTGTTGTGAACTGACCTTGCTAGTGGCATGGATTCTGAGCAACTCGATCGTGTCAAAAGCCGACAGAATCCAACAGAAATAACCGGCGAATGGAACTTTGAAGGAGATGGTTCAAAATAAAGCTTCTGTCTCGGAATGCTGCAAGCCACGACTATCCATAGTTGACTTACAGGTTCTGGTTCTTGAACTGATGAACAGGAACACGGCCTTGTAGCCGAGACGCGCGACATCACGTGCCAGTCTGTTCTGGCTCGAGTCTGCGAGTCTGGCCAAACCACCCCACTTCCCATCCGCAGCCCCTGACAACGTTCAACCAATGGCCGGAAAGTAAACAAAGTGGGGGAGAGCTGCAACCGTCCGATTCCTGTTCCTGCACCTGGAATCCACACGCCGGCGCCTTGAATCCTCGAATCCTCGAATCGACAATACCTCCCTACACTCAGGCATCGACGACCATGGCATCCGCAGCCCCCGAAAAGGACAAATCCAAGGTGCACAAGCTGTCACTCAAGGGCAGCGCCAAGCTTGTGGCCGAGTTTGTGAGTGCGACGGCCAATCTGCCCATCAACCACTTCATTACTAACCGCTCCCTCCTTTGCAACAGTTCCAATACTCGATCCACACGATCCTGTACGGCCATCCCAATCCCCGCGCCCGGACTGACGACCGACCACTTCCGCATACACAAAGCTGACCATTGCCCGCAGCTTCCAACGCGGCGTCTACCCCGCTGAAGACTTCACCGCCGTCAAGAAGTATGGGCTCAACATGCTGGTGTCGTCCGACGACCAGGTGCGCGCCTACATCAAGAAGATCATGTCGCAGCTGGACAAGTGGATGGTGGGCGGCAAGATCTCCAAGCTGGTCATTGTAATCACCGACAAGGACACGGGCGAGCACGTCGAACGGTGGCAGTTTGATGTAGGTCCCTCCCCTCCCTCCCACCACCTTGGTTTCCCACCCATCACGCCAACACACCACACACCACGGCACCAACGCTAACCCATTCTGCCCTCACCCCCAACCAGGTCCAAATATTCGCCAAACCCAAATCCAAGTCCTCCAAATCCAAAAAACCCACCGCCCCCAAACCCACCGACCAAGAAAACAACAACCCCCCCTCAGAAAACACCCCCACCACCACCGAACAACCAGAAGCAAAAGAAAAGACCGAAGCCGAGATCCAATCCGAGATCGCCGCCATCTTCCGCCAGATCACCGCGTCCGTCACCTTCCTCCCGCAGCTCCAGGGCGGCGACTGCACCTTCAACGTGCTGGTGTACGCGGACGCGTCGTCCGAGGTGCCCGTCGAGTGGGGCGACAGCGACGCCAAGGAGATCGCCAACGGGGAGCGCGTGCAGCTGCGCGGGTTCAGCACGCAGAGTCATCGGGTGGATACGTTGGTTAGTTATCGGCTGGCGGATTGAGGTGGGTTGGTTGGGGGTGGTAGAGAAGGGGGGGGTGAAGGAAGGGTGGATAAAAGGGAGAAGGGGGGCGGGGGGTTGTATGATAATGCGTTGTGCGGTGGGCTTGGGCGGAGTTTGGGAGTTGGAAGGATACTGCTACTGCGGTGGATAGATGGATATATGGGACGGTGAATCTGGGATGCAAGGTGGGAATCATGATACTGGACCACGCAATGATGTTTTTTTGGGGGCATCGAATCTACATGTACCGTGCTTGACGCGCTCTTCTCCATCCTCTATGGGTTAACTCCCTAGCATGGGACGGCCATTGCACTGGTTGCCACTCCCCAGCACAATCCATTCCGTGTCTACACCCGTCGGAAGAAGTACACATAAGCAAACTTCTTCATCTCCTCCACGTCCACCACCTTGACCACCTTCTCGTCGTTGAAGAGCACCCATGACCTCCCGTCGCGAAGCTCCTTGCGGATGAACGCAACGTAGTGCCTAGAAAGTCAGCCCAAGTCCCCCTCAAGGAATCCAACAATCAACTTACCCAGTATGGATACTCGTCCCCTTGTGGCACACAATCGACTGGAGCTGGAAGTTGGCCGGCAGCGCACTGCTGCCTACCGCGGGGCCACCCTTATTCGCGCTCTCCGCGACATCGGCACCGGCAGCCTCTTCGACCTCGCCCTGGTCATCGGGGTGGCTAAACAACCACTCAATCGCCCGCTCAACGTCCCCGTTGGTCTCCTTGAGCGCCTTGGTTGCGCGCGGGCCGCCGAGGCCCATCGACTCCAGCATCGCAAGTTGTTCGGGGTCGGCCGTGAACGCGGCACTGCCGCCGCCAAGGTCGAGCGGCGCGTCGATATCCGGGTCGTCCATGTGCGCAAACAGCCACTCCATCGCCGCGTTCGCATCGCTGTTGCCGGTGGCATGGAGCGCCTTCTCGCACCGGACCTTGGGGAAGCCCATCGCCTCGAGCATGGCGTATGCCTCCGGGTTTGGCACGAACGCCGGCACGTTGCTCGCGGCCGCCTCCTCCGGTAGGGCCTCCTCGTCGGGTAGCAGGCCCTTGGAGAGATACGAATCCAGAGGGAAGGGCTCATCCCCGACCAAAACGGGAACATCGACCTTGACGGGCACCCAGTTCACCACGGCCATCTTCCGCGCGTTCACAACCAAGACCTCGGGGAACGTCTTGAACAACTGGCGCTTGGTGAAGCCGTCCTTGCTGCCGCACGACGAGCAGGTCAGCTCAACCATCTCCGGCGCAGTCAAGTTGTCGAGGCATTCCTTCAGGTTGACGGGCTTGTATTTGGGTTCCTGGCCTTCCTCAGCTGGTAGTTTCTCGAGCGGCACGTCGATGAAGATGCTGTCCTGCTCCGTGCTGCTGTAGCGCACCTTCTTACACCCCAGGCATTGCAGCCGCTGCTCCATCACAAAACGCATGGCCCCAGTGGGGTCACTGATTCCGGGAGGGTGTTGGGACCTGGTAATGAGTTTTATGAGGTGTTGCAGGAGCTCAAACGCGTCTTGCTGGCGCATCGTCGAGAACTCTTCGTGACCGCGGCCCATAAGGTGCTTGAACATGGAAGGCTGGAGGCCCTTCTGATGCGGGACTTCGGGCGAGTGTTCCGAAACAGTCACGTCCGAATCCGGCCTGGAGTAGCGGCTGGACAGCAAACCGTCCGCGATCTTCCGTAGCTGGGTCTCCAGATCCTGAGCGGGGTCCGACGAGTCCGGGGGCAAGTCATAGTCGCCCCCATACCGTCGCTGGAAGGACGGCAGGTCGAACAGACACTGGAGAATGCTAGCGAGGTAGCAGCTGTTCCCGAGGTTCTTGAGGCCCGTAAGGCCCGGGCCAAAAAGCGGCGTTAGCTCCTTGCCATCGTCGGTCGTCATCGAAAACTCCCACCGCAGATTCTGCTCGATCTGCATCTCGGTCAAGCTCTTTTCGGTTTTCTGCCGCTCCGCTAGGATGATGCCCCAGTTTTCCAGGTGCGCGCCGAGGTCCTCGTCGACCCGCTCGTCGTCGCAGGTATAGCAGTACACATCCGCGGTCCCCTCGGGCGTGATCGACCCTAGCTTCACAGCAACACCGTGGGCGGATTCCTGGGAATGCGCAAGGGCATGCGAGTTGCCGCCCACGCCGCCAAACTGGGCCCGCCCACATCCGAGGTTACCACACTGCAAGCACAGCCAGAGGTTCTCCTTCAAGTCGCACTTGGAGCAGTGCCCCAGATCCTGCGACTCGATCTGCCGCGGAGGGTCCTGCTGGAGCATCAAAATATGCTCACAGCTCGTCAGCTCCTGCTCCCACGCCTTGACCTCCTCTTTCCTGGAGAATGTGTTTGCTTTCATGATAGCCTCCACCGTTGCGGCAATCGTGGGGTCGCTCTTGTCGATGTCATCGATCCCGCACTCGCGGCACCTGACGGTCAGCGCCGTGTCGTAGCGGTCGGCTTCGGTCTCGGCGGCGATAGCGAGCTTCGACATTTTCGTTGGGGGCTCGTCCCTGACAACATGTTTGCGGGTTCGGCGGATGTTGAGGACTAGCGGATGATCCCTGATACTGCTGTGCAGCTTCGCGTGGTGGCGGTCGCCGGCGCAACCGCCGTTGAAGCACTTGAGGCAGACATCCAGGCCGGCGGGGTCATCCTAGGCGTGTTAGCTAACACTAAAAGAGACGTCAAATAGTCGCGGTACGCACAATGGAATCGAAACACTGGGTGCAGTCCTCGCGGTACACCGAATCAACTGGTGTCGGCTTAGATAGGTCTAGCGACATGTCAGCGCACGCGATTCAATAAATAGAAGTAAGGTGACCTACTGGCTGCTCCAATATGTGGGCAAGCCATGTTGAATATTCAGGCACTGTTGACACGGGATACTGAAAGTCAAGTTGGTGCGAAGCGAGAGGCCGATATTGCATAAAGCTTGAACTGTCCCTGCCTGGTGGTCGCGGTGGGCACGAGCTGGCAACAGCTGAGACGCGGGGCAATGACAGGCAACAGCAGCCCCGCGATGATGCAGCTGCGGCAACAAGCAAGGATTACGAAAGCAGAAAGGGAAAGATCAAGGGTATTGGGTGGATCCCAAACGGCTGGGCTGCCCAGAAGGCACTGTGCCGAATTCATCCTTTGATATGTCTTTGTACTGTGTCGTTAAAATGCCTCCCCTCAACGGGATCGTGGAATGCTAAAAGGCCGCTTTTCGGCCCAAGGCGGCGTTGCACGAAGCGCCCAGGCATTTCCGTGACAAACCTCTTCCCATCCTCCAGCTCGGTGTCCGTTATCAATCAATCTTATCTCCGCGGATGGTCCGGATTTGCCGACGTCGGCATATGTATGACGCCCCATTCGCCGAGCCCGCTCGGATGCTGGATGGCTCCGCCCTTGCTAACTGACTCAACGAGATAAAGCCGTGATTGGGACCCGCCTTTGTTAGCCAGCTCGGGCCAACCCCAGCCGGAAATCGCCCCTTCGAGCGTCATGGCCCGGGGTCAAGTCCCGCATCCCCAGGAACTTTTTGGCTTGTTCACATCTTCCTCAATCCAGCAAACAACGCCAGCACTCAAGACTTGATATCGACATCCAAACCGGATTTCGACATCGCGACACCGACAGCCTGCGTTTCGAACGACACGACAGATTCCACAGCACTCAAAATGTTTTCGAGAACCGTCCGCGCAGTGTCCCGCCGAGCTCTGGCAACCTCGGTGCGCCCTATCGCCGCCCCAGTCTCCCGACAGATTGCGCCCTTGGTCGCTCAACCACCAAGGCGGCAGTACCACGAGAAGGTCCTCGATCGTACGTCCCCCACTCGCGCCCTTTCAATTGCCGCGCAGCCCCCCGATGGTTAAAACCCCGCTAACGCTCACCGTGGCAGACTACTCCCGCCCGCGCAACGTTGGAACATTAGACAAGTCCGATACCTCGGTCGGCGAGGGGTTGGTCGGCGCTCCGGCCGTATGTGACACCCCAAACCTGCAGATTTACCGAATAAGCATTAACCTAGCGATACCGACAGTGTGGCGATGTGATGCGGCTTCATATCAAGGTCGACCCCGATACACAGGTCATCAGCGACGTGCGGTTCAAGACCTTCGGGTGCGGCTCTGCGATGTAAGAACCTTTTTTCTTGCGATCTAATCCGAGTCCAAGCTGCGCTCGCTCACCGGGCTGCACATGGACTCCATGGTGGCTTTTCTATGGTTCTTTCCCCATGGCGGGTGTCAGCGCAACACCAAGCGAAAGGGACCTCTACCCGGTCCTCCCAAGCCCAGCCCTCCATTCCATGTTTCAGGCCATAACTAGCCGAATCGTTGCTGACTTTTCTCCAGCGCCTCGTCGAGCTACCTAACAGAGCTGGTCCGTGGCATGACGCTCGACCAAGCCGCCAAGGTTAAAAACACAGAGATTGCCAAGGAGCTTGTACGTTGACATCGCGCTGACACCGTTTATGTCACATCGTTAACAGTTTTCCAGTGCCTGCCGCCAGTCAAGCTCCACTGCAGTATGCTTGCCGAGGATGCGATCAAGTCGGCCATCAACAACTACTACACGAAGAACCCCGCCGTGAAGACCACCAACCTCGCAGGGACGGCCGCTAAGCTCGAGACGGCGACGGCGGCGTAAGCCGATACAAATCTAAGATGTTGCACAAAAAGACAAGAAAACCCTAAAGCAAAAAAAACAAGGGGGCGAAATACTGAAAATGGCTTTCTTCGCGCTGATTGCAGCTTGTTAGCGCCCGCGAGGTTTCCTTTCTCTTGAATCAGGCTCCAGCGATGGCCGGCATTCAGGTACCGTGGTGGAGTTTAGTGGGCTCGTGGTTTAGGGGGCGTGCAATGGGTGTCTACAATGCGCGGTCTCTCCGCTTCTTTTGCCTCGCGGGTGGAATTGACAGTGTATGTATGATACCATGGCGTTTTGAGAAACCCAGATTGGAACATAACATTCCCCAGTGTATGCTACACTTGGTTGAAATACTGGATATAAACCTCGAGCCGTGAGCTTGCAAGTACCTCTTAGGAAGTCTGCCATTGTGTGGCACAAGTAGCGCTCTGGTCATTGCACCGTGTCGGATGGCAGCCTCGTGGGCTTTCGTGCCTGCCTCCTCATTCTAGTCAAGCACCAAGCTTTCTATACCTGCCTCTTAAGAGGCAACCGCCGAATCCTTAAGAAAAGGAAATAATACACTCGGTTGTGACCCGCCTGTAGAGCGGCCGTTGCCGACACGCTAAAGATCACATTCCATTTTCTTTCAGGCAAGCGTTAACTCAGAAGTTCCTCACCAACATTTGGGATGACAGATCTTTAGCAAATTAGGATACTGCTATCACCGAATCCGGTACCGAAGCCGGCGCATCGTCATCCCTCCAAGCGGTGACGAAGAGGCTGGGCAAGAGGTGTGTTCGGGGTCTCCTCAGAATCCAAAGACTACCAAAACTCTGCAGATTGAAGGAAATATATCATTATGCAACATTGTCAAGGACTCGGTCTCGTTTCCAGTAGGGGAGGTTGCCTTAGGTATGGTGCTGAGCTTGCGGATCTACCACTGCCCGGCATCGAGGTACTCGACGCAGGAGTGGTAAAGAAACCATATGACGGGAGACGGTTAGACAACGTCGAAATTTCCGGGGTTACGGGACAACCGATTTAGAATTAACTGGGCAAAGATAAGAGAACCCCGATGTGGTAGTAATGTATAGGTAGGTACTATTCCTTTATTGGAACTTTTGTAAATCTGGAGCTCACCGGATGGAGAACACAATGTTACTTAACTAGGAGGTAGGATGCTACCGGGCAGTGGCCTCGAGATTGAACACCCTGAATGGGATCAGTGGCTCCAGCACGTTACCTGGGTGGCGGGCGAGCATTTGGGATTTGGCAAGACACAACTTGTCCCTCGGCTGCGAAGCCTCTGCATCTGGGAGCAGCCAAAAGTGAGTTGTAGGGGTGCGGGCTCTGTGCCGAGAGCGAGGAGTTGGAGGATGAGGAGGGTCAGTTCCAGTTATGATGTTGCTGGGAGGGGGGGCGATGAGTTGCCAGCGGTGTGTTTTGAGCTTGGCTGCCGGCACGAGGACAACAGAGGTTTTTCTCCGGACTTGGGCCTGTTTCACCGCATTCCACCCGCACCCTCGTTCCCGGGACCCGACCTTTCTCCTGTGGCGGTGTCCTGACTGGTTTGGTAGCGCCTGCTGCTTGTTCTGCAGAAGGAGAGCGAGTAGACGGCTTCGTCTCTCCCCCTTCGGTTTCACTTTCACGTTCCTACCGGATGTTTGCACCGGTGGTTCGCGCGCAGATCGGAGAGAAGGGTTTCGATGGAGCTGGGCTTTGATTGCTTTTGGCGTCCTGGGGACCAGTTGCCTGGCGGGGCTTGTCTGAGGAAACCAGCAGCGTTGTATGATAGGCTTAAGCAAGCAGCCTCCGTACTAAGTAAGCAATGTGTTACTTGACCGGTCAGAGAGCCCGGAGCCACGACCGACCTGCTTCTCCAACCATAACTCGATATCGGTTTGGAGTTCGCCTTGCGTGACATACCGTAAACCTGAGCACTACTACAATCATACGACTTCCCTACCAAGACCGCATGATCTTGTGTTTCGTTGGGCGCATTGTGTACACCTTTCCCGCACCGGTATTGCGTGGGGGTCTAATGAATGATACTTGGTTGAGAGTTGAGTACCTATTCGTATACTATCTTAATCGTGCACAGTCTAATAGTATTAACCGGAGTTACAAGGTGGTGCTAGGCTCGGTACGCATTCCGTATTGTCCTCATATCCCACTTTGTGTCCAACTTTTACATTTGTACCTAGTATTTTGAGCTCGGTCTAGAAGCCATCTAGCTTATTGTAAGCTGTGGTCGGTCATGGTCTCGAGGGCGGTGGTCATGGGACTTTTTGTGAGGCGTTGTGGCGATTCAGCTGGGGAAGCAATGTCGTGTGTCCATGTCTGGGTTTCGTATGGTCAGCCGAGGTGGTCAAGATCTGGTAATCTCCGCTATTGGTGATCCGTTCCGCCGGCAACGCCGTGCCAACATCCAACTCACACGGAAGGCTCTGGGCCAAGGTCCAGACTTGTCAGGAAATTTGAAAGAGGTGGAAGGAATTGAACCTGACACTTGGCCAAAGAAACAGCTGCGGTGACATCACCGAACAAAGTTATCCAGTGTTGGTTCGCCGGTCTTTGTAGCCCAGATATCAGGATAGACAGGTTTGTAGTGGCAACTTGAGTCAGCCGGATCCCTGTGGCACTTTCCATCTATAACTCGAACAAAGGATAGAGGAAGTAACAATGGGTTGTTTGGGTGACCGTGACGCCGTCACTCGGCGTGCCTTCACGGCTTCACTTTGCTGTTGTTCTTCGATGTACTCGTGCTTTGACCGATGTATTGTATTCATAAGACCTATTTCACCAAGCGGAATGATGCTCCCGTATCCCTATAAAACACTTCTACCTTGATTACTACGGTGGTAGCATATCCCTTTATTCTACACCACTCAAATAGTCTTAACAACATACACCAAGCGCTAAACATGTCTATCAACTGGGGCGGCATCGAGTCCGCCGGCTTGACGGGTTCCACCCAAAAGACCGGTACCGGGGGCTTCCGTGCCATACACCTCGACTTCCGGGTACCCCTGGCACACAACGACCCGAAATGCCAGGAAACGATACGGCTTCAGGCGGACCTCGTCTACGGACACGGCGGATCTGGTACCACCGGGTATACTCCCGACCTAGCCGGTGTCCTAAGTTCCCTCACATCCCCCCTCTGCCCGAGCGGCACAGCGCCCGTCGCCGTCTACCTCTGCGGCGGGCCGGGTTCCGGCAACCCAGCTTTCGCATACCCCGAGCTGACAAGCACCCTCCTCGACAAGATGGAGACCCCCGTGCTCTACCTCGACTACCGCGGCACCGGGGGCAGCGATCCCATCACGGCGTCCAAGTTGGAGGGGCTCAGGCCGAAGGATGCGGCGCGTCAACTGATGCTCTACCGACAGGACTCCATCGTGGCGGATCTCGAGGCGGTACGGCTCCGCCTGGGCAAAGTCTGCCAGAAGAATGTCAAGTTCGCGCTGGTGGGGCAGTCTTTTGGCGGGTGGATCGCCATGACTTACTTGTCTTTTTTGCCGGGCAGTCTGGCCGGGGTGTGGCTGACTGGTGGGATGCCGGCGATCGGGAAGACGCCTGACGAGGTGTACAAGGCGCTGTATAAGCGGCTGGTCCGCGCGAATGAGAGGTACTATGCGAAGTATCCCCAGGACGTGGGACGGGTGCGGGAGGTTTTACACTCTCTCGCGGCGGCAAATCGCGGACAAGGCCTCATCGCCGATGACGGGCAGAGACTAACCCCGCGGGGATTTCTGACCATGGGGCGGCATTTTGGGCGCGGCGAGGAAGGGTTTGCGGAAGTCCACGCGCGGGTGAGGTCGCTTCTCGACCCCAACATGGTTGATCATGGAAGGACCGATGACCCGGACGTCGGGGGATTCAAACTGCCGGAGAGGCCGCTCTATGCCGCCCTGCACGAGGCGATTTATTGTTGTGGCCCTGGCGTGGCGTCCAAGTGGGCGGCGCAGTATATCGGGAAGCAGCAAACGGGTGGGCATTTTGCGTGGCTCGACAGCGATTTCAAGTTCGAGCGCCCCTCCTCTAACACACCCGACCCATCCACAGCGCTCTACTTCTCGGGGGAGATGATCCACAGGTTCATGTTGCGGGAAGCCGGACCGGCGATGCAACCTGCGTTCATTGAACCGTCCGAGATACTTGCGCAGTGCAAGTCCTGGCCGGCGCTCTACGACACAGTAGCGCTGAGAAGAAACACAGTACCCCTACGAGCGTTAATGTATCCCGAGGACTTGTTCGTCGACTTTGATCTGTCTCGGGATGCGGCAAACGGCGTGAGGAACTGCGAACAGATCTATGCACCGTCCCACTGGGCCCATGCCGATATCAAGAAAAGAAGTCGCGAGGTATGTGATCTGCTTTTTAGCAGAGAATACACAAAACGCACATAATTGTGAACGCGCATGGACTAGGAAGTCAGGTTCAGCATTCGGGGGGACGCCAAGCCTGGAGAGCCCCTTTTTGGTGTTTGTTGACTTCCCCCTAGTTACTGCGTATATGCTTTTCTACTACTCGAGCATGGCTCGGCAGGACCGAGAAGCGGAAAGAAATTAACAGCGCATAGTGGCTAAAGACGACCATTATAATCATTCAGGTACCTACTGGACAATCAATACTAGACACTACCTTAACTGAACACTTTTTTGTTGTGATTTCCCCCCCATGACATGGTGTTGATGAGTCCACAGTTCCGGATTGGGCACTTACACTTACGCAATTGCACACCGTGTGGGCTTTTTCCACCCCCGCCATTATGGGGAAGCACATGGGCATCATTTGGCTGATTTACATTCCTACAAATGGGGTTTGGACGACTCGGCACTGTTCCTTTTGGACTCTTATAACCACCGGTCCACCCTTTACTTTACCAATTGTAAATTTCGATCTTTAAGTAGTGCCTGGGTTCTCCCGCGATGTATGGCACTGTGCCAGATATTGAATTCCTTGCTACTAACACAGTGTTTCTCATTGATTCCCAACTCGTGCCCAGACTTGACGCTCGGAACACTTGGTGGTAATAAGAGGCTCAGACCCAGAGATATGAAAGAGAAATTAGTATCACCAAAGGAAGAAAATGTAGAGTCCGCAGCCGCTGTTAGCCGGGGAGCTGGTAGGAGACGCGCTATTTAACCATCACGTGGTGGGCGCGATCTTTGGGCGGATCCCAATTTTTGGTTGAGATGAATCGCACACTAGTTACCGGAATTGGAATTGGGCAACGGGCCGCAACAGAGCTCCGATCTTGCACCGACAAACGACTCACCCACAACACAGCACAGATAGCATAACACCATCGCAGCCATGGCTCCCACAGATGCACCCACGCTCCTCTGGGGCGGCCGCTTTACCAGTATGGATATTCCAATTCCGAGGGCGACCCCGCGTGCAGGATATTTTAGCTGACCACCCCACTTCGCAATGGTCCAGGCGCGATCGACGATCTGATGTTCCAGTTCAACGAGTCACTCTCGTTCGACAAGGTGTTCTAGAAGGCGATCTCCACGGTTCTATTACCTGGGCCAAGCCATGCGCAAGCTCGACATCCTCACGGACGATGAGCTACAGCAGATTGTAGGGCGGCTGCAGCAGGTGGAGAAGGAGTGGGAGGAGGGCAAGTTCGTCATTGACGCCAAGTCGGACGAGGAAATCAGTGCTGGCCATGCTCAAGATCCACGGCGACAAGATGAAGGCCGCCCTGACGGACGACATGCTGGCCACTGACATCGCCGACTACCTCGTCCGCAGGGGCGTGCCCTTCCGCCAGACGCACCACATCGCCGGCGCCATCGTGCGCAAGGCTGAGAAGGCCGGCGTGTCCATCCCGGCGCTGCCGCTCGGGGATCTCAAGGAGATCTCGCCGTTGTTCGAGGACGACGTCGCGCAGGTATTTGACTTCAGGGGTCTACGTTTCGCGGCACCAGCAGCAGCTCGGTGCTGGCGCAAATTGCGGCGATTGAGGCTTTCGTGGGGAAGAATTAGGCATCTTGTCTGCTTCACTTGGCCCGCAGTGGGTCCAAGTCGTGTGTGCGCTGGGAACCAAAACAAGGAGTGACCTTGGATGACAGATGACATGCATGAAATGGGGCTGCGAATGGGCGAAGGACGACAAAAAATAATAGACAAGACGGGCCAGGCTTGTGGCAGTTTGCATGACAAGGGAGGTCTGTTGTTGGCTTCTGTTGTTGACATTTGCAGCCTGAAGCTGCACAATTCGAAGCACCTTCTCGGGTTGGCTCTCGCACGGCCAATGCGTGTCGTTGTGGGCTGTCAGCAGGGAACTGGGCGCTGCATTTGGCGGTGAGAAAACGGCCGCGTCTGGAACCGTGCCGGCGTTCTGGCCGCCGATTGGTGACATCATCCGGGGTTGTGGGACGAAAGCCGCCGATTGCCGCTCCTCTGGCTTTGTTTGACCACCCAAGAGTTTGGAGGAGTTGGAAGTTTCACGTTCCACTTCCATTTTCACCCATCCTCCACCTTTCGATGATCGACCACCGTTGACTATCCCCTTCACATCCACCATGTCCGACAATAGGGCAACATCACGAGACCGACGGGACACAGAAGCCCAAGCCCAGGTTGTCGCTGAACATTTGCCACCAGGCTACACAGCCGAGTTTCACAGTGCACCCGGGAGTACAGATGGCACCACGCCGGCTTCAGTCTCGGGATCGGGATCCGAGGTTACCCCTATTCCGGAAGGGGAGTCGTCGTTGAAGTTGCAGGGCGGCGACATACACCGGGATCTCTTCAAGCTGCCCTCAGCAACCCGCGTCCCAATGCACCGCCGGGCCGCAACTTTCCACTCGCCCAGGGACCTCCACGCCGACGATGACGCCCCACCCTTGACCGTCGGCGACCAGCTCGCTCCGGGAGGGTTCCGCCGCGCCTTTCTGCATCAGAGGCATGGGAACGATTTCATGGCCGCTAGATTGCCCATCACGCGCAATTTCGTCGAGTTTCTCGACCTCTACGGCAGCTTTGCCGGCGAAGACCTGGTCGACACCGACGAGGAGGCCGTCACCGAGGAGGAAGAGGAGGGGGAGGAGGGGGAGGAGGGGGAAGAAGGAAGAGACGAAGAAGAAGCCGGCGAGCGGCGCCCTCTCCTTCGCCAACGCATCAGCTCCGTCCGGGCCCCGCGCTCCGCCAACGCCGGTACCGTCAAGACCTTCTTCACCCTGCTCAAAGCTTTTATCGGCACCGGCATCATGTTCCTGCCCAAGGCCTTTCGCAACGGCGGCATCTTATTCTCCACCGTCGCTATGCTTTCCGTATCCATTGTCACCATGGTCGCCTTCCACCTCTTGCTACAATGCAAGCTCCATTACGGCGGCGGATATGGCGACATCGGAAACGCCATCGCCGGACCGCGGATGCGCACCCTCATCCTCTTCTCCATTGCCCTGTCCCAGCTGGGCTTCGTTTGCGCGGGCATCGTCTTCGTCGCCGAGAACCTCATGAGCTTCTTCGACGCCGTCACCGGCGGCCAAAACCCCTTCACCTCGGCGGGCCTGATCACCCTGCAGCTCATCATCCTAGTCCCGCTCGCCTGGATCCGCAACATCTCCAAGCTCGGCCCCGTGGCCCTCCTCGCCGACGCCTGCATCCTCGTCGGCGTCAGCTACATCTACTCGTACACCAGCACCTCCCTCTCCACCGTCGGCGTCGACCCGACCGTGGTACTCTTCAACCCGAGCCACTACACCCTCACCATCGGCGCGGCCATCTTCACCTTCGAAGGCATCGGCCTGATCCTGCCCATCCAATCCTCCATGGCCAACCCGCACCACTTCGAACCCCTCCTCGGCCTGGTCATGTTCCTCATCACCGTCGTCTTCACGTCGGTCGGCGCGCTGTGCTACGCCACCTTTGGCGAGAAGACCGAGATCGAGATCATCAACAACTTCCCGCAGGACAGCCCGCTCGTCAACTCGGTCCAGCTGCTGTACGCCATTGCGGTGCTGGTCGGCACGCCCGTGCAGCTGTTCCCCGCGCTGCGCATCATCGAGGGCAAGATCTTTGGGCACATGCGCTCGGGCAAGGGGAGCTTGCGGACCAAGTGGGTTAAGAATCTGTTTCGGTTTGGGGTGGTGGTGTTTTGTGGCCTGGTGTCGGTGGTGGGCACGGGGAATCTGGATCGTTTTGTTGCGTTGATTGGGAGTGTGGCGTGCGTGCCGCTGGTGTATGTGTATCCGGCGTTTTTGCATTTTAAGGGGTTGGCTACCAAGCGGTGGGTGAAGTGGGGGGATCTGCTGTTGATGGTGGTTGGGTTGGTTGGTATGGTGTACACCACTACGGTGACGGTGGTGACCAGCTTTTTGTGATCGTGATGAGCATGACCGTGAGCGGGTGTATGTGCATGGGGAATGGGCGTTTTTCTTTTTGGGATTTCATGCATACGTGGAAGTTACAAGTTGGATTTGGATGGTACCTAGGGTAGAACAGACATCCGGGCCTGTTTTGATATGTGCACGGCTCTGGTTACCCCTTGGATCACTGGCCCGCCCATTCCCCCCCTCCCCCTGATTCCCGTGGCTGATCGTAGTACCGAGAACTAACTGTAGATGAATACGGCTCACGAGCAGCAGCGTGCTGCGGTAAGATCGCTTTCCAGTATCGGTCGATGTACAGAATCCGAAGTGCTTGGCTAACATCTACCTTCCACAGTTGTCCGCATCACAAACGGTGTTCTCATGGATGTACTTGATCTTGCCCCCTTCGACCCTGATCAAGTTGTTTGTCTGTGTGCCCGGGTCCCGCGGGATCGACTGGTCAAGGAAAGGGAAGTTGTGGAAGATATCGATGGCCCCGAGTTCCTCGTCGATGGTGTACCGCCGGTTCGTGACGTTGAACGGCGGCGGGAAGTTCAGCAGACATTTCCCACCCGAGATGTAGGCGCCGCCCTCGAGGCGGGAGCAGTCCTCGGTGAAGGGCACCTCGATGGTGTCGTCGCCCCACGCGTCGATGTACGCCTGGCCCGCCGCCATGATCACCTCGCGGGAGTCGCGGTCCGCCTCAGGGATGGGCTCCCAGATTTCTTGCTCGTTGTAGTCCAGGGAGCCCTGCGCGTCGAACAGCCAGTCGCCCGTCTCGCAGACGACTGACTCGATCTTGTAGATCTCGTTGTCCGCGTTCAGCGCCAGGCGCGTCCCGATCACGTATGGGTGGCCCGTCGTGGCGACGATCTCGGTGTACGACGCGCACTCGGTCGTGTCGTAGATGCTGCGATCGAAATCGATCTTGATGGCGGCTGATAAGATGCCTTCGGCGATGTCCATGTCCGCGTCGTTCTCCTGGTAGATGACGTCGTCTTGTGCCAGGTTCGAGATGCCGGCCGGGCCCTCGCCGGAGCTAAGCGCTGCGACATAGCTTGCGGTGACTTCCTGGAGGAAGGCCCGGGTGCATGCGGCCGATGCTTGTGAGGAGATACCCGCAACGGCGAGGAGAAGTAGAGAGATCATGCTGTATGTTTTGCTTAACACCTGGCTAGTTGGAGTGTGTTTCTTGGATGCTAGTATCTACAATAATCTAGAACCGATTCATACCCCAGGGACCTCGCCATTCTAATGATGGTCCTCGGATGATAAAGTAGAGCCTGTAGAGGGGTTCGGGTATTTCCCCAACCTCGAGCCGTTCTAATTTATTCTGCCGGCTTTATGACCTTCTCCGGTAGTTGTGGGAGCCCAGGACTCGACCTACGGGAACTTTAGCCGTCATCATTGCGGGATGTCGCCTCGGGTTGAAGTGCCTATTGTTTGGTTCCACGAATCATTGGGGAACGTTGGCCAGATTGTAAGTGTGTCGAGACAGAAAATGATGCAGGCATCCGAGGGTGTTTGTTCCGGGCAAGGGAGTTAGACCCCATGGCACCGCAAATGGAATGCGGTAACTAGGCTCATACTTGATCGTTTCCAGCACAAGCTGGACAAGAGCATCAACTCCAAGCATAACCCCAGTGGGAATCGGTGGCGATAAGTGCCCGTGGCCCCACACACTCGTTGGGTCTTTCGGCCATCCCGCAGCCAAGGGGGCCAGGCCCGCCGAGTGGGAAGGAGGTCCGAGCAAACAGGGATCTTGGTTCGATAATAACTCAAACAACACATCAATTTCCTCTGACACGACTTGCCCATTCCGTAACCCTACTATTCAACGACAAAAGCCGACAGCCATGGTTACCTGGCGCCCAATGACCGAGAGCGACATCCCGGGCGTCATGCGCGTTGCTAACGACATCCACCGCGACCTGCCCGAGCACGAGCCTATCTTCCTCGAGAGATTGAAGCTCTTCGCTGAGGGTTGCATGGTGCTTGTTGAGGCCGACGGCGAAGAGGTCGGGGGCTACATCGTCTCATTTCCTGTCCGTCGTGGCAAGCCTCCTGCCCTCAACGAGCTGCTGGGGGTGATTCCGCAGGACGCCGACCAGTACTACCTGCATGACATCGCCATCTTGCCGGGGTTTCGTGGCCGGCGGGCTGCGGCGGAGGGTATCGGGCGGACTTTGGAGGTTGCTCGGCGGTATCCGACGACGTGTCTTATTTCGGTTTACGGGACTGTCCCGTTCTGGGCTCGATTTGGGTTTTCCCCTGAGCCGGTTGATGCTGCCATGGAGGAGAAACTGCGAGGTTACGGACCCGGTGCCACGTACCTCACACACCAGAACGGACCATAGAAAACCCACTTCTTAAGGCTTTAAGGCGAGGTAGCTTCACCTGTCTTGTTCGAGCCAAGACTTGGAAGATCTCAAACGCGACGAAGAGGTTTTGTTGGGTGTCGAACCTTTCCGGAAACGCCTTGATACCGTCAAGCAACTCGAGTCCAAGAACATCGGTGCGGCTGAGAGTGCGCTCAAGATTCAGAATGAACTGTTCTTAATGGGTAAGCATTCAAACTTGAGACAATTCACAAATAGTTTCGATGACGGGATTACTAACTCAGAGTCTCAGTCTAACTGAGGTATTGCAGATTTCCCTCCCAGCAAGACCCATGTAACTTTGGGGCTCATGCACATTGGCCCAAGTTGGGCTCACAACTGCCTACCTAAGGTACCTATATCGTCGACAAGTTCTGCCCGCAAGGTGTCCAACATGACCGAAAGCAAATGGTGGAGCGTCAGCTTTGGAGAAGACCGGTTTTTGGAGAGGCTTCGCTAGTTGGCCAAGCCAGAGATGAGGGATCTTCTTTCTTTGTTCAAGTCGGTCCGTGACGGATTCATACATCTAAGCACAATTGCAACATATAATATACATTCGCTGCCTCACGGCCACTTGTTTTGCCCTTGAACGACGAGGTCTGAGGCACACAGGAAAGGTTGAAGATCACGTGCTCTACCACGTGACTCCCATTAACACACTGTCCCTTTTCAGTGACTCACCTTTTACCAACTCACCCTGTTTTCTCGCCTTCCTCGCCTTCCTCGCTCCTTCCACTTTTGACACCCGAAATCTACCCCGATCTGCTCTTAAACATCGGCCGATACTCCCCTTCCCAAGATGCCTTTGTAGGTTGCTTTGTTCAGTCGACCTGGAGCCATTTTGCCACGCGCAGAGCTAACTTGTCTCCTCGGCCCTCCTCTACAGCCTCAATGAACCCTGGAAGAAGTACAAGCCGTTCAAGGCAAGCCTTGTTCCTCCATCTTCTCGACTTTTATCTTTCAACTAACTTTGACCAGCCACCGCATTTGCCGAACCGGCAGTGGCCCGACAAAACCATCTCCAAAGCTCCTCGCTGGCTATCGTATGTTTTCCCAATCCACACTTTCAGTGCATGAGGTATCGCTAACATCGCCAAAGCTCTTGCCTCCGCGATGGCAACCAGAGTCTGCCTGATCCAATGGTATGCATCTTCTTGCCCCCCCTTCTTTGACCTCTGGTGAGCTAGCACCCTTACCTACGTCCCCGAACTGACATGGGCCGGTCAACAAACAGAACGGCGAGGAGAAGTGGCGCTACTTCAAAATGCTGTGCGACCTTGGTTACAAGGAAATTGAGGTCTCCTTCCCGTCTTCGTCCCAAATCGACTTTGACTTCACCCGCCGCTTGATTGAGACCCCGGGAGCCGTGCCGGACGACGTATGCCTGCAGGTCCTTTCGCCTTGCCGGCCCGATCTTATCCGGAGAACTGTTGAGTCGGTCCGCGGTGCGAAAAACGCCATCATCCACATCTATCTTGCTACAAGCGAATGCTTCCGGAAAGTTGTCTTTGGCTACTCGGAGGAGCAGGCCCTGGAGCTCGCCGTGGACTGCACTAAGCTGGTCAGGTCCCTGACTAAAGACAACCCTGAAGGTTCTGGAACTCGATGGCAGTTCGAATTCTCGCCAGAGTGCTTCTCCGATACAGATCCCGATTATGCCCTGAGGGTATGCCGAGCGGTGAAATCTGCGTGGGGCCCTAACGGAGAAACGGGGGACCAAATCATATTCAACTTGCCAGCTACGGTAGAGCTATCAACACCCAACGTATATGCGGATTTGATAGAGTACTTTTGCACCAATATCGGGGATAGGGAGGACGTGTGCGTATCGCTGGTAAGTTGTACCCTTCCCGTCGCCCAACGTCTGTATTATAGCCATGCTAACCATGTTTCGGCAGCATCCTCACAACGATCGTGGATGTAGTTAGTGTGTCCGATTCTATCGTTGTGGTGCGACTACTGACATGGTACAGGCATTGCAGCAGCAGAACTCGGTCAGCTGGCGGGAGCTGACCGTGTAGAAGGGTGTCTGTTTGGGTTCGTATTCTTGTCCTTTTTTGTCCCCCATGCTTTATGAGACAATACTGAACATTTCACAGCAACGGGGAGAGAACGGGCAATGTCGATCTCGTCACCCTGGCTTTGAACCTTTATACACAAGGTGTGAGCCCACAACTTGACTTCTCCCAAATGGACTCCGTCATCGATATGGTCGAATCTTGCACCAAGATCCCCGTCCACCAGCGTGCTCCCTACGGCGGCAGTCTCGTATTTGCGGCCTTCTCGGGGAGCCATCAAGATGCAATCAAAAAAGGATTCCAGAACCGCGTGCGTCAAGGCCTAGCCAGCGAAGAAAAGTGGCACGAGATGCCCTACCTGCCACTGGATCCCCAAGATATCGGTCGCAATTACGAGGCCATTATCCGCATCAACTCCCAGTCTGGAAAAGGGGGCAGTGCCTTTATTTTGCACTCGAAACTGCAGCTCGATCTGCCTCGCAGCCTTCAGGTCGCCTTCTCCAGCGTTGTCCAGCGCCGCGCCGAGGAGCTTGGACGCGAGCTACTGGCCAACGAGATTACCGAGCTCTTCGAGACAACCTATTTCCTCCACGAGAACCCTTGCCTTAGCCTTGTTGACTATAGCATCACCCCCGACCGATCACAGTCCCCGATGCCCTCCGCGCCGGGGAAAACGCAGGACACGAAGGACCTGAAACGTATCTTTGAGGGCGTCATCCTCATGAACGGTGAAGAGGTAAAGCTGCGTGGTCGGGGTAACGGACCAATCTCTAGCATGGCAGTTGCACTCAGGCACGTCGGCATTGACCTTGACGTTCACGACTACAGGGAGCATGCCATTGGTGAGGGCCAAGGTGTGAAGGCGGCCTCATATATCGAGTGCAGGCCTGCAGGCAGCAAGCAGACAGTCTGGGGCGTTGGCATCCACGAAGACGTGGTACACAGCTCGCTCCTCGCCCTGCTGAGCGCGGCAAGCAATGTAAGTGTCATCCGCGTGGATAGTAAAAGTGTGGGAAGGGAATAAGGACTTGATGGCTAACGACGATGCTCTCTGGGTTGCAGTTCATCACAAGCCAACCCACCACCGCTGCTGCTCCAGAGACCCCAACTCCCGTCTCCACCTAGCTACCTTAGGTACTTAGTCTAGTTGAAGTGCCTTACCAAAAGTTTTAAATGCATGCAAGGTGGAAGAAAAAGAAGTCCGATGATAACACACACTTCAAAAATAAAACATGAAGCTAGGCTCGCGAGGGTAACTGTTGACCGCGGTTGCTTGCTGCATCAGTCCCTTCTTCCATCCGTGGATCATACATGCTTCGAACCGCACCTTGGCTTGAAGTTGAGTCTCCCGGGCGTGAAATAGAGGTTGGGAAAAAGGGCTAACGTGATGGCATGTGGATTTGGCCCTCTCGCCGCCTGGTAAGTAATCGCGCAAAACACGTCCATAATACAACTAAACCCACGAATCCTGGACAAGACCCCCTTTCAAAACCGCAACCTCCCCGTTTGAAGGGCACACCACCGTCCCGTCTTTCAAGACCCGACACATCCGCAGCCCCTCTTCTGTCACCCAGTCCTGAGGCACAAAGAAATGTCGTGTCACATTAGGCTGGAAATCAGTTGTGCCGTCTCTCGCTGAGCTGTCCGACGTGAAGGTTGGACGCGGCAACGTGGTGGTGCAGAGCCAAAGCTGGCGGTCGAGGAACACCAGCAGACCGTCGGGGAGGATACCGAGTGGGTGGGTTATTCTCGAGGCGAGAGATGGCGGGATGGGAAGTGGCTTGATGCTGGGGATTTGGTCGGGCTCGAGCGGCGTGGGAGAAGATACTAGGCTGTCGGCGGTGCGGGAATAGACTTCTTTGCCTGAGAGGATTGCAAAACTGTATCGGGGGCTGTTGCGGACCATGGTGAACGTGCGGAGCAGGAGGTATCGGCGGCAGTGGTTGTCGAGGATGGCATCGAGGTTGACGGGTGGTTGGCTACCGTCGTCTATTCCAGGCGCAGAACTGGTAAGGTCGAGGGGGATTGAGGCTTTTTCTTCGAGGTGTTCCCATGACAGGATCGTGACGGCGCATGAAGTGAAGCGGAGGAGGTGTTCAAGCTCCGAAGGGTGTCGCTGCCACTCCAGACAGTCTCGGTGACCCTCGTGCTGTTGTTTAGCTAGTATATCCCCCTGGGGTAGGCGGAGGACCTGGCATTGGTCTCTGCCCGATATTAGCAGCCGGTTATCTGTGCCGTGGAAAACAATTCGGTGTGTTCGTCCGCGGTCCGTGTTCCAACCTTTATCCATGTACACGACCTCCTTTGAGACTGATGGTCCGCCCTTGGGGTCAACGGGGGTCGAGATGGCCACCACAGCCGTGGCCCCATTGATTATCGAGTAGGCCATCCGGTCGTACTTAGGGCTCCAAGCTAACCGGTCGACCTTGATGGCGAAGTCGATTTTGTCAATCTCATGCTTCCGGTTGCTTGTCGTGTCGTAAATGTTCACGGACCCGTCATGGGTTGTGTAGCCGACCAGCAATCCGTTGCTCGCTAGTCCTGGCCTAACATCCCTAACAGCTGCCCTGTTTTCTATTTCGGCCACGGGACCGGCGAGAGAGATGGAGGCGTCCGGGGCCTCATCCGGGTCACACAAGAAACTGTCAACTGAGACCTGCATATCACCGTCTTCGACTGGGTCGGATGCCTCACCAGCAAAGGCGAGGAGGCAGTGGGGTTCCCAAATGTTGCAGTAAGATCCTTCCAGGTTGTAGATTTGAGTGCTGTCGAAACCAAAGTGGATACGGTGGCTGGAGCCCTCGGTACTGAACCTGTATAGGAGTGACATCGATGAGAAGTCGTAAATTCCAATGGAGCTTGTGCCGTTCATCGTTATGAAAACACGTCCGTTTGGGCTGCATGCAATGTCGTGGTGGGTGCTGTTGGTGTCGTCGTCGACCTCTTTATACACGTCTGTCTCGAAGTTCCACCTAAAAGCGGTCCCATAGATGCAAAGAACTTGGGTACCGGACGGGTGCCACACCACTTTGCTGGTTCCCGTATACGAAGCCATGGGGCGCTGCTCGTGTGGCGAATTGTTTTTGAGCCGTGCGACCATCTCCGGCGGTTCTACGGACCATATAGAAACGGGAAAGTGGGCATAGGAAATCGCAATTTGCGTACAGTCAGCGTTAAAGGCCACGCAGGACGGACTCGCAAAAGGCTCGCTGAGCAATGTTGGGTCTTGCTTTTCCCACGCTGGTGCAACTTGGGTGGTCATTGTCGCCAATGTATGAAGTTGCCGGAACTCTGTAACCATCATGAGTGCATCGTGTTCATCGAACCTGAATTCAAGAACGTCGTCCATCGGAGGGTTTTCCGCGGATATTTGGAGCGACCAATCGGTGACATCCCAGACGAACGTCTTTGAGGAGGAATAGCACGCCAATAGCGCGCCGGAGCTGTTGAAGGTAAGAGCTGAAACGTATTCACCGATCGAGAAGACTTTCAGTTCGTCAAAGAGGGTGGTATCCCATACAGTAACGGTGCCAATCGGGTCATTGTTTGCCACTGCTAGGCATCGCATGGAGTTGGCGAGTTGATGGGCTTGACCAGGGCCGCCGGACACGCGAGCGAGACGGTCATCCCACAGCGTGTAGGAGAGCCCCGAAACGGTAAGTTTTGAAGCGGGGTTTTGGTTGAACTTGCGATGCATAATGGAGGAGGTCGGACAGAAGGCGGGAAGGCACTGATATATCATGGATGGTTGCTCGGTGAGGTAAGAACCAAATTTGGACGGGATCTTCATCAAGTCGGTTGCCCAGTACCCGATGAGTGAGAGGTCGGAGAGCCGGCGATCCATTAGAGGCTTGTGTTTATTGGCCGTTCTTCGGCTCCTCACATACGCCGTCAACTCGCGAGAAGCACCCAGGAGCTCGGAAAGACGATTGCTCATTGCGAGATATTGAATCCAAGCGAGCGGATGGGGCCCACTCAGAAACCTGACGAGAAGGTCCAGAACTTGATCCGAGTCTAATGAGCAACCTCGGAGGTGTAAAGGCCACGATATGGCAGCGTACGGGAGAAACTGGGGTGGTTGCAGCTTCTGAAGCTTGCGTCTCAACGCCGAGTCGCAGAGGGTGGTAAAACACTTTTGTAAGCATTCCTCATGCGCCTGTTGCGCGTTCAGGGTGTAGGGCCGCCGTTCCGCCCTCTCGAGGTACTCACGCGCGGAATGGTGTACGAGAGTTATTTGTCTCTGGGGGTTGAGCACAACAAATTGCCCACACACGTGCGCGATGGTGTGATTGAGGTCTAGAATTCCTTCGAATTCCGTGGGATAGGCTTCTGTGAGTTCTTCCACAGTTGGCGGGCTACTGGCGTACATGGCCCAGATAAGTAAAACCTTGGCCAGTGCCTTGTCTTCGTCAAATGGGAGACCCAGGATGGTATCTGTCATTCGGTCATACAGGTCGTGCATGCCATCCGGGGTAGAACTCAGAAGCCGCCTGACTTGATCCTCACGACGGCAGTTGACCAAGCTTTGGGCCACAAGACTGGCCCAAAGAAAGTTTCCTTGTGATCGTGTGACAATCTCGCTCACAATTTGGACCTTTAGAGGGATGCCTGGGGGGAGGTGATTGATCCTTTGAGCCACCATCGAGCGGATATCGTTCTGATTGTCGGGCAGGGGTAGGTCAAGGACCTCTATCCTTTTTTTTGCCACCTCAAATTCCTGGCGGATGTTTGGGAGAGGCCGGCTAAGGATGAGGACTCGGACACAACTCCCGAAATCGCCGACACGCGACATGAACTCTACCACCCGCTTGCTGGAGTCTGCTTCGTCAAGGCCGTCAAGGACCCAATATATCGTATCTTCCGCCCCAGCATCGGTAAGTTTAGTGGAAAATAATTTCTCCCAGATGGCAGAAGGGTCTGCGGTCTGAAGCTTCACCCCCGATTTTGCGATATCAACCAGGGTCCGATGAAATCCGGGCAGTCCTAGGGCGGTTTGGTAGGCAATGGAGCGCAAGACGGTATTGGTTGATTGCTTTTCGCGCTGGCCGTACTTGAAGAAAAAGTAGCAGCAATGGTGGCCAGCTTCTAGAAGACGCTCAATAACCAACGAACAAAGTGTTGACTTTCCGCAACCCGGTGGAGAGTGGATCCACAGGATCTGGGGTGTTTCGGAACAGAGCCACCTGTTCATCTCCTCGGTTGACCATAGACTATCACAGAGGCCCTGCTTTCTAGCGGAACGGGTAATCTGAAGGTCTTCTTTGGGCGGGCCAGCCACACTCAACATGTCCGTTAGGTAATGTGAGTTTTCCTCAGGCACGGCAGCATTGACCGTGGAGACGACAGAGCCAACAATGCTACGGAGCGCCCCAATTACGGAGGTGTAGTTTGCGTCCTTTGCGTTGGAGAACTTGCACACGTCATGGTGGTTGGCGACAAGAGGTATTTGTATCTCATCTGGATAACCCATAACAGCCGTAGCTTTGTCGACGATGGTTACTGACGTAGGGCCGACGGCAGTGACGAGTGTTTCATAAAATGAGAATATTCGGAGTTTCGGGGCAATGTGCCGGAAGGACTCGTTTAGTTCGTCAATGGTTGGGCTTCTGCGTGCCAGCTCGGTGATATACTTTTTCGGGGAGTGACCGAGGATGGAGGTCGAAAGGAGCCGATTAAGAACCGTAGCAAGATCGGTCCCTCGGTGAGGGGTAGCGAGGAACAATACGGCCTTGATCATGGAGACGATGCCGCTAAACTCGGGATTCAGATGCCCTTGTACGAAGGCTTTTTTGAACACTAAGCCGCCCATCGAGTGGGTGACGATGACGATGGGGACCTCGCCGAGGCGTTCTGCGGTGTTCTCACTATATTTCAGACGAAAGAGGAGATCGGTCGCGAAGTCACCGATGCCACAAGACGCTTGTTTCTTTCTGGACAAGAAGTGAGAGTCGTAGCCGAATGTGAGGACACGAGCCGTTGGTAGCTCGACCGGAAGCCACAACTTAGGCCACAGATTGTCCAGGTTTCTGTCAAAGCACCACGTCTGCAGGCTGGACCCCCCGAGGCCATGGATAAATATGACGTCCAATGTGCGGTTTGGTGGCGTGTGCAAAACCAAAAGCCCGTGGGGGTCATTTCTTCGATCTTGCGACTGCTGCCGCTGCCCCGATGAAGATAACAGGGAACGAATCGCGGAAAGTGGTGATTGTGAAGTCGCTGAAAGGGACGCGTCCGTGGCAGTTTTGACTGTCCGATCCGTTAATGGCAGGTTGCCTTCCGGCACTTGGATATCTGATGTGGGCTCTGGGGATGCTGAGCCTTTCTCCAAACTCGGGAACGAAGTCGGTGTCCAGCCCAACGGATCATTTGAACCGGCGCTTTTGCCTACTTTAAGGCGCTTCCACTGAAATGTAACCATGGTCAGTGATGCCCAGCGGTTAGAGGGCGGAGTTCACTTAGGCAAGTACCATTGTAAATTCCTCGAGACTTGAATACCCGTGACAGACACACTGGGACCTCCTGCATAAGGTCAGTCGTTGCAGCCCTTAGCCTCAGCCGCAAGATTTGAGACAGTTGAGGAGAGATCCGGTGGCCGACCCCTTCCGAGGTTGTTTAGGATGCAACCCTGTGCCGCACAGGGGGCGCGCCCCGCCCCCGTGTTAGGCGCCAATGGACATGCCTGACGTGAAATCGGGTGGGACAGTGATATGGGTAACGGAGCTGAAAAGGGGGTCTCCTGACGCTTGGGAGGTATCCATTCCTTTTCCTCTCGTGGTGTTCGGCCCCGTGGTATCATCCCAGATTTTTATTCAGTTGTCGACTTCCCTTTCTTCTTTTGTTCTATTTTCTTCTAGCGTTCTCCTTTATATAATTTCTTATTATCTCGAAAAGAAAAAGAAAAGACCGAAAACCTATCCATCCTGGACGAACTCGCGTTGATATTCAACACCGCGGCTCCGCCTCTTTAGCCTAGTCGGCCCGTTCGATTGCCTAAGTATTCAGGTCGACTTTCGCTTAAACATGGAAAAAGAACTCGACACGGCAGTTGTTGAGTGTGAGTTGTTGAAGTCCCAGTCCCTTAAGCATGTGTCCCCGACTCACCCTTGCTGGGGAATGGCTATTGTGCCTCTTAGTATTTCCAAAGGGAAGCAAGATCGTTGTGACACCGCACGGTCACTCGGATTGGGCGACTACAGAGCGGGTTCATACCACGGCGCCTGATGGTTCCCAAAAAGAATACTTTCTGAAGGTAAGAAAGGAATCTGAAAGTTTTTCATCCGCAAAGCAAGGGCCACAGGGGGCCATCTCAGATTTACTAAGAGGAAACATCCAACAGACCTTGAAGGCTGACGATGGCGACGAACGTGTCCGGGGCGAGTACATTTCCATGTCGGAAATATATAGGACGCTGCCTGGCATCGCGCCGGAACCCCGAGGGTATGGGAAATGCAACAAGGGCGGTGCCTACTTTTTCCTGTGCGACTTCCTTCATATCAACAAGGATGCCCTCCCCAACTCAGTCCGGCTCGGCAAAAAGCTGGCCGAATTGCATCGCAAGAGTGTGTCCCCAACGGGCAAGTTCGGGTTCCACTGTACAACGTTCGACGGTAAACTACCTCTCACGACGGGGTGGGATAGCAACTGGACGTCCTTTTTTACGAAATTGATACGTGGCGTTTATGAGCTCGACATTAAAGTCAACGGTCTGTGGAAAGAGCTGGACGACACGATGACGATCACGTTTGAGAAGCTAATTCCTCGGCTACTCGACCCCCTCACTGCTAACGGCCGAGCCATCAAGCCTTGCCTCATCCATGGTGACCTGTGGGAGTCCAACATTGGGACGATCGAGCACACGGAAGAGATTTATATCTTTGACGCCTGCGCCTACTACGCCCACCATGAAAAGGAGCTGGGTATTTGGAGATGCAGACACCATCAGTTGCATACCCCCCACTATCGTGAGGAATATCTCAAGAACTTCGAGGCTAGTGAGCCTAAGGCCGAGTTTGATGACCGGAACCGACTGTATTCTGTCGAGACATTGTTGATCAACTCAGCGCACTCCCCTGGGTCAGAGACACGAAGTGAGGCTCTGAACGAGCTGAACTGGCTCGTGAACAAATACCTTGGGGAAATGTGAACGGTTTTATGTCACTAAGTTGCGAGCGTGCCAATGTATGTAGACTGTTTGGGGTTTCGCGCAAAAGAAGAGGCGGGTATTTGCTACTACTATCGGCAAATACTCGTGACTCAATCATGCCCTAGGTACCTAACCTCTGAGCGTGCGTGCCGCCATTTCATCCCCCTGAGTTGGAGGAGAAGCAACATTAGGAACTCAATGAAAAGGGTGACCCCGAAGAGTAGAAAGCTCCACCCTGGACCGATGCGTCTTATTAGTGCATCGAGGGCAGCCAGACAGGCGGCTGCCATCTCGCAGCGGACAAAGTTGCAAGCAGCCTGTGCTGTGGAGGGACAGTCTTGGTGGAGATCGACGAGCAGCGTGTTGAGTGCGGTGAAGATACCTTGGATCGTTAAGCCGATAAAGAACTGCAAGACCAACGGAACGGCCATGGACACGCGCGCCTGCAGAGCCCAGCCGTAACCCATCACTAGGAACGCGCTCAAGGCAACACTCAAGATGACGGTTCGTAATCTGGCGCGTTCGATGGGAAAGGCCTTCAGGTCGGTCTCCTTGCTCTTGACGATGCTGATTCCGTTCTCCGCTGCAGTCTTCTTGTAACTGATATCGAGTAGCCGCCCAGTTGCAAAAGCGCTCAGAGCAACTGCCACACCAAAAGGAATGTACACCAAGCCAGCGACTAAGCCAGAAACGCCGTAGATGTCGACGAACAGGGTAGACAGAGAAGCCTGCAGGCAGCAGTAGACCGTGTAGTTGATTCCGTATGCCACCAAAATTATGGCAGTGCCAGGAATGCGAAGCAGCTTCAAGGCGGCCAGGGGGTTTGGGAACTTCCGGTGCCCCTCCCTGATGGGTACACCAGAGATGCTCTCGGCCATTGCCACGTCCCGGGCCTTTGGAGCAACAAGGGGGACCAAGGGCTTGTTGATGCCTTTTGCCGGGCGGCTACCATTAGCAACGATACTTCGCGCTGTCTCTGGTAGAAAGAGGACCATCATAATCAGGCAGAGCGCAGATGTCACCGTGAGGAGCCAGAAGATTGATCGCCAAGTCCAGCGAAGGAGGAGAAGACCGCTGATAACTGGCCCTAGGCTGGGAGGGGTGTTGAGACTATGTAAAGGTGTTTAGCTTCGACGATCTTTTAAGCCTCTGGAGCGTAACCCACAAGAACGAGATGATACCGGAGTAACCCCCTCTCTCGGCAGGCGTGAACAAGTCCCCCAGCACCCCATAGGCGATGGAAAAGGTGCCTGAGATGCCCGCACTCTGCAGCATTCGAAGGACAAAAAGCAGAACGAAATGGGATTGCAAAGCAAGGCCAATATTTGCCCCAAGATAAATGGCCAATGCCAGCAAGAAGACGGGCCGTCGGCCGAATCGATCAGCTGCATCGCCCATGATAGACGGAAAGATGCCGGACATGACGAGGTAGGATGTGACGGTCAAATTGACTTGCTGGACACCGACATTAAGGTCAGATGCCAGAAAGGGGATGGCTGGGAAGTAGATGAAGCTGCTGATACTGGAGAACCACCCGCCGAGGGCAGCCAGACCTATGATGGTGTTTTGCTGCCATGGTGAGAAGGTAGAGTAAGGTTCAGAGATACCTTCATCAGTTGGAGGTGTGGTCGCGGGTTCTGAAATGGGCCCATCATTGGCCGTCTTCATCGTCAGTGGAGTGGTGCCCTCGGCCAGTGAGTTAGACTCTGCCCTGGTGTGTTTGGGAGAAGTTGGATGCTCCTGAGAGAAGGAGGGGAAGATCCATGATCCCGGATGGTTGCAGCGCACAGTGCGAGCCCGTTTCGGCAGCAATAAAAAACCATCTGAGCCCGACTGCCAACCAAGCCCCTGACACCCCTAACAACACTAAACACACTGCCAGGTGCGCTGTCTCCGTTTGCTTTTGTCTCTACCGACTGGTTCCTGGCAGTCACCTCGATTTCTCCGCACAACTTTTAGGGCAAGTGAGAAATCATCCCTTCATCAACACCACACCGACTCATCATCAAACACTCAACCCACCAGTCACCGCACCGAGTCAAGACTTGCTTGCCCACCATGCCAACCCCCACCCCCAACAAATGCGACAACCCATCGTGCCCCCTTCCCGAGGGGAGCCCACCAACCCCCCTCCTCCTCTGCTCCCGGTGCCGCGCAACCCGCTACTGCAGCCAGACCTGCCAGGCCGCCTGCTGGGCCTCCCACAAGCGCCAGTGCCGCCGGCTCAACTACATCATCAAGTTCCGGCTCGCGCCGGCGCACATCACGGACCCGCGCGTGGAGCGCACGCTCTCCTGCCCGGCCAACGCGCCCTTCTACGCGCTGCACCTGGCGCTGCAGACGGCGTTCGGGTGGGCGACGACGCACTCGTTCGACTTCGCCGTCAAGGACCCGGCCTACGTGCCGCCGCCCCCGGGCGACCTGCTCGCGCACGTCCAGCAGATCATGGCCGTCGACGGCCGCGGCGAGAGGCCCGCTTCGGCCCCGCGCGAGTACCTGCTGCGCGTCGTCGACCCGGTCCAGGGCGATCGTTTTTCGGGGATCGATCGCGCTCATGAGCCCCAGCGCCGCCACCCGCATACGGTGGAGAAGAAGAGTGATGATTGGTGCTTGTGGCAGTTGTTGGAGAAGAGGGAGTACCAGGGTGAGTTGGGCGCGGACGGATGGACTGACCGGCTGAGCTTGTGCTGAGCATATGCTGACGGGTGTGGGTATGAATTAGGGAAGGAACTGGTCTACACTTACGACTTTGGTGACAACTGGGAGCACTATTTCACCGTGGAGGGCCGGGGTGAGTTTACGGATCACTTTGTCTGTCTCTCAGGGACCGGCCATCCCGTCGGCGAGGATGTTGGTGGCAATAAGGGGTGGAATGACCTCAAGGCCGCCTACCTCGCCGAGCGACCGACTGAGGACCAGCGGGACAGCCGTAAGTGGTACGAGACTCGCACCAGAAATGGTGATCCCAAGGGTCTGGCGGGCGACAGAGTCAATGTGTGGGACATGGCCCAGGTGAACCGCGACTTGGTGGACATGCTCGACCGATTTGAGCGCATGGCCGATCAGGCTGCGAGCGAGAGGGACATGCTCAGAGACCGGCTTGGGGTGTAGTCTAAAAGAGATACCGTGGTGCGGCCTTCCCAGATAGCTCCAGCCTGCTTGGCATTGGGAATTGGCACCGCGGTCACTGCTTCCCGGCCCCTGACTGAGAAAAAGTCCGACGGTCCGAGAAGCAAAACACCAATGCGCGGCACAGATAGACCGTCGACCCCACAACTCTGTAACAGCACGTCTCCAACTATCGAACGAAGAATTCGTTGCCTATCTTTTATCCTGATCTTGTTGTGACCTCCACGTAGGGACGATTCTCATGTTGGCCTCGTCTTGTGTGTCAAGTCACAAAGCCATCATCTTTAGGGCAACCTAGCGGGCCATAAAGCTGTAACCTGTTTCATACATGGCCCCTAGGTAGCCTGTGTGATGTAAATGCCGCGGCCTCTCGCATCAACAGGCTACAGCCCCTGAGTGCTGGCCGGCATAGGCGTCAATGAAGGCATCGAAGCACCCGTCATTTCCACAACGGATGTTTTGCGAGATTTGAGTACCTACCTATGTAACTAGGACCATCTGAGTTTAGACTCTCCATCATATCATTCACAGCACACTTATCTCAACAACCTCATCTTCATCTTTCTTTATCTCTACTATTAGGCTATTCGGCTGGTCCGTTTATCAACAATATGTCTTCAGTAGCCAAGGATAACGCGTTTGCTGCCGGGGTCCCGGTGTACGACTCCGCAGGCAATGGCTGGCTCAAGCTCCGGGGAGGAGACCCTAACCAACGGTACTACATAGCCAGCAATGGCCACATATACCCCGAGCGCACCGACGCCACCAGCGGTGGCAACCAGAAGACCGGCGGCACCAGCAGCGGCAACCAGAAGACCGGCGGTACCAGCGGCGGCAACCAGAAGACCGGCGGCACCAGCGGCGGCAACCAGAAGACCGGCGGTACCAGCGGCGGCAACAAGAACATTAGCACCGGCGGCGGTGGCCAGAAGTAGAGGGGTGGCTGGACCAAGAATAGCTTGTCGCTGTAGTAGCTCCGGGTCTGTAGTAGCTGAGGCTGATTCTAGCATAGCTACCTATAGATGGCCTATGGTATTGTTGGTCAAAGGTAGTATAACTGTTTAAAGTAGTAGCTAGATCTTGCTAAAACAATACTAGAGAAGACAGGCCTTCTTTTACCAACCTTCTTTTACTACTATAGACCTTAACACTGTGATACTTATTAATCGTAATTCCAAACTAACAATAAATAGGAGAACTGCCATTTCCCGAAAAGAAATTGAACTATCAGGTCGAGAGACCCGTTCTCGGTCTCCCGGCAACAACGACAGGTTCTTATCTTCGTTTTCGTTCACAGGGGGCGGGGGGTTCTTGTCCTCAAAGCTACCAGTTCTATCCGTAGATCCTTCTGAATAGACACGGAACTTTTAGATGCGAAAAGAAACTGCAGGTTTGGATCTCGCGATCGAATCACACAAGTCACAAACGCAGGTGCCAAAACCGAAGCAGGTTTGTCTTCTATTAGTCAATCGCGTGAATGACAGCGAAGACACCAACAGACCATGGCTCTGGCTTTCAGCACCGCCACCATTCAGCCGTGAACGAGGCGGCCTCTGGCCTTCCGCCAGCCAGCCATCTGCAAGCTTCCGTGGCTGTGCATAGACAAAATGGGCTGACAGCCCAATCCCGTGACAGGGGATGGATTATTAGGTAGGATTTATTGATCGGGAAAGCAGCGACGCCGCCGGGTTCAATGGCACCTCATCCTTCTGCAAACCAACTTCTCCTTCTTTTGTGTTGCAGACAATCGCAATAATAGCCCAAAAGGGCTGGGCTAATTGACCTCACTCAGCTATGGCAGAGGGTTTCGCGTTTGCGGCCAGCGTCGTGGCTTTTATTCAGCTGGCTGATCGTGTCGGTCAGCTCTCCAAGACCTTTATCGACGCCATGAAAGGGGAGCCTGGGCCCTTGAAAGCGGTACAGGCCGAGATGTCTGCAATGACAACACTTCTCAACGAGCTGCATAATCAGTACGACGCTTCCGACCCTCGTATCTCTGTGGCGATCGAAAAGGCTACGGACCAACCCATCAAGACTTGCCACGATTCGGTCCAGATGCTGGAAATGGAGCTCTCCAAGCTTTCAATTTCTCCCGCTCATACGAACACGAGGCCGTCAAAACGCCAAAGGATCAAGCAATCCGTGAAATGGGCCACGGGCGGAGAGACGAGGGTCAACAAGATTATCGATGACCTGGCCGCTCAGAAGGCCACCCTATCTTTGGCCTTGCAGAGTAGTCTCTCGTGAGTATGGTTTATTGACCCGTTGCCGACCGGCTATGTGCCTCTAACACAAAGTTTTACAGACGAGACGTCAGTGAGGTGAAGGACTTTTTGACGGGTCAGTCACCCCCCCAAGCCGAATATCCCATCGGGTGACAATGATTGAATATCCATTGACTAATTCGCCCTACGCCTCCAGACTCACAACGGCACGACATAGTCAACTGGTTACAACGTACCAACCCTTGCGATATACACAATCGCTCCGTCAACCTCTACGAACCACACACAGGTAACTGGGTGTTCCGGAGCACCGAGTGGAGCGATTTCATCTGTGGCCATTCCCGCTCCTTGTGGATTCACGGCATCCCTGGAGCAGGGAAGACGATTTTGTGCTCAAACATCGTCGAGCATCTACGACAGCTACAGGATCGGCGGACCGGCTGGGTGTACTACTACTGCTACTTTGGTCGGAACCAGGACGATACGGAGCCGCTGCTGAGATGGATCATTGTCCAACTGTGTCAACAAGCCCGGTATGTGCCTAAGAAGCTCTCGGCCGCCTACCAGAGCGGGCATCAACTCGGTATCGACGATCTGCTGTCTATCTTGGAAGCAGTCCTTGAAGCATTCGATACTGCCTTCGTTACGATAGACGCTTTGGACGAGAGCATGCCGTACACCAATCTCCTGGCCTGCCTTAACGTCATTATGACCGAACCCCGGTTCGAAAAGCTGCGACTGTTGATGACTAGTCGGCAATACCTCGATATCGAGCAAAGCATCAAACCCCACGCCGTCTCGTTCCCGATGCTGAACCGTTACGTTGAGGAGGACCTGCGGATATACATCACATCACAACTACAATCCCATTCCAAGTTCCGCGCATGGCCTGCAGCCCTCATCGAGGAGGTCAATACCGCGCTAGTCCGAGGGGCTAAGGGGATGCAAGTTACCTACATAACGGCCTCTTCGTTATCTCTTTTGGGTGTGGACACTAACGTTCTAAATGCGCAGGTTCCGGTGGGCTGTCTGCCAAGTCGACATCCTCGGAAGACTCAAGTCCCAGTCCGACGTCCGAAAGGCGTTGACAGAGCTACCCGAAACACTGGATGAAACTTATGAGAGAATCCTGCTGGCGATCCCGCGCGAATACCGTGATTTTGCCCGGACGGCGCTGGCGATTCTTGCTGCCCAAAGCGAGCTTGGAAACAGGACCATGACCGCAGAGGTCCTCCTGGCCATGGTCCTACGTTCCCTGGACGTAGGCACTGACCACCTTTACGATATATACGATATACGGGAATTCTGCGGCTGCCTCGTCACCTTCGTGCCGGCCATAATTCCTTCATTTCAGCCCAACCCCGCCTACTTTGCCTCGTTTAACCCGTATGGACCCAACCGCCAACCCCTTTATGTAGGCAATGGAACTGAGAGCGCAACCCACGTCGTGATGGCGCACTACACGGTGAAGGAGTTTTTGTACGCCGAGCGGACGGCCCAGAAATCCGAGAATCATGTGGCGTCTTTTGCGCTGCAGGAGGAGGTTGTCATCCGCCGGTGGGCAGACCTCGTGATGGAGGTTGCGCTTTCTGCTCGGCCATCCGACCGGCCAATCAGTGATAATTCGATGGAGGACTACTGCGTCGCGGCCGGGCACACTGTCATTAAGACCTGGGAAGACTTTATCACCAACAACGGCAAGCTTGTTAGCCATTCCTTGGACTTCCTCAATGCGGCCGCACCACATCGCTCGCGAGTATCGCCAGGGGGTATTCTTAAAATCAAATGGTACTCTCCACCATCCAACCCCCGGATCGCCACGCTAGCCGAGTGCTGTGCCCAAGGACTGTGGCTCCTTGCTGGTGCCGCATTGAAAGACCTCACCGCCCAACAAATCATCGAAACCTCGGTTGTGATCGGCCACGACAAGAAGCGGTCACACCCAACACGGCCCAAGATGGTTGGCATGTCTGTGCCGTTATTGTTCGCCAGCCTGGCGCTAGAGTCTTACCTGCACCGGGATGACAGGCACGACGGCCGACCGCAGGAAGTTGCCACACTCCTCTCAACCGTGGTCGGTTGGGAAAGCCTACTACTCGCTGCCACGGTCGAGCACAACCACGCCAGCCCCTCAGGCTCTTTCCTGGAATGGCTCATTCTCCAAGGGCCGGACCTCGACGCCTGCCCTTGCCGCCTAACAGCGCTCCAGGCCGCCGTCCAGCTGCGGGACTACGAGGCCGTCAAGCTGCTACTTGACAGCGGTGCCGACGCCAACACTGTCGGCGCCGCGAGCGGGTACAGCATGGCCGGCACCGGGCTGGATGAGAGCGTGGCTTGTGACAGCCCGGTTCGGATTCTCAAGACGGGTCCCTGTGCCTTTCGTGCCGAGGTTGCCCAACGGGTAGGTCGCGAATCTAGAAGGGGCGGCACGACGAGGGGAAAGCTTGAGGCGCTTCTCCTTGATGCTGGAGCGAGGGATTTTACTACGATGGAAGTCGGCTGATCCTGGAAAAGGGGATGGATATGCCTGGAGAGCTTGAGCCCTGCTACTTCATAACTAATCACACTCAATTGACTCGTCTTTGACTTCCTGGGTTCAGGAGACATAGCAGTGGTCTTTCACTGGGCTAATTACGTTACCACTTGGCTTTGGACTGTTCCTGCGTCTATGTCAAATCCGACGGTGGGACGTCTAACATGACTCACAACACAAACGGGCACCTTGGTCAAAAGTAGGAGTTGCTCACGGTGTTGTAGCAGGCCCAGTCATGTCATCACAGAGCAATGGCTCGTTTTGCGGGGATTGCAGGACGTACCTTTGCAACATTTTAGACTCGACGTCATCGTCGTGCTTCGAAACCCCGACCCGTCCTGCATAGCGTCGTATTCGGTTGTAGACGGTCGTGCCTCGGGGCAAGATTACGACCAAATGCCGTGCGGATGTACATACCTAGTAGACGCGCCAATGGGACACCATGTATTGGTTGGTTATTATATCGTAAGTACTATTGAAATGCCTTCATTCCCGGCCACTAAAGTCAACCATGGAAACCAGGAGCGGGGAAATGGTGAAGATCTCAACATGTACATACTCGGGTTCCTCACTGTCGAGCATACCGGCATACCCCGGCAGGCTAAACCCAGCGCTAAAACCATATCCCACCAACGACAAGCAAGCCGGCCCTTTGGACCCGTTGGGAAAGTGAGGGGATTGTAGCACTTTACTCGTGTTTCTCGAGGGGCCCGTCCCCCTCAGGACGGCCGCACGCTTGTTGGCACCACCCCCTTAATCCCGTTGGTTGGTTCGTCCAAGGGTTGTGTACCTACGAACGAGCACCGGCCAGCTACCTACCTACCTAACGTAGTTAAAACGCTTTTCAGTCGGAACCCAGCCTCCAATACGTCCCAGTTGGGATTGTGGACCGCTGTCGTACTCCCCATGTGCGGCCCGAAGGGTGTATCTAACCAACCCCCCCATCCCGCGGAATTTGCCGAGGGAACCCCAGGCAAGCTCGCTTCACAAAGTTATCATGGCACCGATGAAACCCCAAGTCCAAGTTCCAAGTGGGTGGGAAAGGTAAAACAGGCATCAACACTTGACTTGCCTCTTTTACACTACCCTATAACAAAGTGAGGTAAAGATTGACAGTGGCATTGCATAAATATCAGACCAAGCGCAACGAGGACATAGGCGCGGAATAAGACACTCGACGTAACCATATGCCGGACTAGGAAGCTAATTTGTAGCTTGCATCAAGGTTCCACAGGATCTCGGCCAGCCGCCGTTGTCCCGCAGCACCGTCTAAATCATGGCCAAGTATTTGTAATGCCGTGGAAGCTCCCGGTGGTATATATGCCTCGTACCAGCCCCGGCCCCTCATGTGTTGAGTTTGGTACCACATGGGCATGTCAATGGCCGTCCTGACCATGGAACGGCTTGCGCAAACATCTCGGCTCCTTGGTGGGCTTTCCACGATGCTTTTCCTTTTACTCTTAGCTCCGCTTCTCGTTGGCGCCCAGACGAGCGAGAGCGCACGGCGCGTCAGCCTCAACGAGGGCTGGAAGTTCTCGCGCTTTACCTCCAACCCCGACTCGCTCTCGTACGATGACCTGAAGCCATGGGTCCTCACTTCCGGCAACGACTTCATCGAGGGGTCCAAGCACCAACCACCCTCCGGCACCCCCCCGGGTGGCGATGTGACGTATGTGAAGTCCTCTTTCGACGACAGCGAGTGGGAGGCCGTGGATTTGCCCCATGACTGGGCCATCAAGGGCCCCTTCAACGCCCCCGGCGTCAGCGGCGGCATGGGCCGTCTGCCTTCCAACGGCGTGGGATGGTACCGTCGGGCTTTGACCGTCTCCCCGGACGACAAGGGCAAGTCCGTCTTTCTGGACATTGACGGCGCCATGTCCTATGCGGCCGTCTGGCTCAACGGTCAGCTCGTCGGCGGATGGCCGTATGGGTACGCGTCATTCCGTGTCGATCTCACCCCCTACTTGGAGTTTGAGGGAGACAACCTCTTGGCTATCCGAGTCGACAACGCGCTAGACAACTCCCGCTGGTACCCCGGTGCCGGCATCTACCGCAATGTTTGGCTCGTCAAAACCAACCCGACGCATGTGGGCCAGTTCGGGACCTACATCACGACATCGGACGTGTCGGAGGACTCGGCCACGGTCAACATCGTGGTGGACGTAGCGAACGGCGGTGACTCCAGCCAGGAAGTGGATGTGGTAACGGAGATCCATGAGCTTGACTCAGCCACTGGGCAACCCGGAGCAGAGGCGGTGGCCAAGTTCGAGGAAACGGCGGTAACGGTGCCGGCTGGAGAAAAGAAGTCGACCAACAGCTCGGCCGCGGTAACGAAGCCACTGCTCTGGGGTCCGCCGCCGGCGCAGAAGCCGAACATGTATGTTGCCATCACCACACTGTCCGTCGACGGAACGGTCGTCGATACCTACGAGACCCCCTTTGGAATCCGCTCCGTCACATACGACGCAAATGAGGGCGTATCCATTAACGGAAAGCCGGTGCGCGTCTTCGGTACCTGTAACCACGGTGACCACGGCGCTCTCGGAGTCGCCTTCAACAACCGTGCTGCGGAACGGCAGTTGTCAATGCTGCAAGAGATGGGCAGCAACAGTTTCCGCACCTCCCATAACCCACCCGCTCCGGAACTCCTCGACATGGCCGATCGGATGGGTTTCATGGTGGTCGACGAGATCTTCGACTGCTGGAACAGGCAGAAGACCACCAACGACTTCCACACCATCTTCCCCGACTGGCACGAGCCCGACCTCCGCTCCTTCATCCGCCGCGACCGCAACCACCCGTCCATCATCGTGTGGAGCTTCGGCAACGAGCTCGGCGAGCAATCCACCGCCGAGGGAGGCGAAACCGCCAAGATGCTCCGCGACATCCTCCTATCCGAGGACCCGACCCGCCCCACCACGGCCGCCATGAACTCGGCCGGCCCCGACTCGGCCCTCGCCGACGTCCTCGACATCATCAGCCTCAACTACCAAGGCGAAGGCCAGGGCACCTCCACCAAAGGCTCCTTCGACGCCTTCCACAAGGCCTTCCCGGACAAGCTCATCTGGAGCAGCGAGAGCGCGTCCACGCTCAGCACGCGCGGCACCTACATCTTCCCCGTCATCCCGGGCAACAGCGCCACCGTCGGCCCCGGCTCCGGCGGCGACCCCGTCGCCCTCCAGGTCAGCGCGTACGAGCTCTATGCGCCCTCGTGGGGCTCCTCGCCCGACAAGGTCTTTGAGGCCCAGGACCGCCACCCGTTTGTGGCGGGCGAGTTCGTCTGGACGGGTTGGGACTACCTCGGCGAGCCGACGCCCTATGATGAGGCCCGCAGCTCGTACTTTGGTATTATTGATCTGGCGGGGTTTAAGAAGGATCGCTTTTTCCAGTATCAGGCTCGTTGGAGGCCTGATCTGCCCATGGCGCGTCTGCTGCCGCATTGGTCGTGGCCTGAGGATAGGGTGGGCGAGGTTACGCCGGTTCATGTGTTCTCGTCGGGGGATGAGGCCGAGTTGTTTGTGAATGGAGAGTCGGTGGGCAGGCGGGAGAGGGGGGAGTATGAGATTCGGTTCCGGTGGGATGAGGTCGAGTATCAGCCGGGGAATGTGACTGTGGTGGTGTATAAGGATGGGGAGCAGTGGGCGACGGATACTAGGAGGACGGTGGGCAAGGCGGAGGCGTTGACTGCCGAGGCGGATAGGACGGATATTCGTGGCGATGGCCATGATCTATCATTTGTGTCTGTCGCGGTGGTGGACGGGAATGGAGACACGGTGCCGCACGCCAGCGACGCCATCACCTTCTCGGTTGAGGGGCCTGGCCAGATCGTGGCGACTGATAACGGGGACCCGGCGGATATGACGGCGTTTCCGTCTTTGACGCGGAAGGCATTCAGTGGTTTGGCGTTAGCCGTTGTGCGGGCGGATAAGGGGGCTACCGGAGACATCACTGTCACGGCTTCCGCGGATGGCCTGGAGGCAGCAGTGGTGACGGTGCGAGCCATTTAGGTGGTCGGAAAAGTACCTACCTAAGGTACCTTACATGCACATACATGCATGAGAATAGGCATCCATCTGCACCTTCTCTTCCACCCGTGCGTAGGGCCATATTTAATACCTGTCCAATCAAAGTTTTGCTTGTTTTGAATATCTCCAATTCGTACTAGCAACTCCGAGTGTCTTCACCTTGAACTTGACCCCCTGACAAGCCACCATATCCATCATAAACACCATCAGCCCTAACTCAACCCGGAGCAGATAGAGAACATATAATATCAAAATGGGCCTAACCACGATACTACGCGGCTTCAAAGTCCCCGTTGCCATCCTCGACCGCTTTCTCGAAGCCAACGGCGTCACGCCCACCTTTGGTTACCCTCCCACGTACCACAGGGGCTCACTCCCCGGCGAGGAGAATCTCCCGACTCTAGATCCGCAGCCTGCATTCCTCCGCGCCAGGCTGGCCGCCACCCCCGCTGGCGCCGCCGACACCGCCAACCAAAACACGCACATCTTCATCCCAAACCGGCAGAGCATGGGGATGTGTACGCACGCCTACGTGTCGTACGCCTACATCATGGTCTTTGGCCAACGGGAGATCGATGTTGTGAACGAGCTGCCCGACAAAGCCCCGCCAGGCTTTGCGGAGCTGCGCAGTGAGATTCTGGGGTTTGCTGAGGAGGGGGAGGAAGCGCTGTTAGCTGTCGCGGGGATGCAACCAGCCAGTGAGGCGCAAGACCCGGCGAGCATGCTGTTTATCGTCCTCACCGACGAGCGCCAGTACCCGTGGAAGGGCCCTTTTCTGCGTGAGGTGAGTTTCCTTGTCCCTTTTCCGGGGTGGATTGCATCCGACTGCCAACTGATACTCATTCGTATGTGTGTGTCTTACAGTCGGACCGCCGTTGTGACCAGTGCGCGGAGGAGTTCGAGAATTGGCTCTCCTTGCAGGTACACTGGGAGGAAGCACATGGAATTGTCCACAAGAGCACGGCCTTGCCTGATGATCTTTGATTGCGGCCGTCCTTCTTATGGCAGGCATGGGTAAGGTACTTGTCTCTCTTGCAAATAGTAGCAACAGCATGTTCTGCATTGCAGAAGAACGTATAATAATAGCATCACCACGAAGATTACCTGTTCCGAACACAAAACCAGAACTTCAGCCTCCTAGATCACATGTCCGTCGTTCAGTCTCCTCTCCTGCGCCCACGCCCTCACTTTCTCAAAGTCCTTGCATAGGTGCGTAGCTCCCGTCCCATCCGTATCTGGTATCTTTGCCCGCGGGTTCTGTCCCTCCAATGCCGTGTCGCCGCAGCACACAAGGGATTGTCGCAGATAACGAAAGCAATGGTCGATATGCCGCTTCAAATCCGGATGGTGGGCTTCTCCAGCTCCGTCGCGGTCGTGGAGCTGGCCGCGCTTCGCCCGCTCGAGATCGTCGTTAACTTGGTTCCACATTTTCATGATGCTATGCTGCGTTCAAGTCAGAATCCTCCTTGTGGTTGGGAGGGGTTGACCAATACTTACAAGGCAGTGAAGCTGGTGGAAGACGGCGATCGAATAGAACTCGCCACTTTGGTCGACCATTGGGGGTGGCAGAATGTGCTTGTCGTCGTGAGGTACAGACATGAAACCATTTCCGACTTGCCGCCGTTAGTTAGTGTCTGCCACACGCACATAAAGTGGCCGAGAGAGCCTCTTACTAGGCATGAAAGACACCCAATACTCATATGTAGCATTGGCCGACTCGGCTGTCTTGTGGTCCGGCGTCGACAGGGGATCCTCTTCGAAGAGCATGGGCACGATTGGAACTAACGCGTGTCAGTAGAACCCCAGCCGGACGGTAGCAACCCGGAATGCCTACATTCAGGGACCAAGCCGTTGATCTCTCCAACCAGGCGTGTTCCTGGTAATGCCCGCCAGTAGAGGACCCATCCGGCCACCGCAAGTAGGCCAAAGAAAAGCGCAAGAACTGCGAGTAGTAGGCTCAAAACCCTCCCCCATCTGTCAGAGTTCCGCCTGACCTTGGCTAGGTTCAACTCCGATGAGTTGGAGAAATCAGAATTACCAGGGAGCAGCTCGGCTTCTTCTTGTTCGAACTTGAAGCTGGGCGTTTCCGGAGATACAACGTCAATGCTGAGCCGCACAGTGTCGAGATCCATGGCCGTTCCTGGAAGAGGGGCAGTATAGGGAGGCACTTATAGCTGCATAACAGGAAGCCCTCGTGTCTTGGATGAAGGTGTGACGGTGTGATCAAGACTTGACCACGAGGTCAAATTTAGATGATTGCACAACAAAGCAAGGGGAATCGTGGCAACCAAGCATATCATTAGCAGGGGAGGATAATAGGGGCATCTGGAATGGCATACTGTGCAAGCCCTTCGATCGACCCTTTGTTCCACAGTATGAAGACTGAGCAGAGGAGGGGTGGAAATTTCCACATTACCCCTTTCGTGCTTGAATAAGACGGCTGGCTTGGGGCTTTTGTCAGGGTTAATATCATGCTGCAGCCAGCAAATTTGCTGCCTTGCTGTGGAAATTCTTGCAATGTACAGCACGTCAGTCTCTTACTAGTACGCTAACAAAACTCCAGGTAGGAGTTGGAATGTACGCCTTCACTGAACAACAGCCCATCGATGGTGTGTCCAGTCTGGCAACTTGCCTCACTCCTGCTTCCGCTGCCAGGCCATAGGTACCCATCTGAGTCCAGCCACGATCTTTGGTCGTGTATCGAGCGTTTGTATCACTTCCCCACTCGTTCCGCAGCGAGCCTCGGTGGCTATCAAAAGCTACCAAGGGTCACCGTCCTCGACGTCTGCCGCCGAGTCACTGTCGACCATGCCGTTGACTGGTTATGTTCTGGGAATGAATTGACATATGGATCAAAGTCCTCTGGGTACCTAGGTGCCAGGATGCCCCGCCCTGTCTCCAGATGAAGGAGGCCGAAACCGGGGATCCCTTTGTCCCTCTCCCATCTTATCCGGAATCAGCAATGAACCGTATCTTGACCACAGTCGTCCTAACCGGTCAGCTCAACAGCTATGTTCCCCCAGATTCCTGGGCTACTTATATCCTTGCAAAACCCCACGCGAACAAATCCCCGAGGTACCCATGACAGTCAACCTCTGTTAAACCCGACCAGACAACATGGGTTCAAAACCTACTCTCCCTTACTGTGCCCCGGAGAATGTTCTCCCTGGGCCAATACCTACCGTGGAAGAGATCCTCAAAGCTGAACAGCTACGGCGCGCCGGTCAGGCAGTAACCGGTGTTGCCCGCATTCGTGAGCACTTCATCGTGAAGTTTGGAAGACATGTCAACCTTCAAGAGGGTGAAAACATGCTCTTCGTCCGGCAATTCACCAATGTGCCCGTCCCAACCGTCTATGCGCTCTTCTCGGACGAGAAAAAAAAGTGCAACTTCATCGTCCAGGAGTATATTCCTGGCAAATCGCTATTCTCGGCCTAGAAGGATCTCACCGCTCCCCAGAAGACGGCTATAGCGTCGCAGCTCCGGGAAAATATGGAAGAGCTCCGCCAAACCCCCTCGCAAGGCTATTACGGGGGCATATGGAGGCAGCCGACTCGTGACTACACATTCGAGGACCCGAATTCTATGGCCCCGGTTGGCGGGGCTATCTCAGCCCCGCATGAGTCGGAGGAGCAGTGGGTGGATGCCATGTGGCGATGTCTCGATATCAGGATGAAGTCGGCGGAGAGGGAGAGACTCCCGGTGCTCCGAAAGCTCTATCAAATCATATTCAAAGGTCACAAACCGGTTTTTACCCACGCAGACTTCTTTCCGGGGAATATGATTCTTCGTGATGATAACAAGGGCGTTGTCATCATTGACTGGGAGCGTTCCGGCTGGTACCCCTCCTTTTGGGAATATTGCCATGCCATGACACAGCTTGACTACGAGAGCGACTTCTGGGAGTATATTCCATCCATTCTCGATCAATATGTCGCCGAACTGGGTTGGATGCGCACGCATCGGGAGTCGTTGTTATTCTTCTGACCGTTATTTCTTACAACACCAAGAACATGAATTCGCGCGTCACCACCCGACGCAACTACGAGTTCGGCTCTCCTTATTTCTTTACCCCATCATCTTCAGTTAGCCATACCTCTGCCTGCATCCACACGCGACCACTATTGTAATCCTTCCCATCGCTGCTCCCGAATGCGAGGACAGCCGGGTGCGCTACGACACCAACAAACCAGCCGTCGCACCGGCCGTCGTCCTCGTACAACTTATGGAGTGGATGCGCCTTCATGATGTCGGAACCCATTCTAAACGGCTGATTGTAGAGGTCGGGCAACGACATGAAACTCATGAGTGTCCGACGGGTCCAGAGCCTGTACGAGAGCTCCCCTGCATACTGAACAATAGACTCTAGGTCATTGAAGCATTGCGTGTCCGCGTTTCCGCCCTCGCGGGTTGGTGATTTAATCAGGTGCTTGGCCGGACCATTGTAAAACTCGCTGGCGAAGTGGTGGCAGACTGCTTTCTGGGATGCAATGTAGTTGTGTCGTCCGTCCGAGCCCTGTTGTTGCACGTTGGTTGACGAGGTAGCGAGGAGCCGAAGGGTCCTGGAGCGCCATATATGCGATTCGGTTTCATTGACTTCGTAGACGTTAGCGTCTGCTGGCTACCTATCTTGGGTACGTTGGAATCCCCGGTGTGTAATTTTCTCACCTTTACGGATTGCTCGGTGTACATTCTGCAACGCCTCACCAGCGTCGCCCAGGGCAAAGAATGGTTTGCTGATGACTTTGGCGTATACATGATGTGATAGCAGACCCTGGATGCATACGACAGGGGACTTCCGATTCATGAATCCAGATTCGAGATGCTCGATGCCGCTGTCATTCGGCGTCCCGGGACCATGGAGTGGGACGACCTGGGTCAGGAGCTGAATAAACGAGCCGTACTCGTCAGGAGCCAGACTCCGCACCTCGCTCATTTCCTCAATCGCATATTTCTTTGCCCAGCTCTTCAGACGGCTATGCAGGTTCTCCAGGTCGGCACGGGCTGTGCTGTCGTCGCCCCCGGCCCATGAGTCGCCTCCAATCCCTTCAAACGCCAGAGCCTGGACTTGTCGGATCTGTTCCTCCTGCTTCTTCGCGCTGCGGCTCATGCTATCACGCTCGGACTCTAGCTCCTTGACAGTTTGAAGCAGTCGCCGATTTTCTTCCTGTTCAGCACGAACCCTGCTCCACGCTACATTGGCTTCGTTCCGTGCTCTTTTGGCTTCGTTCCGTGCTGCACTGGCTTCGTCACATGCTGCACTGGCTTCGTTCCGTGCCGTATTGGCTTCGTTACGCGCTGCATTGGCTTCGCTAAGTGCGTTGCGGGCCTGGTTTTGTAGTTCGTGGATCTTGCTCTGCAACTCGTCGATCGAGACTTCGTTCTCTGCAGCTTCTTCTCCAGACTCACCCCAGAGCCCAAGCAATCCGGTACCAGATAGCAATAGACCAAATCTTGACCTTCCGGGTCTGGATCCTCCGTCTCGGCCCGCAATCGACATACGGTGTCTTCTGACATAGGATGACTGACGGGAAGGTCGTGCCGTGGCAAGATCGTCGGCTCGAGGCTCGTCTTCCATTTCTGACAATCTGTCTTCAACTTGCCCACTAACAAAGTAGGAACTCGGATGAAAAGTTGAGATGACTAAGGCTAAGCAGCGGAAGGGTTCTGCGGCGAAAATAGGCGAGGATAATCTGTCGGGGACTTGGGGTGCCTGCTGATGTTGGGGAAAGGGGTCGAGGCTTGGGCGACACGCCCAGTCGGGCAGCACGGTAGCCCTATCTAAGGTTCTCCGCACCGTGACCCCAGCCCCCCTCCATCGGCCTCACCAACCAAGACATAAGTAAGTCCTGTACAGATCCGGCCGGGGGACTGATTGGATTCGCTAAAAGCCAGGTTCTGGGCTTCAGACACTCTCAGCCAGGCCGTCTTGTGGCACAGCCTCCCAGGCCTCCTCCAGGTACACTCGATATCGAGCTGGTTTTTCTTGAGAATCCAGAGATCTGGAAGGTCCTTTTTGCAAATACCGCTTTACCTTGAAGCGAGCCTGATCTGTTGGTTCCCGGCGGTTCTCCTGGCCAATGGCCACCTGGGTTTCGCGATGTGTGGCGGGGGCCTGAAACCAGCTGCGACACTTGGTACCACATTGGGTCGCTCTCATGGTGTCACACACAGCCAACATGCATATCATGCATGTTGGGAGGCCTACTACATACCCCGCCCAGACGCCGTTTGCCTGTTCTTCAAGAGGAACGTTGATCGTATGAGGCGTCTGCCCACGCCTTTCCACAACGTCCTCAATGCGATAGCCATCATCTACCCCCGGGCCGGGAAACTGTGTTCCTAATGGTAGCCGATTCACCCCAGTGCAAGCCGTCCGAGGAGCCGGCAACGGATAGGCTGAAGATCATTATTGGGATAGACTACGGGACCACATTCACGGGTAAAGTCGCCCAGCCCAAAAGTCTACTAGAGGCGCTCTGCCCAATACGCAAACTTTAACTTGCGCACAGGTGTGAGTTACGTAACCTCGGACAAGACAAGCATCGATGATATCGACGTCATCCGGACCTGGCCGGGCGATGGACGCCCGGTGGAAGGCAACTGGAAGACACCCACCGTCATTGCCTACGGAGCCGAGAATCGGGGCGCGCGCCGCAATCACTGGGGATACGAGGTTCGCGGGGGCATGGTGTCGTGTTCTTGGACGAAACTGCTGTTGGACACGTCGGCCGAGACGGCCGAGTTCGACGACCCATCACTGCGCGACGCCACCGGCTCGGCACTCTTCCATATCCCTCGAGGAAAAGACGCACAGATGGTGTGCCAGGACTTTCTAACCGAAGTGTACCGCTTCGTCGTCGACAACCTGAAAATGCGCATAACACCCGAGATTTTCGACATGACGCCGATGGAGTGTTACCTCACCGTCCCGGCCATCTGGACTGACAAGGCACGGACAGCTACCTGGGACGCGGCAAAGGCGGCTGGCTTCGGCTCCCGTTCTTTTGATGCCATCAGGATGGTGGCCGAACCCGAAGCAGCAGCAGTGGCAGCACTGAGGAAGGACCTTCGACCCGGGTCCACGAATGCCGTAAAGGTGAGAGCAGCTAATTGAGATGGGGTGGCCGTACTGTGGCACTAGTGTCATCTGACTTTAATCTGTATGCCAGCCTGGAGACAACGTCCTGATTCTCGACTGTGGAGGAGGAACTGTGGTAAGTTTCGTTGGTTTCCGCAAGTCCAAACTTGAAGAGTCGTCACAGTGGGAACTGATGCCAGCGACGCAGGATATCACCACTTATATGATCCGAAAGACGTTTCCATCAATCGAGTTCGATGAGATTTGTGTCGGAATCGGTACGGTACCTACCTCCCAACTAATATGAAAGTCACTGCTAACCGGTTTTGAAGGTGGGAAATGCGGATCTACCTATATCGATCGCAACTTTTTCAACCTGATGACCCGGCGATTCGGGTCAGCCTTCGAAGACGTCCCTCCCAGGCGGAGAGGTCCTGGCAGCGGGTTCATGGCATCGTTTGAGAAGGCAAAGCAGAGCTTTGGTAGCTCCGAAAACGACTCTTATGAGATCCATCCCATCCACATGCAAGGCGAGTTGGACGAAGACCACTACGATGAGGATGAGGCGGCTGTTATCCTGTCGAAGTGAGTACCGCGCCCCAACTGTCAAAACCATTTACTCCCACTAACACTCGTCTTGCGCCTTAGACGCGACATGGAGGGTATATTTGACCCGGTCGTCCAGGATATTCTGCGTCTCCTCAGTCACCAAGTCGAATATATTTCGCGAACCAAGGGCAAGCGCATTAACGTAAGTCTACCACAAAGCTACCGTAGAGAATGATGCGGACTGACAGGCCCACAGACGATTGTCCTTGTTGGTGGCTTCGGAAACTCAGACTACCTGAAGCACAAGTTGGATTCCTGGTGCGCCACAAACGGCGCAATCAAATGCATCCGCCCGACCTTTTGGTAATGAGCATCACCGTCCTTCTCTCAACTTCCTCTTAGCCTCCTCGCCCCAACCCCAACTCCAACGCCGCAACGAGACCAACTACTCTTGAAGAAGGGTATATTGGCCCCCCGCTCATGTTCAGTACTAACTGCATGCCAGCCAAGCTGCCGTCGTTCGCGGCGCTGCTATTAGGGGCCTCGAGGGAGCAATGCCGCGCACGCTCATCTGCCGTCGTCATTATGGCTTCGAATGTGGGGAGATCTTTCGACATGGCATTGACGATATAAAAGATGCTTACATTTTTTGGGATGACCTCTGCTGCCGTGGCCGCATGACCTGGCTGATGGAAAAGGTTCGTTAATAGAGGCCGATTACCGCCCAGCTTTGACTTTCGTTGCCGCCGGAATCAACCATCATGAGGATATTGGTAACAGTTGGACGATAGGGTGCGGAACTTTCCGACTCAACCTACCGAACAGTCCCGATATGCAGACGTTGGTCACCTGGTGACTCGTATGTCTTCGAAAAGGAATTGTACTCCTGTAACCTTGACTCGGCACCTGGACGTATCGAGGATGCTGGTATGTCAAACCATATCTGTCTCTTGGAGAACGGGTTGACTGACAGCGTTAATTATAGGAGTCGAACACATCGGCACTATCACTGTGGATTTTACTAATGTCAACATGTCCAGGTTCGAGAAAAGGACGTCGGCGTTTGGTGTTGAATACAAACTCGAGTACGAAATCGGGGTTGATTTCAGGTCTGACGAAGGCATTCTACGGTGCTTTTGTCTGGCCGATGGAAAGACCATCGGCGTCACAAGAATCAGTTTCACCGATCTTGCTAGGTAGCTGTCCTAGCCTGCGTTGAGGGACTAAAGCATTTCTTCCCAACTGAGACTTCGAGGAGCTAGGACTAGCAATTGCAATACTGAAGTGCGATGCGTAGTTAGCTCAGTTTGTGTGTGACGCTTGTGCGCCATGCCACCAAGATGGGGTTTGGGTACGGCATAATTTGTTGGTGACTGGAAAGAAGCATGCAGCACGATTTCCGGAGTTCCGCACCATTGTTGACAATCCGCAAACTACCAGTGACTGAGCTGGAGATAGGTTTCAGACAGAGAACAAGTCCAAGTTCCACACTTTGGCTTTCCGATGGCCCGATCTGGTTTGAACCTACAGCCTTCCTCCCATAGCCAAGCGCATGGGGCACTCCCAATGTTCCACATTCCGGTTGACGAAAGGCAGCGGGCTGTCACTCTTGTTGATAGGCTTTAGAAGGAAAATGAGCCCGTGTTGCTGGCACGGTCATCCCAGTTGCCTTTTACGCTGCTTGGCTCCCCGCGGTGTACCCAACCCTGCGCCACAGTTCTGCGCCGCCGTACATGGCAATGAAGGCATCCACAAACTCGGTTGTTGCGTTGGGGGCTTCTGTCCTCGGATCTAGGCCATTCTCGGCGCACCAATGGAGAAGGAATTTGATGTCTTGACTGTCCGACATCTTCTTATCTTCTCCTGCACGGCCAAGAATCGAGCGGCATTTGGCATTCAGTATCAGGGTCGGCTTCAGGACGTGGATTCCACCCAGTATCTCGATTGTCTCGGTGGATTCATCAAACGGCTCCTTGAACAGGGCTGGCGGGGAAATGATCTGGATTTCGATGGTTGGATCGCTGAGATAAACGGTGTGGTTGGTTCGAGCCTCGACGGAAAAGTGGTCGCTTTGAGCTTTCAAGAGCAGGCGGGCGTCTCTAATGCTGCCTTTGGGCACGACGAAGTCGACGTCGCTCGTGGCCCGGTCTGAACCGAGGAGAAGACAAGCAGCACCGCCTACAATGGCATATTTCACGCTACCATCTTTCAAAGCGTGAGCGACAGCTTTGGCGGCCGCAATGATGTGGTCAACAGAGGGGTAGCCTGGGTAGACCTCGGATGAGGTCATTGTCGAAAATAAAGAAATGCGCTGAATTGTGCTCGAGAACGGCTTAGAAACGGTGGATGGCACACAGATATTTGCCCTAGATTATCAGATAGCCCACGCAAGTCGTGGCTCTGCTGTGTTGTTGTTGCCTGGCGGTCGTGGTGGGCGGCTAAGACCCCACTCAACTATTTCGCCGTGCCCCTCTCTCGCCAAATCGTCAATTCGATCTCACCAACTTCAGCGGCAGAGCAAACCCCAGGCTCAGCGCAAAACATGACAACGACACTTCGGCCTCGACACGAGCCATGCACAATCTTGCAAAATCATGGCATCTCTTGCTTACTCTGGTTTGAAGATGCGCTTGCTGCGCACGGTGTCCCGACAGCGGTGTTCGATTTGTATTTGCTTGTAAACAGCCTTGCTGGAGCCGAGGACGCACTGGTTGCCAAAGGATGGACGCCCGCTCCCCAACTCAGCCGAGGCCGTCATATTCTCAGCGGATCTCAGTGCATCCCCCATCGCCGCCTTGTACCCCCGAAGTTAATGACGGCGAGGGACGCCATGGAAGAGGGGTCAACTGCGCCGCCATCCCGGGGACCTCCTGAATCGCCGAGGGTCGTGCTGCTTCCCGCGGCTAACTGGGGCGTATCCAACCTTGACACGCGGCTGCCGTCGGGAGGTGGTTTTGTGCCTCCGCTCGCTCTTCTTATCGACGGATTGGTGGGGGTTTTGATGGACCTTCCCGTGGCGCCAACCTCCGAAACTTTGCAGGGCCGCCTTGGCACCCAGCTCGCGTATCTTTACCGTTACTGTGCTGGCTTGAAGAACCAGAACTTTGCCGAAAGCCTCAAGCTTGAGCACCGGCAGTTCCACTACGACGCGCTTTCAAAACCGGGCCTGGGGACAATACCGTTCATCAGCGAGCAGCGTCAAAACAGAGACGAGATCCGAAAGGGAGAGCGCCAGCCACAGCGGAATTCGTGGTACTTGGCCCCCGAACTGTGACACCTGAGCAGAAAACCGACGAGTCACGGCCAAACCCTAATCCGACATGTTTCCGCGAACAGACAGCCCCGGGCTGACTCAGAAGCCAAGGGAAGAACAAGAACCATGCGGGGTGGCAGTGGATGGGTGGATGGAACCCTGTGAAAAATGTCTCGGGGGGCCGAAAGCTTAAAATAAGGCTTCGTCAGACCCAAGACAGTGGTTCCCCAAATCCTTCCCTCGGACGGCACAGCGCTCTTCTTTTTGCTGTGCCAGATTCTCCCGACGGCGAAGTCGTCCTATTTATCGAACCGTTCAAATAACAGCGGCAACTCGCGGTGGATGGGCGGGAAGCCTCTCGAGTGCCCTTGTCCAAATTCATGCGTCAGCGGAGGGAAGATGGGCCGAGAACGAGACAGGGTTGCGAGCTGAAGGTCTTCCCCCAATCTCCGTCGTCGAAAACTGGGGGAGAGGGGCGGTGGAAATGACCCGCTGGACGCCACGATAATGAAGGTGATGAGCGAAACCAGGATGCCCGTCGGTGCCTGATCCTCATCAATTGAAAAGAAAGCCAGACGGGGATGAGCGAGACATGACCTCCAGCCTTCCTGTGGCTGCCGCGTGAGCCACGCTTCCAGAAGTCTCAATTCGAAACGCGAGATGCGGTCTGGAACTCGCACTGCAGTTGGCGCGCCGTTCGCTCGCAGATTTGACTCTGCACATCGCACGAGACTTGCCCCGATCTCGTTCGCTGTGCCACACTGTCAACTGCAGGGCCGGTGCGGCTGACGCCCAAAGTCGCTAGCGCATCAACACGGTGCCGGTGATCGTCGCTTCTTTTCTCCTTGGCAAGCCGCGAAACGGCATGGTGTGCGATGGAGAGGACGGGGTGCTGCATGGGACCATGAGCCGAAGGATGCAGTTGCTGGGAGAAGGGCTGTGGCCGTTTTAGCCCACCCGTTGCCCCGGTCGTCCTTTTCCGACGACTCTTTTCTTCTCCTTTCCGCTCCCGTCGCCATCCCAAAGTCACCGACAAGTCTCAACGGCCACTAAGACAAGCCCCAACATGGCCGTCATGAGTCTCCAATGGCTGGCCGCTGCCGCCGTCTGGCTTCCCGCCGTGTCTGCCGGCATGGGGCGTGAGCACGCCGCTGCCGGCGGTCCCATCCAGACGCCCGCCCCGAAGCTCAAGGACGCCGGTGTTCACTTGACTCCGCGCGTGCTCACGGCGCGCCCGGCCGCTCGGGGCTTGCTCGAGAAGCGCGACACCAACACCTGTGGTTATGTGGATGGCAATTCGCGTCAGTACAATGTCTATTCGGCCACCTGATATCCCGCTTCTCACACTTCACAGGGTCCAACTATGTCTGCGCCAACTCGGATGCTCAATGTCTCTACAACACCGAGGCATCTGCCGTCGGCTGCTGCTTGACCACCGACTGCCTAATTTACACGGCCTGCCTGCCGTTTGCCTCATCCGACGCCACCAGGGCCTCGGACTTTGATGCGGAGAGGACCCGGATCTGGTACGACAAGATCTCCCTGGAACCTTCGCTTGCATAGGTACAGACAGACACTAACATTGATACCCAGCTCCGACTCCGACTTGCCGGCTTGCGCTGTCTTTTCGTACGCCGACCCCAGCGGGTCCCTGTCCGGCTTCACCATCCCGACCTGTGACACCGCGGAAACGACCTACACCATGTACTTTACCCCAACCGGCGGGAGTTCAAGCACCCGCGAGACGTCGGCAACTGAAGACTCGGAGTCATCAACCGAGGCAGCGGCCGAGCCTTCCTCCGAACCGTCCACGCCCTCCGAGGATGATGACGGCAACCAGTCTCCCGCCGAGACCAGCGCCACTGCCGGTTCGGATCCCGAAACCTCCGCCGAGGCCTCCTCAACGCCCGTCGGACCCATCGTTGGTGGTGTTATCGGTGGTGTTGGTGAGTCCTTCCCCATGCCCGCATTTCCAAACCACTCGACCAAGAAACTAACACCCCTCCCCCTAGCCGCCCTCGGCCTCCTCGGTCTCGGCATCTTCTTCCTCGTCCGCCGCAAGAACAAGAACCCGCCCTCCCCCGCCATGACCGCCGCCCACGCCGGACCCCCCGGCGGTCCCGGCTACATGGGCGGCCCGCCCGGCGGTCCCCACGGCCTCCCCGCCTACGGCAACCAGGCCCCGCCTCCCGAAATGGCCGGCATGGCCGGCGCCTACGACCACTACAGCATGGCCAAGCCCCCCGCCAGCCCCGTCCACTCCATGCACCACCCGCACCAGTCCCCGCCCGGCCAGATGCCCAGCCCCCACATGAACGTCTCGCCCTCGGGCAGCCCGGCCCCGGCCTACCCCCAGCACATGCAAGGGGGCATGGGCACCCCGCCGCCCCAGCAGCAGTACCACCAGCAGCAGCAGCAGCCGTATAATATGGGACCCACCCCGCCGCCGCCGCAGAATGGTAATGGTGGGTTTGTGCCCTACCCGGGCCCGCCGATGCCCATGCAGCAGCAGCAGCATGCGGCGGTGGAGCTGCCTACGCAGAGGGGGGATGGGCAGGTGCATGAGTTGTCGTGAGGGGGGTTGATGTGAAGGGTTGGGGAGTGGGGTTGCGGGTTGTGGCTTGCTTCGCTTTGTTGTTGTTATCTTCGATGGTGTATATATTCTTTTTGTACTTGGTTGTCGATGTACGGGTTGTGGTTGGGCGTTTAGACTGGACATTGGGATGTAATTGCGCACGCGCCAGGCTCAGTTTGGGGGGGGGGTGTATTAATGCGAATCTGGGCAATGACCTCTACTTTGGTCGAGAGTGATGTGAACGAGATGCGGGAGTGATGTGGTGGAGTGGTGGTATTTTGCCCTGGGAATGTGGGGATCAGGGCAGCTGCCTGTCAAATGAATGGCTGTTTCTGTTTTATTGCCACATATTGTCTGTGATACCCTCCCTGCATCGTCGGTTGTCAGCGTTTTTGGATAGCTCCCGAGACATTTACATCTGTATCACCCCGTCTGCTCCGTCCTATTCGTATCCAGGCCCATCTTCCCGAACTCTGGGCCCGGGCACGCACTCCCAGGGTCAATGAGGACGATGCCCGAGCCGAATCCTCCACAGCCCTTGGGGGCTGGTATGGCTCCGGCCGGCATTTGCAAACACCAAGTCATATGAGCAGTGATCCTAACTTCCATCAAAACCCCACGTCAGCTTGCTCCAACCACATCCACTGCATGAATTCCCCGTGACACAAGCTCTCCAGTCCTCCAGTCCCCTCCCTCTCCCCAACCGAGCCCCGCATGGTGTGGGACGGCCCGATCCGCTGCGTGCTCGAAACCCTTCCTTACCAACATCGCGACATGTGGGATCAAGGATGAACGGTTTGGTTGCTGTGGTTGCGGGTGATGGATGGGGGGGTTGGGGGGTGGGGCGGGGATATCTGAGATGGTGTCGGTTAGGGGTATCTCAGGGGTAGGGTTGTAAGTTGATGGTGTGTCTTATGCAGGCCGATGAGGAGGGGGAGAAAGTGGAGGTGGAAAGGGTGGACTTTGGGTTAAGGAGGCGGATGCGAACACCAGCAGAGGATAAGGGATGATCTGCACCGTAGCGGAACCGACCCCTCAACTACCTATTAGGGAATGAAAGCAATATCCACCCCGAGAAACGAATCGAGAAGACAAAGAGGTACGATGCTAGTGTCTAGCTTCGGCTGGACCGTAGACGAGATGTGTTTGTTTAGGGCTGACGAGACAAGCAAAGGGGTACACTCGGATTAGGTGGTAGTGTTTGTGCCGGGACCGCTTCGTCATTTGGTGTTAAGCAGGTAAGGACAAGCGTGGGGTGGAAGTAATCGATGGGGTATCGTCGGACTATCGGCCATAAGAACCGGTAAACGGAAAAAAACGATAGCTATCTACCCGAGGGACGGGTCGGCTCGAGTTAAGAAGCATAGCGTGGTGTTTAGACATACCATCGTGCAGCTTGTAGTTCGCGGTCGAGCCTCAAAGCCCATTAAAGTGTGAAAAACGGACCTTACTTCCAAGCAACGTCTTCCACAGGTGCGGGCGTTGCGGATACATCAGGTGTATTGCCTCTAGGTTTAACAAGAAGCCAGGCAGAGGACGACCATGCGGCTAGGATATCTCACAAACTCTCTCAGCTTCAGCAGAGACTCCCATGCACCTATACCCATCCTGTGGTGCCATGCACTCATAGTTTGGGTATCCAATCAGACGTTATCGTCTTAGAAGGACTTCTACAACAAGAGCCTAGTACTACCTACCTACTACATAGCATGACCGGCATCCACCATACCTTTTATGACCATACCCATCTTCGCGTAGGAAACACGCAATTCATAACAGCCGTAAAGCCACATAGTAGACATGAACGTCCAGCTTCCGCTTGATAGATAGTGAAACGGAACCGGATAGGGTAACGCTTGCAGTGCACAGGGTAGCAAACGATAGCATCCCACTTGACCTTTGAGAAACCGGAGGAGTAGTGGCAATTTTTACCTTCCTAAATTTGACTGCAGTGTGTCTCTCGCGGAGAGACTAAAAAGGGGACTAACCGCCGGTGTAGAGTTAAGTTTGGCTGTGAGGTGTGTCTGGGGCCAGAGGTTATCGTGCCAAAACTACCACTTATCCACAAAAGGCAACTCGGGGCCGCTGGCGGGAGATTGGGGTGGTGTTTGGGAGAAGAACGATGAAGGGGACCGGAAAGGAACTGAGTGGGAAACGGGGGCCATACGAGACTTGGAAATGGTTGACGTTGTTCCTCTGAATCCCGGTGCGAGGTCTGGACTATTCGACCAGATGGGGGCCGCGCATTAATTATTTCCAATGCCATAATGGGCATAAAGTCCCGACCTGGAAACCCTTCTCATTTGATCACATAGCGCCATCCCCTCAACCGATGAGCAATGGTTTGAGGTATTTTTGGTCGCCCCTAGATGTCATCCGAGAGACCATGATAACACAAAGACCTTCATCCCACGTTCAACACAACCTTATGGAATCCTTCAAGGCTCACTGACTGGGCAGACCGATGGACGTTGGGCTGTGCTGGTTGTAGTTGATCTTGACGTTTCATCGCACGGCTCAGAAGACCTTGTCAGGAGCGCGGGAATGCATGTCTGATTCGTAAATGAAATTACCATCCATCCCGCAGGCCTTGGTGCTGATATGGCACTCAAGGCTGCATACGCATATTAACTGCCGGCTCCTTTGGGCAGCCAAAAACCTCGAGGCGAGGGCCCACGCCCGGTTATAAGACCCAACTGCCGAGCTTCTCTTCAGGCTGAATGACAAGCGACCCGACGCCGCGGTCCCTCGATATATGCTGAAAGAGAGATGAAATAAGAACCCAGGAACCCGGAATCAAAACACTAAGCTACTCTTGTTTCCAAAGGGCATTCAAACTCGTCACTCAACACAACTCGAAGTTGCACAAGATCATGTCTAAGCCATTGCCCTGGCCCTCCAAGCTTACACGAGCGGTTTCCTAGCTAGGAAGGTGAACCGTACACCTCCCTCGCAACCAGAACCTGGCAGCTTGGCACACGAGTCCGATAGCTGTCAAAGCTGCGGGATGCCTGTCACACGGTGAAAAGTCCCGGAACTGTCCGGCCACTGCTGGCTGCATTCCTTCTACCGTCCCACGCCGCCTTCGGCCAGAACCCCCATGTCCCGATGCACCTACCACTTTCTGTTCCTGTCCGTGCAACCATGGCTACCTAGTCGCTACGATTGGTCTCAGGTCGCCGTTGCGCCCCTAAACCGGTTACAACGACCGCATCGTCACACCAAGCGGTGACCAAAGTGGAACGGTTTTACCTTGACGAATACCGCATACTGATGACGCACGTTCGCTTCTGCACGGGAGGCAGTTTCCTCTATACGAGGCGAGTTGCGGCTCGCACCCGACGCCAGCACGCCACGGCCTGGCACTCTGCCCTCCCGCCGTTCCATGGCAGGTTTATATTTCCCGAACGCAACCGCATGGCAACGGCCCGAGAACTTTCAAAATACCACCTTGCACGTCTACACAGCCAGGTTGACATGCACGCCAGTACCCTGCTGCCCCTCTCCTATCCGAACGTCGGACTCTGCTTTTCATGGACGGCGGCAAGGCCGGGTATGCGTCGAGGCATCCGCGAACCACACCACGGACTGGCCGAAGCACGCAAACACCCAACGGCTCGAACCAAGCCCATCTCGGTAGGTGAGAACGTTTTGAGGGTGCAACTCTGTCGAGTGTGCCCGTGATGGAGGTATCAGCGTGTCCGTATCCGGCCGTCACGAACATGACCTTCCTTGTTGTTGCTCGAGGTATCACTAATCGTGCAGGGCGGCATGTGGCCCCCTAAGGGGAAGGTAAAGATAACCGTCTCGAGGCAGTGTCTCGGTCGACGGAGATAAATAGGGGGCTCTTCGCCGGCCAAGATGTTCAGAGCAGCCCCCATCCCTCAGACAAACTCAGTAGACCAACCCCCTTCAACAGCAACAGAGTCAAACCCACCATGCAGCTCCTCACTCTGGCCACGCTTCTCCCCCTTGCCCTCGCGGCACCGGTGATCCAGCCCCGGGGTGCCCAGCTTATCCCGGGCAACTACATTGTCAAGCTGAAGGCGGGTGCCTCTGAGAGCACTCTGCAGGACGCCATCCGGCATGTCAAGGCTGGCAGCGCCAAACATGTCTACCGTGCCGGTCGGTTCAAGGGTTTCGCGGCCCAGCTGAGCCCGCAGGTGCTAGACACCGTTAGCAAGCTGTCTGAGGTATGTCCTGCTTCTGGTGATGGCCATCCCATAGTTAACACATTTGTAGGTCGAGTACATTGAGCAAGATGCCGTCATCACCACCCAGGCGACCGTCACCCAGGACGATGTCCCCTGGGGACTGGGACGCATCTCGAGCCGCACCGCGGGCGCCACGTCGTATAGCTACGATGATAGCGCCGGCGAAGGCACCTGCTCTTACATCATCGACACGGGCATCTATGTTGCCCACAACGTACGCCTGTTTTGTCTTGTCCCCATTTTCCTCTACCACTTCCCGTCTCTTCTTCTTGCTCCCCATGGGGCATGGTATGGTACTGACACCAGACAGGAGTTCGAAGGCCGCGCAACCTGGCTTGCCAACTTCATCGACACCTCCAACAGCGAGTAAGTCCAAACCAACCCCCCTCTCCCCCGGCCCCTCTTTGTTCCTTCAAACACCCAACCTAACACCCCGCTCCCCCCCACAGCGGCGCAGGCCACGGCACGCACGTAGCCGGAACCGTCGGCGGCGTGACCTACGGCGTGGCCAAGAAGACCAAGCTGTTCGCGGTCAAGGTGCTCAACGCCAACGGGTCGGGCACCATCTCGTCGGTGCTGGCGGGCATCGACTTCGTCGCGGCCGACGCGGCCAACCGCACCGCCGCCGGCGAGTGCCCCAGCGGCACCGTCGCCAACATGAGCCTGGGCGGCAGCCGGTCCACGGCCATCAACAGCGCCGCCGCGGGCGCGGTGAACGCCGGCGTCTTCTTTGCCGTCGCCGCCGGCAACAGCAATGACGACTCCCAGTACTACTCCCCCGCCAGTGAGCCGACCGTGTGCACGGTCGGTGCGACCGATGTGGATGATGTGCGAGCGTACTTTACCAACTATGGTGCGCTTGTTGATGTGTTTGCGCCCGGTGTCGATGTGCTCAGCAGCTGGATTGGCGGTGTTGATCGGACTGTGAGTTATCCGTTCTGCCGGTCGAAGAGTGGGAAAGGTCACCTGGGTACTGACTGACTTGGGAAATAGAACACCATCTCGGGCACCTCGATGGCGAGCCCCCATGTTGCTGGCCTCGGTGCCTACCTGCTCAGCCTGCTCGGCCCCAAGACGCCGGCCGAGCTGTGCCAGTACCTCAAGGACACGGCCACCCTGGACACCATCACTGGCCTCCCCAGCGGCACCGTCAATGCCATTGTCTACAACGGCATCGCTTAGGAATAAGCTGGCTCTTGTGGCTGTCGTCGAGGGATGATGACATGGAGAGGTGAGACGGCTTGCGAGGGTCCGAATGGTGTGGTGGCTGTCTGTGGGGGTTGGTTCTCGGGCCCTAGGCTTGGTCTCTTTCGCTGTCTTTTCTTTAGACCGATGTTCGGAGAAACTCTTACGTACCTATGCTTGCTCAATGGTAGATCTAAATGCTCTTTGTTTTGATCCTCCCAATTGGTTCCACAGGAAATGGCAGTACCTAAGCTAGGTGCTGGCACTGTTAGCACTTTCTAGGTGAATGTGATAATGCAATTCCCATAATGGGAAGCTCCTTCTGGACGAAAGTGGGAGACAAAAGAATGCTGGACCGAGAGAATTTCGAAACTAGCCCATCAAGTTTCTAGAAAGTTTCGGCTCAAGAAATCCTGAATGTGGAACTCGCTCGTTGCAGAGATAAAAGCAGTAGTATACCACAGTATGTGAGTGGCTACGATGAAAGACTGAAGAGGACTGTGGTATAAGACTGAATAATGTGGAGAGATTATGAATAGTAGTCCGTGGGAAACATCATAGTTCCTCTCACAGTATGCACTGTGGTATCGGGTCTGTTCCTTGTTGTTGGCAGAAAGTTCGGATTGCATTCGCCCTAAGAGGCATTCCGAGATCCACGTTTGGTCCCCTCCCCCAGTCCAGAGCAGAACCGTGCTTGAATCTCTCTTTCACGTTGTAGTGTGTGTTGTAGTGTGTGTCTCTAAAACACGTTCTCGGATGATACAACTATCAAGGCAAACACTCAGCTGAAAGACAACAATACCCTGCCCATAGAGGCATTCCCGCTTTAACAATCCTTCTCGTTAACATATCTTAAACAGGTGATGAATGACCTTGTCTGCAAACTGCCAGACCAACTGCCAAACACCAACTCAGGAAACCGCTAGAACTGTCGCGCTTGCTGAACGTGCCGCAACGCCATTGAATGCAATCAACAACACGTCGAGCCCTCTGTTCAGAGGTAAACACCTTCAGTAAGGCACTCAATATGTTGTGATTCTGTTCATTTCGTCTCTTATGGTGCTTCAGCCCGTGATACTGTTGAGGTGGGCCCGGTCTCCCGTTTTTTTCCTATAAGGGGTTTCTTGAGAAACCCCTTTTTAGCTTAAACAGTGCGGGTAGTGCGTGTTAACTTGTGATAGCAGCTCGCCCAGATACTATCTCAAGTATTGACTTTCATTGTGTCCCTTCCTGCCACTAGTCGTTACCCACTTTGTTTTCAACCCTCCGATTTCTCAGAATTACTTCCTCTTCCCCCCCCCCGCTCCCCCATTTCTTCCAACTCCCATCTCGAGACCACGACCACTTCCCCAGACCACGAAGTTGTCGGGACAGCGCCCTCTCTCGCCCCCCTCCTCTTCCGCTTCGCCCTTGCTCTTTTTTGAGAATAAAAAATACACAAGTGACCAGGAGAGGACGAGGATGAAGAAGACCCCGGGCGTACCCTCGGGGGCCGCCGGCTCGCCGCCGACGGCACGACCCGCTGCTGCCGCGGCTTCAGCCGCCCCATCGACACCCTCGGTGCTGCCAGGCCTCCACCCGGGGGATGCCCGGCATGAGATCTCCGCCATCCGGCGGTCAAGCGGCCACTCCAGCGGCAACCAGGCAAGTCTTCTTCGTCTTTTCCCGTCAGTTAGCCTTTGGGTGTTGCGAGGTCCCTTGGTTGTGACCACCTTTGATCTGGAAGCCTGTAGTTTTGACGACGGCGACCCCCGACCCTATTATGCTAGTGTTGTGGCGACCCTCGGCTGTGACAACGGCTCTTGGAGTTGTGACAGCCCCTGGTTGTGACGACTCACAGAACTTTGGCGATCCTTGGCTTGAACGGCTTTGAGTCCGGAGGAGCTTTGCCGGCAATGGCGACTCTCGGTGCTCAAGACGGCCACTGGTGGTTGAGACGGCTCTTGGTGGTTCTGACAACGTTTGTTGTGATACCCCATGATGCCATGGAAGCGACGTTCAATGTCTTAACGGCCCCATCGTGTGTGAGAAACAACCAGACAAGCGCTAACCGGTATCTAGCGGGAGATTCAGCTCCCAAGCGCGTCTTCAGCCTCCCCCCTCGCCGGCAAAGGCGGGCGCGCGGCCGACAATCGTGGGGACAGCACCCCTGACCGGATCGTCGGCAAGAATACAAGGGGTCAGGGAGGAGCACGAGCGGGTGGTCTCGGGAGTGGATGTGTCGGCCAAGGGGACAACGCCGACAACGAGGAGGAGGACAAGGACGACAGCCCGGCGGGTGAGCCGGTGTTCCCCGGGGTGCGGCGGTTGCTGTACCGGGCAACCGACCCGCTCTTCTCGTCCCCCGCTGGCCCTTACCGCCTGCCCGCCCCCACGCCCCAGCATCAGATCAGTGGTGCGCAAGACGAGACCGCAGGCCTCAGCAGGGGCCCGCTGCCAACCCACCCCCCCGGCTCCCACCTCCCCGCGCCCCAACCATCGGCGCCCTCTGCCCCCTCCGCCCATTCCGCCCCTCCTCGCCTGCCCAAGATTGTGATCAAGGGCTCCCGCCCGGCCGCCGACGCCAACAACCAGCCCACGGCGGCCGATACCAAGATTCCGCGGGGTGAGGTGACCGTGCCCTCGGGCAACCAAGAAGCATCCGCAGCCGCCGGTGACGAGGAGCAGGCTGGGCCAGCCCAACGGCGGAAGAAGGCGACGAAGATAAAGTTGATCAACCGGTCCGGGTCATCTCTCGCAATTCCCAAGCCCGACAACGGCGACTCTGGCGCGGGGAACGAGGAGGAGGAAGGGGAGGAGGAGGAGGCGGGCACCAAGAAGCCCCGTCCGAGAAAGCGGAGCGCCACTACAGCCGGCCACGCAAGCGGTGCGAAGCAGGCCCACGCTGCTCTTCAACACGACGAGCCCAGCGGTGTTTCAGCCGCTGTCTCGAACGACGCAACAAAGCCTACCACCAAGAAGCCCCGTGGCAAGAAGGCTGCTCCTGCCCCCGCCCTCCCACCCACCAGCGCGTTACAGCACCAGAACCAGAATCTTGGTCCCAGTGAGCCCAGCGATGCCGCCGATAACACCCCAAACCAGGCGCCAAAACCCAAGAGGAAGTCGCGTGCCAAGAAGGACGCCCCTTTTCCCGCCAGTCCACCAAATGGTACTTCACAGCCCTGGACTCCAGGTCCTCAAGCCTATGGGCCTTTCTCTGCTTCTTTAGGCTTCTCGGGCGTGGCTTCAAGACCCCCGGGTCAGACATCTCGTGCCAGAAACCCCAGCGTAGCTCCAGTTGGTCCCCCGACAAGCGTCCCAGAGCAGCCCGCCGAAAATAACGCCCATGATGAGCCCGGCTTCCTCCTGCCCTACACCCCGAACGATGCTTCAGAACTGGCCGGAGAGGGGCGCCCCTATGGACCCCCTTTCGACGCTGTAGGGGGGCTTGCGAGCGGTGCTTTTGTGCAGCCGAGCCACGATAACGACAGCCTTAGAGGACTTGCCCCAACTGGTCCATCGCATGGGTCGTCGGAACAATCCAGCCTTGATTACCGCCTCGCCGAGCCCGATGCATATAATCCCCCAGGCGAGCCGTTCGAGCACCTGAACCAAGCGGCGCCCGGCCTCGAGCTGTTTGATGCCGCTCGCATCAATCCCGCATTGGGTGCTCCGATCCCCTTCCCGCCGCCGGACCCGATTACAGCCCTCTTCCCGACCGTCCCTGTATGCTTCGACGCCAATTCCCTCACCGGCCGGATCTGGTACCCATACAACTTCCAGGGCGACATCGACCCCCATTGGGAGCCCTGGCCAAGAAGGCGTGACTACCCGGTAAGTCTCCAAAAAGTCGCATTCTCATTGCGTTAGTTCGGCTCCGTGCCATCCTCCCATCCCCCCTAGCCCATCCCCCACCCTCTCCCCTCGCCCAAGCCAATCCCACTAACACAGTCTCGCGCAGCTCACCCCCGGCACGGGACCCTGCAACCCGACCGCCCTGACCGCCGAGCCCGACAGCTCGATCCCGCAGGCGATCCACGAGGACATCCGAGCCCTCGCACAGCAGGCCACGCTCTTCTCGCACACCACCGACAGCGTCGTCTACGCGCACGACGCGCTCGACAATTGCGGCTACGACTTTGCGCGCGAGCCGCTGCGGACGCCCATCCCGAGGGCCGTGCGCGGCGTGTTGGCGGGCCATCGGCCGTTTGCGTTTCCGCGGTCGGGGGCGAATCCGTTTATGGGGGCGGAGGTCGCTGATGGTGAGGAGGCGGAGGTGGGCGTGGGTGTGGGTGTGGGTGTGGGTGTGGATGGGATGATAGAGAATGGGGGCCCGGAGGGGAGGCCGCTTGTGGATGGGGTGGTGGTGCCGCCGGCGCTGCCCGCAACGATTCGGGGTGGGATGGTGTTTGAGAGGGCGGATAATGTGCTACTGATCCCGGCTGGGTGGAAGGGGGCGTTTACGCCGCCGAGGGAGAACGGGAGGGGGTTTCGGAGGTTCCCGCGGCGCGGGGCTATTGCTGCTAGAGGGGGTGGGATGGATATTGAACAGGGCCGTGGCGAGCCTGGTGCTGCTGCCGTTGCCGTCGACGAGGGGTTCAACGATCGAATGGCGTTTGAACGACGAGCCTACGTCGAGATTGGCGGCGACGTGGAGGACGATCTTTATGGGAACAGCCAAGCCGGCAACATCACGACAGAGCGGCAAGGCCCCGGGTTCGAGGATAACACTCCCGTGGATTTCGAGCACCCAATATACCCAGGAGCTGCTCCCCAACCGGCGATCGGCGGATATAACGCTAACAACGGCTTTGGTTTCGCGGCGCCCAGAGAGAGACTGGGAGAGTTTGACGGGAACGGCTTGGGTGATAACGCGATCCTAAACCAAGGACTCGGCATAACCCCAGCAGAGATGGATGCTACCCTCTCGGGCGGAACCGGCTTCCCTGTCCCAGACTATCATCCCAACAACTTAAACCAGCAGGCAGCCGCATTGAACGACGACTTCCCCATCCTGAATGGCCAAGCCGCCGTGGCCGAGGGTCAACCCGCCAGCTTCAACGGGCTTCCCGCCGCATCGAACTACAACTTCTTCAACATGAGCGACCAAGGCCAGCCCAACAACTTCAACGAGCAGTCTGCTGCTGTCGAGAATCGGTACGCGAATACCTGGCCTAATTTCGAGCAGAAACAGGCTGAGCGGTAGGCGGAAATGGAAGCTTTGGATCTTGAGGAGGCCCGGGCCGCTGAGCGTGCTAGGTTCTAGTAAACCTCCAGGTTCTAGGAAGCGCCTTCACCGAGCGAGGGTTTGATATGATCGGCTGGAATGGATGGGGATGTATCGAAGGACAAACGGAGGAAGGAAAGTAAAGCGTCAAAGAAGTCGTTTATGTGTGGTTGATGGATCGATTTCTGTTTTGTTTTTCAAGGATGGGCGGGAGATTTGAACTTTGGGCTAGTTAATGAATGATCGGTTGCCCTGGGTGCGGCGCTTACCAATTCTTTCTTTCTTTAATAATAGGTACTCCAGGTGTCCACGCCCGTATTAGGGATGAGTGCCACCTTGAACAACACTGGTGGTACCCGCCCCAGAGGAAGCATCGGGGTCACTCCGGGACTGTGTTGAAATTTGAGCTCGGGCTCATGGAAACCATGTTCACCCCGCCGCTATGTACGGAATAATATTTCACCATCTAGGTTCTGGTTACGGCCATCAAGGTCAGCTTGCTTGCTACATTGTGTGGGTAATTCACCTCATCAGTCTAGGAACGCCACCAAAGTCGTTCAGAAATAGAGCACAGGCCGCCCTTGAGCAGTTAGCTGGTGCTTGGCCATTTCCACGGGAGATAATAATAATATAGCTACCTATGAGCCATAATCTCGCTGACCCGGCTGCCGTGGCTTGCTGCTCCTTGGAAACGTGGTTCGGGGTGGAATACCCGGGATTACAGAGGAGACAAATGAGATTAGACAGGTCGTCCCGAAAGATGACTCGGAAGCGGCATATCGCTACCGATAGGGACAGTAAATGGCGGGCTTTTGTACAGCCGTCTTGGCAGTCTAAAGATCGTCGTCGACTCGGTCAACTAACCTCGTTGGAGCGGCGAGGCTGGGGGGACGGGATTGAGCCGGGCGGGAGGGGGTTCAACATCCATGACCCAAGGCAGACCCAAGGGCAACCCGGAACCGACGAGACCGCTGGCTTCAAGTCAGCCAATGAGAAGCATTGTGAAGCACTGGACGATAATAAAGTTGACAGATTCGTGCAACCGGAATGAACCTCGTCAAGCGGGTGTTTGCCACCGAACGGTCCAAACCGAACTGGCAACATGGCTGCGTATAATAAGAACGTGCGGCGCTCCCCCAGGCTCGACCGATATTGTGTCTAAACATGGGGTCGATCATGCCGCGGCCATCCCGTGCGGAAAGTCCAAAAAGCCAAAGGGAGCAAAACTGAATGTGAAAATGCCTTGCCACCTGTCTTGCCACGAAAAGTTGCCCGAGGTATGGAGTGCTTGCCTCCAACCCTCACCTCCATACCTTACCTAACCGGTGCTCACCCACTTTCAGGGCTTAGGGTCCTGAAGATCGGCAGGGAAATAACCCAATCCGGGATGCCTTTTGCCGAGGTGTGGAAGGTGGAGCCGCAGCGCGATCATTGCGAGATCTGGAATGCGGAAAGAAGTGCTGAGTGCCGAAGCCAAGACTTCCGCCTTTTTCTCCTTCCTCCTTCAGTTGGGAAGCGGTCAAATCACGAAAATGCGCCGTCACTCGTGGTTGCCCGAGACCGAGTCAATCCATGAACGTGGTCTCCACAGCGTGCTCGAGTGGAGAACTCGGTCATTGTTAGCAGCCTGAGCTTGGGAAACTCGAGTTGGGATGGAAACAACACTCTTCGAACCCCTCCAACCTCCTTCTCACCTCCAGAAAACCCCCGGCCTCCAACCAACAGCCACAACCAAGACCCATCGACCCATGGAAAAGATGCGTTACCGCCCAACACCCACAACTACACCGGCAACAACTGGCATGACACGTCGCGCTTAAAACCAACTGCCGACTGCCGGGCTGCCGAAGAGTGTCGCACAAACAATTTTTTTTTTTTAAGACTGAGCCAAGATTAGACGGTCAAGCAGCAAACAACTTGAAGCGCCGGCTGTGCTGGGCATGCATTCCTTTTTCGACCACTGAATTTGCATCAGATACCAACTCTCAGCCACCATTGGACGTTGCAGTGGTGCGTTGACCCCTGCCAAGCTTTGTTTGAGAGCCGAGAACAATGCGGGTCAGGGGTTCAGAGAGATGGGACGGCTCGAGGGTGTTCAGACGGGGGTTCAGACGGGAACTCGGGTTTGTTTTCCTTCCAACAATGGACGAACACCTGGCTCATCCGCGCGGAGGAAAAACGGGCAGCTAGCCAGTCAGGCGGCTATTCCCAAGGGAAGCGCCAAAAAAGCACCTTTTGGGTCGAGTCTTGGCTTTCTGAGGCTCTCAACTGGGCTGCCAAAAACGCCACCTACCTAACTACCAAGTAACGCCTTCGGACTTTCGGCGAACCTCTCGCCAAGGAACCAGGGGACACTGGATGCATGTTTCACGTTTGACAGCCACACCGTCCGGGAACATCACCAACTGTGAACCTCGCGATTTGACATTCTTCGCACACAAGCGGTTATGGAAAACCCGAAAGAGAGGCATCCGAGATCTGATGTCGGTCGGGTCTGGGCTTCCACACTTCACATCAGGGTTCGATCTGCGCCCCGCCTCCCCGGATGATGATCAGATGAAGCACCGCTTCCGGATGAAGTGCTGGCACTGATCTTGATCGCCACCCCTCGCGGTAACGTCAAGGGTCAGGGATGTCAGGCCAGCGCAGACCTTTGCCCTCGGAGGTCTCCCAACTGCCCAGTCTGGCAGTTGGCTGGCCAGAAGCGACTGTTGGGGGTTCCCGGCGCCACCCGGCATGTCCCTGGGACCCGTCCGCCACGGCCGATTAGAATAAGAGGGGTGCCGGTCTCTGCTGGTCGTTTCATGCAAGCTTGGAAGGATACCTCCAATCAGAGCTCCCCGTCGGCCTCCCTCACACCCTGGCTCTGATCGCTGCCGTCGAGACCCATGTGGATTTGAGCTCCCCCTGGTCTGGTGTGGTAGCCAATTTATACGGCATATAGCTGCTTGAGATCCGCATTTTGTTTTCCTCCCTCCAGGAATTTCTCCCCGCCCTTCGCGTTCGCTTTGAACCATTACATTCTCTACCAAGCCCCGGTCTTGTTTTTAGTCATTCCTTCTTTTTGGTCTCGCCTTTGTCGGACCGCCCTCGTTCCCTTCTGATAAGACCCTGTGGGCTCACATTCCTTTCGAAACGCTAGAAGCGCTTCACCGTCCTTGACTTACACGGCCGCGGCTTGCTTGCACGCCTTGATTTGAACCGACAACCCGAGCAACGAACACACACAACTACAGCCAGCAAGTCACCGTTCAGCCGCAACCATGCGTAGCACGCTTCTCTTCCTGTCCCTCCTCTCCTCGCTGGTATCCGCCACGCCAGCCCCCGTCTACCCGGGCTTCAAGACGGTCTGGTCAGATGGCTTCGAAGGCAGCGCCGGCGATACCCCCAACAAAAACAGGTGGAACCTGATCACCGAGTAAGCGCCCTCTTTTCGCTCTTGTATCCCTCCTTCACGTCTCCACTCCCCCCACCCTTGACGACTCAACGATGGTATCCTAACCCCCTCCCCCCAGCGTCCGCACAAACGGCGAGATCCAAACCTACTCGACCTCAAACCGCAACCTCCAAATCTCGGGCGGCGGCACCGTCCAGCTCGTCCCGCTCAAGTCGAAAAAGTCCGGCAAGTGGACGTCGGCGCGGATCGAGACCAAGAAGGCCTTCACGCCCAAGCGCGGCAAGCTGACCATGTTCGAGGCGGCGATCCGCTTCGGCGACAACCCGGCGTCGCGCCGCCAGGGCCTCTGGCCCGCCTTCTGGATGCTCGGCGACGCCGTCCACCACGGCACCGAGTGGCCCCTCTGCGGCGAGCTCGACATCATGGAGACGGTCAACGGCCTGCCCACCGCCCACGGCACCACCCACTGCGGCGTGGGGGAGGTCGGTGGGCCGTGTCACGAGCCCATGGGGAGGGGCGCGTCGGTGGGTTTGTCCGATTATGGTTGGCATACCTGGACCCTGCAGGTCGATCGCACGAATGGGGAGGGCGGGTGGAAGGGGGAGGTGATCAGGTGGTTGGTCGATGGGAATGTGTTTCATCAGGTTACCGGCGCCGATATTGCTGATCAGGGCATCTGGGCTACGCTGGCGCACTCGCCTATGTTTATGATTCTGAATGTTGCTGTGGGCGGGAGCTGGTAAGTTTTGGGCTGTTTTATTCACCTACCATGTCTTGTTGAGGGGGGGATTTGCTGACTGATGCTTGTCACTACCTAGGCCGGGTGACCCGAACGCCGCGACTGCCGACAGCTATGGCAGCATGATGGAGGTCGAGTATGTTGCTGTCTACTCGTCGTAGTCGGGATGTGGTTTTTGGAGGGGGCTCGTTTTTGGAAAAAGATTGTTTTGGGTCTATTTTTATCGACAGCGCAGGAGCTGGCTGGGTGGGCACGGGATCGATATGCATTTCGGGGGTGTTGTGTCCCTGGCATATCACGGGGTTCCCGGGTTGGCTTTTGGGAGACTTCATGATACCTCTGCTGTTTTGATCAGTGGATTCTGTTCGGCGGATTGTTGGCCATGGCCATGTTCCAGCGTTTTTGCATTCTAGGATGTACATATTCTTCACCCTCGCTCTGGTACATGCAGCAAGTTTGGCTTGCCAAATTGGACGTCCTGTTTACACCTCGCACTATTGTATACTTGTACATGGAGGTAAGTTACCGATACTGCCTACGCCTAAACGAAACCGAAGCCAAACCGACGCGAAACCGAAAGGATACCCCAGTCGTGACCAGCTCGACCGCATATGTCGTCATCGTGAACAGCACCTGGGCTGCAACCATCCCTGCCAAGGAAATCCACGACCCCAGCGTATCACTATCCCAGCCGAGTATCGCAGACCTCCATCATGGTGACGCCAGACCCGCGGGCGAAGGCTTTCACAAGCATGGCCTCACATGTTCCTAGCGGGCCGTATAAAAGAGCTCCGCTCTGGTTTCTACGAACCAGGGCGCCGTAGATGAACGACTCCGAATACTCGAGAACGAGGCGAGGAGTGTGGAGAGCCACCTTCGGCTGGTTGTACGTGAACATCGTCGTAACCCGGTCTCGTGTTTTCTGCGGTGCTCCTCAAGGAAACCATTCTATGGGATTCGGGGGTCCAACCGCCCATGTCATGTGCGATACAAGTATTAACCTGGTTCGATGATACCGCTGAGTAGCGGAAGCTTGTATTGGTTGTGTGAAATCTTCAACTCTTCAACGCAAAGCCCTAGGCCGCAGTAAGCTCAGCGGACACTTCCCCTGCTTCTGGCTTCGGACGCTTCGCCCTGCAGCAGTCCGCACAGGGCATCCCGCCTACCTAGGTATGCATGAGCATTTTATACAAATTTCGCTCTATGGATTTTAAGATCGCACACTCAGGTAGAGCGCTGCCTTCTCAACTCTCCGTCCCCGACGACGATGCAATAATCGACACTGCAGCGGGGGGGGGGGGGGGGGGGGGGTGCTTGAGCTGGTAATCCACGTGGATGCTGGCTTCTCCGTATCCATGGCGGGTTGCGGCCTAGACGGTGGAAAGGCTCAGAGGATACAAGGAAAGAAACCCAGTAGTTCCAGGGCAGCAAACAATTGTGGTAAGGAGAAGGCGTGAGTAAAATAGTTCGAGAAATTGGCACCAAGTTGGTTCTGGAATAACGTCCTCCTGCTGAAATGGGAAGATAGTTACGTAGGTACGGGGAGCTATTCCACTGTTCCGGGCCAAGGATAGGCAGGTAGCCAACTTTTGGAACGAAAACTTTTGTCGAGGTCAGTCAGAAGCAGGAAACTTTTGCACAAGCCTGCGCGTCTCGACTCTTGAGTCGTCAATATGTTTCTTTTTCGAGACATCTTCAAGTCAGGCGGTAACGAGCAAACCAGGGGGCGTTGTTGATGCCTTGCGCCATGAATACCAACCGAAAAAGCCTCGTCTGTGCCCTTCGCCCCTTTTGGTGTTTTGAGGCTGAGAACACCCTTGAACAAAAGTTTTTGCAAAAGTTTTGGACGTCATGCATCGGCTTCCTACCCGGTTCCAATCAACAGCATTTTGGTGTCTCACAAGGCGCATAATTGGCGACACCGGCTCTCGTCCGGCCCGGTAGCGCATCCCATTGGTAGGTCGATTTCGGCATCATGTGGTGCGTGTGCAAGAGTTAACTTGAAATATCCCAAATTATTTCTTGTAGTTGCGTCCAGAACCGGTGCTCTAGCGTTTCCAACCCTCCTAGCGGCCTCGAAGCCTTTCTACCTCCTTCATTCAAAGCTGAGCAGAACAATCCCGATACCAGATGCTAAGCCTACAATACACACCAACCGTCTCAAGAAAAGATGTCAGACGCCCGGCACCAAGTGCTGCAGAATGGGAGAGTCACAAACCTCAGATTGAGCGGTTGTATTATTCTACGAGTCTCGACCACCTCGTGAGGGAGATGGAAGGTGTTGGTTTTTTTGCTACGTAAGTCCCCTTGTTGTTGGCCTTGGTGGCTTCACTCCATCCCTACTAACACCAGTACCCCAACAGACAAGCCATGTACAAGTCAAGGTTTCGGCTCTGGGGGTGGCGTAAGTACATCACCCGCGAGCTTGCTGTCGAAGCCGACAAGAAGAGGACTCGCAGCGAAGAGGAAGGGAGCCCGACTTCTATCGTAATGCATAACGGCAAGGAGGTGCCGAACAGCAGGATAAAGCGTCACATGAAAAAGTACAAGGCCGACTTCCGCCAGCGTAAGTACCCATGTTCCACATGTGTGTCCCTCTTCATAAACTGATAGTACATAGGCCAGAGGGTGTCGGCATCAGTACACGCTGAGAGCAGCCTGGCAGCGTCTCGAGTCGTCGTCACGACACCAATCAATCATACCACCTCTCCGACGGCAGTCACTACCGCCCAGACACTAGAGTATGGGAGCATTTCCTATTTCGACCCGGTTCTCTCGCAGCACGCACAGATTGCGAGGCTCGCCCCTCAACAAACTCCTATCCGGATGGCTTATACTTCTCCCATCTTATCCTCAGATGTGGACGGCGCGAGCCTAGTATCGTCCCCGGGGTTTTACAACTACTACCCCAGCAACGACCTAAGCCGGGTGACTCCGAACGTTAACCTCACCGGTTATGGTATCCCGCCCTCCGGTGTCGAAAATTACAGCAATATGACCTACCAAAGCAGCCCTAGTTCGCTTGTTCCGCTGCAGGATCTCCCCAAAACTTGCCAACCGATCCACCACGCGGCGCAGAGGGGTTACATCAAGATTGTCAAGCTTCTCCTAAAGTTCAAGCCAGAATGTGCTGATCTCGAGGGTGAAAACGGCAAAACTCCCCTATTTCTTGCAGCACAGGAGGGCCACACCGAGGTCGTCGAGGCACTCCTCGCTGCTGGTGCCAACCCCAACACCTTTGACCGGAAAAACCAGAGGTCTTGTATTCACCAAGCCGCTCGGGGCGGCCATGTCGAATGTGTCCGCCTCCTCCTCTCAAAGGACGCTAGCACAGACGGTATGGACATTAACGGCGCAACACCGTTTAAACTCGCCTGTGAGGAAGGGTTTTTTGACGTCGCCAGACTCATTCTGTCTGAGAGACGGCAGGCCGGTTACTTCCTTGAGACTTGGTCCCTCCACCTGGCCGCCCAATTGGGCAACCTTATGGCCGTCCAATTCCACATTGCCATCGGAGCATCCGTTAATGAGGCCGTCGAGGGATGTGCCACACCTCTATGGCTAGCCTGCTTTCACGGCCATCTAGACGTTGTCAAGTTGTTGGTGAATGGGGGCGCTGCCGTGAACGACGCTTTGTCGAGTAGCCAGCGGCAGCCCATCTACCAAGCCCCGGAGAACGGGCACCCGAGGCTTATGCAGTCTCTACATAGCCGGGACGCTAATATCGTTCGCAGAGAGCTCAAAGGAGCGTCGCCGCTGTGGATAGCCAGTCAGAAGGGCCACACTAAAATCGTCAAGTTCCTCTTGGAGCACAAGGCGAGCCCCGGCCCACGAACCCTCGAGCCCCCCTCTTATCTTTATCCCGACGCGGCCAACAGCCACCAAGTCGAGGCGGCTTGGCCACCGCTCATAATCGCTGCCCAGGAGGGACACTTGGGCATTGCTGAAATGCTACTAAATGAAGGGGCAAAACCTGCCGTCCGCTCTTCCAGCGGGATGCAGCCCATCCACCAAGCTGCGGAGAACGGCCACCTCGAAATGGTACGGCTTCTGGTTGCCTGGGGTTCCGATGCTGACTGCCAATGTCCCGGCCGGGGAGGGCTCAACATCACGCCACTATGGCTTGCTTCGCAAGGTGGGCACGATGCCATCGTCGAGTTCTTGTTGGAGAAGGGCGCCTCCCCACTCGTTAGCTAACATCCCCTGCCCATTGGCGTCGATGACAATCCGAAGCCGGGGTTCTGTTTTGGCTTTGTGCATTTCTTTGGTTATCTCTGGCTCAACATCGGACTCTCTCCTCTTTGTTTTTATTCTGGCGCCCGAGAACTTCACAATTTCGAGGACTTTGGATGGGGGATATGAAGTAGGAAAGCTTACTTTGGCTAATTTCCGGGCGTATCGCTTTCTTTGTATAGTTAACTCCCCCGTCAGGCATCTTGCAGTTCTTGGGAAGGGCGATTTACCTCAAATCGTAGTGTTCTGTATCCATTTAGATTTCCCCTCATGGTCCCATAAGCAGAAAATGCGATGCCCTCAACTGACACTAAATAGGTAATAAGATTCCTTCCTCTAGCACACCAACGAGATTTCCCTTCTAGCTGGTAACTACGAGTATGGGGCAAACTGCATCTCACCGCCCTAGCTACTAACGGGTCCAAGCACGCTAGCGGTAACCAAGCACTCAGTTCCATCCCCTTGCCAAAAGCTTTTGCCGTCGGCCAGAAACTTCTGTATCTCTGCTCCTGCAGCAAAACCTTTGTCGCAAGCCGGCATGACAGAAAAGTTTCGGGCCATGGGAGCTCTATAAAGGGTTAACAACAGAGAGTCTGCCCGGTTCTCACGTCTCGCCTTTTTGTATAAAGAAGTCCCATCCCATGGTCCCAACTCCTCCCAACCAAAACCTCGAATCCAGTCGACCTCCTTTGCAGAGCATTTCAGCGCACAGGGTCTCAAACCTAAATCATATTGTAATTCTGTCACTTGACCACTCTCCACTTTCTTGTTGAGCCACCATCCTACGCATTTCATTCATGGAAGAGGTAAGCCAACAAACGCTTTGCTCACCCCATGTGTTTACCACGGCCACAAGACACAGTAGTCTTTAGTCCTACTACTATGCACTGTACTAACTCCGAGCCCATCGTCCACAGACTCAGAACAACTCCACCATGAACCACAGCGACGACAACAACAGCAACAGCAGCAACAGCAGCAACAACAACCGCCGTCACCGTAAGAGAGACCCCAACAAGCCGTCGTTCGCCATGATCTCCTGGTTCGCCGAGAAGCCGGGCCAACAACCCTTCTGTGGTCTTGCAGGCGTCACCCTTGTCAAGAACAATTCTAGCCATATGATGGTGTCGCCGTTGGACGAGGACCTTGGGTTTGGGCCGACCTCTGATTCTGCGAAGAACGATGGTGGCGAGAAGTAGGTGCCGGTGAAGAGTGCTTATTTAAGATGCGGATGTGTTTGAGGTCTATTAGTAGGCATGTGTAGCTAGAGTTGAAATGTCATTAGTTAGAACCCTTCGTGTGTGGTGATTGCGGGAGTTGTCTTGTCCCATTAAGAATCCTCTCCAAACCTCGCCCCTTTTTGAAACAGAAAGATGCAGCGAGCAAATAAAAAGTTGATGGGTCGGACCCAAGGACCGTTGACAAAAAGCAAAAGTAATCGACGTGGGCCTGATTCGAACAGACGCTCCCGAAGGAACAAGATTTCTAGTCTTGCGCGTTAGACCACTCCGCCACCACGCCTTGTTTGTGGGTCGACAAATAGACGATCCTTGAACCACTCAGGGGCAACCCCAAGCCTGACGACCAACGCCAAACCTCTTCAAGTGTTAACCACGGGTCGAGTCCCTGCTCTATGGTTTCATGTCCGCACGATATCTAGGTCTGGTTTGCGCTTCCCCCGTCTCGTTACGGCACTAGGCAAGTAAATTCAACACCCAAGTTATCAACTACGCGGGCCTTTTTGCCAGCTCCAAACTCAGGGAGAGACTCCCCCTTCATCCAACGCCCGCCCACGATGTCGCCTCCAAGACTCGACCGGCACTTCAAATCCCTCATCTTTCCCATGCTAGCCCTACCATCCCGTGCGCTCCCCTTCATCAAGACCCAAGAGCCTCCCGCCCGCGGATAAGATCCGCCGCCTTCTCGGCAACGGCATACACCGTGGCCTGCAGCGCGCTCCCCACAATCAGCGGCATCACACTCGCATCCACCACCCTCAACCCGCCCACCCCATAAACCTTCAACTCCGCATCCACACACCCGCCCAACCGCTCCGGCATCATCGCGCACGTCCCGCACGGATGCGCCAGCGACGGCCAAAACACCCCGCGATCCGCCCTCAACCTGCGCAACAACTCCTCATCCGTCTGTCCCCCCTCCCCAACCCCATCCCCCTCCCCAACCCCAGTCCCATCACCAGGAAGAACCTCCACCGGCCCCAACCCCCCCAACCCCTCCCCGCCCCAAAACGCCCTCGCATGCCGCACAATCCCCACCACATTCGCTGCATCCACCGGGTTCTGCAGCGTATGATACTGCACCACCGGCAGCAACCCACCCCCACCCCCACCCCCACCCCCCTCTGCTGTAGGATCCAAGGTAACAGTCCCCCGAGAAAGGGGTTTCAGCAGCGGCAGGGGCGCGACACCGTTTCCGCGGAGCGGGTGGCAGGTGATGGCCGAGGTGGGGGAGGTGAAGCTTCGGGCGAGGAGGGCGCGCTGGGCGAGGAAGCCGCGGAGGAGGGCGGGGGAGGTCTGGTAGATGGGGGGGAGGTGGGCGGTGGCGTTTTGGGTGAGGAGGGTTGTTGCGAGGGTGGAGGGGGTGGAGGGTGAGGTTTGACGGTGGAGGGTGGAGAGGGAGTGGTAGGCGATGGTGTTGCCGTTGGCGGTGGAGATGGGGCCGGTTTGGTGGGCGAGGTATTCGGCCCAGGCGGTGGCGTTGTAGGTGGCGTTGGTGGTGATGGTGTCGGGGTTGGGGAAGGATTGGTTAGAGAGGGAGAAGAGGAGGAGGGTGGTCGGGTGGTCTTGGAGGTTGGCGCCGACGGAGGGCAGGTCCTTTCTTACTTTCACTCCGGCCGCCGCGAGCACGGAGGCGGGGCCGATGCCGCTGGCCTGGAGGAGCTGGGGGGTCTGGATGGCGCCTGCTGCGAGGATGACTTCCTTTTTGGCGTAGACGCTGCGGGTGGTGTTGTCGGATCGCGAAACGATGCGCACGCCCTTGGCCTTCAAAGCCTTGCCGGGGTGGAACAGAATCTCTGTGGCGGTCTGACCGGTGATGAGGTGCAAGTTCCGTCGGGTAGCGTTGACTGGGTCATAGTACGCCGACCGTGCAGTAGAGCGTGTCATGGTGCGCGCATCGATGCTCAACGGAGACCAAAAGGCACCTGGTCCAAATCCGGCGTTGGCTCCAGGGGGTACGTCAAGCCCGGGCTGGTCCCGGAGCGCGTCCCAAAAGACCGCCGTATCGGGATACTGAAAATCAGAAATGTGGGTGCGCAGCGGCCCATCCCCGTACACGCTCGGATCCCAGGTTATGTTCCATCGGCTCACGACATCCGGTGACGGCGGTGTGAAGGTGGTGCTCTTCCGGAAGTACGGCAGCAAGCCCTCCCAGCCCCAGCCCGGGTTTCCCAGCTCCTCCCAGGCGTCGTAGTCAGCCTTGCTCCCGCGGGAATACCCCATGCCGTTGACGACGGAGCCGCCACCCACCACAGCGGCAACAGCCACGAGGGATGTGGTGTTATCCAGTTCGGGGTTGGGAGCCGATTCGGGGCGGATCATGACGCTCGTGTCCAGACCGTGGGCGTACCAAGGCACAATCGCCTCGGGCTTGTCGTCAAAATAGCCCCGTTCAATAACCAGCACGGTGACTGCGTCAAGTCAGCGGCCTAGAACTGTAGGAAAGGAGTGTTGCTCCGGTTCAACGTACTCTCGTCGTCCTCGGTCAGCCGGTTAGCAACCACCAACCCCGAAACACCCCCGCCCACGATGACATAGTCGTAAACACTCCCATCAAGGCCGTTATGCTTTGATCCCACCACGGTATGAAGGCCGAGTGCCAGCCAGCAGGCGAGAAAAGGAACTCGCAGCATGATTCCGCCCGTAGTTGCGAAGCGTAGTTAGTCACAGGACTCGAAGAGGGACGGCAAGGAAGAGGAGAGGAACATGCCCTAGCGAACAAGAACCTTATACGCCTGGTGCCTACCGGCAGCATTCTAGACTATTCCCAGTCGAGCCACCAAACCCCAGTTCGCACACTCCGGCACCGCTCGGTGATGCAGCACGCTGACTGATAAAGCTTGGTATGCATAGTGATTGGCCAGTTGCTTGGATATTGAGGCTGGAAAGGGGTGAGAAGCAGGGGGTTTGTTTAGGTGCTGAAAAGCGTTACTGCGGACTCGAGAGAAACGGTTACCTCGAGTGCTCGCCAAGGTTGGGTCCAAGTTTGGGGGTTGCAGGAGAACTCTTTGGCTGGGATATAACAAAAAGTTCGATATATGTCATCATATCTTCATCCAGATAGGCATAGGAATCCTCTCAAGATTCGAGGCAACTGGCTATTAACACGCCCCGTCGCCACTTTCGCTCATGCACCCCACGCGCGCGGTATCACAACCCATCCCAGAGCCAACTTTCACCTTTGACCTTCGTCGACCCGGCATTAAACAAAATACAGGCCTCTACTCGACACAAAGCCAACAACCTAAACACCAAAATAAAATCCAACACAAGGAAATCCACAATGGCGAGGGCGCCGCCTATGCCAACAAGAGGGTGAGCGGGAACCATGCAGTAGCCACCACTTCCAACTGTCTCATACCAAAACCGGAAAAGGAACGTGTACAATGCTCCCTAAACCTAGAGCGGCCAGCGCCGAACGGGCAGCGTGTGCGGTGCCGCGCGGCAAAAACGGTAAATAATACGAAAGTAAAGAAAAAGAAAGTCGAGAAGGAATGTATGACCCAGAGATAGCAACCTGGCCGGAAAGGGACATCCGCCTCGTCAACAACACGCATATTCGATGGGCAATGTGGCGAGTGACTCAGTCCTCAAGAGTCCCGACGGCGCAGATGCCCTTTCTCCAGCCAGGACGCTCGGGCACCCAAAGGAGCCCTAATCCGTCGCCCCAATTGTGGTGTCCGGCTCCATCGAAAACCCCGAGTTGAAGTCGAAAGGGCCCTCTCCCGTGCCGGTACCGTCCTGCAGGAACGAGTCGAAGTCGAAATCTGTCAGCACATTGTCGGTCTGCATGGGATTGGCAAAGTCGAGGTCGAAGTCCTAACCACACGTCAGCGAACAGAACGAAATACAGAAAGGGCAAGCCGCTCCTCACCATTCCGGTGGGCTCCAAAAAGTTGGTGGTCTGGTTAGGGTCTGAGTGTGAGGGCGGGGGCAGAGCAGCCGCCTGTTGCTGGGGTGCCGGTGCCGGAGGTTGTCCGTTCGGGACGACCTGACCGGCGTTCACGTTTTGGTTCTTGGCGAAATTTGCCGGGTTTACGGGCGTAATCGGCGTCGCGGGTGTCGGGCCTTCTTGAGGGCCTTCCGGTTGTTCGGGAGCGGCCGCGGCCGCGGCGTTATTGAGGTTCGGGTTGTTCTTCTTCTGGGCAGCCTACGGATAACGCAATCAGTCACGAAAGCACGACAACAACGATGGCTATAAGGAGGGGAGCACATACCTTGGCCTTGGTGCTCTTGGTTTCCTTCTTCTTGGGCGCTGCCTTGGTCCCCTGCTGCGGAGTCGGAGGCGCGGCACTGCTTACTTGGGGCGACGCAGTGGTGTTGCGGGCATTGGCGGCAACCGCCGCCGCGGCCGCTCCTGGTGGCGGGGGGGGCATGGACCGCTGGTTCGGGGCGGGGCCACCCTGGACCTGGGGCTGCGGAGGCTGTCCGGGCATCTGACCGTTGGGAACCCCCTGCGGCCACGGCATCGGGCCCCCCTGGCCGCCCGGTTGCTGGGCCTGGCGCTGCGCAGCTAACATCTGCTGCTGGCTCACCTGACCATTGAACGGGGGGTGCGAGCTCGGAGGTCGCATTCCGCCGTTCATCTGGGCCGCCATGTTCATGTTCATGCCGCCGAAGTGCTGCGCGGCGTTGGGGTCCATATTGGCGCCCATGAAGTTCATGGCGCTAGGCGAGCCGCGGGACTGGGCTGCACCATCCGGGAGCGGCGATCCCATATTGGCGGCGTTGGCCATCTGCTGGTTCGCGCGCTTCATCTGGTCGGCGGGGTTCGGCGAGGCACCGTTGCGCCCACCAGGAGGCGAGCCGCCCTGGAAGGCTTGGCCGTTCGGACCGGGAGCGCCACCAGGGCCGCCGGGCCCGTCGACTCGCGGGATGTTGGTGGTGACTATATCCTGCTCTTGACGAGCCATCATCAGCCTCTTCTTGTTCTGCTGCTCCAGTAACATCAACTGCATCTGATAGTCCTGCAAGGCGTGATTGCTACTGCCCGCGGCGGCCTGTCCGTTAGGCGCGCCAGGCCGCATATTGGCGGGCATCTCCCCCGGGTAGAGATGGATGATGGAGTTACCGTCAGGGCCTTGCGGCACCATGGGGGAGCCCTGACCCTGCGGACCGGCGGCGTTGGGCATGGGTTTGTTGGGTATCTGGCTGCCATGGTGCTGCGACATGTTAGTCGAGTACGTGGCAATCTTGGCTTGTACGTGAGGAGCTGCAGAGGCATAGGCCTGGAGCTGGTCAGGATTCAGCCAAGTTGGGTTGATGCCTTTCTGAAGGAGCAATGCTCGTCCTAAGTCGGGGCCACTTCCTACCTGCTGCTGGCCGGGCATGCCCTGGCCGGTTCTTCCGTTAGGCATCATGCCGCCCTGGTTCGGGTTAAAAGGGGCGCCTCCGTCGAGACGCGGTCTTTTAGTGGGCGACGGCGCGTTGTCGGCCGACCCGGGAGACCCTTGTCTGGCACGGTTTCCGTCCATGTCCGAAGGGTCTCGCTGCATCTGGCCGGCGGCCTTTTGCTGGTGGAGCATCTGCATCGCTTGAGGACTAGGGGCGCATACATTGTCAGCGGCCGTCCGAGGGGGACTGCGAACGCACTGCCAGGTTAGGTCACTTACTTCTGGTTATTCGCCATGGCCGCTCTCTGCAACTGGTTTCCAGGCTTCATGCCCATGTTCATGGCGCCGTTCGGCATCCCCCGCATCAGTTGCTGGAAATGCTGCTGTTGCTGGGGCATCAGATCGGGGCGCATCTGGCGAAGCATATTCTGTTGCTGATGCTGCCGAATGTGAGATTGTTGCTACGGTCAGAGGTGAGTTGCGCCCCATGACAAGATATCAGGTGGTACGTACCTGGGTGTGATGGACATATTGGTTGACCTGTCCGCTGGATCCCTTGCCCTTCTGGGAGTTGAACATGTCCCAGAAGAGGCAGAACCACTCATAGAGAAAACAGCTGTCGGGGACGGGGGTCGGCACATTCGGCGCGGGCAGGTCGTCCGGGCGCTTCTGGTCCACGCCGTCCTTGACGTCGGTGTCCATGGCATCGCCAAGCCCGTTCCCCAGCACGTTTCCGTTCTCGTCGCGATGCTTCCCTGGGCTGTCCTTCATGACCTTGATATGCGGGTCTGCTTCGTATACGGCGCGAGCGGCGCCAAACATGTTGTATCGGATGAAATACTCGTAGATGTATGTGTTCAGGAGGGTCCGGCTCGAGTCGTTGAGTTGCATCTGACTGGGAGGCCCTGGCTGGGGTCCGAGGGCGCCGTTGTTCATCATGTTCATCGGCGTGCCCATTGGGTTGCCGACGGGGCCGCCCATGACGTTCATGTTGGGTATGCCCGCCATGTTGTTCATGGTTCCCGGTGGGGCGTTGCAGACGGCTGTCCGCGCGTGGGGAGTTTTCGGAGACGGGACGGTGCACCTGGATATGGGTGGATCTGCAGTGCTGTGATGATGGTGGATGCGACAGCGCTGGGTGACGGTCTTTCAATTATCGCAGAATTGAAAGACGGGTCGTTGATTCGCCACCAAAGTGGCACCCGAGAAGTTGAGGCACGGGCGAAGCGGTAAGCGTGGGTATCGAAAAGTGTTGGCTCCGACAATCAGCTGGGGGCGGCGCGACCGAGAAGGTAATGTGGGTTGCGGAAAGAACGAGAGGCGCGCGCCGGACTCAAAATGAGTACGGCCGATAATTTTTGGCAGAGTGCGACAATCGAAAAACGCTGCAGAAATGATGAAATGGCCTTCAGAAACGGAAATTCGGGTTGCAGGTGACAAGGCTCGAAATGCGCGAACGGGCTGGGCTCCTTGCCTTGGGGGGCTGGGTGCTGCTTAAAGTCCCGTGTCGGGGTGGGATGGGATGGCCTCCACCGGAACAAAAAAAGGGCGAGCTGGATCGATGGTCCGCAAGTGCAAAGCGCACTGCACGCCTGAGGCCTCAGCGCAAAATGGATAACTAGCGGCGGCGGTATCGAAGGTTCGGGGGCTGTCGCAACCTGGGTCCGCCCACTGCCCTCGAGCGTTCCAACTCGTCGTCTGGCGATGGGCGCAATTGTCGTGCTCACCCGCGACGCTCGCTACTTGACCACTCGGGCGAAATCGGTGAGGGTCGACGGGGCGGCGTCGAGGTCATCAAAATGGCATGGCTCGCGGGATATGGGAAATGCAGAAAGTTGCAGGGACCAGTGCGGAAGCAGAAGAGGAGAAGGGGGGAGGTCGGGGTTGGGATTTTTGGAAATTTCGGCGACGCCTTGAGCGTAATGGGGGGCGAGAACCCAAGAGCGACACGGCGATTGGGGATGGCTGCCAATCTCTCTCGGAGCGGAGCGGATGTTCTGCGCAGTTCCTGGAACGGTACGGTTGACAAGCTGCGTAGTTTTGAGACTGAGCGTGCTTATGCCTGGGGTTTCGGGGGTTTTGAGGCAACTATGCAGCAAAGTTAGGCCGCAATTCAGCTCGTGGGGTCTTGGCGCCCCGATACAGCCAACCCCGGACACAGAGAAATGGTCTGACGGACGCCCGCCATGGCGAGTTCTCTGCTCTCATAGGTACTTAACGAACTGGGCTCCTCTCAAATCTTCCAATTCTAAGGTATTTTCGGATTCTGGGAGCAGTGACTCAGAGATGTGCCGGCCACATGGCTACCTAGTTACAACGCACCGCCACGACTGTTCATGTTAGGCTCGTTGTTGCAATGTGCGGCCAACACAAAGGCAAGCCCCATCCATTCGGGTTGGCTCGAGGTTGGTTTCCAAGCACATCACGACCAGGCATCTTCGCTCGATCGGCCAAAATCGACAAAGCAGCTAACTACCTACATCACATCGCCGACATGGCAGCGAGACCTTCCCCTTCCTTTCCATTGCCTTTCACGCGCATGACATCTCGTGAGTGAGACTGAACGCGCAAGTGGAGCTCCCGAACAATGCATCCATCCTTGTGCCACGTTTGGCAAGGATCCGGTGTGGTTGTGGTGGGTGGGCAAGCAGTCCAGAGGCCCCGGGTTGCCTTAGGTTATAAAGGCGTGCTGAGCAAATCTGACATGCGTGCGTGCTCAGTACGGATACCGAAGGCAGCGTATTCGTAAGGTGGTTAGTTAATCGGCACCCAGAATTTGGAGAGAATGGGATTTTCGAAACTCGGAGGGCTGTGGTGGCGGCGCAACGAATTTTGTGGGATTTCTGTACCACACCCAAGACTCTATCCGAGACAGTGCATCACGATCAGCGGGCCGGTTGTCGAGGTAGGCCGATTCCTTCGACTGGTCTCTTTTTGGGCTTGATGGCTTCCTCCGATGTGATATCCTCTGCAGTCGACTCGACCGATCAACCCCTGACGCATGCACGCCATCGCCAGGGTTGGATTGCGGGGACGCCTCGGGCAGTCAGTCAGTCAGTCTCAAGGTGAGATGGCGGACTCCCGTCACAGCTACCTAACCCTAACTTTAACTTTGAGGATTAACTACGGGTGGGGACAGCTTGTGAGGGAGACCGCAGCCCTGGAGATCAAGCACCCCAGCGATGTGCACCCACACGATAGTTAACTCCCAACTCGTTACAACTTTACAAGTGCTTCGTAACGGTCAATGAATGCAACGCCGTACCTTGCATTAGTTAGCCGCGAGTCCTGGGGAGGAGCCGGGCCGCCCACCGCCACCAACAGCACGACCCGTTCTTCCGGGATCTTCGGGAGTCAAACGCAATCCGCGTTTATCTTGAAATCGGGTGTCTGTTTTCGCGCGCTTCAGCTTTCTCTCTGGAAGAACGCGTGCAGCACGCGTCACATTGCGGGGAGATTGGCCCCTCTCATGATCGACGGGCGCCATCAAACAGCCGGGCACGAGCCGGGGTCAGTCCGGGGAAGAACGCCCACAGACCCACTGTTACCCGGGGTGACCGAGCTGCTCGTCGCTGCCCGTGTAACGACAACCAAGCCCACCGCTCTTGCAGTTGCAAATTTGAAGCACCAACAAAGTTCTGCCTCCATCAGCTCCTCATGGTGTCATCCAAATCAGAACTCAAATCACGCACATGAGTGCACCCTAAATGGGGATCAAATAAAAGCTCGGGCTGGAGCAAAAGTATGTGGGGCCGAGTACCGAAACAATACTTCCACCGTTCGGTCCGAGTCTGAACAAAGGACGAGCTCGGCCATGCGCCCGGTTTGGCAAACTACCACCGACAACCGACATAGACATAGCTAAATTTAAGCTACGGAGTAGACCGAGACAAATACGATTCTCGTTAACCCCCTTCCCCACCGCCGAGTGAAAGCATGTTTTGATTCCCCGCTACATGATTCATTGATTTCGAGTTATCAACCTTCATACTTACGCCGGTTGTGTGTAATTTCCTTGTCGATTGATAACAACTACCTGTAATCTTGAAGTGAATTTCGCAAACGGAGCGAGACAGACTAATACTGTGGCCATTGGCGTTTCGTTGTCTTTTCAACCCCACTAATGCCAAAAGTCCTGGGTATATGCTATGCGATATGCAGCCACCATTAGATATCGAACAACGGTTTGGTAAAACGTATTCATATGGATGTGACCGACCCTTTGTACGAAGGCGTAACCTATAAAGCATGCAACGGGCTCTCGGATGCACGAGTTCTGTTTCATCTAGGCGAAAGGTTCGATATGCCCTTCTTTCTTTTCTCTTTTTCTTTTTTTTTTTGTCGTTCCCACTTGGTTCAACCTCTGAACTTGGTCGCGGCTGGAGTAATCTGACATGAAAGAAGATTCGAAAAGACAGGGACACGAAGGCACGATTTGGGATAGTGAGGTATCTAACTTGAAAGAGCATGACTGCAGTTGTTATTAACGTTTTCCAACTGCTCTAGTGGGTATCAACGATCCAAAGCAGACCCAAGCTCAAGCCGTTCAACGGCACCCTGAGATATGCTCAATCCCGGTCACGCCGTAACGCCCCAACCATATGCTTGGGTACGCAGTTTGCCTCCCACGGAAACCATTGAAGTATTCCAAAAACACCCTCATCGTACAACCAACCCCCCCATTACACCAACTCCTCCCCACCCACTTCAAACATCGCTCGTATACGTCACTTTCGCCTCATCCAGCGCGTCCAACAACGCATCCACCTCAAACGGCCCGGTATAAGGCGCCGCCTTCGCGCGGCTGGCGCCCCAACCGTGGCTCCTCAACCCCATAGCCCCGTACGTGCTCCCCATGCCCACATCATCATACGCACGATCCGACCCGCCACAGAACCGTTCGATCACCCGCTCGGCGTTGGCGCGCTTCGTCGAATACTTGGCCTCGTTGCTGCAGAAGTCGATCGAGACCGTCCACAGCTGCGCGTCGCCCGCGTTGGCCGGGTCGCGGTAGGCGAATCGCCGTCGCAGGTCGATCTTGTTCATGTTCAGGTCGTTGGTGATGAGACAGTCTTGACTCCGCTCTGTGCAGTCCGAGCAGGTCACCTGGATGCGGTACTCGTTGAGGATCTTTTTGTTGCTGGGTTTGGACTGCGGTTGTTGGCTGGCGCGACGCCTGCCGGTTGGGCGGGCGTTGGTGGCGGAGGTGGAGGCGATAGGGTGTTGTGGGTATTGCTGGGCCCGTTGATATGGCCGGGGCTGTTGGTGTTGTTGGGGCTGCGGGTATTGTGGTTGTGATTGTGGATATTGCTGCTGGCGCTGCTCGCGCTGCTCGCGCGGGTCGATCTTATAGCCGGGGTGTTGGCTATGACCGCCGTTGTTTATCGCCGGTGCGGGAACTGGGGCATAACCATTCTGCTGAGGCCTGTGCTTCTCCTCTTGGGAAAAACAGTTGCCCATCTTGGAGTTTGCGGGAGCTGGACGTGAGGCTTTTGGTGGTTGTGGCTCGAGAAGTCCGGCTTGTGCTAAGTCGTGTGCTGGTAGAGCATGAAGACCGCGGAAAAGAACAAGACTTGTTCTCAAACCTGCCACCATGGCCACTCTTATTGTGCTGTCCGAGTGCATGTTGAAATGCTTTGAGGTGGTCGTGGCCCAAGAGTGATGGCGCGCGAGCATCTTGAGATAGTGATCATACGGGCCGTCGGTGAGAAAAACACGTTTTATGGGAGAAATGGCGAGGGTCGGGTGGTCAAAGGCCTAGATAACGGTTTTGACTGTCAATCCGGATGTGTGAGACCGTATTTGAGACGAGGTCGGATGGGTGGCCGATTGCTCGGCCCCCTGAGGGACGACATCAAGATATACGGGTGTCTTGCGCATCGCCCCGCAGCATCACGGGGCTGATGGATGGCGTGGCGGTGTCTGCAAAGATTTACTTGTGTGTGACGGGCGTCAAAAGAGTCAAAGGCAGAGCAAGTGCTGCAAAAGGGGTGGTGGGCTTTGATCCGTCACTCCCATGGGCTCGGGATGGAGGCGCAGTCGCCGCAGCGAGTGGCCCACGCGCGGCCGTTGCCAAATTTCGGGCTGTGCTGCATTTTTGCCCGAGACCGCCGGCCGGGCGCGTGGGACAACGAATTCCGTCTCGGCACCGGGCTGGGAATGTATAACACAAGCCGCTTCCTTGTGTTGGCAGTCAACATTTGGGGGCTTGCGTGACAACACAGGATTCCGAACTGCAAATAAAAGAGGAGACTTGATCCAACACTTTCCCAGCGCCAACCGCTCGTTAATCACTGCCAAAACGGCAGGACAGCAAATCTTTTAAAACCAACCTCTCACACAAGTAATAATGCGGACTGAAGTAGCGCGGTAATAAATTGACCACGGGTGATGGTGACGTGTAGGTGACATGACAACTGCACATCCATTGCTGTCAATCACCGCTCACCTCGTCGGCTGTGCGGATTGCTTGGCGTCAAAGACACTGCACTGGAAATCATTTCGGCTAGAAAAAAACAAGGTATAAAAACATCAATTGTGCTTCCGCCTCGAGGGTTTGTCTAGTTTGTTATGAGGGCAACTATCACCCTGAAGTTTCAGAACCGGTCTGGCCCGACAGGCCGGTTCTCTCCGGGCCGCGATTTGGCAGGCCCATGCTAAGCGGTGCTGGTGCCGGTGTCGACGCGTTTGGGTATGTGCATCGCTGCGTGTTGCCCCGGGTCCCGACATTCAGCGTGCCAGGGTGACCACCGCTCTGTCAAGACCTGAATGGCTCTCCTTATGGCCAATATCGCCGGTCGGTTACACCCTCGGGCTGGATGGATGGATGCCTGCGTTCTGCGTAAAAACCGACAAATTAAGGCAGCGCCTTTTCTCGGAATAACGCCTAGTCATCCTCTGGCGGCAGCTCGTCGTCGATGTACCGTATCAGGCTGATGCGCATCTCAGTCGTGTCGTTACCTCGCAGAACGTCGCTGACGAACTTGGCCTCCACCTGCATCTGGACCATCTCCAGTGCCCCCCGAAGCACACCGCAAAGAATGTTGGAATACCACAGCTCGTCCTGGGCACGGCCATCGTCGGGCAGCTCAACGAAGTCGGCGAAGGGGTTCTCGTCGAAGACAAGCGAGAACTGCTTGCCGTCGCTCGTCCAGTTTGTAATCGTGGGTGTGATATTGAGGAATATTTTGAAGCCCACCTGCAGTGCACACCATGGTTAGACTTCCCGAGAGGCCAGGAGTAGGGTCGGGGCGGGGGCGCGAACCGACCTTCGCAATCATCTCTGCTGTTTCTCGGAAGTTGGAGCAGCGCTTGAAGGTATTCGACTTGGCGAGATAGTCTTCGATCAAACGTAACCCAATGTTGTAGCCCATCTTGTCGAGTTGCTGGTTGACCTTAACATAGTCGCTGTCGAAGTCTTTGCAAAGTTGCGCGACCATAGCGCCGTATGTGAGGACAACGAGTTCGGCATTGACCTTGTCCATCCGCGTCCTCCGGGCGTTAGCAGGGCGGGGTCGGCGGTCCGGGGGTTATGCACTCTTACTTCCACACTCTAGGTAAAGGCGGTACTGTTAGCACGGATGGGGAATTGTGGTGATCGAGGGGCACTGGACGGAGTGGAGCGGAGTGCGACAACGTACTCTTCCCCAAGCCTCGACGCCTTGCTCGACGCCATGGCGGATTAAATAAATGCAGCCTAGGCTTTCGAGACTATGGGGTGGTAGGGCTATGCTCGAAAAAGATGAACGGAGCACGACGGCAACGACGTTGGAAGATCGAGAAGAAGATGCAGGCCAGGATAAGATGGAGTTGTCCAGGCGCTGGCTGGCTTCCGAGCAAACTGACAGGGGACGGCACCGTAACTACAAGGGTGCTCATCAATTGCACATTCAGATGTGGGGTTGCGACTTGGGCCCAGCAGCACGGGCCATCTAAAATCCAACTGCTCCACGGCTTCCAAGCTGGGCAAGCTCGCAAGCACTCCAACACCAAAGCTAGAAGGTTCAAACATCACCACCACCTAACCCACTCTGCCCGTCCTGCCCATCCCGTTCGCCAATTAGCTCCGGAAAGATCACCCGAATAGTAATCATCATAATGTCAGAAAAGAGACCGGCCTCCGATCAGGGACAGCTAGTGGTGAAACGACAAAATGTGGGCACGAGTCGCGCTCTCACCCGCCAGGGCGCGTCGGGGAGCGGTGCACTCGTCCAGACGGTACGTTGAACTAATTTAGAGCACTCCACCAGTGGCTTTTTACGCCACTGACCACTTGTCACAGGCACCGCGGACGAGCGCGTTACAGGCCCCATTGATGGAGTTGTCGGGACACTCTGGGGAGATCTTCACGGCCAAGTTCGACCCGACGGGGAATCTGATCGCATCCGGGTCGATGGACAGGACAATAAGTGCGTGCATAAACCTCCTGTTAGTGATACGACACGCGGCTAACGGAAGTAGTGCTTTGGCGGACGTACGGCGACTGCGAAAACTACGGCGTGCTCAGCGGCCACCGCGGCGCCATCCTCGACCTTCAATGGTCACGCGATTCCGATATCCTCTTTTCCGCTTCCGCCGACACCCATCTCGCGAGCTGGGATCTCACGTCAGGGGAAAGGATACGGCGGTACGTCGGGCACGAGGAGATCGTCAACTCGATGGACATCAGTAGGCGCGGCGAAGAGCTGTTGATTAGCGGGAGCGATGACGGGACGATTGGCATTTGGGACCCGAGGACAAAGAACGCCGTTGACTACATCGAGACCGAGTTCCCCATTACCGCCGTGGCCATCTCGGAGGCGGGCAACGAGATCTATTCGGGCGGCATTGACAATGACATCAAAGTGTGGGATATTAGGAAGAAGGCGCTGGTGCACTCGATGCTGGGCCACACGGACACGATCACTTCGCTGAGGGTATCACCGGACGGCCAGCAACTGCTCTCGTATGCGATGGACTCGACGGCGAGGACGTGGGACATCCGACCCTTCGCCCCGGCTGAACGGCACATCCGTACATTTGACGGTGCCCCGTTGGGGTTAGAGAAGAACCTGATCAGCGGGAGCTGGGACTCGGACGGCAAGAAGATTGGCGTTGGTGCTGGTGACGGTACCGTTGTGATTTGGGGCAGCGATTCTGGAAAGCTGCTGTACAAGCTTCCCGGGCACAAGGGAACGGTGAACTGCGCCGAGTTTGCGCCGGGCGATGACCCCCTAAGTTGGTACTCCCGATATCTGCTGCTATGCATTTTTACTAACCGATCGCTAGTTCTTTCCGCATCTTCCGACAGGACGATGTTGTTGGGTGAGCTCAAATGAGGCATGCCGCGAGTTCTGATACACAACCAGATGGTTTGTGATCTAAAGGAGCGCACGCCGGCTTGGACACCTTCCCAGACGCCGATCACTGGAGTTGCAAGTAACAGCAGTGGTGCCGAATACTGGCGCAGCAGACCTGCTGGATGATGGATGGTGGCCCCAGGCTGTGATTATGGCACCTTGGATGCAAGGACTTTGTTCTGTGGCGCGCTCAACCGGACCGAATCGATGGGCGCGACCCACGGGATCATTGTCCTACTGCAACGCCACGGAGGAAGGTGGAATAGGAGTGCAGGAGAAAAGTCTACGGAGATGATACCCAATCTCGACAGCGGGATTCCAACAAAGCCTTGCCATGGAAGTCTGGATTCGATCCATTTTGCGCAAGGGATTCGCTTGTAGCCCGCAACTGCATAAGGGAACGCATAGCCCCCAAGGATCCGGCGGGCTCCAGAAAATTCGCTCCAGGAAGAAAACATTACAGTACAGATCTGTATTGCCCTCAGAGGAGACTTGAGAAAAAGTTGCGTTTGTGTCGTTGTCGACGGTGACCCCTTTCCCAATTCGCTGTTAACTCAAGCTTCTGCGTGCAACCTGAAGCACGGGGAAGCAAGACAAGCTTGCAGAATCCTCCCCAGCCCAGTGCACAACTGCAAGTGCTGACCCGACCCAACGCTCGCCCGATGTTTTGCCGGACGGATCCCGTTCGCGTTCCCGGACCGCGGCCGCCTCCCTAACGACGACAAACGGCGCCGGCGACGGAGGCCGGAAGGCGTCGCCCAACCCCACCTCGCCCCCTCCCCCCAATCGAGCGTCTCCTGGAACGCGTCCCGCGCATTCGCGAGATGGCGATGTATGTTCGGCGCCGGGACCCCGTTCCCCCTGTTGGCCTGTTGGGGATGCGAATCAACTGTGCCCGGCCCCTCGAGGCTCGGTACTGGGCTGGCTCGCTCCATACCGTCGTACTACCCAGATGTATATGGCCTGCGATCGAGCCCGGAACCAGTACTAACTAAGTGAAGACGCCATTCGTTCTTCTTAACTCTAACTCTATGTACCCTATTTTCTTTTTCTAGACTTCCGTGGCAAACTCTACATCTACGCCGATGATTTTGCGATTTGAATGGGTCGATAGCAGGACGGCCCGGAACCTATCCATGACCGGTCTTCAAATGGTCTTCAGACGGCCTTCAATTCGACATCTTACAATATCTATGGAGGGTTGTGACCAGTGGCAGCCAGTGCTTCGCGCTGTCAAACATCTCGGAGTGATTGATTGCGTCGAACCATATAATATCCAGCCCGCTCGTGCCGTGATCCTGCCCGTCGCCAGATAGATCCGTCGACTTGTACGACCGCGGCTTGAGCCCGTTGTCGGCCAAGAGATACTCTCGCAACGCGTACGGGTCGACGATGATGTCCTCGCCCGCGAGCGCGACCGCGATGGCCTGGCCTCGCATCTCGTCCTTCCACAAGACGTTCTCGGACCAGTCGAACCGACGGGTGATGGTGTGCGCCACGCACATGTCGGTCGAGATGAAGTAGTGCAGCTGCCACTCGCTCGCCTTGCGTGGAGGGCGGTACAGGAAATTGTACGGAATGCCTCCCCAGTGGATGGAAAGCGTGACGGGGTCGACCAGGACCGTTGCCCTGACTCTTCCGGTGCCTTTCAACTCCTGGAGGATGTGCGTCGCGATGATGGTCCCATACGAATGGCCCATGATCACGAACTTGTCCCACCCGTGGTGTTGCAGGATTCGGAATATCTCGGCCAACATCCGGGACCGGGTCGGCATGCCTTTGGTTATGCGCATGCTGATCTGCATGAGCTCGATGGCGATGATGCCGGTCTGGCCATCTGTCGACGAGTCCGCTTGCATGAAGTCGCGGAAGAAGCCGGTGTACGTGCGCATGCCGGCACCTATACCGTGAATGAATAAGACGGGTAGCCGCGTCGCTGAAGTGTGCGGACGGTACCAGTATGAAATCTGATCAGATGGTGACACGTGCTGGCTCAGAAGGGTATGAGGTCGAAAGGGGAAAACGGTGAGGAAGTCCCGCAGAGGCAGGCGGTAATGCTGGAGCCCGATGTGCCGGGCTGTCACGTAAGTCATGAGATCGTCTGCTCCCACTGCAAACTGTCACGGTTTGTAAGTAAGCGACGCCAAAGAGATGCCGCATCGATATCGCGCGCGTCGTCACTCACCGCGTAGAACAAGAGGGGTCTGTGTTGGAGGCGAAGAGCATCGGTAGACACCTGCGAGGGGCGACACCGACCTCTTCCAGGCGGAAATGTCCTCCTTAGAGCCTCTTCGGTCCGGCGGACGTAGACTTCGAGCTCGTCGTCATGGTCAGCCGACGCCTCGGTTTGGTACAGGAACCCCCATGCGAAGAAATCTTTGAGATCGTCGCGGTGGATGCTGTCCAGGGTCGCGCCCTGAAACCAAGCGCGCAGGAAGGACTCGAGGTCCGGGATGCTTGACCAGCATCGCTCGAACAGCTCCTGCCGCTCTCGCAGGCTTCGTTGGACCGGTTGCGGGCGGGACCTGTCGAGCGCCCGTTGTCGTGGAAGGCTGACACAGAAATAGAACAAGGCTTCGGCAACGGCAAGAACCTCCAGCGGCCAGGACAGAAATCCACCGTGACGCCCGAGGCCCCTGGCCAGGCAGTAGGCGATGCTCGCTGGGGCGACAGCTCGGAGGGCCCAGATCGACAGCCGGATAAAAACATAGTAAGGAAGGCTGTTTGGAACCATGTGTGGCAAAGGGGGGAATTGAGTATATTGGTGGGAAACTGGGAATACTGAGCCCGTTAGGTTGCTAATGATTGAAAATTAAGGTATTCAATAAATAGGCTCGTGCGACGTTTTGTTTAGAAAGTGCGCTGTTGGGACTTTGGGTTCTCGGATACGTTCACCATGTCGGTCTTGACGTTTGATTGGCTCACGGCCGGCATCTGTGTCCTGGCGGCGCTTTTCTTTGCCCATTTTGCTTGGGTGAACCATCTTTTGAAAGGCGTCCCGAGCGAGGTTAGGAGGCTCTCAAGTCAGCGTTAGACGGTCGAGCAGCTCAATAGAGTGTAGTCAGTGTACCATGAACTTGACGAGCAGCCCATCGACTACCGGAGCCAACTCCCCCCGCGGTTGGACCGCCGTTATATAGTTACGGGAGGAAACGGTGAGACGACCGGAGGAGCCAACGTTGGTGCCCTTCTGTTCAGGTTGCAGACCTAACATCCTTCTCCAGGTCTCGTGGGAGGCTTCATAAGTCTTGCAGCTTGTCGCTCGGGGGACACCGCTTGCCAACATCCGAATCGTCGACATCCGACGCCCGGAGCGCAACAACATGAACGAGGGCTTGCCCAAGGAAGTCGAATTCGTCCGGACGAACATCGCCTCGGCCGCTGAGGCCGATGCTGCCTTTAGCAAGCCGTGGCACCGCTCCGTTTCCCACTTGCCTCTCACCGTCTTCCACACCGCCGCTGTCATTCTTGCATCAGCCCACCTCGATCACGAAGACGTCCTCCTCGACAAGGACGCCCCTCAAGCCGGCCGGCCATTCGTTGTTACGGATCCGAATCCCCCTATCTCGTACAGTGACTTGTACAATGCCATCTCCACCCTGTCCGTTCGCCCTTTCCGTACCGTAACCCTGCCGCCGGTTTTCGTCGCGGTCCTGTCGTACGCCGTCGAGTGGCACCGTCTGCTGCCGTATCGAATACCCTTTCTGAGAAGGTTCCTCCCGGACGTCAAGGGAGCTTTGAGGCACTTGCAGCCCGGTATCATCTCCATCTGCACCCATTTGACCGGGTCGGATGCGGACGCCCGGAAGCCAGCGGACCGAGGCGGACTCGGCCACCATGGAGTTATCACGACGTTGGAGGGAATGGTGCTGGAGATCCTAGAATGGAATCGAGAACACCAAGGCCACAACGGCGGGCCGAGGGGAAAGAAGCTGTACACGACTTCAACCTCGGTAGCCGAGCAGCTTCGCCAAGTGTTGGCCGTCCCCAGCGTTGACCCACAATACCTAAGTAATTATACCTGCTGGGAGGAGGCAACTAGAGGAGTCCATAGGTAATCTTCGTCGCAGAGATATAAAATCGCGCCGGAGGGAAGCAGTCCTCTCCCCACTCGAAGGAACCCTTCCGCGTGGCACTGAAAGGGGGGGGTGTTGAGATACTCTGTAGACAATGATAAATACTAGCCAACGGGAGATTTCCTATCCGCATCCCTCTCCCCGTCTTCCTCCTCATCCTCCCTCGGTGACTGCCAGATCGACGGTCACCGCGAGATGCTGTTCTCCCGCCGCCGGTTGTGGAACATGGGCAAAAGTTCAGGGGCCAGGGCCAGGGGGCCTCCTGAAACATGGTCGGAGCCCCACCCTGACTTCATGCGTCGTTTCGTGTGAGCCAATCGTCTGGGCGCAACCGCCCCGTTCTGCCGGTCAGGGGTTCCTGCATCTCGAGATCTCAGCTGCACCTTGTCGACGAATCGTGGGGATGGAGGGGGTGGAAGGTTGAGACCGGCTGGTTGGGCTGGGCTGGAATGGATGCAGGGAAGGGGTGCTTTCCTGCTGAGTGAGTGGATGTGATGGACGGGGACGAGAGGGAAGAAAAGGGGATTGGGAGAAAGACACTGATAGCTCTTGTCGTCCTGATTGTGTTGGTTGTGTGATCGAACCGTCCGGGACAGGACCGTTGAGACGCGGCACCCTCTTCCGCGATGCAGGGGCCGAGGCGGCGTGGCATCGTCTGCCCCCAACAAGACGGATTTACGGAACCACACATTGAAGTTCTCCTCAAAAGCCGAGCGTGCTTCAACCCACTCGCGAAAAGCAACCAGTGGTGGCTTGCACTAACGTGTGGCTTCAACCCCCTGCATCCCGAGTCTCACCTTCAACCCCGTCCCGTCGATTTGAGTCGATGAGCTGCTGCCCTACACACACTAGGTATTTGTTAGCCTCGGCTGGCTGCCAACATTTTCCTTTGCCTTCACCACTGATCTGTGCTCCATCCCCCGGGCTAGGCTTGGGACATTCTCAGCCAGTCGACTCTCTGCGAGGGCGATTGGGCACCTTCACCTGCATACGCCGAAACACCACACGGTGCTGTGCCCGCCTATGGGATACTTTCGTTCGCCTTAATTCCGAGCTGGATCTTTCTTTCCTGGCTTTTAATCCATCGTTTCTCGTTGATGGTCTTGGGAACCTGCATTAGCCCGGGAGTCATCGTGGGCAGTTGGTTCTTCTTCCCGTCATTCTTTTTCAGGTCAGCGACGCCCCTCGTCCCTTTGGTGGCATACAAGACGGCACGATTGGATTCGACATTCCGTCGCCTTCTGTTGTTCAATTCTCTTCTTCGATTCTGCAAACAAGGCTCTGGGAGCCGGTAATTACTGGACGGTGTTTCTCTGCTTTTTCTACCGGTTTGATACCACCACACACCATAAGGAGTTCATGATACCCACCACGCGCGTTCTGGCAACCGAATTCTCTTCCATACCTACCCTCTCTTGATCGGTCGTTGCTTCGGGACCGAAAGGAACCTACTCGACCACCGTCGCGACACGATTCGCGCTCTGCGTCAGAGTCGCCTTGCTACGGCGCAGACATCACAGGCCAGCGAGGCCAAAAGCCAACTTCAAAGCCGACTCTTGTCTTGGAAAAGACTTGACACGACAGCTGTTAGAGACGGCGGCAGTCTTCGACGGCATCGAACACAGCATGCCCACGGTCTTTGCGCCATAACGACACCACAACCCACCTGACTTGTTCAGCGAACAACACCAAAAACAACACCGCCCAACATGAACCGCTTCAACTTCTTCAGCCGCCCCGCGGCGACGGGCGCAACCAACGCCAGCGCCGACAACAGCGACCCCTACGACGACCGGGCCCCGCTCTCCCCGCGCGGCGACCCATCCCAAGACAACAACAACAGCAACACCACCACAACCCCCAACATCAACATAATCCTCTCCCCCGACGACGACCTCGAAGCCAACACCCCCGGCCACCACCAAACCACCTCCCCCGCAGCAGCAGCCGCCACCCGAGAGATGGCCGAGCGCACACACGCGACACCCACCGCACGCTTCCTGCACCGCTTCCGCCCGGCCATCCCCTCCTTCTTCAGCACCGCCTCCTCCTCCGCCGGCCACCTGCAACCACCACCGCCCGCCGACACGGGCTACGGCGCCGCCTTCGGCCTCCGCCCCAGCAGCAGCCACTACTCGGGTGACGGCCTGCGCGGCGCGCCCGATACGGTCCTCGATTACGGCAACCGCCATCGCCACAACCATGGATATGATGATGATTATTATAGCGACGAGGAAGAGGAAGAGAGCCCCAAAAGCCCGGAGTTCCGCCTCGGCCCGCGCGACCTCCACCTGCCGGGCACGCGGCTGCATCTTCCCGAGCTGGAGCGCACGTGGACGCAGGGGTCGAATGGTCCGCCGACGAGGCCCGGGACGGCAGCGGTGGCGGCGCCGGAGCCGGCGGTGGTGCATGGGAGGCGGCACGGGTCGGGGCGGTCTGCGAGGGAGGGTCGTGGTGGTGAGGGGGAGGATGGTGAGGGGGGGCATCGGGAGCGGAGGAGGAGGAGGAGAAGGAGGCATCATGGGGATAGGTCGGAGGGGGGTTCGAGTGGGAGTGGCAGTGGCAGGTCGCGGAGTCATCGGGGGAGGGATGGTGAGAGTCGGAGTGAGAGACGGGCCAGGCGGGAGAGGGAGGGGGAGAGGAGGGGTGAGAGGAGGGCGAGGCGGGAGGGGCGGGAGGGGCGCCGGGGGACGGAGGGGTCGCGGTCGGAAGGGTCGTCACGGTCGGAAGGCTTGTCGCGGTCGGGAGGGTCGTCGTCGTCGCGGAGCAGTAGGACGAGCAACCGGCCGCCGCCCAAGAACTTCCTTTTTTGTTTCCCCTGGATCAAGTCGCGGCGGGTGCGGTCGCAGATCCTGCGGTGTTTTGTGTCGGGCACGTTTCTCGCCCTGACCTTGTCAATCTGTGAGTGCGCCGTTGTTGACAACTTACCCCGTGAGAAGCGGACGCTAACTACGCAGACCTCACGCTGTCGCTCACGCAAAACGTCACCAGCAACGAGTTCACCATCCTGATGATCATCATCCTCCTCTTCGTCACCATCTTCTTCTGCCACAGCCTCATCCGCCTCTGCATGCTGGTGGCCAAGGCGCGCAAGCGGGAACAGCTGGTGCAGCGTGGGCAAGCCGCGCCGGAGATGGTCGGCCCCGGAGGCTACGCCATCCCGCGCGAGCCCATCCCCGTGGTGCTGGCCCGGGACGAGGAGGTGGCGGGGATCGAGAGCGAAGCAACCAAGACCGGGCCGCCGGCGTACGGCGTCTGGCGGGAGAGCGTGGTATGTACATACCAGCCCGACAAACTGAAATGCCCCCCGTGCTTTGACTGACCCGAACGGTAGAGGGTTGACCCCAACCGCCTTTACTGGATGCGCAACCAGCAGCACCCTGCGGTCGAAGAAGTATCCGATCATAGCAGTTCGAGCGGCTCGGGAATCACGGGGAGCACGGGACCCACGGTGAGCTCGGTGAGCTCGCAGAGCAGTGGTCGCGCGCCCGTTCCTCGGCCGCCGTCATATTCTTCCGACGATGGCGTGAGCTACGTGGTCGAGGCGCGGCCGAGGTCGATGGCACCGCGGGGAAATGCGCCGCCGGTGCCGCATCCGTCTGAGAACGGCATGTCAGGGTCGTGGTTCTGAGCATTGGTGCTTGAACATGGAGTTGGGGATTAATCGGGCAAGGATGGTCAGGAAGTGGCACATGGCATTTTCAGGGCGCAGTGGGATTTTAGCGTATGGGTTATCATCACCAGAAGCGTACCCGGCGTACGTAATTGTAATCACAAGAGGTGGTCACCCGTTGTTTCACAGTGTCGTTGCCGTTGTCAGGTCTGGATGGGAGGCATCAACGATGTTGTTCGGGACCTTTCCGACCGGGTAGCCCAGGAGTCGGTAAAGAGCCGGGGGTCAACTCGGCCGCCTCGTTCCGGAGCACGCCGAACCAAGCCCGGGGCGCCCCTGAATTCGACTGACCCGCCGTCGAAACGCCCCTCCAGTCATCTTGGGTAAATAACAAACCAGTGCACGCTCCATCTGCAGCTGCAGCGGCAGCTGACGGGTCCAGCCCAAAGGTCCAACAAAAAACCACCCGACCCTGCCCTGCGCTGCCATGCCCTGCCATGCCCTGCCACTGCCTGCCAACCTGCATGACATGGCATGTCCCGAAGCGCGGGACAAGCCTCATGTGGATGCGAGATCACCTTCAGCGTGTCTGTTTTGGGCGTTCCGGACCGTCTTGCCTCGTCTTTCCTGCCTGGACGGGTTAAGCTGGCGTTGATGACTGCGGCGCGGTCGGTTGGGCATGATTGGGCAGAGTGAGGGGGGTCGTGGCCGCAGGGATTGTGATGCAGCGGGGTTCAGAGCCAGCATACATGAACCGACGGGACCTGCCACACAGAGCCCAGAGTTTCCATGCAGCCACTGCGGCCACTGCAGCCCTCCGGACCGCCAACCCAGCGCCCTGGGCTCTCGCTCCACACTTGGTATCTGGTGGTGCAGACTGTGCCGCAACAAACAAATTGCCGGGCAAACGGGCTCCTTGCTTGGGTCCAGTGCTTGGGTGTTTTTTTTTAGTCGGTTTCGAACATGGCAAGAGAGGCAAAAGTAATTGAACGACCGAACTGGCTGAAACGGCGCCCCGCCATGGATCCACAGCAAACAACGGCAGTCGTGTTCGGTGAGACCCGAAACCAAAATTTGACGTCGTCTCGGGCCGGGGCAGGGCGAGCCCGTTGGTGACAGCCGTTCACTGAGACATGGGTATTCACCTACCGGCGTGGATGTCATTGTGCAGCGACCTCATGCCCACTTCGACCGAGAGCTGAAAAGGGAAGGATGGATGGAACAGGAGGCAGGAGGCAGGAGGATGGGAGCAAGGCAGTGCCGTTCGCAGTTCGATCAGTCCAGATTGGAACGAGTCAGGGGTGGAACCAGTCACAAGCCGCAGTTGCCCTCCGCTTTCAGGAATTCCCTCGCGAATTGGAAGCTGCAACTGGGTGTGGGGTGGGTGGTTACGGGTGGACCAGAAGCACGCCAAGGACCAAGAATTTTAGCCCTTAGCGTGCCCTGGAGCTGAGACTTGCGCCGGGCCCCGGGAGCTGCTGCAGCGGGGAAGAACAATGGATCCATTGCTCACCCGCGCCGCTGGCCAGGCATGAGCCAGGTGTGCTGCTGCTGATGGTGAGCGCTAGGAAGCAAGGACCGTCATCAGCGCTCCACGTTGGCCCGAAAATTGGAAGCCGCCGTCGCCGCCCCTCGGCTTGAGGTACCTGAAAGGTACTTCGCTTTCACCCGAGATGTGGCGCCAAGTTCCATCTTCAGGGGAACTTCCCCGCCCCAGGCTCGTTGTCTTGCTCCCAGACGCCGGACAAGGGAGGTCACTCTCCAGTCACTCGTTTCCGGCTTTTCGCTCTTGCCCGTGTGGAATGCCAGCAAGCTGCGCTCTCCCTCCCTTGCCCTGACTGCCCGGGCGTCTTTGCTCATTGTCCCGCTTATTCCGTCTTGCTCTCTCTCCTCATCCTTCCTTCTTGCACCAGTGTCCTCTGAAACGAACAAGCAAAACCATTCCTTGGGTGTTGTTGGAGGTAGTCGGATACGAAGTCGGAAAGGAAGTAAGGCCGAAGCTGCAGTTGTCGTTCCAAGTTATCACCAATTTTGTGGGAAGCATCCTATTGTTGGGTTTATTTTATTTAGTTATTTTTGCAAAGGTCAGTACGATCCCCATGGCGTCCCCCCGTTACCTCGAGCACCCGACTCTCCTTTCGTTTGGAAAAAAGACACGTTTGCATGCGCACATATCGATACGAGCGCAAGGGACTGGCGTTTGCAGGGCCGGCGGGCATCTATCGCCAACATGCGGGACCATCGCGGAGGCATTATTGGAAGCAGAGTCGAATGCGCGCATTATGGGAAGCCAGGGGTTTGGGCAACGACACCGCGATCACACCATCTCTATCTGCGTTCGAACCACTCCCAATCCTTCACACACCCATCCGCGTGGTGGTGAGTGGTTGAAGCAGGTTTTGGCGCTTGTGGTTTACACAAGACGTCATTTCCATGCACTCCAGGAAAGCCGGCCGGACGTCGGGTCGCACAATCCTGTCCCGACGCTGCGGAACCTGCCTCGCATGGGGGCGCAATCAGCGAGGCCTTTCCCATCCATCTCCCACCGAGCAACCGCCCCGATGTGAATATCTGGGGTCAACAAAAACCAGAACACCGAGACGGGACCATGGATATGATAAAGTCGTTCCCCAGAGGCCCTGCGCCAGGGAGCCACGGCGACAGGACACGACCCCAAGAACGACGACCAGCGCTTGCAAACGTGTCAGCAAACAAACATCACCGAGGGGGATCGCGTGGCCAGGCGCGACATCCTGCTAACGCGCTTGCAGATCCCTTTCAGACACAAGCATCATGTCGTCAGTTTCTCGTCGGGCGTGCTACAAGTGTGGTGAGCTTGGCCACCATGCCGAGGCCTGCGCCTCGCCGCATCGGCTCTGCTACAACTGTATGTCCCCCCTCTACTGCGCTCTCCTGCGGCCGCTCCTTGGTCGGTAGGTGCATGCGCTAACGTTAAGTACAGGCAAGCAACCGAACCACGAGTCGAACGAGTGCCCGATGCCCCGCACCACCAAGGCGAAGCAGTGCTACCACTGCCAGGGTCTCGGACACGTCCAGGCCGAGTGCCCGACCCTCCGCCTAAGCGGCGCCGGCGCCGGCAACCGGTGCTACAACTGCGATTCTATTGGCCATCTGGCTGTGCGTCCTCCCCTTGCCGACATGACGATCTGATTGGATACTAACGTCCGCAGCGCAACTGCCCTAACCCCCCGGTCCCCGGAGGCGGCCGCGGCGGCGCCATGGTCCCCCGTGGTGGCTTTGCCCCGATGCGGGGTGGATTCGTCGGCGGACCCCGTCCGGCAACATGCTACAAGTGCGGCGGCCCGAACCACTTTGCTCGCGACTGCCAGGCGCAAGCGATGAAGTGCTATGCCTGCGGCAAGCTCGGCCACATTTCCCGCGACTGCACCGCCCCCAACGGCGGCCCGCTCAACACGGCCGGCAAGACTTGCTACCAGTGCGGCGAGGCCGGACACATCTCGCGCGACTGCGGCAACAAGCCCGGCCCCATGGGCGGCGAGATGCAGCCCGAGGTCGACATGACGGGCGCCCCGGTCATGCCCCCCCAGCCCGTCGCCCCTCTCGCGCCGGTTGCCTAAGCGTGCTTTGGCCAACCACACAGCGGGGAGTCGGTCAAGTTCGGATTTACTTTCTTCGGCAACACATGGTTTTCCGGTCCACATACCCTCTCCTTGGTCTATTCCTACTCTGAACACGGGATCAGGACGGTACGACATGGGGTTTCTTCCAACGGCGTTCTCGGTTCTGGCTCGTATCACGATTGGGTTCATGTTTACTCTCATCTGGACAACACGATGGAAATGGAAAAGACTCGCGTCTCCTCCTTGGAAAGCACTTTCTCTTCGATAACGATTGTTTTTGGTCAGGGCAAGTGCAATCTGAGCATGGTTTGGGTTGCATCTTGAGGCATTTTTTCTCCTTTTTCTTTTCCCCATCCCGCTTTGTTTCCTTTTCCATCGCCTCCATACCTAGACGCTATTTGGAAACGAGCAACTTTCAGAGATACCCCCCTTCGGCGCGGAAACACGATTCGGACATGGTTGTCGAGGCTCTAGGGCACTTTCAGCAGCACACCGGGCTCGGCAGGTTGTGCCGCGGCGGCGCGACAAGGTCAGGCGGGCAAAGGGCACAGGGGCAGGCCAGATCGGAAGGGGCGACTTGATTGGTTGGAAGGGTGTGGTGCGTGGGAAGCGGATGTAAAGCTGTGGACGGTGCAAGCAGTCGGCACGGCGATGTAGGAAGGAAATACAGCATTGTTCGGGTCGATCTGATGGTTGATTGTGATGCATATGGCATGGTGTTCCAGTCTCAAGGGCCCGTTTTTATCCTGACCACCGTTACTGGATGCTTCTCAGGCACCGCGAGCACCTTCAACATCACCCAAATGCTACAAACCCACCATCGTTACGGTGCAAAAAGACGCAAAAAGTAGAGACAACTTAGTTGTCCAGGGAGGTGGTATCAGGTTTATCCTGCCTGATACTGGAATCGAACCAGTGATCTTTGCATCTCTAGGCGGTACGAGTGCAACGCATTACCCCTGTGCTAATCAGGCTGTGATAGGCCCGTTTTAAAACGAGGTTAAGGGGCGGGGTCGCCGTGGGGTTTGGAGTTGCAGTTGCTCTGCTGTCTCTCTTGGCAGGGAAACCGGAGAGTGTAATTATCATGAGGTCTTGTCACGTACGGATGGCATCGTTTCGAGGTAGGGTGGTAGTTAAAAAGTAAGTTCAAACTCTTATATATTCAACATTGTTTACTATTGTCTTGGTATGGTTTGTAGACTTCGATCTTCGAGGTTGCTAAGGGTAAAGACGTATTCGCGGAGAGATTTCAGGCTTCATCTAGCCCATGTAGGTTGTTGAGACGGAAGTCTGCTTAGCTGTTGACTATGTCAAAGCTTACTACAACGAAAACCAGGTCATGAGGGGTCTAATAGGGGAACGTCAGGGGTAGGTATTCTGGTGTCCTCGGACCAACTAAAGAAGCAAATCTCTTTGATTTTAATTTGTTAGTAACTGATTGCAGCTCCTGCTTAATGGCCGATTCTAACCATCACATAAAAAGCACTCCCACACCACAATTGCAACCGGAAGAAGAAATCCGTCAGCTGATGACTCGAGTGCATCATAAAAGACAAGAAGATTCACGGACCCACAAACGGGATGATGCCCCTGAAAATGAGGCTCGGCAATCAATGCCTGGGATGTTGAGAGTGCCACGTTCATGCGTGGATAGTGATATATCACGTCAACTATGTATTCAAGGTATTCAAACGGTTGAACCGGTTACCGGAAGAAATCCATCTGGACTAGGATACGTCGAGGGACCCGAGTCTTCGAAACTCGGAACGGACCGTGACTCGGACTCGGACCAGTGCAGCCCCGCATTCATTTGTTTGGTTACACTTCGAGATCGTCATCCAAACAAAATGACGATGCCCGTGTCACCGCCGATCATCCATCCCTGGATGCGAGACCAATGGCGTCCAGGCCCCGAACCCATATAATGCGTGGGGATGCCCCGAGCCCCGGCATGTCGTTTCCTGAACCCATTGATCGATCTGGACCTGGCCAACAATCCGGGTTCAATCGTGAGGTTCAATCTTTCGTGAGTTGCAGACAGTAACAGGCAGGTTGCCTACCACCGGGCCACCATGAAAACAACACAGGCTCACGTCCTGCTCGCGGGTCTCATCCCCTCGGTGGCAGCACAATCCTGCCCCGACTACTCCGACTACTCCAAGTCCCGCCACGAACCCTTCTCCTCGGGCAAGCATGCCCTCTCCTCCATGCGCCCGGCAGCCGCCTGCCGCACCTTCAACTCGTCCACCGTCGAGACCCTCCTCGCCAACATGACCGAGACCATCTCGGACCCGGACCTCTACCGCCTCTTCGAGAACACCTACCCCAACACCCTCGACACCACCGTCCGCTGGCGCGGCCACGCCGCCGACAACCCGGACGAGGAGCTCGCCTTCGTCATCACCGGCGACATCGACGCCATGTGGCTGCGCGACAGCGCCAACCAGCTGCAATCCTACCTCCCCCTGCTCGAGCCGGACGCCGCCCCCGACGACCCAACCTCCATCGCCAGCCTCTACCGCGGCGTCATCAACCTGCAAGCCCGCCAAATCCTGACCGCCCCCTTCTGCAACGCCTTCCAACCCCCGCCCGAAAGCGGCATCCCGCCCGCCCCCAACCCCGCCGCCGACACCGACACCGTCCACCCGCCCTACCCCGCAGACTCCGTATTCGAATGCAAATACGAGCTCGACAGCCTGGCCTCCTTCCTGCAGCTCAGCGCGTCCTACTACGAAGCGACCCACGACGCCGCCTTCTTCGGGTCCTTCTCCTGGCTCTCCGCCCTCCAAACCCTCCTCACCACCGCCCGCTCCATGACCGCGCCCACCTACTCCCCTTCCGGCGAGGTCCTCCCACCCGTATACACATTCACCCGCCTCACCACGCGCGCGACGGAAACGCTCCTCAACGACGGCGCGGGCGCCCCCGTCCGCCGCACGGGCATGGTGCGCAGCGCGTTCCGCCCCAGCGACGACGCGACCACGTACCCGTTCCTGGTGCCGGCGAATATGCTGTTTGCGCGGGCGCTGGCGGGGGCGGGGTTGATTGTGGCGGAGCTGGAGGCCGATGGGAAAGCCCCCGAGGGGTTGGCGGAGGAGATGGCGGGGTTTTCGGCGGATGTGAGGGCGGCGGTGACGAGGTACGGGGTTGTGCATTTGCCGGTTTTGGGCGGGGGTGGGAATGGGACGGTGGAGACGGAGACGGTGTATGCGTATGAGGTGGATGGGTACGGGTCGGCGGCGGTGATGGATGATGCGAATGTGCCGTCGTTGTTGGCGGCGCCCGTGTTTGGGTATTTGGCGAATGTGGACCCGGTGTATCAGCGTACGCGGAAGAGGTTGCTGACCGCGGAGGGGAATCCGTATTTTATGGCGGGCAAGGTGATTAATGCGATTGGGGGACCGCATGCCGGGCCTGGGATGGCGTGGCCGATGGCGAGTGTGGTGAGGATTCTGACGTCGGAGGATGATGAGGAGATCGAGGCGGTGCTGAGGGAGTTGGTGGCGTCGACCGATGGGCTGGGCTTGATGCATGAGAGCATCAACTCGAATGATGCGAGCAAGTGGACGCGGGAGTGGTGAGTTCTATCTCTCTTTCGTTAACAAGTATGGGACCGGTGAACTGACAAAACTTACAGGTTCTCGTGGGCCAACGGCCTGTTTGGCCAGATGATCCTCGATCTGCGCTTCCGGAAACCGCACATCCTCCAGAAGAGCTTCCAATGAGCGTTGTAAAGCCACGAATGGTCAATATCACAAAACACTTCCAAGGCTCACGACTCAAAACTGTTGCTGACACGCCATCCTGGCGCTGTTGATTCCAAGTCTATCTCATGAGTGCCCAAGCTCTAATAACATCTATGCGATGCGGCACCTGTGTCTAGGTACGAACGGATGCATGCGTCCGTAGTCATCATTTCCGAGCCTAGTTCCCAAGTCCGGTTGCATACCAGCAACGAGTGTGGATAAGGCCCGTGTATCCAATGATCCCAACCCAAGAAAATACCGCATAGAAAAATGCGATAATGCGAAAATGAAGAAGGAAAAGAAGAAAGGGAAAAAAGGTAAATACAGCTGAAGAGGAAAGCCAAAGAATGGAATACGCAGTGGTATCAATAACGGTGTCGTTCAAATCGTGAAAAAAAAAAGTATCGCGCACTCCATCTCTCTCTGGCTCTCCTCGACCGTGGCCGCCTAGGCCATAGTCAGGAAGCTATCCTGTCCCTCAATGTCGGGGCTCTGTCCCTCGGCAACCGCCTTGAGCCCGACATCGTTCAGCGGCAGGATGCGGCCGCCGGTGTCCTTGCCCGAGGCGAGGCGGGCCATCTCGCGGCGGATGCCGTGGTTGACGGCGTCGAGCACCGTGTCGACCAGCTTGCGCGGCTTGTACTTGGGCTCGGTGCCCGGCTGGTAGACACCCGTCTTGACGAGGATGCTGTACCACTCGTTCTCCGAGATGGCGTCCATGGCGTTGGTGCCGCGGATGTCCGACTCGGGCGTGTCGCCGACAAAGTACACGGTGGCAGGCGGCTTCGTCTGGCGCAGGCCGTGCTGCGTCGCCCGCCACTGCTGCAGGAGGCGGGTGGCGAACTCGAACGTCGACACCTGCGGCTTGCCGAAGGCGTGCGTCTTGAGCTTCTTGCCGCCCGTCGTGTCCTCGAAGACGGTCTCGACGATGCGCCGCAGCGCACCCATGCCGAGGCGGGCGTGTTCGTGGGCCGCCGACCACAAGACGTCGTTGTGGCTGAAGTAGATGGGCGGACCCTCGTCAAAAGTCTCGGAGCGCGTCTCGAGCCTGCCGCCCTTGGATTGGGCGATGTCGAGGATGATCTGCAGGTCCGACGCCCAGTCGCGCGAGTCGGCAAAGACGAAGATGGCCTCGATGACAATGTCGGAGAGCTTCTCGGCGCCGTGGCGCGCGAGCAGGTCCCGCGAGTTGGCGTGCTCCTTGTCGGTGAGCTTGCGGAAGGGGGCAGTGTGCGCGTTGGCCTTGAGGATGTCGCCGGGGGTGACGACGTCGCGGAAGCCGTACGACTCGGCCACGTCGCGGCACTTCTCACCCTCGCCGCCGACGACCAGGACGGTGCCGTACCGGTCGGCGAACTCCCTCATGGGGGTGTGGCCGCAGATGAACTGACCGGGCCTGACGTCGATCTCGAGCTGTTCCGAGAGGTCGTGGCAGCGTTCCGTCTCGAACTTGCCGCCGCCGTTGGTCAGGAAGATGTAGGGACTGGGGTCGAGGTTAGTATCTGTCTCGAAAAGGTAACCGGTGGGGTTACTGCGGAGTGATGTTCGACTTACACCTTGACGCCCCACTCATTCTCGCCGTTGAGGACCTTCATGGCCTCAACAGCCTCGGGGATCGGACGCCCGCCGCGGATGAGCACGCCGTCGATGTCGAAGGCGAAGGCAAAGTTGTCGGCCACGTCCTCGACCATGGGTGTGATCGGGACGGTGGTAGGCGTGGCCGGGCTCAGGGGCGAGGGTGACTCGACGCCCGCCGTGGCAGCACTCACGTCGGTGGCAGAGCTGGACGCCGACAGCGAGGGGGACAGCACTTCGTCTTCGCCCGGCTCCTGGACGCCCATCTCGTCGAGCTTCCTCCGGGCATCGTCGAAGGCATCAGCAAAGCTGCTGCTCGACGCCTGCCGGGGGCACATGGAGGGCCGCTGGGGAGGGATTGGGAGAGACATGTTGAAGGTAGTAGTTGAATGAAGGAATGACTAGTGTCTGTGTCTGCCGGTAAACCAAAGGAAGGAAGGAGGGCGTGTTTGCATATCCGACTCAACGACAACTGATGCTGCTGATGTGGGCTGGACTAATCCGAACATGGTGGACTCTCTGGCCCGGGGAGCCGTCCCTTATATAGGCCGAAGCCATCTACAAGCCGCTCGCCGCTCGCCTTCGATAACAACGGAGGAACACATGGTGGTGGGGCATTCCCTGCCGTGCAATCAGCGCGCGTCGAGACGGCACAAAACAGGGTCCCATCCAAGGCCGGCCCTTGTGAAGGTGGTGGATACCCAGTGATACCAAAGGGGGCGCGGGGCAGGGGAGCACCGTTAGTGGAGATGGTATTTCATCATCTCACTGACTCTCGTCCGAAATATTGTGAAGGCTGGGGATTGGTCGCCCCCTTCGAACATCATCTCGAATGAGTGGGAACCGTCATCGCTTCTGTCAGAGGTCCTGCAGTCCAAACTTCCATTCCATAGCACCCACTCGCCCCGGGACCCACAGGCCGAGGTGGCTCAGGTGGTGAGCAGTGGTGAGATAATTCTGCCACCCATAGCCCCATCAAAAAAAAACACACCCCACCGCGGGGTATCAACAGGGCTCACTTGGGTATCCAGGGTCCGAGCATGTGGATGGCGGGTGGTGTGTGGGTGTGCACGGTATAGGCCAGCGGTGAACCGGGGCCTCAGCGAAGAGGGGGGGTGGACAGTGCGAGCCAAGGCGGATAAGACGGCGATTAGGGCGGGCGAGTGAGCTTTATGGAAGGCCCTGACTGGGAAATAAACGACGGCGGCAGCAGGCGGCTCCTTTAGTGCTCACCGTACCATTAACCGCGCACAGCGAAGTTGTCCGTGGCGGCTCGACGTTACAAGTATGAGGCGAAAGCGTGAATATCCTCGAGGAGGAGGGGCGGGTGAAGATCAGGGACGAGGACGAATTGGACGCTCGAACGTGGTCTTGGTGTTTCCTGTTACTGCCCGTCGTCAACACACCGGCTCCAATAACCGCAAAGGGAAGAATTTTCTGATTTTGGCCCGCCAGGCACAGATCTCACCTTGAGCACTTTCCACGGTGAAACACAGTGTTAATGCCGCGCTTCCAGGGTCCTGCATGCGTCCATACTGTGAAGCGAACGCCCGGAAAACACGGCGGCGGTTTGGGCGCCAAGTCGCCGCGTCGGCTGCAGTGTCGATCCCCATGACGTCAGAAGTTATTCGTCAGTGAATGAGCTTTCGCCCGCAGTGGGACCCGACTGCGTGAGAAACACTGTGAGGCATTCCCTGATAGGGGGCGACACCCAAGCAGAGAGCCTGAACGAGCCCCCTAGCGCCCCTCTGCCTGCCGGCCAGCAGGCGGAGAACAGGCTCGTTGGCCGAAGATCTTGGCCCGTCCCATTCCGTGCCGGCCTCTTCCGTGTTGGCCATCCGGTCGGCACCGTGTGCATTCTGCCAAGCTGCGAGGCACCGCATGCAGGGACTGCACGCTGCCATTGGAGGGCTGCCAATCAATTCCCACGGACGGACGGGACGCTTGTGAACTATCGACAGTGCTGTGGGCACGGTGGATCACTATCAGGCCATGCCATGTGAAGCGATGGTGTCCGAGGCCTCCAGGAATAGCATCTGGGCTGTCCCGTGTGTGCCCGTCTTCTGTCAGACCGTTGCCTGTACGGGCAATATGTCGATCCATGTTGTGAGACGCCAACCTTTGTCAAGGGTTCAGTGGGTGAAACGTTGCCTCCTGTGAGTCGCAGAAAAGAGAAAGAAGAACCAAGGCAGCGATGCGGCAATTCTGTCGGCCGGCATCGAGCTCTCGTCATGGCCGCCGGATCGGGGACGGGAGAGGCGCCAGGCCTCATCGTCAAGGGCGAGTACTTCGTATGGACATGCGTGTCGGTGTGTGGGCTAGCCAAGTGTCTGCTCCAGCCATGACCCCGACGTTTTGTTTATGCAGCAACTTGGCAACTAGGCGTCGTCAGGGCTCCATTGATGTCGAACGAGGACGAGGCCACCCGAGGCGCGGGAGTCGTTCTCCGTATGCTTTGGAGTTTGGATGACCCTCTCCACCTCCGAAACAGATCGGCCGATGCTCGAAAAGTGTCCAGTTCTGCTTCCCCGCGATCCTGTGCATGAACGAGAACGAAATGGAGATGGGGACTAGGAGGGGCGGGACGGTGGTTAGCCGGCCTTACGACAGCGGCCATCGCTGAAAGCCGTGATGGGATGTCAAGAGCGCGTTCGACCTGCCCGATCTCGATCAATACCCGAGGTTCTCCGCCTTTTGTTCTTCCAGGCCGGTCCTTGGACACTTCAAGAACAAATCAGGGATGCAACGAGAGGGGTTGACGGTGGAACCGTATCTTTCCCCATACCCATCAGAGGCCCATATCTCTCCTGCCGATCGAGAAACCTCCCCATGGGGAAGTCGCCAGCCAGCCGGCATCCTCCACCGCCGCTTGCCGTTTCTCCCGATCGACCAGTGCTTCCTCGGCGCTCATATCCCAGAATGCGGGCACCTCCGCCCGGTCAACCCGCAGCCAACCCTTCCAATCGACCGTGACGGCAACCTGGGCGGAGGCCGCAGCGGACGCACTGCCCGAAGGATTCAGCCCGCCTCCGATGACAATGGTGCCCCACCATTCCCGGCCGCGGCTCCGGTGTGATCCATAGAGCATATGCTCCTCGATGGAGCCGACACATCCGGCTATGTGCGTAGAGTTTCCGCGTGCCGCGCGTAGGACGTGGACGTGATCCAGGTCGGCACGCTGAAGGGCCGCTCTGGGTTTCGGCTCGAGGGTCATCGAACCCGCAGCGGTAGCCCCTTCAATGGGTGTAGACAGAAGCCGCAACGGGTCGAAGCGCCCCTCAAAGTCGACAACGGCCACTGCCTTCTCGTGAGGCGGTGCGATTAGAGTTGCCACTAAAACGTACAGCAACTCGTAAGGGCGGCCGCTAAGTGCCAGCGGCGCTGACTGAGTTGCCCGAAAATGGCGGTTGACGAGATCGTTGAGCGGGTCAATTGGAAATAATGGCAGCCGTGCAATTGATGCGGGTGTATTTCCAGCGTTGCTGTCGTTGGCGTTGTCACCGGTGGCTCGGAGTAGACTTGAGCGGAGGGAAGCAAGGACCTGAATCGGAGGCGCGTCAGGAAATTTATCACGTCCGTACTTTCATCCATCCAACCTTTCAACCTTCCATCGCGATTAAAAATAAAATATCCGTCGGCGCCAGCCACGTACCTCGTCCAAGGTTGTCTCCTCAATCTCTCCGAGCACGCGAGAGCCGAGACCCGCGGCGGTCGTGCTTCGCATCGTCTGGTTTCCCGTCAACCGTTGCACCCCGCTGTTCCGATGGCGCCGCCCTGCCCCAATTTTCCAGCCCGGCAGCTGTCGGCCGCCGCTCAAATCGGAGACGATGGCAAAGTCCGGAAAACAGAAGATGGCCGCCGGATCGATCTGGCGCGAAATTGCGAGCTATTCAGTCTCGTGCAGTACGAATGCATCGTGCGGCATCCCGAACTAGTCGACAGTCCGGTGCAGTGCTGGCCGGTTCAACGGTGGTTTCGCCGGTGGGTGTGATTCTTGGCTTCCCTCGGATTGGCGGTAGCCCCTGGCGGGTCACACGGATCTTTATTCTGATGTCGTGGAATCCATTGGTGTGCTGATGCAGAGTTTAGATGTCAGGACAAAAACGGCAGCTTTACGGCAGAGACGACGGCTTGGGAAGGAACGGTGGCGGCCACTACCCCAACCGAGGGTCTGCCGGAGGGACAAGGCGCACACATTTTAACGGCTGCATCGCAGGCTGCTGCAAAGAGCAATAGGTAGATCTGGCTGAAACATGCATCTTTCTCTTTCTCTTTTTCCGAGCAGTTTCCAAATCATGTCGTCTCGCGGAACCGTCATAAACATCCAGCCAAGGAAACGGACAAGGGTCTGTCCACTGACTCAATTGCCGGCCTGTCTATCCGTATGATACACCAGCGATCCCCAGGCTCTCGTACCTCACTACACGGCCAGAATCCCTCTTCTCGTGGTGTCGTTTATTCGCGTTCCTGCCCAATCATTCTGCCCGAAACCCTTAAGCTCCTATCTTCGCAGCGCGCTCCTCCTCCAGCTTCTTGTAGAAGTTGTCGCGGGCGTCTCTCCGCGGAACGTGGTAGCCGTACCTAGAACAAAATTAGATATCGTGGTCGGGCACTCGGGTTTATGGGTCGTGGTACCAGAAAGCGTTGCCAAAGACGAGCCCGAGGCCTGTCGAAAGTTAGTTACCCCTCCAAAATCCTGGCCCAGATGCAACTCCGTCTGGGGAAGGATTTCGCGCGAACTCACCGAGGGCAATTCCGAGATCAGTGATGAGGCCCCGGCGGAGCATCTAGAGTCCAGCCATCGTCAGCATTTGTTCCCACAGCTTTCTCGTTGGGCGGGCGGGGCAGCGGCAATTGGCGGCCATTGGGCCGACCGAGGCAGGGGGGAACACATACACCGGTAATGGGTTTGACGGCCATTTTTTCGGAGGTTGTTTATGGGCGCGCGGTGAGCGGAGAGGTTCTCGTGGGCTGTCGGCAATCGTGCGTTGCGGTGTTTGACGACATTCGGCTTCGAATTGGAGCTTCAAGCATGGCCTGATGTTCGAGCTAAGCTTCACGTGATCTTGCGGCACCTCCCGGTAATTCTTGCAGGATTATGTAATACGCACGACGATCGAGTCCACGATCCAGAAGGCCAAGAAATTGATTGTCCCTCGTTCAAAAATACCGATAAATATTGGGCAAACTTCCACCCACTTGCGAAAAATCGAAACTAAAACGACACTGAATTATGGCCGGGTAGAACAAGTGCCGTAGTAGGACCGTAATAGTGCCTCATTCACCAAATCCAAGGTCTATGTGGACCAAGTCGGAGCCACCAAGACTTCACTCGAGCCCTTCCTCGCTGGAACGTCTCGTGTGACAAATGAAGTAAACGGCATGCGTAGAGCATTTCGAGAGTTCAATTTACAGATTAGGAAACATACATAGACACCAACCCTCTCTCTCACTAACTACAGCTACCCGTAAATCCACACAGTATTCGAACTACAGCCATGGAACCTCCTCCCCTCAGATCTAGCAATAATCTGAACGAACAATGACGTTCCACTGGTCAGGATGGAAAACCTGTCCCGCAACCATCGTCGTGCCCCAGTTGTTGGTCGCACACCTGGTGATGACGTAGCTAAGACCGTCCGCGATGCGCGCGAACGAATCGAGATAGAGTTCATCCTTTCTCTGAGAGGCCACATGCTGGGTCAGCCAAAACTGAACTTCAACATAAACCAAAACACAAACCCCCCCATGCAGAAGAGGAGACCAAAACTCACATCATTACAGATATAAACCGCCGCACCATACGAGCAGCTAACCCGACTGCACATCCCGGGCCCCGGCGGCACGCGCACCTCGCCGATGATGCTCTGCAGGTAGCGCATGCCCTCCCAGTAGGCCGCCATGTGGGCGTAGGGCAGCGGCCCGCCGCAGTAGTAGCTGCCGCCGCTGAAGTCGATGTTGCGCCGCGCGACCGTCGCCGTCGGCGTGTCCGCGTCCGCGTCGAACTGCTGCGGGGCGTTGCGTGCTGCTGTTTCTCCTTGTCCGGGTCTGGTCGAAGCGCTGTGTTGTTGTTTCTGTGGGTGTCCCAACTGGCGTAGCTGGGCGACGAGCGTCTCGATCGTGCCGTTGACAATGACGGTGTGGCCGGGGTAGTCTTCGACGCGCCATTCGGCGTCGCTGTACTGGGTTGCTTGGGCCGGGCTGGGGGCGGCGAGGGCCTGGGGATGGTGTTGCGGGTTAGTCTCCTATTCTGCTTCCCGGGGGCCTGGTGAGGTACAGGAAAAGGGAAGGGTGGGGACGTACGCCCATGAAGAAGGTGGCGGCGGCAACGACTGCGAGCTTCATGTTGAACGAGCGGTGGTTTTTGCGTGGTCTGGTAGAAGACTTGTGCGTGCAACGGTCTGAGTCTCGGGGCTGGGGGTGCTGGTGGCTGAGGAAGAAAGGGGCGGTGGACAGGGTGAAAGCATCGATACTTATAGACCACAAAACGGAGGCTGCTCTGGAATCGAAGCCGTTGATCTTGCTGTTGGCAAGGGTGGAATGATCAGCGCTGCGTTTGACTGGGGAAGTCAGCCGCCTATTCACGTTTCCTTATGTCTCTATCTTCAACTCGCTCGCCCAATGGCGTTGGCCACGGACGGAATGCTTTTAGCAGACTTTTATGCGCGAGTTACAAAGCCACCGTTGATGTGGTCGTTGTTTGCCTTGCTTTCAGCCGGGCCTTGCGTCGGGCTGCGGGTATAAATAGACAACAGCTGCCGAAAAGGGGTATGAATAGCGGGATGATAAAGCAAACACCACAACTTCTTAGTCTTTCAAAGTGCAGGCAATTCATAACCCCAACGGCCGAGAAAGCTTTCTCGCACGAGTGGGTCAAAGTTTTCGATTTGAATTCCTTCATAAAGATGTGAGGCGGCATAGAAGCAGCCGAAAGGGCAGGGTTATGGCTGGTCAGCGGAGTTCCATCTTCTCGTGATCCCCTCCGCTGCGCTCTTTGTCCCTTTTTTCTTCGCAACTCCAGCGCTCCTTGCAGTGCCCAGGTACCTCCTGACGCCGTCTGGCGTACACAGCCATGCCTCGGGCCCCGGCATACGTAGGGTCAACAACCGCCGTGGCGTCTTTTAGGCTTAAGGACGGCGCGAGCCCTTCTCCAGGGTGTAACTCAGCCAAAGCGTCCCGCACAGTTTCAACGAAGACGTGATGGGTTCCGTTCTGGCCCCCTAACAGCACCAGGCCAGGCGGCTGCTGCCCTTGGTCACCCCCCCGCACCAGCTCAACAATGCGCGACCGAACATGAGCCCAGTAGTCGGACTCGGAGGCAAACCCATCCTGAGCATCCAAACCGGCACGAAAGTCCATGACCCGCGGACCGTCGCGGACCCACCGCGGGAAAGCCGTGCCCATGACGTCCAGCGACGCGTACAGGGCGTGACCGGTGAGCGAGACAAACAAGGTGAGACGGGATGGGAGGGCGTCTTCCTCGAACCAACACTCGAAGAGATCCGCGTATGAGGCGCAAAGCCCGTAGCCGTTGCCCGCGATCGCCGCCCGGGACTGGACGACGTGCTTCGGTTGGAAGAGCCTGCTGTCGGGCTCTGCAAACCAGTTGCGCAGGCCAGCATGCGAGAGCGCATCGTCTAGGTCTAGCGGTGTCAGCGCGGGGATGGACGGGAACGTGATAGCGATGAGATCGACCGAGTGTAATGGGGCAAGCGTCTTCATCGTGGCTGACTTGAGGTCTGCGAGCAGCGAAGCCAACACGCCCACGTCGAGGTGATCGTGGGAAGCCGAATGGGCTTTGTTTCCGAGGAAGTCCAATATCCCAAGGTCTCGGCGAGCTAATTTCTAAGGTTCGATGGCGAGCGGTTGGGAAGCGGACAGAGCACAAGATGCAGCTAGCTAGGTAGTGTAACGTGGCTCGGATGTTTGGACCTTGTGGCTGAACACTTCTATGTTCATACCTGTAACTAGATAGGTATGTCACTACCCACGTACCACCCGACCTACATAGTAGGGACCCATCATCAACCAACAAGCCGCACTAGAACGTTCCTGATCCTTCGTGGGGGCCCTGCACCAGGGCCCTCGACCACGCTTGACCTTCGGGGTGCTATATTATCTTTTAATACTGCGACCCTCCATGGCCGACTGTAAAGGGTCCGCTGCAACCTCACCTCACAACTTTACTCGCTTTCATCCTTTTTTGGACCCCACGTTGTTGGTTCAGACCTGCAGTGTTCCGCGCCTGTCATTTCAATATTGGAGCCTTGTCTACGCTCGCGCGTTATGGAACCGAACTATCTCACTGGAAACTTGGGGGCGGTTGTCGGAATCATTCGCAAACGAAGCCGTTGACGCCAAGTCGGTTGAAGGCGAGGGACGAACAACGGGGGCCAAACCAGACTGAATGGAGCATGCGGTTCGTTGTGCTTTTGCCGCACCTGCCTGGTATAAGAAGGGCCTGCTTCGTCCGAGGACGAGCAGCTTGTGCCCTCCCGTTCTGTAGAACCCATTCATCGCACGGCGCCAAACAACGATATGGGAAATACTTGTAGCACCACCACCGTCGTGGCAGGCGACAGCTGCGGTTCCTTGGCCAGCAGGTGCGGAGTTACAGCCGCCGACTTCTACCAGTACAATCCAAGCCCGACACTATGCTCAACACTCGCTGTCGGCCAAAAGGTCTGCTGCACTGCCGGCGGGCTACCCGTCCCGTCCCAGAATGAGGATGGCTCCTGTGCCTCATACACGGCCGTTGCCGGGGACACATGTTTTGTGATTGCCCTGAGCAACAGCATCACGGTTGCCAACCTGGAAGAGTGGAACACTCAAACCTGGGGTTGGGCAGGCTGTCGTTCCCTGCAACGCGGCCAAACCATCTGTCTTAGCACTGGGAGCCCGCCCATGCCCGCCGCTGTGGACGGTACCGTGTGTGGCCCCCAGGTCCCCGGAACGGCCAAACCCCCCTCAGGAACCGATATCTCGGGGCTGAATCCCTGCCCGCTTAACGCGTGCTGCAACATGTACGTCGCCAGAAGTGTTTAGAATCGAGTTCATGCCAACTCTGGAGCAGCTGGGGTCAGTGTGGTACCACGGCTGACTTCTGTACCGACACTGGCACAGGAGCTCCGGGAACGGCAGCGCCGGGGAGCAATGGATGCATCTCTAACTGTGGCACCGACATGGTCATTGGGGACCGGCCAGAGCAGTTCCATCGCATTGCTTACTTTGAAGCCTTCAACTTCGACCGGCCGTGTCTCAAGATGGACGTCGCGCAGATCGACACTTCGAAATACACCCATGTCCACTTTGCCTTTCTCGATCTTACTCCTGCCTTTGAGGTCGACATCGTTCGATACATGGAGCAATTCACCCGATTCACGAAGTTAACAGGGGTCAAACGAATTGTGAGTACCCTCTTCCCCCTTTATTACCACCATCACGTAAAGAAGGAGCTGGACTGTAGAGTGTGCTCTCCAGAGTCTCCTCTCGAGTCTCCGGAACCATGTTTGCTGCCGATGTGACGGCCTCTTGCTAACCCACCCTCTCTCTCGACCAGGTCTCCTTTGGGGGTTGGACCATGAGTACCAGCCTTGCCACCTACAACATTTTCCGCGATGCAGTCAAGCCCGAGAACAGGCAGACATTTGTGAGAAACCTGGTCAACTTTGTCAATGAGTGGGGCTTGGATGGCGTCGACATTGACTGGGAGTACCCTGGCGCACAAGACCTCCCCGAGATTCCGGCGGGTAGTCTCGACGATGGCAAAAACCTCGCCGCGTGCTTGGTGCTCCTCAGGGATCTCCTCAGCCCTGACAAGTCCCTATCCATCGCAACACCAGCGTCTTACTGGTACCTGAGGGGGTTCCCCATGGCCAAAATGGCAGCCTCGCTGGACTACATCGTTTACATGACTTACGACCTCCATGGCCAGTGGGACTACGGTAACGAGTGGGCTGATCCGGGCTGCCCTGCCGGGAACTGTCTCCGTTCGCACGTCAACCTGACCGAAACCATCAACGCCCTGTCCATGATCACCAAGGCGGACGTGCCCAGCAACAAGCTCGCCGTGGGGATTGCCAGCTACGGCCGTTCGTTCCAGATGACCACCCCAAACTGCACACGGCCCATGTGCACCTACACCGGCCCAGACTCGGGAGCGAAGCCCGGGCGGTGCACGCAGACTGCGGGCTACATAGCCGATGCCGAAATCACGAGATCATTGCCCAGAATAGCAACGCGCGGACCTCTCATGATGCGTCCAGCGACAGCGACATCTTGGTGTACGATTCGGTGCAGTGGGTGGCTTACATGAACAACACGACAAAGGCAGGCCGCGTTGCCCTCTACCAGCGCCTTAACATGTGGGGAGTGAGCGACTGGGCCGTGGACCTCCAAGCCTTTGTAGCGCCACCGACACCAACGCCACCTGGGTCTGCAGCGGCTGCACGCCCTTGAACCACGTCTGTGAAGGCGGTTCGTACGCCGACTGGGACCAGTGCTGGGCGAACTGCGAGGGCGGGCTGTGCTTGAAGAACGCTGGACAGGAGGGCATACTGTGCCAGTCATGCCCGTAGAGGTGGGATGGTGGCTGGCTCGAGTCAACCGGCGGGGCTTTAAAGAAAGATGGAGCGGGCAGGTGGCTGACAATGCTCTGGAAAGGGCCCACCATTAATTAGAAGGCAGTGGATGTTCTTTTCATCAGGGGGCAGCGGTTTATTCTATAGTTTGATACCAAGCACAGCGATACAGGCGGAAGGAAGCTAGCATGTACTTCAGGTGCCTGTTTGGATATAGACTAATAGCTAGCAATGTCTGAAAGTATAAGAGAGCCACTCACATATTCGACGCGTCGACGCTCTCCGACGGCGTGGTCACGAACGCGGCCGACGCCGACACCGTGACGCTAACCTCGCTCTTCAGCAACTCCCGGGCAGCGACCTGCTGCTCATGGGCACCGGCCGCGATGGCCTTCCTGGCGGCTTGGTCGACGGGGGCGACGCCGAAGCGGGACATCTCGGCCTCGAGCTGGGCCGTCTCGTCGCGGGCGCGGCTGGCGCGGGTCCGCAGCGTCCGCAGCATCTCCTGCTGCTTGGCCGACACCAGCGCCGCCACCTTGGCCGCCGCGTTCTCCGTGTACTTGGCCAGCCGCTCCTGCAGCTCCGGCATGCCGTCGTTGCGCGACGTGCCCTTGGACAGCTCGTAGCACAGCTCCACGCCGCCGATGATGTGGTCGCGGTGCACGAGCGAGTACATGGTGGCGATGTCCTGCAGGAGCGAGAAGTAGGCCTTGAGCTGCAGCGTCGACGCGTAGATGGTCTGCTTGTCGGGGTCCACGGCGGGGAGCACGCCCGAGCGCATGCCGCGCCGGGCTATCTTGCCGATGTCCCGCTCGAAGAGCTGGGCGCGCGGCATGACGAGCACGTCGATGACGGTGGTCAGCATGATGAAGAAGCGCTCCAGCCGGCCGATCTGCACGATCAGGTCCGCCAGCACCTCGATGCAGTCCCGCAGCACCGTCTTGATCTCCTCGAGCGTCTTGCCCGTCGACTGCAGCTTCTTGAGCTTGGCCTGGATCGTGGCCATGGCCTTGGCCGTGCGCTCCTGCTTGTCGATCGCCGCCTGGTACGCGTTCTCGGCGTTATCCAGCGCCGACTGCGCGATCTGCACCCCCTGCATCGCCGTGTTGAGCTGCGCCGTCTGCGCCGACAGGTCCGGCTGCGGGATCTGCACGTTACCAAAGGCGGTCGGTACGTTGGAGGAACCGGCCGCTTTTGCCGATGCCGCCAACTCGAGGATATCGTCGCGCGCCTTGCGGCACGTCGTCCTCCACTGCTTCACCACGTCCTCGGCGGGGTCCTTGGCGGCCGAGAGCTCGTTCTGCTTCCGGAGGTGCGCCTGTAGCTCCTCGGATAGCTTGATCAGCGCGGCGTATGCTCCTAGGAGCTTCTTGTTCGGTGCCGTGTCGGTCACGTCGATGTTGGCCTTCTGCCCCTTCAGGGTGCCGAGGATGTAGGCCAGACCTTGGGGAACGTCATCAGATTTAGTGGTGTCGTCGTCGTCCTTGGAAGTAGTGGTCTCCTTGAACTTGTCCCACTTGATTGTGCCCTTTTCGCCACCCAGATACTCGTAATAGTGGTTGACTAGGTTCTGGATGGTGGCCGCCGTCGCATACGCCGGGTCGGCGAGCGTTGGCGTCGTTGTTTGGGGCTTCCCGGAGGCGGCGGCCGTGTTCGAGGCTGCGGCTCCCGCCTGTCCGGCAGCTGTGCCGGCGGCCCACGCCGCCGGGTTCCTCGCATTGACTGCGGTGCTCATGATGCTGGGCAGCGCCTGCGCGAAGCTCGAGACGGCCGTCTGGAGGACCGACGCCCAAGGACCCGGGACCTTGTCGATCATGGTATCGAGGTTCTTTTGTTGTTTGTCGACGTTCTTGGACGCCCGAGTGACCTCCTTCTTGACCGCCTCAATCGCGGTGCCGGCGTGCGTCTCCTCAATCTTGGTCACAGCCTCATCGACTCTGGTCCTCTCGGCCTTGATCGCCGTCAGCCCCTTTTGATTTTCAGTGACGGCGTGCAGTTCGCCGACCATCCTTCCCCAGGTGCCGAACGCCTCGCGTATGTCGGCTGCGAGCTTTGCGCACGTTTTGGCATCGTTGGAGAAGTCATCAAGAGCGTCCTTGAAGTCTTCGTACTGGTCCTCGCCGAGTGTGGAGGGCCCCAGGCGTCGAAAGACCATGGGGATTCTCTCGTCACCGATGCGCTTGCTCGTCATCTGCAAGGCATCCATGTTCTGCCCCCGCGACGGTGAAAGCATGCCGTCCTCCGTTGTTACACACTGGGAAAGAGACATTGTTGTCAGCCAAAGGCACTCTTCGGGGGGTGGGCATCCGAGTACTTACCATCGACCAGACACGATCTCAGGGTGGGATTGGGGACATTTGTCATGTACTTGAAGCCATCGGTTGGCTTAGAGTCCGTGAGGGAGATCTTCTCAGCCGTCGCGTTTGATGCCGCCAGCCAGCAGGAACCCATCAACGACAAGGCAGTCGGCGCAGCACTCAGGAGCTCTCCCCAGTTGTGCTGGAATAGGGTAGATCCCTTGAGCTCATCAACGAACCTGTTTGACAGCTTCCCATATTGCTCCTTGGTAGCGGTGGTCTGTATCTCCTCGAAGCGTTTGAGCGCGTTGGAAGTCATCTTGGGCAAAACCCTAGGTTGGTTTGTAATGGGCAAGGGGCGAGCGAATACGGGGGGGGGACAGGTGGAAGAAGTGGGTTGCTTTGCAGAGGTTGACGGCCGTTTGGCTGGGAAACTGGGGGTTAATTTCGTTGGCAAAGACCACCTAGGGAGATTGTACTTATATACACCCCGAAGGATAGTTGTTGGATGTACCAAACCACCATCGGCGATCTGATGTTTGCTGCCGAGGTTCCGTCCAGTCCCCCTTCTCCTCCTCCTCCTTTACCCCCTCCTTCCCCTCGTTACTCTCTTTTCTGTCCCCCTCCATCTCCTCCGCGGAGGTAATTATTGCTTCTTTTTATTTTTACCGCGGGATCCGCGCCTCTGGGCGCCTTTGGACGCCTCCAGTCCATCCAGCCACAGGTTATCGCAAAGATGCAATGGAACCGAACCTATTGTAAAGAGGTTCAGCTAGCCACAGCGGGCCTACTCCGCACGTCGATCACCATAGTCCGTCCACTAGGGAGAGGTCGCGATAAACTTTTGCAGGTTGTGGGGATTTTGCAGCTTTCGGAATCACATTCAGCTCCCGTCTGCTTGCAGCATCTTGTCCGCATTACCCCTTTTGGGAGCGCACGCACGAACGCATGGGGTATCGTCCCAGTGTTGTCCCCAGTACTGGCGAATAGCATCCGGCTTCCGCCTCGATCTGTCACTGCGTGACTTGCTCGGCCATGCAGCGTCAAATGCAGAGAAGCCTAACATGGCCGCCCGATGCGGGTTTGGGAGGAGGTCGTCATGCGGTCGTCTCACCGACTTCCGCCACAGTTGTCTTTCTCGTTGACCTGAATTAACCTAGAGCGAGGTTGACGGGGGATGACAGCGCCGTGGGTTCCTCGTTCTCGGAGAATGTAAGTCACTCAACTATCACATATTCAGATATATAAGAATACACGACAACCACCTCCCTTCAGTCCCCATCTTGGTGTACATGTTCCCAATTCGAGGCTAGCTGCACTGCTTTGTTCAGCCTGCTGTCATCATCGCCCTTCTTACTCCGCCATCATGGTTAACAACTTTGATGATCTCACCGATTTCCTGCGGGGTGCCGCCGTCAGAGCTGGGGAGGGTTTTCTGAAGGCGGTCGCGCCTATAATCGAAACGGCCGTCGATGTGAGCAAGGATCTCGTTGCGGATAACTCGCTCGACCTGGCCAAAGCCGTGGACCTCAGCGGCGCTTTCATCCCAAGCAGTCCACTCGCGTTTGCCTCGGCTCTCCAGCTAGCCAGAACCCTCACGTCGGTCATCGCAGGGGATGAGGATAAAAGTGTCCTCGAGACAATCGGTGCGTCACATATGTTTCCTTCCGGAATACTCCTTTGGCTCCTTTCTGACCACCTCGTTTGTTTGCGCGTCTAGAACGGCTGGAGAAGCAAGTCGCCCCCTTCACGCAGCAAGCCGAGAATGTGCTGCAACAACTGGACGTCATCATCAAGACGGGCGAGCAGCTGGAGAAGGAGACCAACGAACGGGTCCGTAGCGCGGCCGTCTCCGCCTACCAGGCTCTCCAGGACGCCGTAGAAGGCGTGCTCAAGATCGAACGCGGCAACGCGCGTATCCAACGGGTCGACCCCAGCGTCCTGGCAAAGCTCGATTCGGCCGTTGCGAGCTTCGAGAACCTGCACAAGGTCAGCAGCACCAACGCGTGGAAGCTCGGTAAGGACTCGGCCGCGCTCATGTCGTTTGGCGACAACACCAAGACCTTCAAGGTCACGCTCGAGGAGGAGAGGCAAAAGCTGAAGACGCAAATCAAGAACAACATCGCGGCGAGGCAGCGGCACAAAGATCATGTGGAAAAGCTCAAGAAAGGCGAGAGCACGTACCGGTCTCGAGCGAGGACCGCAAGAGAGGAACTGGACGACGAGTGGAACAAGATCGGCTACGCCTTTAAGCCGTCGAGCCGCGACAAACAGAAGCTGATCTTGTCCAACGCGTCGAAGGCCCTGGAGGAAAACCTGAGGGAGCAAAAGGGGGTAGACAGCAAGATCCGCGGGCTGTACATGCTGGACACGCTGATCGGGTGGGCGATGCGGGCGCTGGACGTGGTGAAGGCGTCGGTGGAGCGGGTGGCCCAGGACTTCCAGGCCAAGTTCCAGCTGATCACGGACGCGCAGCAGACGTCGGACAAGCTGTTTGCGGGTCTGCTCGGGCTCGCCAACACGATCAAGGACACCAACTTCCGCACCTCGCGCGACAACTCCCTGCGCGTCGTCCTGGCTGTGCTGAGCCGCTACCATAAGCTCCGCTACGACTACACCTCGCTGGAGATCCCTGGGATCGAGGAGCGCCGGATCCACCGCGCCATCGTCGACCGGATGGGCAACGATGGCGCGAAGAAGCTACTGGAGCCGCCTAAGCCCGCTGATGACGACGACGATGCCATAAACCGTATGTAGGGAATCAATACTTTTGGGTCCACCAAAGATCATCCATGCTATAGGATTGCGAAGGCAAAGTCCCGAAGATGGACGCAGAGTAGGTCATGGCTATCGATATTGAACATAAATTTCTCGCGTCATTGAGATCGGAATACGTCAAGACGAGCAGTCTCTCGAGAGTCAAGGGCAACTGTGGGTATTAGTGACTTGTTGGCCCAGAAGGAGAATACGCGCTTACGTACAGTGTCCTGCCAACGGACTGGTAAAATTAAAGTAATTATCTGCGTACGAATAGAAGCGACAGTCTGCATGGTAGGTCTGATTCCGTTCCAATGGAACCAGGGGCCAGGCGGTGCATCGCGTGGCGGCGTGGTCGCGTATTGGCATGTTTGGTGCGTATCAGTGCGTTGAGTGCGTATTCCCCCCTGACCCCCTTATTTTCAACCAAAAACCGGGAATTATTTGTCAAGATAGAATCAGCTGACAGGGTACATACATACGCATCGTGACTAGAATCGTTAGCTATTAGCCCAACCCCATGTAAACAGAAAGATGATAGCGAGCAGATAGGAGGCAGTGCAAATGTTTAGACGGTTATAAAAGCGACCACGCCGGGGGATGGGATGAACTCAGTTAGAACTCACAAGTCATCCAGCCATAAAACACTGGCAACAAAAACCTCAACCACCGTGAGCACGATGGCATCCATTTTGATCGCATTCGTGATCGCAGCTCTAGCCGTCAAGAAAGGAGGAGCATCACCCACAACAGTCAACCACCGGTCATGCGTCCAGATCGAGGTCCCAGTTAGCGTTGAAACCACGGCAATCAAGTGGCTGCAGCCGAGGGTCGACAGCAATATTGATGCTGTGGACTGGGTCAGGTACCAAACGACCAGGGCGTCCCCCAACAATACCGAGAGCATGATGGGGCGGATACCTGTTAAGGAGACCTTCAATATCAATGGCCAGCTCTGTGTCCCTCCCAAGGGCGCCGCCAGGTCTGAAACCCTTCAGATCGCTACTCATGGCGGCGGGTTTGACAAGAGGTTAGTCGGTGCACACATCTTCGGGAAGATTGAAGGCTGTAATTAACAAGATGACAGATACTGGGACGCCGAGATCAAGCCAGAAGAATACTCTTACGTCGAGGCCGCACTATCCGAGGGCTACTCCATCTTCACCTATGACCGTCTGGGAACAGGCAAGTCCGACAAGCCCGACGGATACGACATCGTCCAACTCAACGTCCAAGTCGAGATCCTCCGACAACTGACCCAGCTCGCCCGCTCGGGCAAGCTTGTCAGCACATCCAAGAAACTCAGCAACTGCACTACCAATACCCGCCTCACCAAGTACAAGCCATCCAAGGTCGTCCACGTCGGCCACTCCCTCGGCTCGCTCGTCTCCGTAGGCCTAATCACCAACTATCCGACCGAGAGCGACGGCCTGATCGCCACGGGGTTCCTGATCACCAACGTCCCGCTGTCCGGCCTCAACGTCGCGACGTGGGGCTTCGAGCTCGCGCGCGAGAACGACCCGGCCCTCTTCCGGGACCGGGGCTCGGGCTACCTCGTGTCGGCGACCAAGTCTGACGTGCAGCTCAACTTCTTGCGCAAGGGCTCGTTCGAGCTCGCGATGCTGGACTACGCCTGGCAGATCCGGCAGACTGTTACCGTGAGCGAGTTTCAGTCGCTCACGACGGGGTTTGGGGAGAAGGGGGCCGAGTTCAGGGCGCCGCTGCAGATGGTGGTGGGGGAGAATGACTATGGTGTTTGTGGCGGTGACTGTGTCGGGGCGTATGATCTTGATGTCATTAAGCAGGTTTATCCGGGGGCGACGGATCTGGATGTGCATGTCCAGCCGGGGACCGGTCATGGCTTGACGCTTTCGATTAATGCTACGGCTGGGTACAAGGCGTCGTTTGACTTTTTGCATAGGTCGGGGTTGTAATTAAGGGCAGTAGAGAAAGGCCGGAAGGTGGGAGATGGACGAAGACGGGAAGGATAGAATTAGACCATGATAGAATGCCTCGAGGTGTTACTGTTTTATGGGGTTTCTTTGCCATCCTTGCTTAGGCCTTCTGAGGCGGGTTGTAATAAGTTGGCACTCTCTGATCCTGACGAACGAACAAGAACCATCGTGTTTTATCGCGGGCGTCGGTGGAGGGCATCCGTTATATAGATGCCGTCTAGAGACAGGCCCCGTAGAAACTCAATGTGCGCCGCCTACCAGAGCCGAGGGAGTATTCCCGCTCTCGCAATACATGGTCCACACCCCCTTGCCTCATAAAGCGCCGTCTATCCCAGAAAACGTACCCCCACTTCAGGCTGTCCGGAATGGGATAATCTCTCGTCTGCGGATACCTCCCACTCGGTCCTGTGACCCAAGCGAGCGGGGGTCCGTCAGTGGTGTCACCAGAGAATAAAGGCCACTCTCTGGGAGCCCGGTCACCATCCTCAGGGAACCTGCAGCGCCCGGAATTATGCCTGGGGTTCAGGACGGCATGCTCTTGCACCCGTTGGATCAGACTGTCGTGGTTTTGCGTTTTCAAGATTTCGTAGAAAAGGCGTAAACCCCCGGGCCTCGAAAGAGTGCCGTCCCGCGAGGACTCGCGCGTTACTATCAAGCTGCTGTCAGTCCGGCAGTGTGGCAACCTCCAAGGTCCCGGCCTGTTTCTGCTCTCTAGAGAATGGAGAAGCTGTTGTCTTTTGAAAGTAACTCACATTCCTCACGAAGGTTAAGAACCTTGGAAGGGGTATCCGGCCGGCCCCGACCCTTAGACTTGGAGCTTCCCAGATTGGCGTCCCACTGCACAGCAGCAAAGACTTCTTCGTACTTGTTCTCGATGAGTGTGTATATGCAGTAGAGCTCCTCCGCCTCCCAGGATTGGTAGATGGAAAAGAACAGGGAGAGCTGCTCTTCCCAGCCGATCTCACCCTCACCACGGCGTCCCCAACGGCCTTCGCCGAAGAGATTACAGTGGAGTTGAAAGCGGTAAAGGGCCCGTAGAAGACGCTTCTGTTCTGCCTGGGATAGGTCGCCAACTTCAAAATAAGGGTCGAGGGCGTGGCAGAACAGGGCAGCAGATTGTAATACCAAGGGCCGAGCCAGGGAGTGATAAAAGCTCGCGATATCGATCAAGGTCTCCTCTGTGCATCCTTCTAGTATCAGCTCGGGCGTTGCGGTACGCAGCGCGACGTAATCGTCTATAAATAGGCCGATGACCTCCGGTGCGGGCGGGTGGTGGTGGTCGGATGAATCCTCGTAGAGCGCATCGGACGTGTGCACGGCGTATGCATCCGCCAGAGAGTTACCGAGAGTTGCCGTCAGAATCCGTTCTAGGAGTGCCCGTCGGTCGAGTAGGTACTGTTGGTAGAAGACGGGCGATGCCATCGCAAGCGCTCTGAGGTCCTCCAGGTCATCTAGGTAGGAAAGGATCTGGCATCGCAACTCGGCAGGGAGTGATTCGAAGGCGCCAGCCGGTAACACGGCAGTCTCGAAAACGGTCTTTCCAGCCCCAGAGTCGAGTTGCTGCTGTTGCCGGTCTAAATATGTCGTCTCCAAACCTGGCTTGGGGTCATCTCCCCGCCCGCTTCCCCGCTCTCTTGGCCGGGACGCTGGCATCTGTGGCACAGTCTGAGTCTCCAGAGTTAACGAGGCAGCTGCTCGCTTTTGCAGCCGCGTAAAGGGGTTGAGCTTTGAAAAGCGATTTGGCATATTGAAGAGTAGTGTGCTGTCAGAGGGCTATGTACGTGCTTGGGTAGAGACGAAGAATGATCGAGGTAGTTGAAGATGTCGGGGGTAGAGAGCTGGGCGCGACTGTTCTATTCGTGGTTCTAGGGATGCGTACTGGGAAAGGACTAGGCCGGGTAAGCAGAGCGCAACTGAAGCGCTTGCTGAGAGGAGGGGTTTCACAACATAATGTAGGACGTTGTTAACACCCAAACAGGCTGATGGCGGTCGAAAGAAACAGCCTGCACCAAGATGTTACCGCCCTAGCAAACTTTCCAGACCTCTCTTGTCAGCTCCCCCTCCCGCCAAGGTAGCTCCCAAGCCACAAGGGGGTTGTTGCCGCCAACACAGCGTATTCGCCCGATTTTGGCGCTCAATTTGAAGGCGAAAGGCTGCTAGAGCATTACTATTATGATACAGAACGGCCAGGGACATGCTTTAGACGCGAGAAACATAAGGGCAACAACCATATAGAAAGCCCACCGTTTCGGTCAATATAAGTGAAGTGGGATAGGCCAAGAGGGGGATACGTCCGTAAGTACTAACGGTGCGCTTTGCCAACGGCCTCAGATTCGGTCTCGGGCCAATATTACAGCGAAGGCAGGAGTGGGATGTGGGATGGGGAGTAATACTGGTGTGACGGATGGGCATCCCGCTGTGGCTAGAGTGTTCTTTTTATAGACAGCATCTTTGTAACGGGACAGCCCCGGACGGTCTTGAGGATTGATCTCTCGCCGGTTTCACCACCAAACCCGTAGCTTCGAGATTGGCGGCGTCAAGTCTAGTCTGTAAATACCTTAATTATCGAGGTCATTTACGAGCCGTTGAAAAAATTCGGACTCAAACCTAAACCCTCTTTATGACTATGTTGGTTTCTGTCGACAAAGTTCGGGCCTCGAGATAACTGGGACGACTGAAGCCGGTTACAAAACTCAGATGCGTTACTAGTAGGTAACAACTCTGACTCCATAAAGTAGATGTCGCTATTCATACTGAGACCGTATAATTCACCGAAATTGTTGTGTGTAGACGGGTCTCACCTTTTTGCCTCGATGAGTTGTGATGGACATTATCGTCACTTGCTGCACACCTATTCTTTGACAAACCTTAGGGGCTCAGGAGTGTCTCGTTTGCGACCCATCGACGGTTTTCCTAAGGGGATCATCGAGTCAGTTGCAGTATCTTGGAACGCATTGGAGAGCAATTTCGGCCTCGTTACAGGATGTGAGGGGCTTACCCATGCCGGCAAATAGTTTAAAGTTTGACGCCGCAGCTTTGAGGAATCCGTAATATGCCAATGACGGGCAGCGGATGCAGCCCGTGGAGCATTTATTAAGCCTGCGATAACTCAGTGCCAGCAAGCTGCCGCGGCCGCCCGCGCGCTAATCAATCAGTGTGCTTCTCTTAAAAGTTCGCTCATTCACAACGAGCGCGTGCTGAAACCAACCAACCAACTGAACGGCAATCGACAAGCGATTCAGTGGCGGGACTGCGCTTCAGTCGATGATTTTGCCTCCCTTGAGGCCCAAAAACCGGGCCGCCAGTCGGGCGACCCAATCCTCCGATTCTTTTGCAAACCAGCTTTGCCGCGCTGAGTCTTCAGAGTGCAGGCGCTCCGGAAACCCGACCCCAATCGATTTTCAGGGGTCGCTCTCCCACTTTCCCACCTATCCATGGATGGATGCCGAGGAGAAAGAAAGCAGGCCGCTGATTGAGCAGGAGCCCCCTACCCCACCTGCCCGAATCTGGACTGCTGAAACCGCTTAACTGCGGGGCTCCAAGCACGGTTGTGAGTGCTTCGTTGGCTTTCTCGAAGCTCGGCGCTGTTGGGGGGGTTGTTGGTGCTTGTGATGTCACAAACTTGAAGCAGCGGGGGTGTCTCTGGGCGGCAACTGTTTGGGTGATAAGGTACCTACATACACTCCGCACTTTTGTCCAGTCTGCACTCATGAGCACAGGAGTGACAGGTTTTGCAAGTTGGCCTGAAAAGCCAACCTTGCAGCCTCCGACTCGCTTACCCCTGCGAGCAGCTCAATTTCGATTTGTGCTGGACCCCTGCGTGGATCTTTTGAAAAGCCCCAAAGGAAGGCGGGTTCGGATGGGTTAATGCAGGAACAGAACTCCAAGTCAATGCTCGCTCAACTTCAGATGAACCCAATGCCACCGCCTCCAAAACAATGCGTTCGAGAAGGACTTGTCAACCCTTCGAGCCGAGCCAAGTTCGGTTTTTCGGGAAAAGTGTATATACTGTGTAAGTCCCGAGACGACGGGACATCGGCTTGGAAGCGAACCGTGCCACGCGTCAATTCTGCAGATGCGGCGTCGTCACCCCGGTCCGCATGTCTATATCGGGACCGTCATACCGGAGCTGAACGATCGAGACGCCCGGCTCTGCCGAGCATATCGACGAAGCAGAGGAAAACGGAACAGCATCACCCCGTCCCTGCTGCTGCACAGCGCCGACCGGCGCGGGAGTTCGCGATGCCAATGACGTGCCATGTCTCAGAGCGAAACATGCCCGAATATTCGACGGTGGCTGAGGCAGGGGTCCAGAGTACACGACAGACCAAGAATGCACATATTACCTAGGTTCAGCCCCTCTTCATTGGGAAACCTTGTTGAATCCGTTGCCGGCCAAGATAACTAAGTGGAAGAAGGGAGCGAAGAAGAGACGAATGCTTAGCCAAAGAAGAAGGGAACTCAAATGCTAAATAAGGAGCATGACAGAAACTGGAGCAGGATTCCCCCCCCCCTTCGTCTCCACCAGAAAGTACAGGGGGTGGAATGAGTGGGAGAGTGGGCACATGGACGATGGAGCCCTGCCCTTTTCCCCGGATTGATGATTGGGCTGCCGCTCCTTCCCTGGGCAGTTAAACTTCTGGCACGCCCTCTCCTCCCTGGGAAGCTTCCGCCTCCTCACCCTCACCACACAACGGCTTCCAGGTTGGACTTCTCCTCACGGGGCGCCTTCAATTTTCTTTCTGTTCCATTTCTCCCTGGGCTTGCGGTCCCTCTTCGCGCCTGACTTCGTTCTCGACTGCAACCCACCACGCTCATTTTTTTTTCCCCCAACGACTGACCTTCAGGTCCACTCCTTCGATTTACAGCCTGCGACCACTCTCTTCGCGGCTGCCCTTTGCGTTCACAACGACCTTCACCACCGCCGTCTATTTTTGGCCTTGGGTTCCGTTCAAATTTCCACCCACAAAAACCTCATAGATCATCAATACACCTTCTATCACCACAGCGCAACATTACCACCATGAAGGGAGTTCGGGCTTTGACGGTGCTGTCGCTGGCAGCTTTCGCCAGCGCCCAGACTCTCGAGGGCCTCGGTGCCTGTGAAGTATGTCCCAAGCCCCGACTCGGTCGTCGACGTCGAGACTGGTCTCCGCCAGAACAAGGGCAGCGCTGACACCCCAACAGCAACAATGTTACACCCAAGCGTTGAACAAGGCGGGCTCATTCGCCTGTGCGGCGATGGACTTTAACTGCCTGTGCCGCGTTGAGAACTGGGGCTTTGATATGCGTGACTGCGCGGTGGCCAATTGCCCCCCGGGGTCCGATGCGCTTGTCACGAACGCAGCCTCTGCGATGTGTGCGAGTATGTGGCTGGTCGAGTGCTGAGAAGGGAACTTCAACTGACGGTTCACACTAGCGGCCACACTTCCCCCTGGCGCCCCAGCCCCGACTTCGGAGACGACCACCACTGAGCCAGCTCCGTCGACAACCGAGGCACCCACCGAGGCGCCCGCGGAATCAACAACTTCGACTGTAAGTACAACGCATGTTCGTTCAAGAATGTAAAATGTCTTACATATTTGGCAGCCCGAGACTTCGACGACATCCGAGGGCCCAGAATCTTCGTCAACATCAACAGAATCCACGGAATCTTCAGCGTCGACGGCTCCCACGGCTGTTCCGACCAAGGTTGTTACGAGTTCAACATCTTCCTCAAGTGCCGGCGCGGCAGAAACCTCGGCTAGTTCTGAAGACTCGAGCCCGGCCGGAATCACCGAGGCTGCCAAGATCGGCATTGGCATTGGTGTTACCGCTGGTGTGCTCGCTCTCCTCGCCGTGGCCGCCTGCATCTTCCTACGCAAGCGGCGGGCCAGACAGGCCCCCACACAAATGGACCGGTTCCAGATCTCGCAACCAATGCCCAGCGATGAGCACGCCTATACGCATAACAACAACTCGGACTACGACATTGGATCGGGCGACCTGGAGATGAAGAGCCGGCGGTACGAGGACATGCTCCCGCGAGAGGAACCACGGCAGATGGTCTAGTTAGGCACTGCTCGGGGTTCTGGAATGGCAGGGTCCTCTGGTGCAGGCCGGAGAGGTGTTTCGATTTAGGAAAGAGGAAATGGCGCAACCGATGGACCGCCATCTGTGGGAAAATGAAACAGAAGGAAACTAGAGCTGGGTTGGAATGTCGAATAGGGGGTCGAACTACAGGCGAAATACTTGGGCCAGGAGCAAATTTGGGGCCCTGGTCGGAAGGAGTGCTGTATGAGCAAGGTTTAACATGGTCACGATGGGACCGGGATGGGTGTTGTGCTTTTACAATGGATTGGCTGGGTCTACGTGGCCGGAAGATATCCGGAACGGGCCATCGGGCCCTGGCTTGTCGGTTTTGGCGTCAGGTATCGGGGGCGGAGTTGCAAGACTTCATTCATGTCGAGTCAGCCGGCCGCGCGGCTGCTGAAGACATTTGTTTTATTTGTACATATTTCTTGCCGTAACGGGCAGAGAACCTTGCGGGCTCAGGCTCCTCGCCGTTGCTGCGCTGATACTGATACAAGCCGTAAGAGTGGCCATCGTGTGACGTGACTGACAATGGTCTTCTCCACCCATCTATCGGAAATATACCGTTTACAACTCCAATCCAGCCACTGGCAAACCAACTACCACGAATACCATTGTCGCTGAGCAGTAACCGGACGGTTGGGGAGGTGCACCCAAGGACCATGGCGGAGCTTCTTGGCCTCGCGTTCGGCGGCCTCGCGGATCCGTGTCTTCTCCTCCTTGAGGACGACCGAGATGCCTGAAACACAACTGTCAGAAAGCCATTGGGACAGGCGGTGGGATAGTCCAGGAAATACTCACCAGCCGAAGGCAGTTTCCTGATGTTCATTCTTCCACGGGCCCGGTACTCGGGAATCTTGCCCCGCCACGGGCCACGGTTCACCCAGGCCTCGGCCACGTACATGCGCGTCGGGTCGTCGACCTTGATCCACTTGCCGTCCTTGGTCTGGATCTCCACGGGCTTGTCGCTGCCGCCACCGCCGCTGCCACCGCTGCTGCCGTCGGCCTTCTTCTTGGCGCTGCCCAGGCCCATCCCCCGCTGGACCAGGGCCAGGTCGCGCGCCTCCTCGAGGTGGTAGCGCACCTCCTGCGCGTACTTCTTCTTGCTGAAGCGCATCTGCACCAGCGCCTCGGAGACCGTCTTGCCCTGGATCTGCCGCGCCAGGTGCACCAGCTTCTTGGTGCTCGTCGCCATGAAGGGGCTCCGCGTCGTCTGCTCCCGCTCCGTCCGCGCGATCCGCGCCGCGCGCGGCTCCCGGCTGAACGGGTCCGTCCCCCGCTGCAGCTGCCGGATCACCATCTTGCGCTCCCAGCGTACGCGTGCCCGGGGGTCGGGGTCGGTGGCGCGTGAGAGGTGCTCCCGCGCGAGGGAGAGGCCCGTCTTGGTGCGGCGGGATTCGTATTCTTCGGTTTCGGTGCCGGTTTTGTCGGCGGTTTCTTTGAGCTCGTCTTCGAAGATGGCGGGGCCTTCGAGGGGTTTGTTGTTGAGCGCCTTGAGCAGCTGTTGCCGCGCCGCTTGCGTGCCCGAGACTTGCTTCTCGATGGGGCTCGCGGGGGCCTGGGCCTCGGTCTTCTTGTCGCGGCTCCAGAACCATTGGTTGGTTGGGGTCGTGTGCATGCCGCGGGCGGGGGTGGTGGGCTTGGTGGGGGTGAGGGTGAGGGAATGGAGGGCGGGGACGAGGGAGGTCGTCGTCGTCGGGGTTGTTGCGAGGGCGGGGGCTATTCGGGGAGGAGATTGGTGTTAGTTAGGTTCTGTGTTGTGCTAAATAAAATTCTGAGAGTAGGTGTGTTAGTGCTTACCACCCCGGAGGAGCCGCCTCGACGGCACGCTGAGGCTCATGGCGGCGACGGAGATGGCATCAACGTGCGGGTTATTGTTAGGCGGGTCGTCGTTCTGGAGCACGTTTGCAATCGGACATTGAAAAAGTTCGGCCGGCAAATCCCGCTCGCTGTCTCGGAACGCGCTAGCTGCATTGGGCTCCACCGTCAACACCTTGAGCCTCCGACGCACCTTCCCGCACATCACCACCGCATCCATCTTACACAAACTGTTACTTGCAGCCTGCTGCAGGGACATTTCTCGATTCTGCAGCTTCATCTTGACTTAGATCTTTGGTCAATTTAGTCTTAAGCATGGTGATGCTATCCTGGATAATTCGGAATTGGTACCCCCGGTTGCATCCCCTCTCGCATCCCCTATTCCCTCGTTAGAATTGAGGATGGATTGGAATCATGAACTAGTGTTCAACCTCGGGATCTAACAATGCTGCGGACGAGTTAATTGCAAGTGCAAGACAATGCATACTACCTAAAGACAACCAGACCGTGCTCTGGGAATGGCAACACATCGGAAATCAGTGTTGCACGAAGGGGGGACGTGGAAGGTGTTTGTAACCGCGTGTAATGGTGGTTTTCACTCCTTCCAGGCGAATCCCCTCTGTATTTCCTCCCGTCCCTTTCTTCGCGGGATTCGGCTTATCCTCCATCCAGGCGAGGGCACTCAGCCCAAGTTACCGAAAACTTCCAAGTCGTTGCGTTGCGAGTGCAGCGCAGTCCTTCTCCCGCAATCTCCCCTCCTTCGGTTCTCTTTCAGGTTGTGAAGGTCGCTCGAAAAGTAGTGCACCTCTCGGAACCACCTTCCTGCATCCAACCAACAATTCCTGCATCACGCAAGTCGAAGGAAAATACACCATGACGCCCATCATGGCTCCATTCGGCTCCCTCTTCCTACTCCCCTTCCTCTTCGTCTCCATCTTTGCGGACCCGGACCATTGCTTCTTCCCAGACGGCACAACGGCGAGATTCGCTGCCAGTTGCTGGAACGGGACAAGCGGGCAGACGGTCCTGTGCTGCCAAACCGGCGACCTGTGTCTCTCGAACCAAATCTGCGCCATGAAGGACCACAGCGATGAGTTTCATTACTATCGCGGAGCTTGCATCGACTCGAATTGGACCGACCCAGGATGTCCGGATTTCTGTCCTGAACCCGCCGGCGACGATCAGATAGTTCCCATGCATCGGTGCAGCGGCGGCAAGACGATGAGAAAGTGGTACTGTGGAAATGGGAACCGTCCAGCAGATTTGGATTGCAAGGATATCGATGGTGACGTTGAGCTGCCCGGTACGCCCCCGAACCTGCTCCCCTCCGATTCCGTATGGGTGCGCTGACGAACAGGGTTAGAGAACATTTCCGTGTATGCCACAGCAGGCATCACGCCGAAACCGTCACCAAGCCCAACCCCGTCGAGGGATCCTCCTGAGAGCAAGGACACGGCGAGCGCGATACCCCCTTCCAATACCATACAATTCTCGCTGGGAGAGCCCGTGACGGCACCGGGACCAGACACCCCAAACTCTCAAACAGCGGCACCCCCGAGCACGTTACCAAACGCAACTGGTACAGACGTTCCGACAGCAGTTCCGACAGCAGTTCCCTCTGACCCACCGCAAGACGACGACGACCAAGCCAGCTCAGCCGTACCGGTTGCGGTCGGGGTCGCCGTTGGCACGTCCATCTTGATTGCCGGCAGCGTCCTGGTGTTCTTCTACCAGCGCAAGCGGCGCCGCCAGGCACCGGTGCGCGCCGAGACCCCGCCCCCGTTCGAGTTCTCCTTCATCAACAACCAACCGCCCGGCTGGCTGGGACCGTCGTCTGGGGCGGCGGCGAAAGTACCTGTGGCGGAGGCGGAGGGCAAGATGCACGACGAGAGCAAGCCTACGCCAGAGATTGGAGGCACTGCGCGGTATGAGATGCCTTGAGGATCGAGGGTGGGTGATGGCTTTGGTGTGTGGCAACCGGGAGGGTTGTTTGTAGGTGTTCTGGTGTCGGATCCATTCCCAATTTGTTCAATCTATGATCTCGTTTCTCGCTGGGCCTGTCGTCAGGATCTGCCTGTCATGTTCTTTTTTTGGTGCCAAATGCGGCGGGCGCCACACCGGAGAAGCCATGCCGGCTCGTCTGGGACCAACAAGATTGGGGGCGAGGGGGCCCAGCCGTGCGGGTGGCTGGCTGACCAGCACGGAAGTCGGAGTCTCGCTTTTTCTGCCCGGGGCTCGCGTTCCACATCCCCCGGTCCTTGGCCGGGCCAAGACCCAATCACTCACGGGCTGAGTCGGCGACAAGGCGTGCCGACGCCGTTCATTGGGGGCTGCCACTCACGTAAGACGTGCGCGCACTCTCCAAGACACCGCTCCGAATTCGATGGTCTGAAAACGGAATCGCGCGGCGGGAGTGTCTCAAATTTGACCGATCCTCCTTCTCTTTTTTTGCGGTTTTACTCGCCGGTTCCAAAAGTATGAATACCTCGACCGCTGACAGACTGGTGTCCAGTCTCTCCCCAGCATTTGACCCCAAGTCTGCTGTGTAATTCGATGTTGCATCGGCCGTCGGCTGGCACGCACTTAGACGACCAACATCATACTTGGTGCATCTTAGACATCAATACCATAACTAGCGACTGAGTCTCTTTCTCAGCCAGTCAACTGAATCATGTCTTCCAACCCGGGCCAGTCGGTACGTACCTAGTACTCTTTTCACCACATTGTCATAATAGAAAATCAAATCAAAAGAAGAGAAAGAAAAAAAAAATTAGAAAGTTAAAAAGACCCGACTAACACCGACCCAGGCCCAACCCCCACTCCAACAACCACCCTACCCCCCCTCCGGCGCCTCCCTAGGCGGCATCCCCACCACCCTCCCCGACATCCCCATCGCCGCCGTGTTCCTCGCCCTCTTCGCATGCTCCGCCGCAACCCACCTGACCATATTCCTCCGCAACAAGCGCCGGGGTCCCTCCCACCGCTTCCTCTTCTCCTTCCTACTCTTCATCTTCAGCACCCTGCGCGTCATCGCCCTGTCTCTCCGCATCGCCTGGTCGCAGGCGCCGCGGAATGCGAGTCTGGCGCTGGCGGCGGCCGTGTTCACGGCCGCGGGGGTCATGATCTTGTTTGTGGTCAATTTGGTGCTGGGGAGAAGGGTGGTTAGGGCGCTGCATCCAAAGGTGGGCTGGCATAAGGCGATGAAGGTTGGGGTGGGGCTGTTGTTGGGGAGCGTGATTGGGATGTTGGTCATGGTGGTGGTGTGCACGGTGCATTCGATGTTTACGCTGGATGCGGTGGCGAGGCGGAGGGAGAGGGATGTGGTGCTGTTTGCGGGGGTGTATGTCACGGTTATTGCCTTCTTGCCGGCGGTCATGGTGGCGTTGGCGTGGCTGGTGCCGAACCGGGGGGTGCATCGGCCGGAGGGGTTTGGGAAGGGGGGGATGGGGGCCAAGGTGCTGTTGTTGCTGGGTGCGTCGGTGGTGTTGACGCTGGGTGCGGGTTTCAGGGCTGGGGTGAGCTTTGCGGTGAAGCCGGTCGGGCAGGAGCAGTGGTATCATTCGAAGGCGGCATTTTACTGCTTCAACTTTGTGATTGAGCTGTTGGTGGTGTATTCGTACGCCATCTTCCGCTTCGATCGCAGGTTCCACGTTCCGGAGGGCAGCTCGGCACCGGGTCATTATTCAGGGAGGGGTCACGCTGAGGGAGCGGAGGAACCGGGCTTTGGGTTGAATGCCGCCGAGGAAAGCGCAGGGGATAGTAACATCACGCTATACTCGAGGAAGAAGCATCCGGCTGGTCCTGAGGGGGATTCGGCAGCATAAAGAAAGGGAGGCCGGGCCGCAGGGGATGGGATTTGTGTGTTCGATTTCGTTTTATTTCTGCTAGATTGTCAGCCTGTAATAAGACTAATAATAGAATAGAGATAGCAAGCGTCATCGCCTCAGATACCGATCATTTCTTTACACCGTTATGGTTATTCGCTACCTCTACTAGGCACGAACGTCGAGTAAACAGTTTTCAGACCTCGCACGCACCGGAAACCTCGAGTCGCAGACAAAGGCTTTGTTCAATGCCGGGCTGATTCAATATTCAACGAAACTTCCTTTCAGGGTGTCCCAACAGACTAACTCCATCACTAATGCTTAGCACTTCGCAATCAACTCAACCCGAGGACAACCAAACTGTTCATCCAACCCTGCTGTGCGGCCGAGTTGTTAGACAAACATGATGTTGTTCCACACACACAAGTCTCTCGACTACATAAACCATAATTATCACACGATGTGAAAAGAGCTGCTTTAGCCCGTCACGAACCCTCTTACACTGAGTCTCGTCCATTATCATCCACAATCCCCAAGAAAAGGAAGTACTAACACACCATGGCTCTATCATCCCAGCTGCTACCTTTCCCCGTCAGCCTCAACAAGGCAGATTGTGAGTTCATTCTCCTCGGGCACTATTTGCGCCACCCCAAGGGCGGAATCTGCCACCTCTGCCAGAGCTCCATCCTCAACACCTTCGTCGCACTCTCTGCCAAACATGGCACAGGCCTGCAGCTATTCCCTTCCCAGCTAACCGACCAGCGCTACCCAGCCGAGGTCGCTCAGCGCCGAGATAACGCTTTAGTCAACGCAATCTGCTGGCGAATCGCGAACAAGGCCGAGTTCGACAACCTCCTGCACAACGGCTGGATCGCCATGTTCGAGTCGGCCAGGAGCACCTCCACCACCACCTACGACCCAACCCAACAACAGCAGCGGCACCACCAGCCCCCCAACCCCTCCGCCGCCCCTCCCCCGCACCTCATCACCGCCACCCGCTTCTTCCCCCCGGAAATCAACTACGCCGTCACCACCAGCGAGGAGTGGCTCACCAAACTCTGGTTCGCCTGCGCGGGTCACTACACCACCAACGACCTCTTGCGGGGGCGCGCCTACTCGGGCTACGCCGCCTTCGAGGGTATGCACCTGCGGCGGGTCGTGGCGGGCTTCCAGCCGTACCACGACGGGGCGTGCGCGTGCGCGTGCGCCGACAGCGACCGGCAGGCGATGGCCGCCGCCGGCCTGCAGGCCGGGTTCCCCGCGCAGACTTGGTTGGATAGCGGGACCCCGCCGCATGTGGAAGTGGTGATGCGCTACACGGATCCGGTGATCAGGGAGGCGTACGGGCGGTATTGTGGCGAGCTCGCTGCGCGCGGTGGTGGGGAGTGGGTCCTGCCGCTGGTGAGGATGTGGGATCAGTCGGGGTTTAAAGAGTGGTTGGTGCTGATAGTGCAGAAGGCGGAGGCGGGGATGGACTCGCAGGCGATGGAGGGTGTTGAACGTGACGAGGATGTTGAGCTTGAGGAGGCGGCGAAGACGCTGCTGGCGTTGAAGCTGGGCGGGGATGCTCAGGCTTGTTGCTGAAGGTGGTGGGGTATAAGTGAGTTGACGGCGGGGTGTCAAGGTGAGAAAGCATACGCCAGTTTGATAGCACTAATCATCCAAGAAGCCCGACTGGATACCCTACAATAAATATAAATAAAGATATACTCACATTTGCGGCCCCTAGATATGTATAACCCCGTGACAGTTCGGCCCAACCGACTTGTGTAATTAGCAGGGTTCTCGACTCGGGAGTGCCGGATGTCGGTCGTATCGTGTATGATTGTCGGTCCGAATCTAAACATCGTGGCCGGGTTTCGTGGCTTCTGGGGCTGGGTGCGGCTTGTTTGCTCCCTATACTCACCCAATCCACCTCAGGGCTCGTCTGGGGCCGCAATGGCTAGACTTCGCTAGGAAGAACAGCAGGTACGTATCTACTCATCGTTGGAGAGGAATATGGTGCGAGGTTAAGTAAGGTAGTGGACTGATGCTTGATTAGAGAGAGAGAGAAAGAGCTTGAGAAAAACACGGGGGCTTATAAATATATTTCAGAAGAGGCATGGAGCCAAAATTCAAATCCTGGTGACGGTCGGCTGTCCTATCTTCACGAGGACGTGGTGTCATTGTGTGTAAATGATGTGTTGATATTTGAATCCACAGCCCAAATTATTTCACCCAAAAGATATCCTCAGTTGTGAATTTAGCAAAGGCGGGGTTGTTTGGCATATGAATCATAGCATGTAGTCAATCTGCAGTAGTCTATTGTTGAGCGGGTTCCAAGTCTCGGAGCCGCCCGACATTGCCGTGTTTGGACCGATTCGAAGGTGTCGGTCCTTTGGCAGACTTACTGCCGTCATAATCGCAATGTGGCCGACATGTATGTAAGGAATCGTTGCTTTTAGTTTGCACCGCCCCTTTTTGTTCGGCTTTGGGCAACGAAGCAATTGACTCTGTCGGGCGGCGGATGGGGAAGCAATGCATGGATCATGATACATGTAGACTGTGGTACCGGAGATTCATATCACGAAGCACTTGGGAGCTCGTCAATCACTTGGCACACCACCCTGAGGCTTTTGGTTCATGGGTTGCATTATCCATCTGCCATCTAGCAACGGATCATTTCCGCCGCAAGGGCTGCCATGACAAGATGCATTTTTCCCAGCTCCCCGTCTTTCATTTTCTTGCCATGAAAGCGACCAAAAGCGAGATAAGCAGTCCGAAGTACGCCCCCACCATGGAATTCGTCGAAAGAGCCCCGGCGCGCGACAGGCGCGCCCGGCCTCCAGCGCAGCGAAGCGATGCAAACCCCCTCCCTGCGACCCGTCCTTCCCCGGCCCCGACGCCGAAACACCGGTCCCTTACGCCCTCGACATGACACCCCACGCGCGGATGATGTTGTCGGTGTAGCCGGCGAAGAGGGTCTGGCCGTCAGCGCTCCACGCAAGGGAGACGCACTCGGGCTCGCGGCTCTTCTTGCCCACGTTCTGGAACTCGGGCTTGAGCTCGTCGACCTTGCTCTTCTTCTCGAGGTCGAAGATGATGATGCTGCTGGCGGTGGCAGCGCACAGCCAGTAGCGGTTGGGGGAGAAGACAAGGGCGTGGATCTCGTCGTTGGCGTTGAGCGAGTACAGGTGCTTGCTCTCATTAAGATCCCACAGCATCGTGGTACCGTCCTTGCCACCGGAAGCGCACAGAGATCCATCGGGAGAGATGGTGACGGTGTTGATGTAGCCGGTGTGGCCGATGTGGTCGGTCTGAAGCTTGCAGCTAGAGAGCTCCCAAACCTGCAAAAATTGTCAGCCTGGACGAAACCCATACGGAATCTTCGACAAAAGGTGACAGAATTTTGGGGGTCGCTCAGTGCATGGTGAATGTTGGTCTCATGGCCCGTGGCGAGACGGGCTCTGAAGTAGCAAATACTTTAAAAGTTGCAAGCATCATTGCGAAAAACTGAAAGACTCGTTTCCAACGTACCTTGACCAGCTTGTCCCAGCCGGACGACACGATCACAGGGTTCTGCGGGTTGGGCGAGAAGCGGACGCACGAAACCCACTCGGTGTGGCCCTTGTCGGTGATGGTGAACTTGCAGTCACCGAGGGTGTTCCAGAGCTTGATGCTCCGGTCGCGAGAACCGGAGACGATCTGGCGGTTGTCGGCGGAGAAAGAGACCGAGAGGACATCGTTGGTGTGGCCGACGAACCGGCGGGTGGTGGTGCCGGTCGAGAGCTCCCACAGGCGGAGAGTCTTGTCCCACGAAGCGGAGAGGGCATAGGCACCGTCGGAAGAGATCACCTGCCACGCCAATCAGCACACCTCAATTCCTCCCATTTCCAAAAATTGTTTGCGAGGACGTACGCAGTCGGAGACGATGTGGGAGTGGCCGTGGAGCGACCGCTTGGGGTAGCCGTACTGGGTCTCATCGCGGGTGAGGTTCCAGATGATCAGGGTCTTGTCTCGGCTAGCGGAGAGAAGCATGTTGGGGCTGTTTGTCACGGTAAGCGCAGGTCCTCGGCGTCGGCACGATTGATCGGGCGCGCGTACTTCTCCATCGACGTGGCCAAGCTGGTGACCCAGCCATTCTGTGAGAGCAACACCGTCAGCTCCAGCCCGGAAATTCAAGCTCGCATCGCCGACCTCGAAATTGGTTGATCTCGAGGTGCGAAAATTGACAGCGGCGGGGAGAACTTACGTGGCCCTCCAGGGTGCCCTTGAGGATGAGTTGCTCAGCCATGTTGACGTCCTTCCTGGGATTCGGGGATCGGTGGAAGAATGGTGAGCTTTTTGGCGGTGCCTCGTTTCGTCGGGGTCAACAGAAATCGGGGCGCTACGAGAGCTCTGGGAATTCCGAAATTTTTGTGCGGCGGAAATAGGGTGCGCCGTGGGGTCCGGTTGAAGGCGGTGGCGGCGCTGGGCAGGTGGCAGGAAGCCTTCGGCCCGTCAAACCAACTGGGAGCTCGGTTCGGTCGCTTAGCAAAGCGGGGCAGGCATTCACAGCGCGCAACAACGCGCCCAATTGCAACCGACATGGATCTCGCATCACGGCTACGCAACGCCGGAAAAGAAAATGCCGTCGCTCTGTTCGACAACCGACCCATCCAATGCAACAAGAAATATCCCAGTTTGTTCAAGGCGCACAAGGAAGTTGCAAATGCAAGTCGATATAATATCTATGTTTACCGTCAGTCCGACGGCCCGGGTATCTTCTGCCTGTTAATGTGTTGTCCCAACCAAACTCCAAAACACCATGCGCTATGGGTTGAGTATGAATCAAATGCAACTTGCCATGCTCCGTTTCTTCCTTACCCCTTGCCAGGGATACCTTGCCCTGCAGCAACCGCCTTCCTGACACCCGCCCGAGGTATGTCCTGGCGAAGGCAAGCCTTTTCCGTGTTCACGATCATGCTGTGATCCGCGATCTCGAACCGGCCCTTGTCCCCGTGCATGGCCGCCGGAACAATTTCCTTGCCCTTGGACTTGGTGTCGTCCTCGATCAGCTCGCGCATCGCCGCCTCCCATAGGTTGTAGCGGTCGCGGCGGGCCGGTTGCCGTTGTGCCGCTGACCAGACCTCCTTTTGTTTGGCAATCTTGGACGCGCGCATCAGCCTTCTAAGCGCTCCCTCTCCTGCCTTGGCCTCCTTTGCGGCCGCTTCTCTCATCTTCTTGGGGTCACCGCGCGGAATCTCGTCCGGCGCAAGCGGCCGCTGTGGTTGTTGTGGTTGTATTTGTGACCCCTCCAGGGGTTGGGGCGGCGCGTCGGGGCTGAACACACCCCAGTCATCCGACACAGTGACGGCATCGACGCTTTCGGGGGTGCACTTGTATGTGTGTATACTCGGAAACGCGGGGAACGAATCGGGAATGTATTGCTTGACTGCTTTGTCTGGCGCACCGTCGAGCTCGTGACCAAGGATCGGAAGATCTCTCTCGAGGCGGTCGTTGACCGGCAGAGGCTCGAATGTGGGAAGACGTTTCGACTTTGGAATCGGTGGTTTCCTGTGCGGGTCGAGGAGCGATGTGGTCAAGTTGAAGCGCCCCAAAGCGAGCTCAAAGTCGCCGGGGATCGGATGCGGCCGCCGAGCTGCATTCTGGTACATCCTCACGCTGTCGCCTAGGGAGGTGATATCTGGGAGCTGGGTTAGAGTATCGCCCAACAAGTCCCAAATTGCTCGGCCACGTACAGGTCTCCGCCATGGCAGTGAAGCTCTCCATGGCATCGGGCGTGGCGCCCTCGAAACCGACCTTCTCCAGCGCGAGCGCAACGGCGCGTCGCAAACCCTTGTTCGCTAGCTCATCTGTGGTCGCTGCCGCTGAAGAACATGGCGAGGCCCCAACCTCCCCAACCGATAGTATGACGTGCGGAGATTGAACACGTTGGCGTTTGGGGTCGGGGCTGTCGTGGTCGGTCACGGCCGGTCGCTTCCGTGACTCGATCGACATTGTCGCGGCTTGTTCTTCAACGGTTGCTGACAACATGGGCGAGGCCAAGATTGCAATCCCATAACACTCCTAGATGAAAAGGAATATGCGCGGGTGGTGGGATTAAATGAAGCCGATGGGAAAGCACTTGCGATGGTCAGTTCGGGAGTTCGGGGAAGGAGCTGGTGTTGAGATCAACGACTGTGCACGGCCCGCTGTCCTTGACCCTGAGTGGCTCGCGCCACGGTTCTCGCGGTTTGTTCCCCACAAATTCCAACGGCTTCATTCAGTTCTTTTTCATCCGCATCTCGAACTCATTGACTAAATAGGTAAATAATGGCTTCCGACCACTACAACTGACTTCGAGGCTATGGCTGTATTTGCAAACACTATCTGGTTTTGCAAGGGACATAATAATAGAAATATTAAGCAAAGCTGCCGGATGAGTGAAAGTGTTGTGGAGCCAAGCAATTGAACCACTTACCGTTTTCGCACCATCTCGAGTTATTTGGACTTCTTCAACGAACTCGAGACAGAATCAACAGTCAAGTGGCCAGCTAACTCCGAGAAGATGCACGACCTCGAGACTCTCCAGAGTGGCGGCTACAGGAATGCTGGCCTCACTCATCTCAAGCTCTCATGCCCCTTGGCCTCATTTCCAGAAGGGATACTCCAACTCGGTGATACGCTCGAACAGCTGGACCTCTCGGGCACCGGACTGTCATCATTACCTGCGAATCTAGGCACTGGCCTTCCGAAGTTGAAGGCCATCTTTTTATCCAACTGCAGCTTCAAGGTATTCCCGCGAGAGCTTGCATCATGCCCCGCCTTGGAAAGTGTTGCGTTCCGCAACAATGGCATGGAGGAGATTCCCGAAGATGCCTTCCCGCCGCCGCTTCGCTGTCTCGTTCTCACAGGCAACCGCATCACCACGCTGCCATCTAGTATCGGCCACTGTGGCCATCTACAAGAGTGCATGGTCGCCTCCAACCAGCTACGGGACCTACCTGATGCATTGGCCAGCTGCAAGAAGCTCACCCTCCTCCGACTCAGCTCGAACCGCCTCTCAGCCCTTCCCTCCTGGCTATTCACTCTGCCCGAACTCGCCTTTCTCTCGTTCGGTAGCAATCCCTGCTCCTCCCCGACCACCAACGGTCTTCATGCCCCCCGCGGACTAGCCAGCATCGCCTGGTCCGACCTCGAAGTGCAGCAGCCTCTCGGCGCCCACACCTCCCAAGGTCTCTGGAACCGATCGCCACACTACGCCGAAGAGGTTGCCATCAAACTCTTCCGCAGTTCCGCCGGCACCGAAGAAGAAGACGACGACGACGGCTCCGCCGCGGACGAGATGGCCGCGTACCTCGCGGCGGGCGCACACGAGAGCCTAGTCACCATCCTCGGCCGCATCCACGGCCACCCGGACGAGGACACACCCAGCTACCAAGGCGGCATCGTAACGCAGCTCATCCCCGAAGAATACACGCCCCTCAACACCTACCACACCACCACCACCACCAACAACCAAGAACCCCCCCTCCCCTCCCCATCCTCGTCACCACCACCACCCGCACCACAACCAGCAACCCCATCTCAACAAACCACCACTACCACCACCACCCCACCATCAATAGACCCCCCCACCGCCCTAGCCATGCTGACCGGCCTCGCGCACTGCCTCGCGCACCTCCACGCGCGCGGCATGGCCCACGGCTCGCTGCAGCCGCGGCACATCCTGGCCAGCGCGGCCGACAAGCACGCGCTGCTCACGGGGTTTCGGGGGGCGACTGTCTACGGGCACGGCTCCGAGCAAGGAAGCGGGGGGAAGGGGGTGGAGAAGGTTGAGGTGCTTGCCTTTGGGCGGGTGATGGAGTTTGTTTTGGGGGTTGCTCGGGACGGTGCCGGTGATGAGGGGGAGGGTGAGGGTGATGATGAGAAGAGGAGGGAGCGGGAGGAGGTGGAAAGGGGGCTTGGGGAGTTGTGTGGGCGGTGTGTGGCCGCTGACGGCGCGGCACGGCCGGGGTTTGCTGAGGTGGTGGAAGTGCTGGAGGGCTTGATGGGCTGGCGCGGCATGATGCGAATTCCGGACGTTGAGCCTCGGTAGGGGGGGGGACGGGATTGTTGGGCGGCAACGCGCGTGTCTGGAGTTGCTGCTGCTGCCTGTGGTGACGTCGTGATCTGACAGTCGAGATGGCGGGCCGTTGTCCGTCGGTTGGTTGGATTTCTAATAAAATCCTGGCTCTCCAACGTCAGAGTATCCTTCCCGGCAACGGATGTCGCTCAACTTACGTGGCAGCCGAGCCAACCGCATGTTCGTCTGTGCGGACGGCCGAGGAGGGAAGTTGGGGGGATTATCGAACGCTGCAGTTGGCGATGAACTGCAGCACATCAACCTCATTACTCACCGCCGCAATATCATGTACCGCGTACTATGTTGCTATGTGGTGGATACCTCGACTGGGCATCCCAACTGCCGCGGTAACAACGAACGAAACAGGTCACCCACGCACCCACGCCCTGCTCCGTTTCTCGGCCACTGCCAACCTCGCCAAGGTTACGTTGAATGCGGGTGCACATGGAAGCTGCTGTGCCGCAACGTGCTCCTCATCCAGCGGTCGCCCGAGAGAACCTTGTGAATCAAACCCGCTCGTGCATGTGTCTTCCGACTTACACAAGGGCCGCAGTGACAAGTCAGCCACTGGCCCGGCCCCTACTGCGATGCCTTGCCGCGTCTGGGGGTCATGTGAGCACCCTCGGACGCCACGGATACGATCCTTTTCATGCGCTGCCTACCGCAGCGTTGCAACTCGGTCTTCTTCCCTGCACTTTTGCTTGCTGCCCCGGTTAGAGAGCCGTCCGAGCGCGGGGGGAGACATCGTGGCCAAATCGAAAGATCGGACGTCTGCTGCAGGTCCATGCCGCATGCAGGGTGCTTTCTGTGCTGCATCCTCTACTGTGCAAGTGACGCATCGTTGGATGGAGTGGGTGAGTGGGGAGGGAGGTGGGTGGGATACACTTTTTGTTTCTCATCAACCTCACTCTCCTGTGTATGTTCCAGGTTGTGTTGGAGGTGGGCTGCATAAAGCGATTGGATCAGCTCTTGCGGCACCCCAAGGTCGCCCTGCATGACGGGCGCTAAACTCTCCCTTCTGACACGTGTGGACGGCCAATTCTGAAGGTCTCGTGCAGATGCCCCCATCCTTCACGCCGAATATTTCTGGAAGCAGTCTTTGTGCCCTGTGCCGCCCCGTGTGTCCAGCCCTAATGTTAACAAGAGGTGCCACGGCGACACATATCCAGTTTTTTAGAGGAAGTATTGCGTTTGATGTTATTATACCGTAATATCAACCCCTGAGATGAAGCAAAGAAGATTTTCCTTACGTACGTCGGTGATGGTGTGTGCACATGCCCTCACCACTGACACATACCTCAACAACAACAAATGATGAGGGCGGGATTTGCGTTGTTGCCGTCTCAAAATTTCCCTGGTTCATGGCGGGGCAAATTGGAGCCAGCTCCGCCGGTATGTGGTTGGTCAATTTCGCAGTTTCGCTTGTTAGCAGAGCGGGAGATGGACATTGTGGGGGGAAGCTTCGAGCCCGCACTGTAAACGGCCGGATAGTAATCTGTCTGCAGTGTAATGTAATAATCTCCATACTTCGGGCGATGCGCAAATGCAGGAAGCATGGATGAGGTCATGGCTATTTCAACGAAAAACGGATGGTTTTACTGCCTACGATTTACCTACCTGAGTTGTACAGGGGGGGGGGTATTACAGTACACTTCAAAGTTCAACTTGTCGATGCGCGAATCTCTGAGTGGCATGCACTTCCTGCACTGCTCCTGCCCTTCCTGCCCTTCCTTGGCTGGGCACCTGGGGTGGATCGGACGCTAATTCAACTCGCGCATGGGGCCACAAGACCCTGGCCATTTTGTCCCACTCTCTTTTCCATTTTTGTCGTCTGTTCATCGGTCGGTTGGCGGCCGGTTGGTCTGAACACGTCTTCGAACTCGCGGCCGGTCGCGGGCGGGACTGTGCCTTTCCAAAGCTTCCAATGTTCTGCCCGCTTTCCATCCGTATTCTATGCTGTGCCGCAAACGGGCCAACTCTCAACCGGGCCACCACACCACCATCAAGAGACGGAATGTTCGACGGAGAGAATTGGTCCTGGCTGACCCCTTCGCCGTGCACAGACAAAGCCGCTGCAGCCTGTCGTGGAACCCCGAAGAGCTCTCCTCACTAGTTACTGTGTACGAGACTCTCGGCGACCTCACTGAGACATGCAGGAGCCCTCCCCCCCTCGTCGTTGCAACAAGCCGCAAGCAAGGGTTCATTGAGGCGTTGGGGGACACAGCAGTTGCAACCCGGAAGCGAAACGGTCAAGACGCGAAAAGCCTGAGTGATCGCCCTGCGGGATCCGCAACCGGTTGGCGGCGGTCTGGGCTCGATCAGAATCGCTTAATTTCCCGCATTTTCAGCAGTGCCAGGAACGCGCATGTTCCTGTATGCCCATACAGTTCAATACTTGTTTGTTTGTTAGCGCGGCTCCTCTGACAGGGGTCCTAGTTCAAAAGTCAAAAACCCCTACCTCGCCAGCCCAGCAACCGATTAAAATGCAAAGAAATGCAATATCTAGAACCGTTAGTAAAGACCATTCTAATCAAACCTTTTTTTCTGTTCAAAAAAGCGCCGTTTTGCCGTTGAGTTGGAGATTTTGGCAAGGACCCCGGTCTTGAAGTCACGCGCTAGCGAACTTTCAGGGAGAGGACTGTACATGTCGAGAGTTGATTGCGGATCACCGTTCTCCATCCCGTCATTGGGGGGCCCTGTGGTTCAGGGAGCTCACTAGCGCCCGCGGCGGGAACTATCCGTTCGTTCCCTTCGGTCCCACACCATCATTCATCACGGGGGAGGCAGAGACAGGCCGAATCCGGCAACAGGGCTTCAACAACCCAAGTTTCGTCAGGGTAGGGCTTCAGGGCGCACATCCACCGGGGGGAGACGGCATCGCCCTCTTACCCCACCATCTCCCGCTCCCGCTTCGCTTGACCCCTGTTCCGGCCCTGGTTCCGGGGGGACGCCATGTCACCGCATAAATGGTCCTGTGCTGCCCGTCTGACACGGGGTTAACTCTGTGTTTTCGTTACAAGTAAAGAGCAAACGGCACGAACTGGAGTATTCTCCTAATTTCACCTCGGCCGCCCCGAACCAGAGAATGAGAACGGCTCCCTGGCTTTCCGGATATCCGAGCTGGCCAACCAGAACGACAGACTTGACCCGGCATCAGACCTGACCCGTGGCAAACGGAAGCAATTCCCGGTCCGCGATTCGGCCTTCGTGTATACGTCTATACTTGCCCACACAATCCCCGTGAGGCACCGCCCACAGCCTCTCGGCTCCGAACAAAACCTAGGCCGGTGACAAATTCAGCATCTTCAACAAGCGGAAACTTTTTCTCTCCGACCGTGACCACTCAAAGGCTGAAAGGCAGCTCTATTCATCCCGTGGTGTTTTCCCAACAGTCCCGCTGGCTTCCGGACATCTTCGCGAACCTTCCCTTACACCCTACGACCTCCCTTACCCAAACACCCAAGCAAGACTTGTGTGTTGACGGGCTCTGTTTTCGTCTCAACGGTGCTCCAAACGACTGGACAATCCATAGTTGGAATGTGCTTGGCCCACTAAGCAGCCGGGATTGACGGGAGACGAGCTCGCAGAGCTACCGAGCCGAGCCGAGCCGTGTGTGGAGTCCCGGGCCCCGTTTCCTCCGGGTGAGTTCGGCCAGCGCTCCGTGGAGCAGAGCGAAGCGCTGACGGCTTCTAGACACTCTATTTCTCTTCACATCAGCCGCCACTGACAAGACTCGCACAACGGCAACCGCCCACCATGTCATTACCCTTCCCCATCAACCCGTCGGCCATTCCCATAGTGCGGACTCGGAAGGCGCTCATAATGCTGGACTTGCAGAATGACTTCTTGTGTCGTGAGGGCGCCTTGTTCACCGAGGAGCCTGAAGACTACTTGGAACGAATCCTGGAGGTAGCTAAAGCCTTCCGCGACTCCGGCGCTGGCGATGTAATATGGGTGCGCAGCGAATTCGAGAGCCATCGCCCCCTGACGGAAGAAGGTGATCAGATCATCACGACGGATTCTATGTTGCGGGACAAAAAGACGGCACAGTCGCGGGGACGCCAGCAGACTTCTACCGGGCATGAAAGTGCGACGATGGAGAATGACGACGAGGCCTTCCTCAGTGTCGGTACGAAGAAGGATAAGAAGACATGCGTCCGCAAGGGGACGAAAGGCGCCGAATTCGCGCCAAGGGTGAAAGCGGCTATAGTTCCCGCGCGCGATATCGTGTTCACCAAGACACAATACAGTGCCTTCGGATCAGGACAACAGCTGGTTCAGATGCTTCGGGGCCGGTTCGTGACCGAGATGTACGTCTGCGGAGCGCTGACAAACATCAGCATCTACGCGACGGCGCTCGGGGCGGGACAGCATGGGTATGGCGTGACCCTCGTTGAGGACTGCTGCGGTTTCCGGAGCACTATGCGGCACCTTAACGCCGTGCGCCAGCTCGACCACTTGGTAGGCTGCGATGTGGTCAGCTCCGATACCCTACTCGATCAATTACAACCTCCTCCTCCCACAGAGAGCCTGTCGACGGGGCTCTCGCCGTCCATCTCCAAGATTGCGCTTGAGCTCGGGAGTGGGTCTCCGGAGAGCTCCCCCGCACCCGGATCCCCGCCGGCCAAGCCTGCTTCGCCGCAGCGGGCCCGGGACGAGCTCAAGCCAACAACTCCGCCTCGACGCACGGCCTCGATTCAGAGCAAGAGTAGTTCGAAAGGGGAGAGGAAACGCCCTTTGGAAGACACGGGTCATTTAGAAGCCGAGTCTGACCCCTCATCATCGGACCGTGAGTCAACGCATAGCGCGAAGAAGCCCCAAGAAGCGCGGAGAAGTTCGCAGCCCCCGAAGGCGAAGCGGAGCGAATTAGAAAGCTCAAAAGGTCCAACCCTCTCCCCCGGGACAGGCAGCACTCATGCTGAAAAACCCAGGGTCGTAAATCGGGTGAAGCAACGTACCCAACGCGCGCAGTCAAATAAGAAGTCGACGCCCTCTTCATCTTCGAGCCCCGTGATTCCGGGCGACACCTCGAGTGACACGAAGAAGCGGAACCCCCCAGTGCCGACCACCACCAGCCCACCTCGTCCTCTGACGCCGGAACAAAAATCATCACCGCACAACATGACGGAACCACAAGCAACCCCCGTTGTTGGCGAAGCCCTCTGCGAGGGCGACACTCACGTCATCACCAATGTCCTCCCGCCGCCCCTCGCTGCAGACGGATTTGAGCGTCTCCTGGAAGAGGTCAGCTGGGCCAGCATGTCACACATGGGTGGGGAGGTGCCCCGTCGCATTGCCGTGCAGGGGGCCGTCGCCGACGACGGCAGCATGCCAGTCTACCGACACCCAGCCGACGAGTCGCCGCCCTTGCTTCCATTCTCCCCTACCGTACTCCAGATCAAGGCCGAAATCGAGAAACATCTCGGCCATCCCCTCAACCACGTGCTCATTCAGCACTACCGCACGGGCAATGACTACATCAGCGAGCACAGCGACAAGACGCTGGACATTGCTCCCGGCACGTTTATCGCCAACGTCAGCCTGGGTGCCGAGCGCACCATGATCCTCCGCACCAAGCGCCCACCCAAGGACAAGCACACCAGCACCACCACCACCACCACCACCACCGCCTCCCCGACAAAGCCAGAAGAAGCCCCCAGCAAAGAGGAGCCCCAACCCCAACCCCAACCCACCAGCGCCGAACCTCCCGCCACCCCGGAACCGCCCCGCCAAACCCACCGCGCCGCCCTGCCACACAACTCGCTCATGCGCATGGGCCTGCGCACCAACACGCGCTGGCTGCACGCGATCCGGCAGGACAAGCGCGCGGACCGCGACCGCACCGCCCCGGAGCGCGCCTTCGGCGGCGCCCGCGTCAGCCTGACCTTCCGCCAGATCGGCACCTTCATCGACGCCGCGCAGGCCGTCATCTGGGGCCAGGGCGCCACGTCGAAAACGAGGGGGGGCGCGCGTGCGGTGGTGAATGGCCAGACGGAGGATGCGGTGAGGTTGTTGAAGGCGTTTGGGGCGGAGAATAATCGCGGGGAGGGGTTTGTGTGGGATGAGTGGTATGGGGCCGGGTTTGATGTGCTGCATATGGGCACGCCGAAGAGGGTGTTTTATGCGGCCTCGCAGGGTGCGAGGGTTGAAAATATGCGGGTTGCGTGGGCGCTGTCGGAGATGGCGGTGGGGTGTGCCAAGGGGAGTGTGGAGGGCGAGGTGCGGTTTGAGGATAATGATCCGGGCAGGACGGTGGTGGAGGGGGATGGGGTGGTGTTGCGGTATTTGGACGCTGTGTATGGCGCTGGCAGGCGCTATGATCACATGCTGCCGGGGGAGGTGGCCAGGCGGGTTGTGCGGCTGCAGAGGGGGCTGGAGTTGCTGGGGAAGTGGACGGCTGCTGTCAAGGAGGTGGGTGTGCATGTGGAAGGGGGTGATGAGAAGCATGCGAGTAAGGAGGAGGTGAAGGCCCTTGTCAAGCTGTTGGGCAAGGAGCTGGCGGAGTGGGACGGGTGGGCGAAAGAGGCCGCTATCAGCGGAATAAAATTTTCCATTGCCGGCGGCGAGCAGGCGGCGCCGGCTGACTTTGCGCTGTGGCCGGTTCTGCATGATATGGTGAGGGTGTGTGGTGAGGAGGTGCTGGGAGAGCATCTGGGGCAGTATTATTCTGCTTTCAAGGACTGGTGCTTGCTAGTGGAGGCTTTGGGCCACATCAGGGCGGCGTGAGGATTTTGGGTTTGGCTTAGGGCTGGGCTGGTTGGATTATCTTATGATATTTTCTGAATCGAGTAAGCGAGCAGATTTGGTTGGATGAATGGGTTGGATAGTTTGAGGATACTCTGGAATGACTTTGTGTTTGCATCAACGGTTCGTTGTGTCTGTGGGTAAAGCGGGATGTTTTTTTAGATCGATGGACGGTCGGGCAGGTGGAGGATATGGCGCGAGGTTCATGAATGATTGCCTCAACTGTTTGTCAGAGACAACTGAAAGATATTAGTGTGATGCCATTTAGCAGCGGATGTTAAACTCTATGTTTTAAGCGGAATGTAGATGAGACTTAGAGAGGGCCACCTTCAAACAAGAAGTTGAATTATGATTACAAAACAGATATATGTCCCTAAGGCTAAAAAGGAGCAGGTGTTTAAAGTCAAAAGAAAAGAGAAGAAAAAAACCTTACCTTGCAAAACTAGCTACCTGCAACCCGAGATAGTCGGTTGAATGTAAGTCATTTCGGGGACAAGATACAAGGAAAGGAGGCGTTAATAGATGTAGCTTTATAAAACAAGTAACATTTCATATCGATATCTGGGATTGCGATAAATCAACAACAAAAGAAGTGGTGAGACAAGCGTAGCTTCGTTAAAATTAAAAGAAAATAGCAAAAGCTCACCGGCCAACCCCCCTCGATCAGTTGTCACTGATGGAGGGGGGTTGAACCTGGGTCGCCCGGGCCTCAAGGACCACCGCCGGTTACCATTTGGCCAAACCGTCGAGTGGGCGGTGTGCCTCGGTCGAAGTCAGCGAGGCGGACCTCATATACCACGTGCGGGTTCCCGATGCTCGATACATGCCATGACGTACTCTTAGCACAGACAGACCCTTGACATCCTCGATCAGCACCCCAACACGCAGTCTCGGCAGTGTATCGATATATCAGATTCGGCTACCGACTTCCATCCTCGAGTTGAAAGCCGAGAAGAATCGGGGCAAGTGACTGTTAAAACCCGCTCGCCCGGCACAACAACGCCTCGTGGTGACAACAAACAAAAAGCCAAAGCCGCATGAACAGTTACATAGTATCATCTCCATCGTCTAACCCTCTCACAAAACCCGTCCCTTTTCCTCCACCCCCTATTTTCCACACAACCAACCCCCCTTCACTTACGGCTTGGCATCCCACGGCAGGGGATACGTCCCAACCCAATCCGCAACCTCGCTCCGGAGCTGCACAATCTCGGTATCCGTCTCACCAGACCCGAGATACTCCAGGAAGGTCTTGAGGCGGCCAGCCGTCTTGACCTCGCCCTTCTCCTCGGCGGCCTTGCGGGCGGCCTTGTCGACGCGGACGGCGATGGTGACGGCGCGGTCGACGATGTCGGCGACGCGCTCGAAGTCGTTCTCGCCGAACCCGCGCGTCGTCATCGCGGGGGTGCCCATGCGCAGCCCGCCGGGGGTCAGCGCCGACCGGTCGCCGGGCACCGTGTTCTTGTTGGCTGCGACGCCGACGAGCTCGAGCACGCGCTCCACGCGCGCGCCGTCGACGCCCTGCGGCTTGAGGTCGGCGAGTACCAGGTGGTTGTCCGTGCCGCCGCTGACGATGCGGTAGCCGAGCCCGCCCTTCTCCTTGGGCTCGCCGAGGCGGCGCGCCAGGGCCTGGGCGTTGGAGAGGACCTGGGATTGGTAGGTGCGGAACTCGGGGGTTTGCGCCTGCTTGAGGGCCACGGCGAGGGCGGCGATGGTGTGGTTGTGCGGGCCGCCTTGGTGGCCGGGGAAGACGGAGGCGTTGATGGGGTTCTCGAGGTTGTACATCTCCTCCACGCCCGTCTTGGGGTGGGTGCGGCGGACCCCGCGGCGGAAAAAGATGATCGCACCACGCGGGCCGCGGAGGGACTTGTGGCTTGTTGTGGTGACGATGTCGGCGTAGGCGAAGGGGCCGGGCATGACCTTGGCTGCGACCAGGCCGGAGATGTGGGCCATGTCGACGAGGAGGTAGGCGTTAACCTTGTCGCAGATGTCACGCATGCGGGCATAGTCGATCAGCCGGCTGTAGGCCGAGGCGCCGGCGACGATAATCTTGGGGCGGTAGAGGCTGGCCGTCTCCTCGAGCTTGTCGTAGTTGATGTAGCCGGTCGACTCGTCGAGGCGGTACGGGAGGGTCTCGAAATACTTGGAGATAAACGAGATCTTCTTGGTTGGTGTCTGGTATCCGTGGGACAAGTGCCCTCCGTGGGGTAGATCGAGGCCCATGAGGCGGTCGTGTGTGTCCATCAATGCCGAGTAGACGTAGAGGTTCGCGGGAGCACCGGAGAGAGCTACGGCGGTTAACACCCATACCACACCCTCTCCATCACATAACGGAACGGGGGGACTCACCCTGAACGTTGACACCCCATTCCCTCTGATCCAAGCCAAACGCCTCAAGCGCCCGCTGCTGGCACAGTCTCTCGGAAGCGTCGATAAACTCGTTGCCGCCGTAGTACCTCGCGCCGGGATAACCCTCGGAGTATTTATCTGTACCAATTAGCCCCGCTCCGGAGGTGTCGGCTCAGTCGGGGTACGCACTCTGCATCGGACTCCCTAGAGCATCCAGCACGGCCTGCGAGGTGAAGTTCTCGGACGGAATCAGGTTGATGAACTGCTTTTGCCTGATCTTCTCCTGTACCCCCACCAACACGATTAGCGCCGCCCACTAGAGGAAGACCGCCTTGAGAACCAACCTTCTCAATGATGTCGTGCATAATCGGATCGGCCTGTTGCAAATGTGCAGAAAGCAGCTATCGTACGGGCGCATATTAGCATCATGCACACTCCCTTACACCATACCACACACTACAGCGATATCCCACCTTCTGCTGCGTATCATTGCCATTGGGCATAGTCCCAACGGACCGCCTCGAGCCGACCCCGCGGAACCATGGCTGTCGTGTTGTTGCCCGCTGCAAACGGCTCGCTATCGTCGTCGAGGAGGGGGCGGCGGCAGCCCGGAGGGAGAGGGAGGCGGAGGCAGAGGCGTGGGCAGCAGTGCTCCGCAGCGCAGGGACCGAGCCGAACGCCGACATGGCAGCTGAGGAGGGAGGGAGAGGGACGGAGAGGGGGAGAGTTGGTTTGGTGATTCGGGAATTGATGATTGGATTAAGAGGGAAGCCCGACTGTGCCAATTGCCTACTGGATAGCAAGCTTCGCCGTCGGTGTCGATAGCTGGCAGAGCCGGCAATGTTGTTCGATAAGTGGGAAGACCCGGAGGATGGCCAGAGAAAGAGGTGATGTGATTGGAGGCTTCTACCCGGCCATGACGCCCTTGTCTGTTGACTCGGCTTAAGCTCTGGCTGGTGTGGGGTAACTAAACGGATGCGAGAACCGGAGAACCCGGGGGGTTGAGCCTGTGAGCGTATCTTATCGCGCACAGGCCAGCAAGCCCACAATTCCGCCAAGCGATTTCAACCCCAAAATTTCTCACGATTCTGAATTTCTCCTTTTTTCTCTCGCAATCAACTACATTGGGGGTGATGAGCACGCTCCCAAACGGCAAATGCAAGGTCCTCCGCTGGTAAAACAGCTTGGGGGACATGCTGAAATGTCCTGGCACAACCTCACCACTCTTGAGGGACAATTTGAAGACTCTGACCCAACCCGTTGATGCCCGGCGACGAAGCCGCTTCTCTCATTGTTTTGTTCTTGCCAGGCGGTGCTTCTTCTCGTGCGCCTGGGGTTCCAGCCCGTACTTGAATTTCCTAGATATCTAAGTGAATAGAATACCCGAACTCATGAACTTGCTTTGCCACTGCCCTGATTGCTGCACTGGGTGCTGTCCCCGTCTCCGTGTTGTGGTCCCGACATGGACGTCTTGTGATGATGTTCGTTGCCCGCAAAGTCACCGAACCAACATTCAACTAGAAGTATTTTCACCACAGCTGGCAAACCCATTGATTCCATTTTCAATGCCGTACATGCAAGCCAGAACGTCTCGAGTCTAGTGGCCGCACCGCTTCAATATAAGAGAGCGCGCACAGCTAGAGGGCCATGGCCACGCGCAGGAGCCGAGATGTGTAGAGAGAAAGCGTGCCCAGAAAGAAGCCCAACCCATTACTCCGAATGCAAGGCCGCCGAGAAATCCATGTTGTCCATTTCACTTGGTCCCTGATGAAATCTACTTGGATTCCTCCTCGACGTCGCCCATCAACGCGTTCCGCTTCGCCGCCTGCCTCTCCAGCTTGCGCTCGCGAGCCGCCTTGGTGCGCGCGCGCTTGGCGTCCATCTCCTCCTTGATCTGGGTCTCACGCGCCTTCTCCGCCTTGGCACGGTGAATCTGCAAAGATTTGTCAGCACGGCATTCAGACGCCGACCGGCCTGGGGGATCCCGAAACATACGTGCTCAACGAGCGCCCGCTTGTGCTTGAAGGTGTTACCCTTGGCGAGGTGGTACAGCTCGTGGTAGAGGTGCTTGTCGATCTTGCCGCTGGCACGGTACTTGACGAGCAGACGGCGGAGGACCCGCTGGCGGCGCATCCACAAAACCTGCCTGTATCCGTTGTCAGCACGCTGTCCCGTCATATCCACCCCCTTCCTTCAAACCCTCCCAACAATGGTGTGTTTGGTGGTTCGGCATCCGGATTCGGGGTGGTGGTGGCGGTGGTGGTGGTACGTACTCGGGCATACGGGCATCGGCGGTACCCTTGCGCTTACCGAAGCCGCGGTGGCGGCCGATACGGCGGGCGAGGTTCAGCTCACGCGCGCGCGAGCGCGAGTGCATGGTGACGGGCTTCTTGATGATGAGGCCATCGGAGACGAGCTTGCGGATCGTCTGACGGGAGTTGGCGTTGGAGATCTCGGACACCTCGTTGGGGTCGAGCCAGATCTTGCGCTGGCCGCAGCCCAGCACGGACGACGCCAGCCGCTTCTGGGTCGTAAGGTTAACCCTACAGCAGGGCAAACAGTCAGCATTCCGAGCCGAAATTCGAGTTCGAGAGGTTCGTGGGCGCGGGTTGGAGAGTCGTCATGGATTTTTCGGAGGTTGCTTCGCAAGCATCGGATGCTGTGGCGAACAACGGGAAATCCATCGTGGAAAAGTGCTGCATCTGTGCTGATGTGACGGGACGGATTTCGGGGTACTCACATCTTGACGGATTGATGCTGGAGATGGTTAGTAGTCGAGTTTGTCGATGGGTTGGGATTTCCGCTGAGGGGAAGTTCGTCGTCAGAATTTCTCGAGCAACAGTTTGTGGGTTTCGCGGGTGGGGCAGATAGAAGGTTGCGATTGGCGAGGGTTAGGCAGGTCATGCGCCCTCGCACGTGCTTTGGGTTTGAGCAGCGCAGCGAGTGGGTGGGCCTGCACCTCCACTGTTTTGTTTACACATTATGTTGACGGAAGTGAGAAAACTGCAGCGGCCACAAAAGTAGCAGGAAAACTGATCGGAATTTCTATGGTGCCTGATCTGGATCATGGAGGGAACAGTTTGTGTGGTATTGAGATATACCAATGCGCAGTAGACTCGGCTTTGTTGGACTTTTGGTGGGCGGTGCCATTGCCAAAACCCGACTCCGAATCCCCTCACAGGCCAGTCGACAGGATTGCGTCTCGAGTTCCCATGTTTGTGTTTTGGATTTAACATCTCACCCAAATTATGAAAGTTTCTTACTCCCCTGATATGACTTCCAACGTTTGTGATCCGTCTGGGAGCTCAATTTGCAGATGCTTTTACCGTGGCTGCATCCTGCGCTTCGGTATGGCACCTAACCTCACGGATTTTTGGGTTCACAATTATCACCAGAGTAGAACGGCATTCAACCCAAAAACACATCAATTTTCACCACCCCAACACCCCCCCCAGACACCCATGTAGACACAGACACCCCCCCATCAACCACCCACCTACCTATCTACTCCGCCGAAAACACATCCGACCCAACATCCACCTTCCCCACCGCCATAATCTCCTTCTCATCCTCCACCTCATCATTCGCCAGGCCCAACCCCCCGGCACCGCCCTCCGCCTCACGGCGCTCCCTGACCTGCGCGCCCAGCCGCAGCGCAACGCGCTTGAAGTAGTCCTGCATGCTGCGCTTGACATTCGGCTGCAAATCCGCGGCAGCAGCAATCCACTTGTCAAACACCTTCGCCTCCTCGTCGGCGACGGCAAAGAGCTGCACGAAGGCGGCCTCGGCGGCCAGCTTGACGGGGATGACGACGTCGCGGACCGAGGCGAAGACCGGCGGGGCCAGCATGCCGAGGTGCGGGCGCACCATGTCCGGGTGGGCGCGCGCGAGCGTGCGCGCGACGACCAGCGCGAGGCGGCGTGAGTCGGTCGGTCCGCCGGGCGGGATTGTTTGTGCGAGCGTCGTGAAGATGGCCTTGGTGCTCTCGAAGGGCTTGGCTGCGTCGCTGAGCAGGTACTTGCCTGTGGCCACGATGAAGTTGTCGACGATCGAGGGCTGCGAAGGGTTGTGTTAATTGTTGTCTTGCTCTCTCACACGGCAGACAGAAGAAGGGGCCTGCTTACATCTTTGCTCTCCATCCCCTGGCACAGCAGCTCGGGCAGGTCGTCTGCCAGGGGCGAGTCCAACAGGGTGTCCGCGCTCTCAAGGAGCACGGCGTTCAGGGCCAGGACGCTCGAGTTGCTGAAGTCGCGCGTCATGACTCGGTTCTTTAGCAGCCCGGTCGCCACTTCTGCCGACACGTTCTTGACGAGAGCGCCGAACAGCTTGGCGTTGGTCACAGTCATCGCGGTGTCGCGTTCGTCGGTCTCGGTATCAATCAACCCCAAGACGGCCGTGCGCGAGCTCTCGCCCATGTTGGCGCCCGCCTTGCTGATGACCTCGTACAACGCCTTGAGCATGGCGGTCCTGACGCCGGCATCGGTTGTCTTGGATCCCGTCACCAGCTCGGCAATGAGAGGGTCGACACGCGGGGTAAACTTGATAAGCGTGCCGAGTGCGCGGGCAGCCCGGCTCCGAAGGACGTCGCTCGAAGTATCGGCGAGCGACTTGGCGAACGTGCGCTGCAGCTGAGGCAGGAAGGGCTTGAGCGCCGTGGGCATCTTCTCGAGCAGGTTGTTGAGAGTGAGGAGAATGGCCGACTTGACCTCGGTAGAGCGCTCCGAGACCACACGGATGAGCGGACCAGTAATCTGCGTGACGAATGGTTTGAGCGAGCTTTCACTCGTCCTGTCGACGATGTCCGAGATGGCCAAGGCAGCCGATACTCTCTGATCCGCTGTACCATTCATGAGACCTTGCAGGAAGATGGGCAGGATGGCGTTGATGCCCTTGGGAAGCTCGAAGCCGGGCAGGTTGTGGCCTGCAACACCAACGTGCAGGAGTGCTTGTCTCGTGGACTGGACAAGGGCCTCCATCTCCTCTTTCTTGAGTCGCTTCGTGAACTCCTGTAGTGCGCTCCATGCCGACTTGACAACGTCCATATCTCTGTCATCGAACGATATTAGGAGGCCGCGGATGATGTCTTGGTTGTATCTCGAGTAGTCCACATCCGACGCCGCGAAGAACTTGGCAAGATGATGGCCCGTTGCGGCACGCTTGCGGTGGTCCTCGTGCTTGATGAGCTGTAGCAGCACGTTCATGACCACATTAAGGCCGTCGTACTCATCAATGGACAGGATGACCGTGTCGAACGAGGTATCGAGGTCTTTCCGTAGCTCCTCTTCGGTGCAGTTGACAATGTTGTCCATGAGCGAGTTGATGATGTTCGGCAGCCGGCGGTTCATAGCAGCACCGGCGACCTTGGACAGGGAGGCCAACGCCTTGGCATTGAAGGCCGAAATAGGTGGCGTGATGAGGGTAGGGATAAGGTTCGGCAAAATGATATTGGACCGTGTAGACTCGGTAAGTAGGGTGAGAAGGGCGGCAAGCGCATTGTTCGCGTTTTCCTCGGAGCGGAGCAAGTTGAGGAGGAAAGGCAAAACCTGGTCGACGGCCCGCTTGCCGAGGATTTGCTGCAGCGAGTCGAACGCCTCGGCCGCGGCCTCGCGGACGTCGGTGTCTGAGTCCGTGAGAGCTGTGCGCACGACCGAGATGAGCGTCTTCTCGTGGTCTTCGAGGGCCTCTGGCGAGGCGGATGAGATGAGCTCCTTGAGAGCCAGGCAGATGCCCTGCTTGGCGTCCACGTCGTGTGATGTCTGTAGCCCTTCCTCGAGTGTAGGAAGGAGTGTAGCCAGGACGCTGTCGCCGGCCTTGCGGATGAGCTCGCCAAGGGCGTTGCTGGCAATAACCTTGTGTTCCATGTTGGAGCTGCCCAGGCGCCGGATAATAAGCTGGGTGAGTGTAGGGACCAACTCCTTGAGCATCCGCGGGCTGTGAACCAGGGCCTTCCACACGCTAACGGCAGCGGAGCGCACAGAACCGGCAGTATCGCAGCGACAGACGTACAGCGCGGAGAGGATCTTGTTCCGCTTCTCTTCTCCCAGGACCTCGCGGAGGGACGCACCAGCTTCTCTGGTGACCTCCTGGTCCTCTTCTTCCTCTTCCTCCTCGTCATTGGCCTTGATGCCCGCGAGGTTGAAGAGCAGGTCGCCCACAAGCTCGACTGAGCTGAGACGGATGCGATAGCTGTCATCGGCCATACCACGCTCCAGTTCGGGGAGAAGTAGGTCAACTGCGCGTACAGCAAAGTTCTTGACCAGCAGCCGACCAGCCCGAAGAGCCGTCTCACGGATGGTCTCGACGTCGTCGGCAAGACCAGAGAGGATGGGTGGGATGATCTTGCCGAGGTAGTTGGCGAAGCTGTTGCCGAAGCAGACGGGCAAAAAGATAAATAGCGACATGAAACCCTCGCGGACGGACGACTTGGTAGATTCGACATTTTGTAGGATGGTAGGGAGCGTCTCCTCCAACCTTGATGTACCCAGGCCGGCGAGAACCTCGCTGAGTGCTTGGGCAGAACCGAGTCTGTCGCCAGCACCGGTGTCGGACTTGAGAGTTTGCATGAGACCGGGGATGAGATCCGGCAGCGCGTCCTCGCCGAGCTTTTCTACGAGTGACCCGAGAGCACGAGAGGCAGTCGCACGGGTAGTCGGCACCGGATCGACAACGGCGGTTTTGAGGCCGGCCACAAGCACGGGCAAGTGCGCAATAAGGTCCTTGCGCTCAGTGAGATGTGCCAAGCTGCCAATGACTTGGGAAGCCTTGCGCTTGGTGTTGGACCGGTCGCCGAGGCCGCGCTGGAGGATGCGGCTGACAAGGGCCAAGGACGGGGCATCGAGGTAATGCACGAACTGGACCTTGATAAGCGATTCCAAAGCTTCGTCGGTGTACTTTGTCGGGTCGCTGAGCGCTTTGAGGAGGATGTCGACGAGGCCCTTGACCTCGGGATTGGTGATAACCTCACCGAATCTCTTTAAGCTCTTGTTCGCAGCGGATCGAACCTCCTTGTGACTGTCATTCAAGACGGCTGTCAGCGGCGGGATAATTTCCGGCAGGCTTTGAGCAAGTTGCTGGGGGTCAAGATAAGCCATGGCACCGAGCGTGTCGCATGCGCCCTTTTTACTGCGCCATTGGTCCTCGTCAAGGCCGTCCAGGAGCGTTGGCAAGATTTGCTTGACGCCGTACGAACTTAGCGACGCGAAGCATGCCTTGGCTGCTGCCAGCGCAGCATCGCGTACATCGGCGTTGCCGTCGCCAAATCCTGTGAGCAGTTGTGGCACGATTTGGATCACATACGGCTCGAAAAGTCGGCCGAGAATGGTAGAGAGAAGCTCATATGCCAGCATGGCAGATTCCCGCTGGTTGATCTCTTTCTTATTCTCTAGAGCACTGCTGAGGGTGATCATGATGCGGTACTCTCTTAGGACGCTGATACCTCTGCCAAGCACGAGACCTGCCAGACCATAGGCGGCTCCACGCTGCTCGGGGTATTTCTTGGACGTCAGCATTGTTTCGAGGACCTGATCGAAGTACTTGGCCGATTTGTCACCGCAGGTCCGGACGAGAGGCGGAAGGCATTCGGCGATGGCGTATTGCACTGCCTCGGACGGCGTGCTTAGAGTTGCAAGGAGCCGTTCAATGACAACGGGGATCTTCTTGTCCCCAGGCTTCAGATGGCGGGCTAGTGCACCATACATAATGATGACGGCCTCATTGACGCGGTCCGCAGCCTCCGAGTGCTTGTCAGGCGCTTCCAGGGTCTTTTCGAACGTCTTCATAAGCTTGTCTAGAATGCCCTTGCCATGGACTTCGATGGCGGTGTTGGCAGCGTCAAGCATCTCGCCACGCACCGTTGCGTTTTGGTCACCGAGCGGGCCCTGCTCGATGAGAAGGTTGAAGAAGGGTTCGAGTTGTGACTTCTCTAGATGAGGAGCAAGGTGCCTGAAGGCCATGGCGATGCCGTGTCGTGCCTCCCAAGGATCCGACAGGTCCATCTTCTTTGGCATGCCAAACTCGTCCAACTGTTGAACGCGCGGCTTTGCGAGTTCGACATACGACGCCCGGAGCTTCTCGAGAACGGGGGTGATGACGGTACGGTGTTCGCTGGATGTCTCCGCCAGGGACTTGGCAGCGGCGCGCCGAAGCTGGGTGTCCTTGCTCTCCAAATAGGGCAACATCTTGTGCGCAAGTTCCTCTGATGTTTGGAACTCGCTCTCCTCCCAGATCTCGCGGCCAAGATCCACGTTCTCTTCGATGTCATCGTGGCACGCAACCCAAATCTCTTCCGACACGCCCGCCTCGCTCATGTCGACCTCGGCGCTGATTGCTTGCAGCACTGCGGTCCGCACGCTGGCCTTGGGAACGATGGTGCCGCGCGATAGGACACCGGTCTCTTCGATGGTCATATTCGGAGCGACGCACCGTACCATGTCAGAGAAACAGTCCTTGATGATCTTGTAGTGTTGGCTGTACTTTTCCATCGAGGAAATGAGGGCATGGAGGATTTCGCCGCGCGGAATGACCTCGTCTGCCGCAACATTCGTGTGGAAGGATAGGGTCTCGATGGCAAGGACCAACTGGGCATCTCGGTCATCGGCGTTGGCGCCAAAGCCCCCCTTCTCAAGAACCAACATAACAAGCGGTAGGATATAGATGAGAGTGACGGGGTCGAAGGGCCGCTGTTCGCCGGCAAAGCGAAGACGGTAGAGCACTCTTGTGACTACATCCTCAAAGGGCTCCTGGGTCAGGGATTCCGGGAGCGCGGAGACCTCGTGGGCGCGCAACGTGGCCGCTCCGATGAATGGGCGGATGGTTCCAAGGCGCGAAGTAGCTTGGCCTGCGCAGGAGATGAGCGCCATCGGCCCGGTTTCTGCAGTGATGAGCGACGCTCCTGCGTTGATAGACGCCAGAGTAGCGTGGACAGCAGGACCCATCCAGCGGCTGGCATCCGAGGGCGGGCCAGTTGCGAGACCCTTGACAATGCCGAAGCCGCGCAACAACTTGGCAGCGGCTTGCCGGACATTTTCGCGGATCTCGCCCTCCTTCTTAAGCTGGGCGTTGACTTTTGCAGTTTCATCCGCGGTGAGCTTCTTTTGCGTGCCCTTCTTTTGGGCCAACTGTGCCCTTAGTTCTTCTTCCCACTTCAACGTGTCGTAGTCCTTGACGTTTTTATTTGGGACGACGTTCTGCTTCTTCGCGAGGACATCCACAAACGCCGTCCCTTCAGGGGTGCGGAAGATGGCGGCCTCGAGAGGGCCAATTCCCTGAAGCTGGGTAGCGTCAAGGTCCTCTCGAATGAGGGCAATGATGCGAGGGGTCATGGTTTCGGGGGCGACAAAGACGAGCTCGGCGGCCGCGCTGTAAGCCGCACTTTTGGCGGACTCGGACTGTGTCTGTTAGCACGGGTCGGTGATGCAAGGGAATGACACAGGGGGGATGTATTACCTTCTGGCCGAACCCGGTTCGCCCGACAATCTCCTGGATCAAAGGCTCCTCGTACTTCTTCGCCAAGTCACCAGGGTCCAGTTCCACCCGCAAGCAGAGCTGGATCCAGCTCGCCCGAGGGATAAGTTGGGGCTTAGCTAGTACGAGGAGAGAGCACATTTGAGCTTCGAGTTGGGACTTGTCCACTCCAGGGCCGGCTCGGTCCCCAAACTCTTGAGGGGTAAGGCAGATCGACCTGAGAACTAGGTGAAGGTTGGAATTGCCGGATTTGGCCAACACGGCTGCACTCTCTTTCTCGGCCGTTTCCGTGGCTTCGACCCAATGCCATACACCATTGATGATTGCTGCCGAAACAGAGACTCCTTCACCGCCGATGGTGCGAGCACAGAGATCGGAAAGTGCCTGGAGGGCCTGCCGGCGCACAGCGGGAGATGAGGCTGTCGAACAAACGAGGTAGAGATAGGCCTGCGCCCACGCAACCTTGACCGCGTCAGAGCTGGAGTCAAGGGCGGGTACTATCTCGGACAGAGCACGACAGAGCCACTTGAGGTCGTCTTCAGTGAATTTGCTGTATATCCGTTGATTAAGTAGGAACGAAGGTTTTGGCTCTACAGCCAAGCTGTTCTTTTGTATGGATGCCTTCTTCACCAGTGATTGTACACTGGCGCTTTCGAGGCGGCTAAGAAGAGCTCCGAGGCCACATACCACCAGTGCCCCAGTGACAAGCCCACTCTGTGCGGCGGCCACTGGGTTTGCGGTAACATCATTGAACGCGGACAGGAGGGGTGGGACGGTGGCTTCGGCAAAGGCCACTGCCCCTTTGGATAGCTCCCCTTGAGCATCCTCGGTAAACTTCTGTAGGAGATCTCCAGTACGAAGAATCCAAAGCCGCCGTACTGGTGGCTTTTTATCGGCCAGGCCTTTAGCGTATGCATCCAGGAGTGGTTTCGGCACCTCGGTATCGCGAAGAAGAGTAGCGGCACTGGCGTTTAGAGCCAGAGTCTCGGCACTCAGGGCCGCCTCATTTGCCTCCTTGCCGACTACGGCAGGAAGTCCGGAAGCAATCTTGGTTGCGATGCTTTTCGACGAGGGCAGGGAAACCAGCATTTCTGAATGAAGAACCCTGTGGTCGGCGGAGGCAAGCTTGCCAGATTTCAAGGGCCCAAGAACTTCGTCGGCGACCGGTTCTAGAAGCGCGGGGTCTTGACAGGTGGAGGAAATCGCTCTAAAGGCTGCCACGGCGCCGCTGCGGATGGCGGCATTGGATGATTTGATGTTGGATAGTAGCGGCTTGATGAAGCGTCCGCTCAGGGCTTTGGACAGGTCAAACTGAGACACGGAGCGCACGAGGGGCGTGATCAGGTCGTTCAACACCACCTCGGGAGCTCTCAGGAAGCCCTTCTCCAGCGCCGGGAACACCTCCTTTTCGAGATCCTCAAGCGAGGCAAAGGCGGAAAAGAAATCGGCAAGGCCGTCCGCGAGATGGGCGGGAATCGGTGTCCGTGACCCGACGATTTCGCGAATGTAGAAGGCGAAGTACTGGCCCTTCAACCCCTCAACGACGGGTTTCACTTCTGGCTTGCGAGAGCAGACGCCCGCAATAGCCCCCAGCAGCACCGCATGTTTGGCGACGGGTTGGCTTCCCTTGGCGGCCAGGAGTTGGATGGCGGCATCGATCCCCTTTTGGTCTGCTGAGGCCAGCTTTCGGAGGCCCCGCCTTGTGATGACCAGGGCCGACGTGCCTACTGTCCCCTTTGCTGTGGGTTGTAGGCACTTGTCCAGGCCATCGGCCGTAGCCAGTGTGACATCCTTGCCGAACTTGTCCCATAATGGTGTGCCCGACAAGTTCTGCGTCAACAGGCTGCACCACTCTACTAGCACAAACGCACTGTCAGGCGCAATCCCTGGTTTCTGGGCCTCCTGGCGGATCGCGGCAACGAGAGGTGTGAGGATGTCGGTATTCCCTACTTGGCATAGCGATACCAGACATTTTTGTACTGCTTGTCGAGATGGTCGGTCGGTATAGAAGGCATGTGTCCAGAAGAGCACCTTGAGGATTCCGAGAGTCGTTGTCCTGTCGAGGGCTATAGCAATAGAAACAGTTGAGGTTAGCCTGGCCCTTTTCTTGTCCCCCCCCACCCCCAAACCCAATTCTGAGGGAGTGCATGCCCGGGCACTTACCCTTTTGCGAGAGCTTCTCGTCAACTCCCCGCAATTGGGCGATCCGGGAAGTTGTCGACGACGAGGTCAGTGCAGCCTTGGCTTGTTCGAGATCGAAGCTGCCAGGCGTGTCGTTGGCACCTGGTTCAGTCATTTTTCGTTCGGTTCTTGTACGGGGTCGTGGAATGACATGGCCGGGTGGCAGAAACCCGCAGCCTTGTGTGAGGTGTTGCTGGCCCCGTTTTGTTTTGGGCCGTGATTCATCCAGAAGCTGATTTTCGGCGGGGACTCACATTTCGAAAGTGGGTTGCTCTTGTGTTGGAGGGGAGGGGCTGGCGCTGCTGGCTACACAGACAGTGTGAATTGCGCTTTCAGGGGGTTTGTTTACAGTTTGGCACACGACCCCTGCTTGCAGACGGCCATGAATTGGCAAGCATCTTCAACAGATTGACGAGGACTTTGTCCCCTCATCTCCAACTTTGATCTTTGCTCCTCCTCACATTTAGCTTCCACTTCCCTCGATAAGCAGCTTTCGGGATCAACGATCCATTCTAGTTCGGCGAGCTCGAACGCATGCCACTGTGAGGATAGCAACCCCCACATCCGTTGCTGTGTGTGGGGTTGAGTCCCTGAAACGGTAGGCGGTCGTGTTCCGCATTGCAAACCCTGGAAGCCTGCTGCCCGAGTCGTAAAATTTCCGAGCAGCTTCAGGCCTCACTGACGTCTTGGTCGGTGGAAACAACCCCGGCCATTCTCCGCTTTACAACTCACTGTCGGCATCGCGTTTTCTGAAGCAGAATCTCATCGCCATGGCCGGCAAGAAGAAAGCGAAGAAGCCCGCCGCCAACCCTGCGCGAGGCTTTGCGACCACCTCGATCGCGTCGAAAACCCGAGTTGACCCCGCTGAAGATCCGGGCGATAATACCCCGGCCGGCAAGGTCAATGATGCCACCCCGCCAACGAAGGATGCCCCGCAACAAACGACCAACAACACCAAGACCGAACAGAAAGCGCCAGCAGAGCAGCTGAGCCCCGAAGAATTCGAGAGGCAGCTTGAAGAGTCAGCATTGCAGCTTCTGGTGGAAAAATACGCACAGAAAGTTAGGAAGGACTCTCAACGGCAAAAGACACGCCTCGAAACGGACCGACGACTGCTCCGAAACGCCGCCGAAACCCTCAACATCAAAAAATGGCTTCCACAAGAGTTAATGGACCATATTCTGGGTCTGATACAGGCGGAGGGTCGATTTGCAGCTTCCAGTGTCTCGTCCGAGGGCGCAGCTAGTAGACTACCTCCAGAAGAAGACCTGATCATTCGGCTGTGGACCCTACAAGAGACGCTGGAGAACTCGGGGTTTCCAGAGGACAGGATACAGCCGGCACTACAGTTTGTTTTGGATATCGCGCCTAACATCCCATACAATTCCAGAAGCGAGTTGATTTGGGGACTGGAAGAGGTGCTGGACTGGTTCGCGAGGGAATGCTCCAAGGAAGACCTCCCGGATTACTCGGGGCGCAGGACAGGGTCCAAGTCGCAAACAGGTATGGCAACCTACATGTTTCATTTTGCATATCTGACCGCATTGCTGTAGATACGCCAACGGATACGCCCTCTAGGTCAGGGACACCCTTCGAGATCGATCCCCGCCTTGGAACCAAGTTGAAGGGCGGCGCACTCACGTCACGTCCAGCCTCCCCGAAACGGCCCGCCGTCACCTATGATGAAGAGATCGAACCCGACCAGCTGCTTCCATTTTATCTTGATACCAAGACGAAGCTATTTGCGATCCAACGCCCTCGCCAGGACACAAACAAGCGTAAGGGAGCAAAGGGGAAACCAGATAGCTCTGACGACCCGGAAGAAGCACTGTTGCTCGCGAAGGTTGCTCGCGTCGAGAGGGACGTTTTGTTCGACAAGTACGTGGCTGAACAGCAATGGAGGAACAAGAGGATAGCCCTGGAGAAGGAGTACGCCGCGGCAAGGGCAGAGGAGAAAAGGAAGGAGACCCCGACGGAGACCCAGGAGGAGACTGAGGTGCCAGACGACTCGAACGATGTCAACGCGGAAGCTGAGCGCATCGCGGCTGAAATCCTCGCCGAGGATGACGATGATGACGCGCTGGCCGACTTGTTTGCGACGCTGCCGGTCAGCGAGGTTGATCCTGTGACGGGGAAGACGAACACGGTTGTGAATGGGGCGGATGGGTCAAAGCTCATCATCCGGGACTTTGGAAAATGGACCGGAGTGACCCCTATGCGGGCCTTGGAAGAGGCCTGCCGATCGAGGTTGGAGCCCCTGTTCTATGTCGTAGTGAGGCCGCGCTAATAATTTGTAGGGATTCGTCCGTACGGATATCGTACCATCTCCTTTCCGATGTTGCTTTTGCGAATCGACACGCCGTCAATATCGTCTGGTCGAAACCACAAGAGGTCCCACCTGCTCCCGATATTCCCGAGATTGAAGTGTTCACATCACCCACTCAATTTGTCTACAAGATGCAGTCCATTGCTGCACCCGACGCAAAGCAGTCCGAAGCCTTCATCGCGACCACCGCACTGTTTTGCGTCTTCGGGTCCTCGCCTAAGGAAGAGAAAGTGGCGCTCAGGCTACCTGCCACCTGGAAGGATTTGTGGTCCGAGTACTCGGGTGCTAAGAAGGACAAGCTTGACGCAGCAGACCGCGACATCCTCAGGCATATCCGGGATCTCGTACGCAAGAGGGTGGAGCAAGAACTGGAGGATGGCGTACTCATCCAGGGGTTCAAGGGTCGCGGACAGTCGAAGAACCAACCAGACTCGGATCAGTCTGACCATGAACGAGCAAAGCGGCAGCCTTACGGACCCGAATACTACCAAAACATTTGGCTGCAAAAGAGTAGCTCACCAAGGTATCAGCATATGCTGGCATCACGCACACAGCTGCCCATGTGGCAGTTCCGGCAACAGGTGGTCGACATTGTCGACAGAAATCAGGTGGTTATTATCTGCGGCGAGACTGGGTGCGGCAAGAGTACACAGGTACCTTCGTTCTTACTAGAGCACCAGTTGCTTCAAGGCAAACCTTGCAAGATCTACTGCACAGAGCCGCGGCGTATCTCGGCCATCTCCCTGGCACGACGTGTAAGCGAGGAGCTCGGCGAGACCAAGTCTGAGCTTGGTACGAACCAGTCGCTCGTCGGCTATTCCATCCGGCTCGAATCCAACACGGCGAGGGAGACCCGCCTTGTTTACGCCACGACCGGTATTGTCATGCGCATGTTGGAGGGATCCAACGATTTGGCAGACATCACTCATCTGGTGCTTGACGAAGTCCACGAACGCTCTATCGACAGCGACTTCCTGCTCATTGTGCTGAAGAAGTTGTTGTTGCGGAGGAAAGACCTCAAGGTCGTGCTGATGTCAGCCACGGTCGACGCCGAGCGCTTCTCCAACTACCTGGATCGCGCGCCTGTCTTGACGGTTCCGGGGCGGACCTTCCCCGTCCGGGTTGCATATCTTGAGGACGCAATCGAGTTGACGGGATATACTGTCGACCAACGGAGCCAGGAGAAGCTCACAGAGCTCGATGACGATGTGGAACCAGAGGTCGATACGTCGTCGAAGCCCGAGTTGCTCAAGGGGCTGAAGGGGTATTCAGCCCGCACCCGAAACACGCTCGCTCAGATGGACGAGTACCGGATGGAATACGACTTGATCGTACAACTGATCTCGAGGATTGCTGTTGACCCAGACTATGCCTCGTTCAGCAAAGCCATTCTGGTCTTCCTCCCCGGTATTGCTGAAATTCGCACGCTCAACGACATGCTCCTCGGGGATCGGACTTTTGCCGACAACTGGCTTGTGTATCCGATGCACTCGTCGATTGCCAGCGAGGAGCAAGAGGCAGCCTTCCTTGTGCCGCCGCCAGGGATGCGCAAGATTGTGCTGGCTACCAACATTGCCGAGACGGGTATCACTATTCCCGACGTGACATGCGTCATCGACGCGGGCAAGCACCGAGAGATGCGCTTCGATGAGCGGCGGCAGCTGTCACGGCTCATTGACTCGTTCATCTCCCGCGCCAACGCGAAGCAGCGCCGTGGCCGTGCTGGCCGTGTGCAAGAGGGTCTTTGCTTCCATCTCTTCACCAAGTATCGACACGATACCTCAATGAACGACCAGCAGACACCCGAGATGCTGCGTCTGTCACTCCAAGATCTGGCTATTCGTGTCAAGATCTGTAAGATCGGAGGTATCGAGGAGACGTTGAGCCAGGCACTGGACCCGCCGTCGGCGAAGAATATTCGTCGGGCTATCGATGCTCTTGTCGATGTTCGTGCGTTGACGTCCACGACCGAGGAGCTAACGCCACTTGGTCTCCAGCTTGCACGCCTGCCCCTAGACGTATTCCTCGGAAAGCTCATCCTTATGGGTGCCGTCTTTAAGTGCCTCGACATGGCCATCACTGTGGCCGCCATCCTCTCGTCCAAATCCCCATTTGTTGCGCCCTTTGGTCAGCGGAGCCAAGCCGACACCATTCGCAGGGGTTTCCGTAAGGGCGACTCAGACCTACTGACAGTTTACAACGCATACACGGCCTGGAAGCGCGTTTGCCAGTCCACAACGTCCGGTGGGGCAGAGTTTCAGTTCTGCCGCAAAAACTTCCTTGCGCCCCAAACTCTCGCCAATATCGAAGACCTTAAGGGTCAACTCCTCGTTGCGGTCGCCGACTCGGGCTTCCTACAACTCACCGAAGCCGAGCGGCAGGCGCTCAGGAAGCTACGGTTCAGTGGCCGGCGGCGCCACCAGGCCTTCTTCGACGTCCCGAAGCGTGTCAACAGCAACAGCGACAACGAGATCGTCGCGCAGTCCGTCATCGCCTGGAGCTTCTACCCCAAACTTCTCGTCCGTGACCCCGGCAGCAAGGGCCTGCGCAACGTCGGCAACAACCAGTCCATCAGCCTGCACCCGAGCAGCGTCAACAAGGGCTTCAACGACCTGCGCTGGCTCAGCTACTACCACATCATGCAGTCCAAGGCGTAAGCACCCCCTTACCTCTTCTAACAACAACCCCTCCTCCCGCTGAGTTCTCCAACTAACCAACACTGCCCCCACCCAGATTCTACAACGCGCACGAAACCACGGCGACCGACCCCTTCGCCGTCGCCCTCCTCTGCGGCGACGTGCGCGCGGACCTGTACGCGGGCGTCTTCGTGCTGGACGGCAACCGCGCGCGCTTCGCCCTGCCGGACTGGAAGTCGATGCTCGTGCTCAAAGTGCTGCGCGCCCGCCTGCGCGAGATGCTCACCCGCGCGTTCCGCAACCCGGGCCGCCTGCCCACCGCCCAGCACGAGCGCTGGCTCGAGGTCTGGCAGCGCGTCTTTGCGCTGGCGCAGGAGAACCGCGAGAGGGCGGTTGCTGCGGCTGCGGCGGCGGAGCGTTAGAGGCGCTGTTGAGCCGGGTTGGTTGTGTCGCGGGGGAGGTTGCGGGCTTGATGGCGCTGTGCTGTGCTCTGCTGTGGGGGCGGGCGGGGTTGCTTGGGCTCAGATCTCATCCCTCGTTTGACGGGGACGGGCGGTCACTGGGCTTGGAGGATGTGGTCCTGTCTACGGAGAGCGGACACGGATGGCTCGAGGTTGGACATGCTCGGTCGTTGGGGAGTTTGTGTTCTTTACAGACGGCTATGGATAGACCTGGCTCAGCGGTGGTGAATGCATTGCATACGGTATTGTAGGTAATAGGTTACGTTGGCGTGGATGGGATTGGTTGGAGCTGAGGGCCTGTGATCAAGCGTAATATTCGAGGTTTTGGAGTGGTTGGTGATTTGTCCGGATCCTGGAATAGCGTTGTTGATGATGTTCTCGAATTGTCCGTTCATCTTTGGGCGGGTTTGCTTCCCAGCCCCCTTATTTTCGTTCTCCCTCTCTTTCATGGTTTTCCCTCTTTTCTTCCACTTTTTACCTATCCGTAGATAGAGAGGTTTCATCTCGTCTTCCATTTTCTTTTGTCCCGCTGCCAACGGAACCCTCGGATCCCTTTTTATATTTTCTCCTTCCGCTTCCTCCGTCTCCCCTGATCTCCAGGCACAGCGCCTCCTTCAGCCGAGGCCGCGTTCAGCCCTGAAACCCGGTTCCCTGCTCGTGCGAATCAAATGCTCTCCTGATGTCACACACCTCTCCAGCCACCCAACCAACCAATCTGGAGGTCCCACGATAATTTCAATCCCCTAACCCATCCTGGAAGTCAGGCGCCCTCGTCAGCTCGCGACCCTCGTGCATCTCCCCCGGGCGCTTACATATTACCCTCGTCTCACACCGCAACTCTATTTCAACCTCCTCTCCCCAGCCTTTCCTTGTCTCACAGCCACCTATTTTCCTCGGTCAACCATCACCACCACACACCGTCCTCCGCCTGCAGCATTCTCACCAACACTCCGCTTCATTCACACAACTCCAACACTCAAACCCAACATCACAACACCCTCATCAAACCTTCAAACAAAATGCCGACCGTCAACGAGCCTAAGCTGCAAGCGCCCATGGAGGCCGCCAACCCCGCACCGCTGCAAGACGGGAAGACCATCGTCGCAACGCAACCGGTGAGTGAGGCATTATCCTCCCCCCTTCTCCCACAATTTCCCCCCTCACAAACAGCAAGACTAACCGCAAACTGCGCTCTCGCTTTCAGCGCTCTGAGCCGCGCCCGACCATGGAGAACGAGATGACGCTGCGCGGCGGCGGCATGACGCACTACTGCGGCTTCTCGTGCTGCAAGGGCCGCTGCAACTTCCGCTTGTGCTGAGAGCGCGATGGGGGCGGGGCATGGAGAGGAAGGGGCGGAGTCCGGAGTTTCCGGGGGTTGTTAGGGCACTTAGTTATGAGGGTGATGGCGGTGCGGCACGGTACAGGGTCACGATACGATGCGATGCAATGAGGGTGGCGGCTGGTTTGAGGGGCAAGACGAGCGAGCGTCCTTGTAATTTCAGTTCTGAGTAATGATTCCTCTCGGGGAAAACCTCTGACGAGGGAAAACCGACCGAGGTAATGGCAGGTTGTTGATCGCTATCCACCCTTTTCGGATGGCCCGGTTAAGGCACGACATGTCAACAACAAGCCATGAGAGCTAATTTTTAGTTTCCGGGAAAACCTCAGTGAGGAAAAGGCCCTTTTGGAAACTCTTGACATCTTCCGTCGGCAAGCTCCTATACCACAGGGTATGGATGACGTGAAGAAAGGAGAATGCCCTGTTGGCGGCCCCGCGCCACGCCAGACAGAAGCAAACCAGCCAGATGGCCAGCCAGAGCCCACACTCTGTCTCCCTATGGGAAACCCTTGCTACGAGAGCGGGGAGAAAAACCCATTGCCAAAGGGACGTCTCTGTGTTGGCACCATCCTGTCGGACGGACCATTTCATCTTCCAGAGACTAGGACGGATCGGCCTCCCACGATCATCACTGTCCCCCCTCGGTATTGCCAGCGAGGCCTTCACCTCCGGCGACGTTCTGCGTGTGGGATGGGCCTGCTTGCGTCGATACGGTCGGGGATCGGGAAGACGACGGACTCGGAGAGGATCGGGCAGAAACCCAAATCGTCGAATGGACTGACGAGGCAGCTACCGCTTCAGACGAAACAGACGTCTGGGCTGCTGTCGCGTTATGCGAAATCGGTAGTTGGAAATCTGGATTGTGCCCCCTTTCCAGGAGGTCATGGGGCCAACCATCGCCTAAAAAGGCCGGAAATCTTCGAACTGTGCGCAAGCTGCTTAGTACCGCGTCTGGGAAGGCCAGGAACACACCGAGTAAACACAGAACAAAAATGATGACCAGCGACGCAGCTGCCCAACGCCAAGCTGGGACACGACCGAGGTCCCACATCCACCGTATGTATGCGGCGACGGTGAGGACTGTGACGGGCACGACGAGCCAAATTGCCAACCACCTGTACAACTTCCAGGCCATCATGGCTACCGGCGAAGGGGGCGGGTCGCTGTCTTCTCGGGGCGGGTTGAAAGCACCGACGCGGACGTTGTACGCCAGGAGTGAACCAAAGACGCCAAGGAGGATGGCGACGAGGTTCATCAGTTTGTTGACATCGTTCGCGACGGGGGACGAGCCCGAGAACTTGAGCGCTACCGCCACGCAGAGGAGGGCAAGGTACTGCGTCGAGGCCGCACGGAACTCTTCGTCCTGCGCGGTCAAGCCGATTTCGTTAGCAGAGTACTGCGACATTGGAGAACGTAGCTGGGTGGTGTTTCGGTTTTTAACAGCAGTTGGATCCGAAATTTTCACGGTTGATATGACTTCGTCAGTTGTCGCAGGTGGTTCAAAGTGAAGATGGAGTTGTCAGAGGCAATTGAGGGCACGGCAATTATATATATGGGTGTATCGAGGCCGGTACGCCTTCCCTGACTTCGCCCAGCAGCGCGGAGGGAAGGCATATTATACAAAGCTTAAGCGGCAACGTCCTTTAGGAACCCTCACGGGAAAGCTGTCAACATATCGGCAAGTTCTCTTTGGCCAGCAACGGCAGTAGTGGCCAAGACGCTGTCTCCTTTCCTTACACCTTCAAATGGGGCAACTTCGATCTTGATAGTCCAGTGACTGGCCTCGAGCGGTCTGGAGAGGGATCCGACTTCCCTCACTTCCTTTGGAAACGCACGCGGGAAGGGGCATACTGGCATGAGCGGTAGTCCGTTGCTAAAAGGCCTGGCGCGTTCAGGCGGGTTGGCGGGAAGTTGAACAAATGGGAGCTCACACTCGCGGTGATCAAGGCCACAAAGATGGGTAATATCTGCAACTTCCGAAGCCTCCAAGGTCCCAGATTCCGAAACATCAAACTGATACCGCTAGACCGACCACTTCGCCTAGAGACACCATATTGCCTTGAAATACCTCGACGTCGTGGCGAGTTGTTACATCTCGCAGCCTAGCGTGTCAACCACAGGATTCGCAAGTTTCTGGTCCCGAAGGGGGGGCTCTTGTCTTTGGGGACGTACGTGCATGCGCCAATGTCGGCCCCAGCATTGACTTTGGATTTGCAAGTATTATGTCCGTAATACCATACTAATTGACCTTCGTTTCCGTCACTTCAGCCTCTGTAGTTGTCTCCGTGCTGAGAAGAAGGGGAAAGCTGGTTAGAGGGCTTGGGAAATTGTGTTCTTTATGGCCATAGAGGTTGAAACTGCATCCGGACTTGACCTCGTATAGGTCTAGAATGGAGTTCTTATTTTTCTTGTCTTTTGTTGTCTTGTCTTTGCTTTTCTCTTCTCTTTTCTTTTCTCTAGGGGTTTTTCTTTCTTGTGTTTTCTTGTCTTGTCTTTTCGTTTCTCTTCTTTTGTTTTGTCGCGGGGTTTCTTTTTTTTTGTCTTTTCTTGTTTTGTCTCATCTTCCTTTTTCTCACTTCTTTTCTCTCCTCTCCTCTTTTCTAACTTCTTCTCTTTTCTCTCTTCTCTTCGTTTTTCTCCTGAGTGAATGACAAGTTTGAAGATGACATGGAAGATATCATATTGTTTCACGGTCATATATCTTCTTGTCTTTTATTAATTACCGTATTCGTTCGTGCAGGATGGCCGACTGCTTAGCACGGGAAGAAACGCCTGTTTGGGTTGCAGCACCGAGTACGGTCTGTCTCTTCGCTTCGGCCTGTCAATCTATCCGTCTTCCAGGGCTGAGAATGAACTGGAATTGTGGGAAGCGGGGGAACGAGGAATTTAGAAGCTGTGGCCCGGGAAGGGTGTCGAACCAGCACCATGCTCCGAAAGCTCCTCTCAGCTCTCGAGAACCGCCGAGTGAGTCAGCCCGAATGCATGACGCCCGATTCGGGGGAGCCAAGCCAGCGTGAGAGATACCCAATGGGGGTTACCGAACGTATTTCGCGTGTCTGCAAGGCCCTTCGGAGCCGGCATCAGAACACCATATTAAAAGTTCAAATCGTTCAAAAGCTGTGTTGTTGATCTCGACTGGTGGTGAGGTATCCTTGGTGTTCTCGGCATAATTAAGGTATAAGAAGAGCGCACGTTGGCGTTCACTTCGTGTATCTGCATAAACACAGGTACCTGGTACCTGGGATGTTGAAGCTGCCGTCTTGTCAATCGCATTCACGACGAACCTTCAAAACCCCCCCTTAAATTTCTCGCCATGACCGCCGTCCCCAAAGCCCCCGAGGACATCCTCGCCACCGGCATCATGCACCCCGACTTCGAAGCCGCCTGGAAAGCCCGCGGTTCTCCGCCCGGCTCCATGCCCGCCGAGGTCCCCACGCTCAAGCGCATCGTCGAGGGCAGCCTTCCCGGCCTCCAAGCTCAGCTCGCCTCAACCCGCTCGGCAAACATCACCGAGACGGAGCACACCGTGACCCTTAGCACAGGCTTCCCATCCCGCATCCTCATCTGCCACCCCACCACCACCGTCACCCAGCCCGCCGCCCCATCCTCCGGGCCATCCTCCATCATCCTCCTCTTCCACGGCGGCATCCACGTCCTCGGCTTCCCCGAATTTGACCTCAAACTCGCGCGCCATCTCGCCCTCACCCACCACGCCACCGTCGTCCTCCCTTCCACCCGCAAAGCCCCCGAGGACCCCTTCCCCGCCATGCTGCACGACGCCTGGGCGGCACTACAGGCCGTCGCGCACGACGCCGCGCTACCCCTAGGCGAACGTACACTACTCCCGCCCGGTGCGGACGCCGCCGCGGGGTTCATCGTGGGCGGCGCGTCCTCGGGCGCGAACTTCGCTGATGTTGTCGCTCACCAGGCACGCGATGCTGGTCTGAGCCCGCCGCTGACGGGGCTGTTCTTCGCGTGCGGGGCGTTTATGGATGCCGGGCGGGTGCCGGTGCAGTATAGGGGGCGGTACCTGTCGCGCGAGCAGAATGCGGACGCGCCGGTGGTGGATGGGCAGTTCATCCGCGCGGTTACCGAGGCGGTGGCGCCGGACGTGGAATCGCCGCTTTGGGCGCCGTTTGTGCAGGCTGGGTGTGAGGGGGATGTGAAGAGGGGTCATGTTGGGATGCCGAAGGCGTATTTTCAGGTTTGTGGGATGGATGTGAATCGGGATGATGGGCTGATCTATGAGAGTGTGTTGCGGGAGGAGTGTGGTGTGCCGACGCGGCTGGACTTGTATAGTGGGTATCCGCATTGCTGGTGGGATATGTATCCGGAGTTGGAGGCGTCGAAGAAGAGGACTGAGGATACTATGGAGGGGTTTAAGTGGTTGTTGTCGAAGTGAGGGGTTCACGTCGGCGGGTGGACTTAAGGGGAAATGGCGAGAAGGAGGATAGAAGGGTGGCGGTAGTTCAGTTAAAAGGCGGCAATGGCCATGAGATATGCGAGACAGCCAGATGATTGGGGTGCCTCTCATAGTATCCCCAATACGCACCCGATAGTGGCTAAGTTACTTCCCGATCTCGAGGTGGCTATCACTCGCAAGGAGCGCAAAGTGTCGGAGCCCATGTCTTGACATATTCCGCTGCTGACTAGGTACGTGGTAGGTAACCGGAAATACTTCATTGATACATCAATAGAGCCACCCCTTACTCAACTGGAATGCCGCCTCTTCTCAGCTCCCATCACCTCCCCCCCCCCCCCGCCAACTGTGAAGGCGTACCCGCCCCCTTCAATCCTCACTCTCCTCACACACCTGCCACTGCAGATGGTGAACCTGCTGGAACCGCAGATCCGTCGAGTCGACCTACACCACACGAGCAACAACACTTTTGTTAACCACCACATCATCATTGCGCAGCTTAAAAACAAACAACCCCAGGGGGGGGGGAACCCCTCAACAACGCCGCCACCGCATGGCGACGGACCCGAGGGACCTTACCGTCATCAGGGCCGGCTTGGTCCCGTCCATGGGCGACAGCCGCACCTCCGAGTTGATGTTGAGCAAGCCCTCGAGGCCGCACGGCGACCACACGGTGCTCTCGACCCCGAACTGGTCCGTCTTGATGTAGTTGTCGTCGTAGGGGCCGCGGATCGTCATGGTGGATGAGATCTGTTGGTTGGGGGCAAGTATAGGGGGGGTGGTTAGTCAGTTTGGGGGTGTAGGGGTTTGGGGGTTGAGGAGGGGTTTGGGGGTTGAGGAGGGGGTTGGGGGTTCAGGGGTTTAGGGTAGCAGGGTAAAGGGGGGGAGGGGAGGTTGGGTATAGGATTGTCCCACCTGGCGTGTGTCGCCCGAGAAGTAGTAGGTGGCCTTGCAGGTGCCCGTGTCACCCTCTGGGATCTGGGCGTAACCGCGGTAGTCGGCCTTGAAGACGGAGAACTGCCAGCCCGAGGGGTACTTGAGCTTGACGTTGAGCTGGCAGTTCTTGCGGTAGTTCGACGGCGACATGTTGTTGCCCGCCTGGGCCACAAAGTCGGCGTACAGCAGCGTGATGGTCGTTAGGTCCGACGAGAGCTGGCCCGACACCGTGCCCGCAGGGCAGCCCGAGCCGGCAAAGGCCAGGCCGACAATCTGGACTTCATGGCCGGAGGGGGCGTCGGAGAGGTTGTCGACGATGACGGGGCTTGCGGCGGCAAGGCCGGAGAACAAGCCAAGAATGTTGATGAGCTGCATTGTTGTTTTGGGTGCTGAATATCTAATAGCGGATAGTGAACGCGTTGGAGTGTGAGGCAAGATTATGGTCATGGTTCTTTATACCTCGAAAAAGCGACCACCCGATGGGAGCTTGAAGCTGTTTCTATTTCTGGCCATGAAGAACGGCCTAGATGTGGGACGCAACTTCTGGAATGACATGTCACTTACACGTACTGGGATGGTTGGTCTGTCGTTAATTACACATAAGTGTGCCAGTCCTTTCTTGCGCTTTAGTTCCCCCCGAAAGGCAAACAACATGGTGCAGTGGCCAACATCACATAGGCACTGTCGACCCAATATCAAGCATTCCGCGGCCGGCGCACATTGATTCCAATATAATATCTTGACCCTTTATACTCTGCTCGCCTCTATTTTCGGCTCACCGTATAGGGTCCGTCCTCCTGCGAGTTATCGGACCTCGGTCGTGAGCAGTTTCAGCTACAACCACACAAGCGGTTCAAGGTTGCTGGTCAGGGTCCCAAGTACATGCCTGCGCCTATTAGTTGGTGTTGGACGACAGCATAGTACGGGATTAGCCAACCAATCGGTCGTTTCTTACTCACACTAATTGTTGGAATGGGGTCTAGTACACCGAGGCACGGCCGAGACTAGAGCCACCCAGTAAAATGAATGAGAAGCACCTGGTGGGGAAGGGTCTGGCGAGAACCCGGTTGCTGGCAATAGGGGGGAAGATCATATAAAAGATGCGGGGGCCGGCAGGAATCCGGGGAAGGCCAGGGCCCAGATCTCAGCTGGAGCGGAGCGAAAACAGCCTAAAGCAAAATAAACAAGGTGTGTAGAGCAGTCCCAGTGTTAATCAGGTGAGAGCATGTAGAAGCGCCGCGTTTTCATAGGCTCCTGGTATGCCCATCTGACATGTTTGTCCGATGGGCTTACAACCCTGCTGCCCCCTTGGCATCGTCACTGCGCAACAACATTTCCTTCATCTTTGCTACAGCATTCAAGTCCCCTTCCTCCGTTTGGTATGTTGACTCTTCCATCCAGCCGTCTGTACCGCCGCCCCCAAAGTCGAGGACCCAGGCATTGTCGTCGGTGTCAATAACAACATTGCCAGGTTTTGCGTCCCCCCATACCAAGCCGTTGCGGTGCAGTTCTGTTACGGCCTGCTCGATCTGTGCTGCCCATTTCATCCTCAGCGGCAGAGCAGGGAGTGCGGTCTCCCCTTGGCCATCGATGACGGGACGCAAGCTTGGGTATTTGGTCGGTATCTTGGCGACGATGAAGCCAACGATGTCGTCGTTATGCGTAATCAAGCCTATAAAACACATTAGTGAGCGCGAGAGTAGGAATGTGAAGGCTGGTCTTGGATGTTTCTCACCTTTGAACTCAGGGAACCTGGCCTCGGGATGTAAATCCAACTTCTTCAGCTTTCCGTATATCTCTATCTCCCTTTTCATAGAAACCCGGAATTCCCCCATACTCCGTCCAAGTTTCCCAACCACCTCCTGATCCATCCCGACAACCGACATGTTAAAGACTTCCACCAGTTCAGGGGTCGTAACGAGTCTGCTACCAAGTGACACGTGGTGTGCATCAAAAGTAGGAACAGAACCCGGCTCGACACCAGCCTCGCGGACAGCACTCCAGGGGATAGCTATGCGGGCCCGGTCCAGGTCCTCATGATGACCAGAAAGAACCTCCAGCTTTCCTTCCTTCGTGACCACTTCAAGGTTGATGCGATGAGGAAACAGATACTCCGCAACGGTATTTCCAATCCGGTCCGACTCGGAAGCTGTGGGTGTCGAAGACGACGATAGATGTTCGAACATGGGAAATACCACATCCTGGATTTCTCTCGCGATCTCGAGTTCACCATCCAATTGCCTCAGGAGCTGCGCATGGACGTTACTATGGTGGGACGACAAATCCCACAAGCGTTCGATCCACAGAAACTCGATCGCCCCTTGACTGTCGTATCCGTCAGGTGGTGTAGTGCTGATGAGGACGGAAAACACCTGGTTGTTGTATTGGTAGTGTGCCGTATATGCCTCGGTTGTTTCATTCGTCAAGTTGTGGAAATCGAGGAATTTGACATGATCAAATGAGTCGGACATGGTGATCTAAGCGTAAAAGCGACGGCGTGAAGGAAGGGCAGTAGTGCGTTGGAAGACGGGAAGAAGAATGGAAGCGAAGAAAGAGGGGGTTAAAAGCAGCGGCGCGAACTGGGCAAGGCGCAGCACTTCATCCCGTTCGGGAGAGGCGTTTAGCAGAATGTGTTGCACAGAGGTATCTTTCCTGCCTGATGCGAGATCCAATTGCGTTGCGTTGTTGGCAATGAACGCAGGGGTTGTGACGGTTGGTTGTGAGCAAGAGTGCATAAACCCAATGGCGCAGAAGGAAGCCTACATGCTGGCCTCGAGATCGCAATGAACATGGAAAGATCTCCACGACGGGAAGTGAAAAGTATGGGCCATCGTCTCATGCCGTGAAGCGGAGTATGGGAGGAGAATGGTCTCGAAATCTCAATGATAGTCGTACGTCTCGTTTTGCCATGTTGATTGGTTTTTGGGTGGGTTGTTGTTGACGATCAAGCGTAAGGCAAAAGAAAAGGGGCAAAACAAGGGGGTAAAGGGGCAGAAAAAGGGGCAGGAAAAGGTCTGGCAGGGTGGTGCATTTATTACTGCGGGAGTCAACGGCCTAGCATTTGTACTACATGCTCGCATTATCTCGGGGGGATCCAGCCCATCTCCTCGGTCGCCCAGACCACCCAATGGCGATGTTCCTCGTCCAGCAACGCCCAGGTCTTGCCCATCAGATGGTCGGCCCAGCCTTCTACCCACCACTGGTTCTCTAGCTTTCTCAGCGCGAGCAGGCAGTAAGCAAATATGACGACTGCCTCCTGTGGCGGAGTGGCGGCTTCGAGCAGCGGGAGAAACTCTTTTCCTTGTGTCCACTGCCAGACTAGGATGTCCCACGCCTCGAGCTTCGTCCACGCTGGTGGCGCCACTACCTCCGCTGCTGGTGACTGGTTTGCGCTCGGCGATTGTGAGTTCTCCAACCCGTTTTGACCGCTCTGAGAATTAGGATAAGCAGGCGCTGTACCCGCGGGTTCGCCGCTTGGCGTCAAGATTAAACCGAGCATACGACGGAGTTGCTCGATCATGTCGTCGTAAATGGGGAGGAGGCTAGTATCTTTACAGGCCCTGTGAATCAGGGATTGGATGTCTACCAGCAAGGTCGGGTTCCGCGGGGGTGTTGTCTTCAGGAAGGGTGTCATGCGTCTGCGGCCAAAGTCAAACAGCGGCGTCAGTATCCCACGGTAGGTTTGCGGCCGGAGCATGTGCAGGATCGGTTCCATGCCGTGAAGGAGCCGTAGCCAGTGAGGGATCAAGGGGCTCTCGGGGGCCAGATCAACCTCATCGACGGGGCATCCCAGAGCTAACAATATTAGCAACCCGAAAATATGACACGGCCAAGGAACGGCCACATACCGTAGTAAACCGTGAGCATGGAAAAGATATGGAGCCTTTCGCACTCGTCGGTCTTCAAGTTGGTCATCAGCTCGAGGGCGGTTGAGGTCGCGGCTTGATGGTGCTGCATAGCGCGCTGGAGGTAGGTCTTTTTCTTTTGGGGGCGATATCGAGAGAGGTGAAGAGCAGACACGGCTAGAATAGAGCGCATGATGTACTCGCAATCCGTAGCCATTTGGACGGCGGTGGTCCGCATGAACTGCCGGACTGATGGGTCGCTCGCCAAGGTGGTGCAGGTATAGGTTGTGAAGTTGTGCATCAGCTCAAGGTCGATCATGTTGATATCGCAGGAGGGCTGGGACGTGGGTGAGAATTCAGCAGGCCCTCCCTGTCCTTGTTCTGCGTATGGCGACACAGGCGTGAAAGCGGATGAAGGCTGGGATCGCACGAAATCGCATGTCACGGCGTGTTTCTCACAATTTCGACATGAGGGCCGCTTTTCATCACACTGCAAAGGGTCAATGGCCTGACAATTGAGATGATGACAGCCACCTCATTGTGACTTCTCCCTCTCTCTCCCTTTCGCTTTTTTCTTTTTTTCCTTTTGGGGGCAACACCAGGGTTCTTCTTACCTTGATCCGGCGCTTCTTGCAAGTCCGGCAACCGGTCCGAGATTTCTCGTGAGCCCGTCGCACGGCTTTTTGTCCCCTTCTCCTGGTGTTTTGGGACGGGCCTGCCGTGGAGGAATCGGTTTGTATGGAGCTGACATCATTCGGTTCCCCGGGTATTGACAGCGAGTTTAATGATGTTGTTGCCATGTTTTTTTTTTTTCGTTTTGCCAATCAAGACTTGGAGCCAAGCTCGGCACAGCACACGAAGCGCAAGGAAAGAACAGCGAGAGTTACGAGATTCGAACGAGAACTTTGCCAAGTGGGGCGAACAATACGGAAGACGCGCGTTCAGCTTTTCCACATGTCGACCCGATTCGGCATTTCCCGAGACCTCTGACTGGGATGCTTGGCCACGCATTTATCAACAACCTAATTTCCTTTTTTGCCCCATCCACCATCGAACACGCCTACGATCCCCTGACGACCTCCACCCCCGCCACAATCAGGAATAGCCAGCAGAGCCAGACTGCTTCGACTGGCGGTATTGCCTGAAAGAAACGATTGCGGCATGAACTGACAAGACTCTGCAGTGCAATTACATGTTAGCCCTCTCACTCTGTCTGTCTGTCATTCTCTGAAACCCGTTCAAGTCAGGGGCTTCCTCTCGCGGGGAACGTACAAGATGGTAATCGCCACCAAGGTAATAATCCAAGTCACAGCGCAGCCGCTCCCACTGCAAGACCTGGTGATCCCCATGAACTTGAGGATGACGAGGGTGAGCCAGAAGACCGGCTCGATGCAGTTCAAGATCAAGTTGGCCTTTAGACTCCTCCACTTGGCGAACCGTTCCGTGTGTTCGGTAACAAGTTGGTACGTGATGAAAACAAGTGTTTTGACGGCCTGTACACGAACCCCGCGTTAGCCATACTCGCCGCGTCACATTGTTGGGAACCTCGGCGATGGTCGAGGCAAGGACACTCACGAAAGGGATCGCCATGATGTCGGGCCTGGTGAAGAAGGCGCTTATGCTCATGTAGACGCCCGTGAGCACAATGACTAGGACGGCGAGAAATAGCACGATGATGTGCCCCCGTAGCTTCCATCGCGGATCGAGGAGACCTGTGTCTGATTGCTGCATGGTGTCTGGTGTGTGTGACGACGGGATCGTGGGTTTTTGACGGCGAGGTGAGTATTAAATATTAATTATGAGACGGGTGAGACGAGGAAGATGGACCGGCACATTGACTTGAGGTTTGAATCCCAAGACATGGAATTCTCTAGCTTAAATATGTTTGCAGCAGTGCAACATTTTGGCACCCACGTAGATTCATGTCGTTTGTTGATGGCTTTTTCGGTTCCTGACTCGTATTTCCTCGTTCAGCTCGTGTGGCTTGTCTTCTTTGACAACGCGGTCTCACTCTCTCACTGCGGCAAGGAAACGTCATCATCCGGCATCTCTTTGGTAAAATATGGGGAGCAATCGAGAGATTTCTCTTACCCTGGCCCCTGGCGAGGTTGAGAAGCTTTACTGCGCCTTGACGATCCCCGGGGTGCATTATGTGGGTCCGTGCCGTTCAGGGTCGCAACGAGAACGCGAGAAACACGAGAAACACGAGGGCTCGTATGCCGGCCACGACCACGCTAAGACGGCATGGATATATAAAGGGGACATCGGGCTGGAAAAAGACCAAACAAATCTATGAGATGAGCCCACCCTGCTTCAGTTCTGAACTGCCGTTTACCTAAGGTACCTCTTCATTACATACCTAACTTTGTCCACCACAATGAAGTCTCCCGCCGTCCTTCTCGGTTGCTTCTCACTCGCCTGCTCTATGTCAGAGGCGACCGGTATCCCCAAATGGCACCCCCCGGGCCCTGGTGATCGTGAGTATCCCTTGTCTACTCCATCTTTTATGTCGTACCCTGAGGCCATCCGCTGATGTCGTGGCACAGTCCGCGGTCCCTGTCCGATGATGAACACGCTCGCCAACCACGGTATCTTGCCCCATGACGGCAAGGCCATCACCAGGGAAGCTGTCATCAAAGCCATGCACCAGGGACTCAACTTCGACTCTACCCTCGCCATTGTCATGTTCGACCAGGCCGTCATCGCCAACCCGGAACCCAACGCCACCTTCTTCACCCTGTACGTGCTTCAACTTAAACTCGGTATCATGGGAGATTGGGGCATGCTTGGACGCAAAGCCAGGTGCATTTGCTGACTTGTCACACTTGGGCGACACAGTGACCATCTCAACCGCCACAACGTCCTCGAGCACGACGGCAGCCTAAGCCGCACCGACGCCTTCTTCGGCAGCAATCACATCTTCAACCAGACCATCTTCGACCAGACCCGGCGCTACTGGCCCGAGCCCCTCATCACCACGTCCCACATGGCCAACGCCAAGATCGCCCGCCAGGTTGAGTCCAAGTCATTCAACCCTGAATACCGGTTCACCGACTCTGTCGAGCACTTCAGCCTCGGCGAGATGGCCGCACCCTTCATTGCGTTTGGAGACCTCGAGCAGGCCACCGTAAACAGGACGTTGGTTGAGTACTTTTTCGGTGAGTGTGGACACGAATACCAGGTTCTGGGGTTTCTCGACAAGATTTATTAGCAGCTAACCGAGGCATCCCACATTAGAAAACGAACGTCTCCCAACCGAGCTGGGTTGGGATGTCAGGGAAGAGGTGGTCAAAGTCGAGGCTATTCTCAGAATATCGGACATGATTGGGGAGGCGACGAGCTTGTTTACTACGGATTCAGATGGGGGTGTTGGACACAACTGCACGAAAAGGGCACTCCGCCGGGGATTCCACGCCGGAGCTAGACGGGGCGAGTGACGACTTACAAATCAGGGAGTCTACGACTTCCCGGCCCGGTCGAACACTGTCTAGGTAGGCAGTCTTCGTTTTTTAATTCTTCCCGTTATCGGCCATGGTTAAGCCGTTTAGACAATTGTTACTCTGGACCCGTCAAGATATCAAGTGAAGACAAGCCACCGTATCCCTACCAACCAAATATGTTAGCTTCCATCGGGGCATAACTGAGGTTACCAGAACATACCGGAACCTTGCTCCTCGCCGTGAAAGCAACAATGAACCCAATGATGGCCTCCCCTGCGGGTGCACGCCGGGACGTCCATCCATCGGCCGCTTCATCGCCCACACACACTTGACGGTCCCAGTTAGTTTTGATCTAACAGCCCAGTCAGCAAAGCGCCACATTCGTCACCCTCACAACACCACAACCCAACCGCCACCCAGAGACGACAACAAGCAGAAAGAAAGAACTGACCCTAAACCCCAACGCATCCCCCGCCCCCTCACAAACCGCCACCTCCTCAACCCGCTCCCCCCCAGGCCCATCCACCTCCAACTCCACCACCCGCTCACCCGGCCACGCCGGTGGGTCATCCCACCCCTCCGCATTGCGCCGCAACCCCGCGTAGCGCTTGGGCTCCCAGTGCCGCCGGATATACTCCACCCTCAACCCATGCACTACCACCGCCCCCACCACGTCACACCCATCCATCCCCCCACTGCGAACACCACCATCCACATCCCCACTACTACTAGAACGCAGCAGAGAACCAGTGGAAGACACGGTGGTGCCGGGAACAGGAACAGGAACAGGAACAGGAACAGGAACAGGAACAGGAACAGGAACCGAACCGGGAGCAGAACCGGGAGCAGAACCGGGAGCAAGTGGCGGAGCAGCAACAGGAACGCCCCCCGGCCCGAGATATACCGCCACCCGCGCCAGCTTGCTGCGCAGCACCCGGTCGGGCGCAAAGACCAGTGTCTCGTGGGGGATCAGGTGGGCGGGGATGACGCTGAGGCGGGTGGGGGTTTCTGGGGCGGTGAGGGGCTGGACGTTGGGGTGGTTGTTGTTGCTGCTGTTACGGCTGCTGTCGTTACTCTTTCTGTTGGGCGCGATATCCCCCTCGCCGTGGACGCAGTGCATCAGGTGTTGGGGCGTGTTTGGCGCCCAGAGGCGGTGGGTGGTGCAGGGGAGGGGGTGGGCTTGGACTGGTTCCGGGAGTCCGGGATATAGTGGGGAGGGAGGTCGCGGGGGTGGAGATGGTGGTGCGTCCGATTCCGATGGGGGGAGGGGCGCTTCGAGGAGGCCGATGCTTCGGATTGTGCCGTCCTGGGGTGGTTGGTTAGCGGACGGCGGGTTGGGAAGGGGGGTTTGTTAAGCGCCGCCTATGCGCCGGATGCGGGATAAGGGAACGCACACGATCGACATGGCCCGTGATGCCGACAAGCCCTGCCCCGTCGGAAACTTTGAGGAGGGTTTGGCTGCGGAAGGGCAGCTCGGGTATGGCGCCGCCGCCTGGTTCCAGCAGGGCCCATCTCCCTCTTTGTGTGTGGACCTGTCGGGGATTAATTAGGAAACGGAAATCGGCGCGGGTGAAGGGTCTCGCGCGAGTTCGGTAGTTTCCGGGTGAGGGCATCTACGTACCTGTAGTCCCACGACTCGGGGCGACGCGGCCATATCTTTGTTGGGGTCCGTGGTTACAAACAGTAGGGTGATTTCCTTGATACAGTCACCCATTGCGAGACACATGACCGTCTTGGTGAGATCAGGCATGTCGTTGTCCGTGAGGCCAAAGGTGCGCTTCTGCTTGCCGACCATGACACATAACCCAGCAAGGCGGGAGTCTTCCGCCCAGTATGCGCTGAAGGAAAACAACTTGTTCTTAATCTCATCTTGTGAGTACACAAATAGAGTCCTTTGAAAACTCCAAGACTCCCCCTGCGGCTCCCTGGCGCCGGATACGAAAACGAGATGGCGGCAGTGGGCCCTTTGGAGCATACTGTCATCGGGCGTTTGCTGGAGTGGGACTTGGAGCTGGCGGAAGTAACGAGGGGCAAGCTCCTCGCAAACACTCCAGATGCGTCTCCTATTTGCGAGACCGGTAAGGGGGCTGTCCATGCCAAAGCTCGGGGTTGTGAGCTCATTTAGCCACATGTATAAGACTTTGTAATTCGGCTCAGGGCCTCGCCGTGGATCCTCGAGCAGTCGCCGCAATTCGATCAGCCACGGCATATCGTGTTTGAGGAACCACTTCCAGAACGAATTGTGGCGGGTCGTGCAGAAGGCCACCCAGGAGGCTTTGAGCAGGGCGAGCAGGGCGTCTCCCGGAAGGAAGCGAAAGATATTGGGCAGTATCTCGGGCGGCAGTGCAGCGAACGGGTCTTGGACTCGAACTTCACGAGTGATTCCTAAACTGTCCGGCCGCATCTGAAACATCTCATCGGCCACGCAGGCTACTAGCACCTCGGCCATCTCGGGTGTTGTGCCAGGGTGCGCTACAGAGAACTTTGGAAAGGGACGGTTAATCATAGAGGCCTTCCTAATGGTAAGTAAGGTCGTGCCTGTCGAACTCTGCTTACCTCTTCCCCGGGTATCGACACCCATGTTTGATCCCTGCCATTGATATCCCCGTAGTTGATCCTCAGACACGATGCGTAGGGTGTGACAAGTTCACACATGGCGCTGTATAACGCGTCCTTGTCGATTGTGGTAACATCCGTAGACCCAGCGAGCACGTCGGTCAGGATGCTGAAGCAGCATGGGTGAAAGGGAAAGGCTACCGGGCCAGTAAAGGAGTAGCTTGGGGTAGTCAGACGATCCATAATACGTACAGTCTCATAGAGAGCCACAACCGGTACTAGTTTATAGATCTTACCAGGATAGTTCGAATAGTTCCGTGTTTTCGCTTCCGTGTGGTTCGTTTGGGTCTGGGGATAGATAGGTAGCTTTAGCACAGTCTCGGGTCGCCAAATGTTGAGCGCCGGAGGGAGCCGTACCGCTGCCAGCCTGGACTGTTACACCATTCTGTAGAAGTCGTTATATTAGCTTCAAGTTCCCTATAATCACTATTTTGATTAGTGACGTAGAGACGTACGTTGTCGTAGTACCGCGATCTACCGGATATGAAGGCCCTTTTAAGGTGACGCGTTTAGTATGTATGTACCCAGGGGCTTTTCGACAGGGGGTAAATAATAATGCACGTACTTCGGGTGGCCTTGTGCTTGTGGATTGATCGCCAGACAGTAGCTTTCGGCAAGCCACTCAAGGCTTTCCCGGGTGACGAGAGTGGGGTCGTAGGTGTAATCCTCATGTCCCGGATACCAAGCATCCTCGTCCATTTCGTCACTGTCTTCCTCCCTCTCGTGCTCATTAGTATCCGTGTCCGGGTCCAGCTCAGCGGCCTCTCGGGTGACGAGAGATCCAGATGGGTCGTGGCTGTGGTCCTCATCCGCTGAATGCCAAACCTCGTCGTCCGTCTCATTCCCGTTTTCCTGCTCCTCTTTTTCATCACTGTCAGTGCCCGGATCGGGCTCGCCACGCTCCCGTGCTGCGCGTATCCGGGCGATTCTTGCGCGCCGCCGGTTCAGGGCCGCGGGGGACTTCGACCCAATCTTCCCTCCCCATCCGAGAGAGCAGCCGCAAATGGCACAATACATGTCGAAACTCCCCATCTTGGCGGGCTCGTAAGGCTGTGAGGGATTAGGAATTGGGTGACTATTTCCAAATGAAGGCTGTCCGTGGAAGCATGAAGCCTGAGAGCCCTGGGTGCCTGGAGTCCTGGACATGCGGGGTCCTGCGCCGACAGCGTCGCGTGTTCGGCTACCACTGACCACTGACGGGCAGCCCGGGCCGAACTCGGGCGCTACCTATCGTTATCAGAAAGGATGTGAGCCTCGCGAGACCCGGGGACGACTTCTAGGCAGGCGACGGGCGTAAACACAAACGCCGACTCCTCGCGATCAGACGTTTCCAATTTTCAGGTTAACACGAGCCATAAAAAGGCATCCCACCTTGTTCAACCGCTGGAGTGTGCATTTGAACAGGGGTTTGAGCATACGTTTAATTTTTAACTTTTTAATTCTCTTTTCCCACATTCTCGAAATGGCCGACCAAATGAGTGCCCATGGCCCCACCATGTCCACGCCCGCCTTTCCCGTGGTGCCTCCATCCTAACGTCTCCCAAGGTGACGCCATTCGCGGTCTCCAGGTGGCGAACCCAAATGATGACTCTTCGGAATCAGCCGTTTTGACAATGCGGGGTATATATAGAAAGGCCGTCGGCCCCGTTCAACACGCACCATCCACCGTGGAGAGCAACCTTTCGAACCTCGTTTCCAAGCATCTTTTCTCCCACATTTTCATTCAAAATGACCGAAGAAGACATTCAATACGGCCCCTTCGTGTACACTCCCCCGGGGGGCGGCCTGGCAAAGCCCAAATCCGAGTTCGAGGGCGAAGAGCTCCTCTGGCTGCTCCGCACCACGCACGAAGGCGAGCATCGCTACACGCTCCACGTTTGGCAGATCGACAGAGGTTTCCAGATTTCGGTACAACCCGTCCTCGACGACCCCGAGAACATGATGGACAGCACCTGCCTGGCAGAAAGCTGCAACAAGACGGTCCCCATGTACTTCTTGCAGTCTGCCCCGCGTGGGGTGGTTACCAACGTCTTTGAGAACTACATCTACCGCCGCTGGTTCCGCCCGTACAGGAGCGAGATCACCACCAGCCAGTTCCCCTGCAGGTTCATCATGCCGCAGGACATATACAGCCCCTCCAGCGGGCCGCCATCCGACGCCACCATCCGCACTCTCACCACGTTCCACGGCATTCTCTGGCGACAGGTCGAGAAACGACACCGAATGGCCCGAGTCGAGGAGCAGGCATTAGAGCAGAAGAGGGGCCCGGTTAACGTCAACAACAGCTGGCCCACGCCCACCAGAGTCCCATGGTCCGAGGCGCACTTGCTCCGTCCGCTCTTCAAAGCCCTAATGGCGATTACCTGCTGCGCCGACTACGACAACGAGGACTCCACCACGGCGGGCCGCTTCCCGGTCTACCTGGTCCGCACCGGCGTCGAGGACGGTCTTTCGGCACCCATCTCGTTCGATGCCGAACTTGCCGCCCACAGGATGAAATTCATGTCGGAAAACGTCGTAAAGACAACGCTTGAGGCCGCCGTCGATTTCATCATGGCTCTGGAAGCGCGCGAAGCCGCTGTCTTTGGCACCCAGCCAGACCCGGCTTACATCGAGGCGCCGCCAAGGGACAAGGAAGGCCGCGAGCTGACAAGACTTCCGAGCAGCCAGTGGGTTAGCGACGAGAAGGCGGCCGAGTGGGGTTGGGGCGGACGCGGCCGGCTCTGGGACGAGGTCAGGTGTCCTCGCTTCGAGCAGAGGGCACTGCGCTCTTACAAGTCGTTCCTGTTCGCACAGCAAATGTACAGAGAAGGACGGCGGGAACCACCACCGTATAGTCCTCTTCCAGACCCAGAAAAAGGGAAGGAGGCTCGTGTCGCCGGGGAATACGAATGAGAGGGAAAGGAAATGCAAATGTATAATATGTAATAAATACTTAAAAACCACAGCCAGGTATTGACATGCAGGGTGACCTCGGATGAGTCTGTGAATTGGCTTCGCCTTGCAGGGTCTACTTCATCGCTTGGCCCCTGGGGGAATAGGTCCACCCAGGCGATGCTGCAAAGGGTACTGGTCACCTATCGCGGCACTCCGACCAACAGGAGCTCAGACGCGCAGACTCGTATAGGTGTCCCTCGAAGAGGGGAGCCGTTCCTCGTATCATCAGAACGGGCTTCTTAGGACCGACAGGGGATTCCGTGCATTTTACACCCTCGGGACGCATCTATGGCATCCGTCATCGAGCTCCAGATCAGCAACGGGCTGTGCCACAGAGTGACACCCCAGATGGTAGGTGATAGGCCTTTTAACGACATACCCGGGTCAAAGGAGGGAAGGCTCACTGAGGCGCCGAGGCGTTGCGCGCGTGCGAGCGGCGGGAAGGGCGAGTCGGCGTGACGGGCGAGGCAGACGAAGCCTGGCTAGCGAGACGTTTTTTATACTGCCGGGCCTCCTTTCGAGAGAGTGGCCGGTCTGGAGTGGTGGTGGAGGTTGGGGCTGGGGGTGATGGCGGAGGCGGCGGCGGCGGAGGTGCTTCCTCGAGGAACCAGCAAAGACTCGGCCGGTCTCTCGGGCCGCCGTTCGGGAACACGCCCACCCGGGAGATACACTTCCGTCCGAACATATCCGGGTAAGTCGACAACATACGACAAGGTGCTTTGCCGTGCTCGCTGCCCAAAAGGGCGAAAAATCGGTCGTCACCAGCGAGAAACTCCTGGGGGCCGAGTCGACCTCCGCAAATAGTGCCAATGAGCCGCTGGGTTTGCTCGTTGCTGATGATCAGGCGCCAAATGGCCCCCAGACCCCGCCAGTCGGTACCGTGCATCCTCGGTTGCAAGAGTCCAGAGCCCGGGGAGGTAGGCATGAGCCCAACGCACCCCAAGCACAGGTCTCCGCCAAAGCGTCCGACATAAACAAACGTCCCACCCCTCCCTCTCGAAAGACAACATCGCGGCTCGCATAGTTACTCATACAAAGCAAAGCTTTGCCCCCGGCATGCGCATAGTTCTGGTAGATGTCCGCGGGAGGGGTGGCGACGGCGGACGGGTTGTTTCGGATTTGGATAAATATATAACCCGCCAAGGGGTGCCCGGCGTTACCGATGGCGACGTCCAGTTCCTCGCCGACGGTTGCGTCCTCAAGATGCGCTAGATTGGAGGAGGCAGTTACAAACGTCACTTAGCTGCGTCCACATGTCGTCCAAAACATTATGTTGTAATCGAGAAGCAAACAAAGCAGTCAGTGAAACATACAGGCTTCGATCTCGTAGTTGGGGTCAAGCCCGTGGAGTGCTGGGTCGCTCCGTGAGTGCTGGAGCCGGTGGATTAAGTTTTCGTAAAGGCTACGGCCCTTGGCGGCGAGGGCGAGGACGGTCTCGGGGGCCAACGGGAGCCCTTGGAGCCTGCTCTGCGAGAGGTCGGACGGCATGGTGACAAGAAGAGAAGAGAAGGGAACAACAGCGCAGCAGCAGGACGACGGCAGGGTGACAGAACGACAAGATGCGGCACGAGAAGGCGACACGTCAAGACGACAGGACAAGACGACACGACAAGAGATCTCAAGACGGGAAGGGGAGGGGACTGGGACTTGCATTTCAACTAGGTTGGCAAAAGAAAAGATCTCTTGGTGGGATATCCGTTGCGCCTTCCGTTTGGTAGCCATGTCTGAAGTACGAGTTAGGGAAGGGGCATTGATGGGAAAGAGCATCCCATCCCAACATGGCCGGGTTGGGTAGGAGGCCATGAGTGACCGGAGACTCCAGGCCTGAGACGTGCCTTCCCGTTAATCGATCACTCCCAACCAACCCCGCGATATCCACGCAGCCATGCTTCCCGCGTCAACTTCCCGCACCAGCAGGCACTTGGTCCATGTACAAGAGGCATTATCTTTGCACAGCCGGGGCAACCGAGTTAAGCCACCATCAAAGATTGGCCCCAATGTTTTGGATATCAACCTCGATCCCCGCAGTCAGGGGCGCGCCGTCGACAAGCACGTGGAAGAGGACATTACCCCACGAGTAGGTAATACGGATTTCGATGACGCCAGGTTCGTTCGCGGTCCGTACTTTCGCGGCGCCGCTTGCCCTGAATCGGATCACGCAACGTTTCTTTCCTGGTGGGATCGGCCAAACCGCTTGGTTCATGTTTCGATAGATAACAAGGCCGATGTTACCTTTTGCGCGTATATCGAGACCGATGGCGGCCAGATCGACGCGGACGAGCGTCGGGTCGTTTAGGGACAGATCGTCGCCCTGTGTTTGCCCCGGATTAGTCTACCGCATGTTCAACCGTGTGGTCCGTGTGACGAACCTGGTTGATGAGTCTCTGGATGGGCGTTTGTCCGTCAACTTGAAGAGTCAAGGAATAAGTGTCCTTGCAGACGCGGGAGCAAATTCGAGCGGTGTCGTGGAAGTTGCGCAGCCCGAGGGCATGGTACGCGCAGCCGCCGGCTACGGCAACCATGCTTTTTCGGTATCAGTACCCGGGAAGGACGTGTCTGGTTTTATTGCAGTCGAGACTCACCGATCAACACCTCCGCTGACGTGCTCGACCCGAGTTTCGCCCTGGACCCCGGCACCCTGATGGATGTGGTTCAGCTCGTCGACACACGCCCGGACCCGGGACCGCAGATATGGATTCCCACTGAAACCACCGCAGAGCACAAGCACCTGGAATTGACAGGAGAAAGGTCAGTGTCCATACGGCAGGGGGTTGGTGAAGTGTGAAAACGCCGGTGGCTTCGCTCATGCGTACCTTCGGAAGCCTCCCCCTCGCCGCGACGACGGCATCCGTTTGGTCACGGATTAAATCGAGAACGTGATCCACCCCGGGGTTGAAAAGGGCCTGGAGCTCCTGGCTTTTCCCCTAGTTAGAGACGCTCACACCAAACAGCTCGATTGCCCGGGAAGAGGGGAAAGGCAAACAACCAGGTGGTTCGAAGAGAGACTCACTGGGTAAATGTGATCATGGGTGGACCGCCTGCGGCCCGGGGGGCGGGGGATCGTTCCTGCCAGGTCCTGAACAGATAGGGCACCTCCACCGAGCGTGTTCCGGTCCCATTGTAATGCTTCTTGAGGTCGGATTCCCAGAACCGACCGAACTGGCCAATCATATTGTCGCTGGTAATGTCGTCCAACATGCTCGGCGTTGCTCGGTCGGTGATTTTCAGCTTGACGAGATCGAAGAACCTGTCGTCGAGTAGAATCGTCCCGGCTAGCCGTGAATCACCGGCAACGCACTCCCGGAAGATGAAAGGCGGTTGCGATGTGCGAGACTCATATGCACCTCCGTCCTGTAACTGGGTGTCAGTAGGAGCCGGGCCACCAAGGACGAAAGGGAGACTCACAACCGTTCCTCCGCCGACATCGCAAATTCCGACGATATCGCCTATCTGGGAACGGTTAGAGAGACAGGTCGTGAAGTTGGAACCCCGTCCGCCTCGGGAAGGGGAAGGGGACATGCAGGGCGGAGAGAACGTACCGTGAAATCGGTTGAGATTGCGTTGCCTTCAATGAAGTTGATGAGGTCAGCCTCGGGTTCCGAGAGGAAAGCGAACTCTGAGCCTCCGGGGGACCCGCCGATGCCAGCGTTGCTGGCAGCCTCCTCCAGCGACCCCAAGGCCACGCGCGGCCAGTTGGCGGGGTTACCCATGGCCACGAGGAGGGTGGCGGCACGCAGTTCGTCAACACTCATGCCGAGCTCAGGAGCGGCTAGTTGGAGACCGGTGGCCCAGAACCCCCGAAAGAAAGCTTCGGTGACTTGGCTTGGTGTCACTTGGTGTGCCGTGCGGACTCTCTGTGCCCTTATCAGGGCATCCGAGTTCGACAGTCCATTAGGGAGATATTCAGGGTGCACGATCCCAAGCTTGAACAGTCGGAAAGTTGTCATGTCGACAGGCGCGAGAAACCCCCAGCGGGGGTGCCCAGGACCCGGTGGGTTCCCGGCATCAGCGGCAACGGCGGAAGGAACTTGGGTCTCGTTGACGTAGGTGTGGTCTCCATGGCCCGGGTATTGGCGCACGCATACAAAGCGTTTCTTGCGGGAATCGATGAATACCATGGAGGAGTAACTATCGACCGGCTCGTTAGTGCTGCTCGTGTTTTGGGGACTGATGGCTGAGTCGAAAACTTACGTCGTGCCAAAGTCGATGCCCACACCGATGGCCCATGACTGTTCAGCAGGCTCCTCTGCGGCAAGGACATCCATTATCGAGGCGTTTGTGGCAGACGTGGCGGTGGATATCGGGGGGAGCGCGGGCTCTTGTCGGTGCAGGGACTGAAAGAGGGAGCTGCGTGACGAAGGGAGGTCGCGGGGGAAGCTCGTTAGAGCGACAGAAGAAGAAGTGGACAGGATAGTATTGGTGAGGAATAGATGGGAAGTTCGATTATCTCAGACGACCCAAACGAGTGTGTCCTCAGCGTTGCGTTGTGTATGTGTTAACCACCATCAGCGCAAACGGGCTTGTCGGCCAACAGGCGACAGGCATGCCGGAACAACTAAACAACGGGCTCCAACAAGGAAGACACGCCACACACACGCACACACACAACATGTACTTTGTGGCCAGAACGGACCGACACCTGTGGGACACCTGTGGAGGAACTGGCAACCGCATGCGGAATTCGCAAGCGAGTGTTCACGAATTGTCATTGGCCGCCCCTCAGTCCTGACTGGCGTATAAGAGCGAGCGGCTTTGTTTGCTGTGGCTGTTGCTTGTTCTTTTGCGGGCAGCTGGCACCAAGCCACTCCGTCAGACTGCTTTCTCAGCCGCCCGGTTTGGCTGTGTTCTTCCCTTCTTCTCTTTATCACATTGCACCTACATTACGCCAGGATAACGCCTGGTCCGACGTCGACACAATTCTCCCCATTATCCTGGATGCGACGGCCTTTGGCCACCCTGCAGCAGCCCATATCCCATTGAGCATCCCTCTTTGACTCCTGTCGCTGCCCTGGCTATCATCCAGAATTCCACGCCAACCCGAACGAGAAAATAGTGGGTGCCATGCCTCAAGAGTCATTGCGGCGGCCACGCCAGGAGGAGGCCCGACCCGGCGGTGGTGGACGCCAAACGAGGTCCAAACGTCAACGCCAACTAGCCGAGGACGCATTGTCCTCCAGCGCCGCGCTGACGCCTTCGCCGGACGCCGGAGTAACGCCCTGTCCTGCTGCTGTGGCCGCGCCCTCTCCGGATGACTCGCCGGCCCCTGATGCACCGCCGACTGCAGATGTGCCGGCGTCCCCCGATGCGCTACCGTGCCTCGATTCTCCGCCGCTTCACAATGTCACGGCGGTACCCCCCCTTGATACCGTCCCATCGTCTCCACCGGGCGCAGTCGTGCCCGCCACCACCTCGACGGCCCTGTTGTCCCCGGCCGCCGTGGTAGCAGCTCCCCTAACAGTCAGCGGTAACGAACCGGACACTGAGAAGGTCGCGAACAGGCAAACCTTTAGGATCTTAGAGACCTGCTATGGCAATGCGATGGATGGCTTCCGAGCCGTGGAGGCTTGGTCGGAGCTTGAGGGCGCAATCATGAGCCTTGTTCGATGCCACTTTGTCAAAGTGGTTCCCTGGGACACGCTCGACGTTAGCACTAGGGAAAAGCTTTCCATTTGGGCACCCCACGCCGGGGACTATCTCGAATCCGCCTTTGAATCGCACAGTAAGCTACGAGGCCCATAGCCCATCTTATGGTCCTGCGCCATTCACCGCGGTGTTCTGACTCCATTCCCCTGCCTCTAGGTATCTTCGAAGGCTGGATATGGCGTATACTCGTCGACCGTGTGTTCAAAGGACACGACTGCGAGGTCTGGGAAGGTTATGGACGACTTGTCACCAAGCTAGACCGTGAGTCGCCGCCCACCCCCTCCCCCCTTCTCCCCCGTACCTAGCTTGCCCTCTCCTGCCCATCTCTCACTTTGCTTCTCCGCCTGCCAAGCGTGTTGGCCCCTGCGCAGGGCAACCCCCAAGCCATTATCCCCCCTTTCCCCATCGCACCACCCCTTTCCGTCGTCGTTGTACTACCATGCACTAACAACAGTGAACATACAAGATATGGCCACGCTCCCATCGCACCTCCTGGCCCCCCACCACGCCATCCGCATGCTCCCCGGGGTGGAGGGTTGGCAAGAGAAGTCGTCCGAAGTGATTAAACAACTGTACTACAACTGGCGCCCTCGGACGGTCGAGCTGCTGCAGCTGGCCACGGGTCACATGGAACGCTTCGAACGCGGCCATGTGGTGGGTCTCATCAAGGAGGAGCTAGGCGCCTTCTTCGGCCAGCCCGACGGCGAGCAGGCGGAGGAGGAGGCCAAGCAGCTGGCCGACGACCTCGCCGGGGTGGCCGCCCTGGTGGTCCACGCGGACCGCTGCTTCCAGGCCAGCCCGGTGCAGTGGCAGTTCCACTTCGCGGACCCGGCGACCGGCGGGACGTCCGGGTTTGCGTACCGCGGCAGCGGCAGCTACGTCGGGCGAAAGACCGACATGGCCCACACTATGGACGTGCACGTCAACCAGTCGACCAACCTAGAGCGCGCCGTGGGCCGGCCCGTCGACCATATCGTGCGGCCGCTGTTGCTGTCTTATGAGTTATCTCGCGAGACGTGCAGCTGGGATAGCCCCTTCAAGATGTGTCCCATGATAGTCATGGTTGACCTGTACGGGGACGAGAATAAGGAGGGGGAGGGCGAGGATGAGGATAAAAAGGAGGGGGGCGGGGATGAACAGGGTGGGGATGAGAAGGGCGAATCCCTTGGGAACGAGAGCGAAGAGGATTCTGCTTGAGATGACCTAGCACAGACCCAATGTCTCCAGCTTCCAGTGGACCGAGCGTGGGCTGCCCCCCTCTGCTACACATCCCTTTCCTATCGTCTTCGGTAGCGCTCGTTAAAATGTTATGCTGCGGGTACCATGGCTTGCAATCCGATCATCGTACGTCGTTCTTGGTCTGCGCTCTTGAACCTGCCATTGTACGGAGCCCCTGGCTTCGAGCCCCACGCCGTCTTCCTCCCCGACAGCAAGGGCCTGCATCTCCTCCATGCCCGTCCCCGGCCCCGTCGCCGCCTCCGCCGGGGACCGATCCCGTAAAACAGTATACACCGTATAGACCAACGCCACCAACCCCGCTAGCAAGGCAGCAAGTTGGTCCCGCTCGACGATGGTAACCCCGAGATCCGGGATCAGAGAGGCACGAGTTGTGACAACAAGAACCGCCGTCGTGCCTGGGAGTAGGGACGCGAGGACACACCATCCCACATGTTGCGCATATTCCAGCACCATTCCCCGGTCTCGTCGGATCAGGCCGGCAATGCAGACGATCGACAAAACTAGGGTACTACCGCCGAAGACGATGCCCGTGCCGAGCGTGAAGGCCAGCAAGAACGGCTGCGCGGCCTCATAGATGAATAGGATGATGCTGATACCCAGGCTGCCGAGACCAAGGTGGAAAATCACCAGGGCCAGAGCCACGTACGCGTACCCGACTAAGATATACGTCCTCGCCGCGGCGGTGGGCCGCCACGGTACCATGTTCGCGCCCCCGGAGGAGAAGACAGAAATGGCGAGCAGGAAGCACACATCAACGAAGACGTAGGACACGGCTAGCGGCCCGGTAAGCTCGACCACGTGCTGGCCGAGGCCGACGACATCGGGGGGGATCTCAGCAAGGCGCAGCGGGGTGTGGCCGAACTCGCCGAAACCTTCGAGGGTGGAGGTGGGATGTCGGAGGCAGAAGATGGCGAGGGCTCGATGTTCCGTCCCGGCCATGTTGATGGCCTGGACGAGCAGGTCGGTCGCGGCGAAGACGGAGTATGCGACCACGGCCAGCAGGTCGGTTGACATGCCCGGCCGGGTGTGGCCCTGATCGTCCCTCGGCCCGTAAAACCAGTGGAACACGACGGAGGCAACGAGGAAGTGCCATGCTAGGATGCTGCCTGGGCCGTATAACCCCGATGCTAGCTCGTAAAACTCGGGGTTGTACGGGAAGAGCACGCCTGCGCCGTGGCGCTCCAAGCCTTCGGAGATCTGGAGTTCGGGATGGGAATAGTTGCATATCGACGTCATGGCTCAGCTGCTTTCCGAGATGGTGCAGAAGGAAAAGCGGAAGTGCTCGGCGAGGCTCAGCTGAACCAGCAAGCAGCGAGCCAGATTTATGTACCTACGAGGAGGCCTGGGGCCTCGCACCCCGGTCAGCTACACCAGTTATGGCCGCCCTCCCAGCTCAGCCGCGAAGGATGCTGGATATTAGACGGCCATAGCGGCCATTTTCCCTGGGAGCTGAAGTGCAAAACATCACATCAGGCAGGTTGCATGGCTGGCTCGGATTGACCATGAAAGCGGTTCGCGATTCTGCCAGTTTTTTACTTCTTTATCTCCATTTAGCTTCTTTCTTTTCTTTTCTCTTTTTTTCTTTTCTTTCTTTTTTAGTTTTCGGAACCCCACCCTGCCTTTGGCGAAGGAGCTTCGTCTCTCTTTCAGGGGGTCAAAGCGGAGAAGACCCCACGGCCCTGTCAACTCCGGACCGGCCAGAACCAAAGGGACAAGCGTCGCCACCGTGGCCATCGTCATGATGGAGAAGCATAACTCCTCACCGAAGGTGATCCAACCAGAAGTCGAGCCACCTTAACCCGAGGCAACAATTTACCAAAGGAAGACAACCAAACATCAAGACACACGATGTGCGTGACATCCGCAGCCCCTGACCCCGATCCGGCAACCACCAACGTCGGCCTCGGTCAGTGCGCCGGCACAGCAAGGGCCGGCGCCGAGATTTGTACGTCTGCTCAGTGTTTTTGTGAAACCCATCGGGAAGACGGAGGGATATTCGGGTAGCATACCAGTACATGAGGTGGGGAGAAAATGCAATGGCATCTCTGTAACACAAAGATCGCCAATTTCTCTCCCTGTCTTCCCTCCAGCCCGCAGCCCCGACCACAACACACCACCCAACACCATCAACCCACCCCCAACCCCTATAAAACCCTCCACCCCAACGCAACCCACCCCACCCCCCTCAAATAACCCAACCCAACCCGCCACAAACACCCAACTAACCACCCCCCTCCCTCTTAAAAACCAAATAGACACCCACACCCCCCAACACGCCTTCATCCCCGCCAGCATCGCCGCCGCCTCCGCCTCGGGCGACGAGACGGCCTCGTTCGACGTGCTGTTCTGTGCGGGCGGCGGCGGCGGCGGCGACTACACGGCGCGCGAGGACGCGCAGCAGCTGCTGCAGGAGTTTGTGGCGGACCCGGAGGGGCGGAGCGTGGCGGTGCGGCGGTTGGGGGGGAGGGGGGGTTGAGGATTGTGAGGTGAGGGTGAATGTGGTTGTGGTTGTGGTTGTGGTTGTGTCGGTGGTATTTGCGTTGGGGACGGGATGGGATGGAAGGGATGGAGGGGATGAATGGGTTGAGGGTTTGGGGCTGGGGGTTTAAAATTGGGACAGTTACCTCGTGTACGTGTACGAATAGGTTAAGTCGGTTGAGTTCGGTTTGGGCAGTTTGTTTTGTCTTCAGGGGTTAGTTGGATAGCGGTGGCTCACTAACCCCTTTCTCGGTAACTTGGTAGGGGGTTAAAGATTGCAGCCTAAACAGGAAATATGTATGTACAACCAACCCCATACAACTTGTAATCCCCGGTAAAAAAGAACATGCCAAGGGGTATTCATAGCACCGACTACCTAAGCCTGGGCCGCTGTTCCTGCCGGCGCACCGCACCATCCATGAGTGGTATCATACATCCGTCCGAATAAGCCGCGGTCGTAGACCGACAACACAGAGCCGTCTCGCCTACTCCTCCATCGTGCCATTCCCCTCCGTCTTCGCAGCCGTACTCTCAGCCCGCGGCGCACTGTTGTTGCTATTCTTGCCCGCGCCCAGAAACATCTTTTTGAAATCCTCGTTGCTCTTCCCCCCAATGTGGCCCTGGCCCTGCGCCTGACCCTCGCCCTTCGTCTCGCCGTTACTCATCCCACTCCCGCCGGCAGCCCCCTCCGCCTTTTTCGCAGCCTGGACGCCTCCCACAAACCCCAACACCCGTTTCGGCCCGGCCCTCGCGCCCCCGGCAGCCGGCCGCCGCACAACCAGCGGCGGCGGCGGCATCAGCTCCGCCGCATTCGCATTCGCGTTTGCATTCACATTCTTTTTTGCCGCACCATGCCCCTCCCCCGCACCACTCCCACTCCCACCACCACTACCACCACCACTACCACTACCCCCCCTTGCAGGCAGGTCAATCCGATCAACCCTCCTCTCCCCACGGCCCCTAAACAGCTCCGCCACCGTGCCCGTGCGCAGCTTCCTCGACCCGCCGCCCGGAACCTCCACCTCCAGCCCGTCCACAGCCAGCGCGGCCTTGCCCGCGGCCGCGGCGCTCGCAAACTCGAGCACGGCGCCGCCGTGGGTCGGGTGCAGCACCATCTTGGTCAGGCCGGCCTCGTTATCGGGCCCCGACGACGACGACGATGACGAGAGAGCGGGCGCGAGGACGGCTCGCAATCGCGCGTCGGTCATGGTGTCGGGGACGTTGAGCACGGCGATGGTGCGCGCGGCGAGGTCGGCTGGGGTGGGGCCCGCTCCGGTTCCGGCGCCGGCTCCGGCGTCCGCGCCCGGGTGTGAAGGGCCTGGGGATGGGGAGGCGGTGTCGGTGGGTGTGGTGCCGTCGGTGCGGCTGGTGGCGGTGGTCTTGTTGCCGGGGGGGCGGGATAGCTCGACCTTGATCGGGTGGCTGCCGAAGATGAGCTTGTCGAGGGTTTTGATGGCCTCCTGGGCATCGGCTTTGGTCTCCATCACGACGAAAGCCGTGCCGTGCGAGTACCCCGCCATGTTGCGCGGCACGCGGACACTGATGACGCGCCCCGCTTTGGCGAACAGGGCGCGCACGTCCTCCTCGGACGCGCTCCGCGGAAGGTTGACAATGTGCAGCTCGCGCTCCTCGGCCTGCGCACCGTGGCGGTTTTGGCGGGCCGCCGGGTCCGAGAATTTGGCCAGCAGTTTGTACTTGCCCGCTTCCAGCGGTTTTCCGTCGAGTTTGGTCGCCGCCGCCGCAGCCGCGCGCTCACGAAAGGTGACGTAGCAAAAGCGGCGCTTCGTGTTGAACTTTAGGCTGGGAAAGCGGACGCTGTAGATCTCGCCGCAATTTTTGAAGAGGTCGCGGAGGTACTGCTCGTCGGCCTCGGGTGGGTAATTTGTGATGAAAAGGGTGCAGTCGGTCGCGGGGGTGACTTGGACCGCGTGGTCGCCAAAATATTTGCCGTCGCGCAGCAGCGCCGACCTCGCGTCGTCTGGCGTGCCGAGCTCGACCAAGGCAATCGCCGACTCGTCCCCTTTCTGCAGGTCAATGTTGTTGATGTGCGCATATCCGCGAAAGAACTGCTTCAGCTTGGTCTGGGTCGCGTCCTTGGGCAGCTTGGTCACCCACACGGACGTATTCTCGCGGTCCCGCTTCAGCTCCTCGCCGTGGGTCTCGCTCCTCGCCCGCTTGTTGCCGCTCTCTTCGTCTCCTGGCGTCGCCTCCCGCTTCCGCTTGGAGCTGGGGGACGAGTTTATCTCGGCAGAGCCTGTCATGCGCTGGTCGTTCGCTTCATTTACGTGTGCCGCTTCCCGGGCAGCCTGGGCAGCCTGTGCAGCAGCTTGCGCTGCTTGGGCCGCTTCCCGCTCGCGGCGTTTGGCCACGCCCTTGCGAGTTTTGTAGATGGTGTCCTGGGCGTCCCGCAACGTCTCGGCCAGCTCGTAGTCGTTGCAGTGCTTCAGATACACCTCCATGATGCGCTCCGGCCAGTCCACGGTGCGCACCTTGAGCGCGCGCGTGAAGACGCGGGTGGCGAAACTGGGGACCCGCAGTCCATGAGCGAGCGTCGCCGGTGTGGGGCTGCGCGTCTTGCTCCTCGCGGTGATAAATACCATCATTTCCCACATGTACCAGTTGAGCCAGAAGTCGTAGCCGTTTGCGTGCAGCTCGACGCGTGATAGTTCTTCCCAGACGGCGCGGGCGCTCTCGATATCGTCCTTCCTCTCGGTAAGGAACTGGATCAAGATCTTCTCAAGCCGGTAATCCGGGTCGCCCTGGTACGCCTCGCCGTACTTGCGCTTGCCCCAGTGTCTGACATCTTCGAGGGCTGACGGTAGCCCCACCTCGGCGACGTCAACGGCCTCCTCATTCGCGCTGGGGTTCATAGCGGAGCGCTTGAGGTAGCCGCACCAAGCCGAGTACATGTCCAGAACGCCCGACATGCCGTCCCTGTCCAGCTGGGCGCTGTCGGTGGCGGCGTGCTTGATGCGCTCGATGTCGGTAAAGGACAGGCCGGCCTCTTCGGCCGTCAGGATGTAGCGGGCCCAGATCGGGCCGGACCAAGGGACGTGGTGCACGGCACGCTGCAGGACGTCGAGCATGTTGGGCACCAGGTTCGGGGGGATGTAGCACCGGCCGGCCTTGAGGTCTGTGTGGGTGGTGGAGATGAGCACGGAAAAGTTGAGCCAGGTGTCCTCGTTCGAGGCCAGCACGCCCGTCAGAGCGCGCGTGAACAGGCCGAGACAGATCTGGAAATTGACGGCGAGGTCCTTGGCATCCTTCTTGGACTTCACCAATCTGATCTCCCACTCGGTGTACTCGGACATGATGGCCTTGAGCGCGTCGGCATCGTGCGACTTGGCGGCGCGGGCGAGCTTCGTCTCCCACGGGTCGCGCAGGTCGTAGAGTCGCTTGGCAGCCTTCGCGTTGCGCGTCACTTGCTGCATCTCGACTTCGTAGGCCTGGCGGTTGTATTCAGAGAGGAAGGTCGAGAACATCTGCGAAGTGGCGTCCCAGGTGGCGTGCGGAACGGTAAGGCGGTCCTTGAAGAGGTGGGTGATCCTGCGCACGCCGTTCGCCGTCACGGTGCGCCGCAGCATCTCCATCTCGAACGACACCCAGCGGTTCCATAGCTCGTGGCTGTCGGCGAGGCGGTACTGCACAGCCTCGTAGCCCTCCTGCCAGAGGTTGAGGGCATTGTCGATGGTGAAGGTCTCGCGGCCGAGCTGCTGCTCGTCGGGGGGCCAGCCGGCGTCACTGCCGGGCTGGCAGTCGGAGTAGAGGGACCAGAAATACTCGCAGTAAGCGGTCCACACCTTTATGCTACCGGGTTCGGCGGTCGTAGCACGGCGGAAGGCCTCGATGACGCGCACGCGGGCCTCGAAGTCGGTGGCTTCGCGCAGCTGATGGTCGACAAACTCGACCCAGTTGTCCTCCCCCACCGGGTTCGCCATGTTTCCAGCTGGGTCAGTAGAGCCGAGGCATCGGATGACGACGGCGATGTCGGAGAGTCGATTATGAGGACGAGGGCGAGGATGACGTCGAGCTTCGAGAATCGCGGACGAGGACGAAGTCGAGGGGAAATCGCGGGGAAGTCGAGTTTGATGGCGAAGGCGATGGGATGGCGCGTGGGAAATACCGAACGAAAGGTCAAATCTGTCAGTATCAGGGTTGGCGTGGTGGTGATAGGCGACGTTGCGGGACAAGAAAAGCCAAGTGCTGCCGCAAATGGATCGGCGGTCGGTTGCGAGGGCTGAAATTTGTCACCCGGTCTGGAACGGAATCTTTCGCTGTGCACACAAAGAATTGCAGGAGCGCAATGCGGTGCCAGTGCTTGGGATTTGCGAGATGGGGAGTTGCGTGCACTCAACCCTGGTGATGACGCGAAGTGTGTTCGCGGGTTGGGATGCAATTCCGGCAGCTCTCATGGAAATTCCGCAGACAATCCTCTGGGACTGGGACTTTGCAGGTGGGAAAAGGCCGAGTCTGGACCTTTGTGCTCCCCCGGCTTGGGTGCCTTACCTCGGGCTGATGCGCGGCCTCAGGTGTGCACGGGTGAACCTAGCGGCGTCAAGCTTCTGGGTAGGTGCAGGTGGGTGATGGTGGGTGGGTGGTGGTCCATGGGTGGCCCTGGGCGCGGGAGAGCCGCTGAAAATAGGTGACCGTGCTCCATGGAAATACGAAATCGCAGCCCATGGGAGGAAGGCTCCACTCTGTCTTGGAGACCTCCTCTCTTGCCAAGCACCTAAGAGTGAATCCATCCACAGAGGTTGCGACCATCCATCCAGTTGCTGCTTCCACATCGAGAGCGAGCTGTCCGCGCATCCATCTTCGGCACAAAATGCAAAATACAGATGTACCAAAAACAACCTGGAACCTACCCTAAGAATGGCGCCATTGTTCTTTGTTGTCGAGAACAGCCAGCCGCATTCAGTTGATTCCGGAAAAGAGACCCAGACAGATGGTTCCGAAGGTTTATCAATGGGTCTGTCTCAGATTCTTCAGCCCGAACGAAGCTCCCCAGTTTGCGTTGCAGTGAGGTCAGTTCCAGGTCAGGTCAGTCAAGTCAGTCAAAGCCAGTCACGTCAGTCACGCCAGTCAAGTTCAGGTCAGAGCCGCCTTTCTTTCCACGCCCGGTCCAGACCTCCAACCTCCCAACTCGGAGAAAAAAGACGGCCTCTTGTGATCAACCTTGCACGAGTCGAATTCGCCCAAACACTGCAACAACACCGACGTGACCGACAACAATCTCCAGAGTGCTGGTTGCAACCACGGCGGATTCATCTGCTTCCGTTGCCATCTTCAGGGTCTCTCTCTCCTGGCTCCGGGACCCAAAAGACGCCAAGCTCTGGGCTTTTGCCGATCCTGCTGATCTCGCAAACTCGGACCAATGACCGGACGGCGCCCTCCCTCTTCGCAGGACCCTGACCAGAGCGAAAGGTTGACTGTTGCCGGCCATCTTCGTGCAATTCTGAGGCCTATAAATCGTCCTGGCGTGCATGGCCGCGGCGTGGGAAAATTGTGGCATGGTCAACCGTCCACAGTCTCCTCTCTTCCGGTCCAAAACGAACCCCCTCGCCCCCGAGACCCCCAACTGCGGCCCACGTCGTCTCACCGCGGGTCCAACGCCAGAGAGACCGATGACGTCGTTCTGCAGGTGTGGCATGCCGTCATATCCGGTGGTTGGGCGGGTCTAGGCCCGGCTCCCCCCACCCCAGACGGGAATTTAGCAAACATCGCGTCATTGTGGTTGACGAGCAGGTGGAGCATTTGTGCGCCGGAACAAGCGCAGACACACCGACCAGCAGTCACGCAGTCACGCAGTCCCGCAGTGCAAAGCTCTCCCACCTGCCCACCCAGATCCAGACCCCCTGGATGCCTTGGGGGGGGACACTAATTATGTCGCTCATGTAACGTGACTTGTCGAGAGACTGGCCGATAATTATTGTACGATTTTCCCGCTTCACTTTTTTGGCTCCGGGATCAACCGCCCATACCCTCCGGAATGTTCACCTGATCAACAGGACACATCCATACCGCTCCAGCCGCCCGGTTCCCCAGATCCAGTTGATGTCCCGTCGCACTAGCGTCGGATCCCGAACCGGCCTCCACCAACACGTGCCCCTTTACGGCAATCTTCGGCACCCAACCCCATCGCCTCTTGAGTCAGTGTGCAAGAGGCGAGGAATAGGGACTCCCTGAAACGGGGTGTGGGTTGGGTCGCCCACGGCAGTTGGTCCCGTGGTATAACTCGGGGGCATGAAAAGCGAAAAAAGAGGTACGTTGAGTGTTCCCGATAGTGGGGGTGAAAGATGCGCGGAAAGAAGCGAGGGGATTAAGATTGGGAGCGGGGATCGATGCAAGGGGATGGGTGAAACGGAAGGAAAAGGAACTCGGTCCAAGTTTCAGGGCAAGACAAAAGGCAACTCGAGGCCGGTCTCCAAAGATGGTAGCGAAAGAATGAATCGGGCGAACCATTACCCCTGAAACCGACAGCTGACCACGCGACGCGACACACGATATTATTATTACTCAATATCATTCACTCGACTGCTGCCGTTATCTTATCAACCCAGGTGCAGCCCCTGAGCATCGAAAGGGGGGAGACTTTTTTTTCGCGCGAAATCAGGAGCAGGGATTACCGGGTTTTGCATAGAAGTTCATAGTCATGTCAGTCACATTTTTTCCACTTGCTTCATCTGAGAATTTGTCAGGATGGAAAAAGATATCACAAGGGTAGCCAAAAGCCAATCCCGGGCCATCTCGCTTCCATCAGCAGCAACATAAGAGCCTGCTTAAAATACCTGAGACTACCGAGATACCGACATGATAATGAGTTCGCAACTATTAGCGCGTTCCAAATTGGGAATGGCAGGGTTATGCATCTGTACGAGGTGACAAAGATAGACATTACAAAAAACCTATAGCAAATGCTGATCCTATAATTTCACGGCACTTATCACCTAGCCCGGGTCGTATTGTCCGCGATTAAAGATATAGGGAATATCGCATTCTTGCGTGCATGGCTCCGGCCTACCCGCCAATGGGGGTGAGCTGTGGGTGAATCTCGAACGTGCAGGTAATTAAGTGGTTACCTAGGTACTAGGTAACATTGAACGTTAGATGCTAACAACATAAAGGCTAGAGGTTCTTGACGTTCTCTCGACGTAACCGTGTCATCTCTTCTAACGCAAACGGTCCGCATTCCTCGATAAGGTATCTTCAAGGCCTCTGAATCAGGGACTTGTAGCTGATATGCTCGCAAAACTCGGCCGCCGCTACGAAACCCCTCGAAGCGTGCCCAGACTGGCGCTCGCCGTCCGGTCTGCGAACAGGGGGTCGCCGGAACGCAGGTATGGATCGGCTCCGTATCTCGGTCTTGAGTTCTAATCCGTGGGCGGGAAAAGGGCGTCAAGGGAAATCCTTAGTGGGCGAGAGTGCACGAATAGGCCAAGGTTCTTTGAGCCACGAACCTCCTGGCCAAAGATGCGCCAGTCAATGCATAAGCTTGAATTTTCCACGTCTTCCCTATACCTCCCTTATCCACTTATAGTGTACATACAGTATCAAAATACACCTCCTCCTCGGTGTCCTCCCCCGCCTGGACTACTTCTTCAAGCGGCATGTTTGCAGTGTTCCGCTCCACCACAGCAATCAGGTTTCTAAACGCCACCAACATCGACTCGGACGCGGCAGCTGGACGGGAGAAAAATGTATCCTCGACCGTTAAGTTGCTACTCTTAGCCTGGACGTCCAGACCCCTCAGGCCATGATCCGCGAGAATATTCATTGTCATGACATCGCCGCAGGAGCCCGCATGCAGCAATAGGTTCCAGTTGTCGTGGGCATGGAATAGGTGGTCGGCCTCGGTTTCGAATAATAGCATCCGCAGGCAGCGATGTGCGTTATATCCCGTCGCAACCAAGAGCGGAACGAAGCCCCGAGCATTGACGGCGTTGACATCTGCTCCTAGCTTGCACAGGTACCGGGCGATGTGATCGTGATCGTACGCGACCGAGGTGCAGAGCCCGGTCCTGCCCTGGCCGTCGCGGATGTCGGGGTCGACGCCCCGCTCGATTAGCTTTTGGACCACGTCGAAGGATCTAATGTAGCACGCCAAGGTGAAGGCGTTATAGCCGTCGCGGTTCTGCTGCGCCGGGTCTGCGCCGTTGTCGAGGAGCCAGTCAATTAGCTCGCCGACCTGGTTCTGCAGCGCGAACGAGCACATCAGGGGCGTGTTGCCCGTGCTAGTGGGTTGGTTGATGTCAACACCCCCAATCTTGACAATGGCCTGAATCGCTTTAAGATTACCCGCCTTGGACGCCCAACACAGCGGGGTTGAGCCGGTGTTGTCGAAATCAGTGAGTTTGAGCTCTGATGGGGGCAGGGCTCGCAACATCTGTGTGATGTCTCCTACGCGCAGTCCTACGGCTACCTCGGCGACGGGGGAGAGCTCCAATTCGTGCACGATACGCGACATCGAGACCCATCTGGATATCTCCTGTGTATGCGCGTCTGGGAACCCGCCTAACACTATATGGCTAGCTACATAGCTTAGCGCCGACCGACCAGAGTCATTCTCGGCATCGAGATCTGCCCCAGCCCGCAGCAGAAGTTGGAAGACGCGGAAGGAAATCTTGGTTGGCCGCAAGCAAGCGTAGTGAAATGGGGTAAAGCCGTCGCGATGTAACCGATAGTTGACACTGTCGGGATTCCTCTGGAGGATGGCCTGGATAGCGTCGACGTTGTTGGAATCGACGGCCCGGAAGATGTTATCGAACCGGTACTCGACACGCTCCCTGACTACTACACACAGCGTAGGGCCGCCTGTCGATGCCATGTGCATAAGGGCGTGGATATTCCAGTTTGCAAACCAGAGCGGGAACTGGTATTCTATTTCCCACGTCCTTGATGATTGACGGTGACACATTGCCGTGTCACAAACAACCGCGCCGCGCCATTCTGGGGCCCCCGTATACGCGGCAAATAAGGAACCAAGCAGGCCGCGGAGAAAGGCTGGGGTCTTGAGTCCTCTCCTCGGGCTCCTAGCGGAATGGCAAGCGCAAATGCAAACCGGTGGGCACGTTCGCTGTCGGTAGACTGCCCAGATGCTGTATGTGCCGTGATTCCCAGCTCTCTGCGCTGGTGTAGCATGAGACGCCGGTGGATCGTGCGAGAACGAGGCAGGAGAGCTTGTGTCTGCATATCTCAATCCTTTCAGCATCTCTGAGACAGTCATTTCCAGTTTCTGCGTAGCCACATGGCTTTGCGTGGTTGACTCGAGCAAGATCGCCAAATTTGAGTTGAGACTTTCGATTCTCCGGTCCATGGAGCGAAGTTCCTTTGACGTTGCGTAAGCTTTATCCTGTATCGCCAGCTGAATCGAGCCAAGTTCGAGCTGAATTTTGGATCCGGTCAACCTATTTCACACGGTTATTACAGTGACTGGAGAATATCCGTAGCTCGTTGATCAACTCACACTTGATAGACTTGTAAAAGGTCCCATATCTTGAGGCGGATGGTCTTTAATTCCTCTTTCTTTGCCATTATAGACTGCTTCACCCTGACCCATTTCCTCCTCTGCTTCGCCCCGGTGGTCGACGCTAACGAGGTGACGACATCATCAACCCCTTCCAGAAGTCGACGGGCCGTTCCAACGTGTTCTTCGAGAGCGCCGGTGAAGGAACTGTCCGCAGACATCTTCTTAGTCTCCTGACAAGCGTCCGCGGTGAATCGGAGCACAGTGATCAAGTCTGAGACATCGTTGCTGAGCGCCAGGATCTCAACTGGGGCGTCGTTCCAGGACCGGGCAACATCCCTGATCCGTAAGGAGAGCCTCGTCCCGACGTCTGCGAGACCGGCAACTGCAGCTAGAATCCCAAAGATCTCAGCCATTATGGGATCTGATAGAATCACGAACCAAGACGTTTGTTTTAGATATCTCGTTTGGTGACCATCCTGAGCGCACCTTGCCTGTGGACAGAGAGCATGACTCTCTTTAATGCCGCAGCCACGTCCGCAGCGGTGAACGCTGCCAAGATGAGGCCACCATCTATCTGCAGGCGACATCAATATTTGAACTCTCGGGTTTAATCCGATTCGCCTTGGCCCCGCACACTGCCTCAGCCCCTTCTCGAGAAGGCATCGCGAGGCGTTCCTTAGCCCGTGCGCGCCTCGCGGAGGGACCCGCAGATGTTCTTAAAAAGCCTCTTGCAGTCTCGACCGAAGTCGTGTCGGAGTGGTTAAGACTGGATCTCCTCAGTTTCTCAGTTTCGGTGACCTCGCGACTATGCCAAGCTCGACCACTCAATTTCACGGCCGACGAGGACAAAATGTCGAAGATACCTCCGGACTCACCAATGCGTAAGTGATCCATTAAAAACCTTACCCTGGAAGATTCAATGCCTGACGTTTTCTTCGGCTTAGTCATTCGGATCTGGAGAAGCAATTACTCCATTCTCCTGCGTTCCGGCCTCGTCAGCTGAAGCCCCGGGCCTACGATCACCTTAGCGAGGAACCCCCTACCGTCGATGCGTGCTTCAGTCATCTTAGACTCCTTGAAGCATTCGTTATTCTGCGTGATGAAGTGAGGGGATTGGCTTGGTCTTGTCACGCTGACCAAGACGCGGGGTGGGAGGCGTTTGTTCGCCTAGCCGCTTCGCGATTTAATCGCTGGTTTGCCACAGCAGGCGATACCGTGATGCAGACCTCGCTTCCCCCTCTCGGTCAGTTCCTGAACTTAAAGAGTTGATGAGCAATGCTAACCTAAATTGATATGGCTGTACATTAGACGTACTGATGGTTTGGCATTCATTCATGCTGAGACCCCATTCTTATGCCGACTTTTGCAAGACCGCACGCCCTGACGGAGCTGGCGTACATGGCATCCCGTGGTCATTAGTGGTAGGTCCTTTGGGGTCATGGCAGTCAGAAAGTCAGAACCGAGTTGTACTAACAAGGACATAGCACGAGGCTATTTCTGTTGACTCGGGAAAGTTTGTCCTTTCAAAGTCGCAAACTAAACATGCAGCCCTTTCCAATCTCCCTGCCGACCTTCTCGAGCCCCTCAAGCGCGAGGATAAAACGGGTATCGACATCATGGACCTCATGGCAGCCGAATATCGACGTAACGAGGCGAGAAACAGTGGACTTCCGACCGGATTCGCGCCTCCTCTTGACCTAGCAGCCGCCGTGCACCGCCAGATGGGCTTCGCGCTAAAGATGACACGGTTTGGTTGGGCCCATAGCCCACATTCGGATTCGATCCTCCAACGCGCAGTAGCCCGATATAGAAAGTTCCTTTCTCTCTTCGCCGTTACTGGTCATGCAATCGTGCCTACGGTCGACATAGATCTGGTCTGGCATACGCATCAACTCTCGCCAGCATGCTACGCCCTGTTCTCTCATGCGGTCACCATGGGCCGTTTCATCAATCACAACGACAGCATTGAGCAAGGGGCGATTCAGACCGCGTTTGAAAGCACCAAGCGTCTGTACTACGACCTCTTTGGCGAGGACTACTCCATCTGCAATAGCTGGTTCTGCGAGGCAACTCGTTTCGACCGAAATGGAGTACTCGCAGACACAGACTTGACCGCTCTTCAAAGCATCGTCACTCGATTGAACCGCCGGACCCGTCAGCTGGAGCGCTCGGTTGTACTAGATTTGGCAGTGTGCCGGTGCTACGAGACCGACACAAGTAGCTCGCGCTGGGGGCATGAACAAGAACTCGCTAGTTGCGGCGACTGTGGCAGTCACTGTAGCGGTTCGTAAATTGGTATAGTTGGGCGCATGTATGCTTGTTAGCCATAGAGGTTGCAGTGGGATAGATGACGGTCAATATGCCACGTTCGGAACCATGCATGAGGAACGGGGAGAAACCGATAATGCCTTTAGTCTTCTTTGTCAATAAACCTCTACCGCCTGCTGTGCTGCTGTGAAATGCTTCAATATTACCGTGACACTTCCGTTGAAATACTCGAGGCACCAACGATAAGTAAACATAAAGTCGCCTGGTTCAAGGACATATTTCATCCTTGAATTCCACACCCCTAGATCCTACATCTTCACCTTCATGGTAGCTCTTTTCCTCTCCCCGGCCTTGAGGAACACCTTTTCAAATCCCTTCAGCTGAGGGTTGGGCACAACAACGGGTAACCGGGTCCTTGACATATTTACAGCTAATACAATACAGATATCTCCATGGTAGGCAAAGATCAAATTGAAGAATATAGCGGCGGCTCGAGTTGATCGGATAGAGGAGTGATAGAGTACCTTACCACCTGCGGTTCACCCGAGCTCGCACGACCGATAGAGTAGGGTGAGCTACCTCCTTTGGCCTACCCCTAGCTCACCCAGCCTGCTTAAAGCGGCCGGAGCTTTGCTGGAGCCAACCGCGCGAGAGTGAACTATGCTGGCGAGAATATACCACGCAAACCATGACCCGGAACCCCAATACTTTTGCATTCCCATCTTCCTAGCATCGTAATTATTTCTTTTTCACAATTACTTCGCCATTCATGAGCCCCAGCGTTGCACCCTCCGTTTCAATCCACTCCGCCCACGCCTTGATCATCTCCTCGATGTCCTCGACGGTCGTAATACCCATCTCAAGCCCCTTGTCCCGCATCTGCCCGGTCCGCAGCCTCGAAATCATCGACTCACCTACCACAAGTTAGTTGACACCACATACGCCTTATGGCAAGACAGAGGAGGGTAGAGTATAAAAGCCACAAACTCACCCCAAACCCGCTTCTCCCCATCCGTACTAAAGCACCACGCCCCAAACCCGGCCTCCACATCCTCCTTATCCACCCCCGCCTCCAGCACCCACGACAGCAACCGCCGCCCGCCCCGGTCCTGGCCCCCGTTCGCCACGAGCGTGGCCACCATCAGCGCATGGAACTTGCGCAGCCCCTCCGTCTCGGGCCAGACACACCACGAGTGCAGATCCGACTCCCGCAGCGCCACCAACCCACCCCCACCACCTTCACCACCACCATCACCACCACCACCACCATCACCACCTCCACCCTTACAAACCCTCACCATCTCCCTCACCGCCTCCACCGGCGCCGCCAGGTGGCACAGGACCTGGTGCGCATGCACGACATCAAACGCGCCGTCGGCGAAGGGCAGCGCGCGCACCGACGCCCGGCGGAAGGCCATGTTAGCGCTGGCGCCGACGGCGGCGGCGTGGGCGGCGGCGCGCGCGAGGATGTCGTCCGAGATGTCGGTGGCGAGCACGGAGCCGCCGAGCGGGGCGAGGTGCTGGGCGAGCGAGGCCGAGATGGTGCCGGAGCCGGCGCCGACGTCGAGGAGTTGGATGTGGTGACCGTGGTGGTGGGGAGGATGCGGATGTTGGGGGTTGGTGGTGGTGGTGGGCTGGGGTAGGTGGCGGAGGAGGTGGGCGGCGCTGTTGGCGGCGGTGCGCCACTCGTGGTGCTGGGTTTGCGAGGCGGCGTGGCCGGGCGCGTAGGGCTGCTCCTCTGATTTCTGTTCGTGTTGGGGGGGTGGAGGGGTTGGCATGGTGGAGGATTGTGTGGGGTTTGTGAGAGAGCGAGAGAGGACGGAGAGAGACAGGGGGTGTGGGTGTTTATCTCCTGATACTTTTCTGTGATCCGTTGAGATGAGTGTAAGGCATGAATGAAGTTGAAGGTTTCGAACTGCCCCGCTCCACTCCGACGTAATTGATCACCCCACAGACACTGATAGGGCAACTTGACCATAGGGCTTCTCAAGGTATTCCCGTTCGCGCCTCGGAATTAACCCCTTAATTCCCTAACTCCCGAGGCCTCGATATCAACACTGATTTCCCATCACATGTACTCGTCGAGTCTTTGAAAATGCGGATCCGACCAGCCCCTTCACAATTCCAGCGCTTGGGATACAGCCGAACACAGCTCTAGCTGGCGCCAACTATCATTGTGGTATCCGGCTAGGCTGGAACTTCCACGGAATCTCCGCCTTCTGGTCCTTGCACGTGGCTAGACCGGCCGAGCACCGTCCAGCTCCAAACACTACCTCTAGACTATCCGCAATATCAAGAACAAGAGCCAAGGACTCGATACCAGCACCTCTTGGGCTTCGTCGGGTACCGCCCGGTCGATCAGTTGGTTGTCCCTTTGCCGGTTGATGAAGAGGTCCCAACTTAGGCTCCATACCCCCGAGCGCAACCGGCACCACGCTATGGGGCCCTCAGGCTCTGGCTCTATCCCTTCCCAAACGACTCCCTTGACGTTACGTTCCACTAGGTAGCCTCCGCGCCGTGCCTTGTTCCTGATGAGGGGTCCGATGCAGGACATTTGACCTCATCACGTCCTTGGAGCGCCACTTCTGAGGAGTCTTGATGCATTCACGGATGGACAGGCATTCAGTCATGCTTGCACGCACGCAGAGAGAGTTACGGAATCTATGCTTCATCGCTTGCCGTCTTCTGATGAGTTCGTCTGTGTTCACCCGGCGAAAGGGAGATCGCACAAAATCGCGCCACTAAAAGCGGCCCTGCTCACCCGGCCGGCGGATTGACGGCCGCCCCAAGGTTTTCGCACAGGTTGCACCTAATGGCAGTCATGAGGCCCTGCCGAGTTTCATCTTGAACACGCATCGCCCAGTTCGTAGACTTGCAAGTCGAAATGGAGCGTAAGACAACTCGAAGCACCGACTCTCGAGCCTCATGGGATAGTCCTGTGTGAATCGAGTCAACAAGAGAGGCACGCCAATACGTCGGAAGGGGGAGTCGGTGGGGAAAACACAGACTTGGACGCCCCGCGGCGGCTTCCACAGCCTCATGCACCAGTGCCGAGATCTAGGTCCTTGCTTGATAGTCACCTATATAATCAACCTGGGCCACCCCTGCCACATCTATCGTCTCTTGTCGCTTTTGGCTGTAGGCTGTTGTTCCGGAGGGTGTTCTCGAATGTATTTGATCAACTCCATACGGAGGCGTGTTGTGTTTACCTTGGCATCCCTGTTGCCTACCTCGCATACATTCATCCGCAGCATGGCGTTGCGTATCACGATCAGCCCACAAGACGACCGTCGTTTTGCTAGGGACAGGGCTGGCACATCGGTCAGTACACAGTTTCGTAGGCCGCCGCTCGTTACTTACGGCCTGCTTGTAATTATGCGAAGCCCAAATCCCGAATTCAGCCTTTGTCAGATTAGCATGGGTACCTATATAACGTGACTGGGATGTCCTTTGTCAACGTATGTACCTCTACTGCTCCTCGGACACGAGTATGTTTGGTTTTGCCAGATACAAGGACTAAACATGACGAACTACGTGTTCGTTCATTTCCCCATGTCCTCCATCAACATACATGTGTAGTTGCCTGATCACCATGCTCCCAGCGTTCCAGCTTCCGGCCCGGAAGCCAGTCATTCTTTGCTTGGCTGTTGTGGTCCGAGCCGTCGTGGATAGAGTGTGATACACGTCTGTCATCATTGGAAATGTTGCGGGTGGATACCGTTGTTTGCGGTGAACTATGACTCGGCTAGTAACGAGAATGAGACTCGAGGGTCAGTTGGCGGGGGTCACGGTTCATTGTTCAGGCGTTGAACCGAGAATCGTGCACGCCGAGATGCGGCTCTATTACCTGCAGAGGCATGGGCGCTGCGCTCAGCCTGCAGCAGCCATCCCGTTCGCATGATTTGGATCCATGAAATGGGCGAGTTGGTTCCTGTTGTATTGGGCCGTGCCTGGCCTATTTCTGGAGGAAACCTTCTGCGGTGAGTATTTGAACGAAGGGGCAAAATAACACGGGGAGCCACTGCAAATCACCACCCGTGATCCCGTGCTCACAAAAAAAGGAAACCAAACGCTCCAAACGCGGCCGCTAAGGATACCACGCCAGCAACCGCTAGGCGCTGCGAAGCACTGTTTGGTCGCGGTGGGCAGTCGGGCAGCAAGAGGTTATTGCACAGCCGAGTAGTCCAGGAAGCGGAGATGCTGGCAGCTGTAGCCGAGTCGATTTTGACCGCGCACGGGTTCGGAGTGGGCGTAGGAGAGGAAATGTCCAGTACCGCGGAAGTATCGCCTCCGGACCATCTCAACTCGTCGGCGCGCTTAGTCTCACCCGTGACCTTGATGGCGACGCCAAGCTCCCCCGGGCATGTCTTATAGTCGGCGGTAGCGGTGGCAAGATCCGCCGCCTGGCCGCCGCTGCTGATGGTGAAGTCGACAGACCAGCGCGATCTATTGCTGATTATCCCGGGGTCGTCCGGATCCTTGTAACCCCTGGTGAAGGAGTCCTCGAGACAGCCTTGCCAGCCCACTTCCCAGCTCAGCCACCATTGGCCCTCGACCGCGAAGGGCTCGTCATAGAAATACACAACAAAGTGGGGATCGTGAGTGGATCAGTTGGCCCATCGGAGGTCATGGGAGCCATGCACGTTGTCGCCGAGCAGGTCCGACCGGTTTCCTAGCGTGTAAGAGATATCTGTGTTGAGGTACCACGCGAGCTCGGCGTTCTGGAACGCGAAGAAAATGGGAAACGAATCCGTGGGCGCGTAAGTCTCATTGCGTGGGAAAATCAGATCGGCCTCCAACACGCCACTGCCGGCGGCGTCGACGACGGCCCCAAGGTAGGTCAGGGAAACCACCAGGAACCGTACAGCTCGAGAGACGAGGTGCATGTTGCCCCTGACTTCAACAACAGCCGAAAAGGCTGTCGTAGTTGTTGGCGGCTGAGCACAGGTGTCCTAGAAGGCAGTATGGCCAGCTTCCGGGTCGGAGATGTTGCGTTGGGGCGGAAGCAAAAGCGTGAGATGGTTAGGGGGGAAAGCCGAGGAACGAAACGAAAAAGGAAGGACAGAAAAGAAGGATGTTGAGTGGGAAAGGGTTGGTGGGTGGTTATCCCCAGGGAGCGGGTACGGTTGGGGAAAGGGGGGTGCGCCCGTGTTGGCATACAACTTGAAGACAACAAACCAACGAGCCGTCCCCACCCAGGTCGCAACCATGACAAGATAAACGGAGTTAACGCCGTACGCGAGTATCACGGGCCGCTTGGCCGCCCTATCCGACTTGGCGCTCGGTGTTGCTAACTCGGTCGAGCTTTTGTCCCCAACGACAGCCTGACCAAAAGTCCACCTACAGGGATTGGTTCCTGGTGGGAAGGCATAATGTTGGCTCGCATGGGAGATCAAGTGTGGCCTGGTGCATTATTCCAAGGAAAGTCCAGCCTCGCCGCAAGTCTCGCCGGAGGCTTCCAGCTCAAAAGCTGAATCAACGACGTTGTAACGCAGGAAACTATTGTCCCTCACTATGGACAGCGGAAACCCCAATATCGCCGCCGTCCCCCGGCTGGGCTTCCGCTTCGGCAGCGGGTGAGCTGTCCGCTCTGAGCTGGGAGGGTGTGCTTAGATAAACCATGGATTTGTTGATTGATACATCCGACCCCGTCAACAGGCCTCGAACACGTCGTCGTCATCGCTAGACTGGACTGCGTTTTTGAAAGGGCCGATTTCGACCGAGGATTTTGTTGGTTAGAATCCGGGGGTTGGGGGCCGTGAGTGTCGGAGTTTGCAGCTGGGGACGTATGTTCGCATTAGTAATATAAAGAATTAGTTGATGCTAATTTGGTGCACTTTGCTGAAGCCGCTGTGTTGTGGACGAATCTGGCAGTTTGGCATGCTTTGTTGTCGTCTGTGATCGAACCCTGTCATCCGATCATGGGCGGCGGGGATGACTGCAGGGTGATGGTTGGAACTGTATTTATGTGCACTGCGTATGTAACTATCGATGTACGGTATTACGTTACATACATGTCAATTATTGCGGGCGCGCTCCGTCACTTCGTCTGTGGAGGTATTTCCATCCTCGCACCCCTCGCCCCGCCCGAGGAGCGATCAACGACAACGAACGGAAAATTTTCATATTTGCCCAAGGTTAATAGATCAACCTTGAGACAGAGCACAGCCACCGAGAAAATCACGGCAAACACGCCAACGGTGAATCGCCCCCACGTGGCCCGAGGCCCGACTCCCGAGACACAGACTGCAGCCGAAGTCGAGGCCCCCAAACCCCGCTTGCCCTTGCATTTCTCACAGGTGCATGATACGGATTCTGTACCGACATCTTTGGGCTCCTCAGCGGCACGACCCGCATCCCTAATCGGGTACCCGACCCCGACTGCGGCCCCGCCCACCTCAATTGATCGTCAGCAAGGAGCAGAGGGTCCACAACCTTATTTCCCCCGCTCACGCAACCAACAACCTCCATCGACAAACGCGGACCCCAACCTTGCTCGTCAAAGCCGGCCTTCACAGGCGAACAACAACCCCAAAATGGCAGTCGGAGGAGCAAACCCCCAAACCACCAAGCCAACGAGCAGCCGCCGCCGGGGCACAATTGCCGCCAACCCCATCATTTCCATCGCAACCAACGCCGCCACCGGCCGCAACACAAACCCAAACCCATCCCGCCCCACCGCTGCCCCAAACAACAACAACAACAACACCGCACAAGCACAACACGAGGCGGCGCATGCGCAGCACCACCACGTACGCAACCGCCAAAACCGCGTCGGCAAGCGCTACCGCGACAGACTCACCGCCGGCTTCGAGAGCCTGCAAGCCAGCCTCGGCCTCGACGCCGGCGCGGACGGGGACGCGTTGGATGCCGATACCGATGCCGATGCCCCTGTCAGATCGGACTCGGGAGAAGATGATGACTCCGGAGAGGACGGCGGCGGCGGCGGCGGCGGTGGCGGCGCGCTGGTGGTGCTGGTGACTACTGCTGCTGCTGCTGCTGCTGCTGCTGCTACCAGTACTGCTACTGCAAAACAAGGGAGTGGGAGGCGGCGGCGGCGGAGGGCGTTGAATAAGGGCAAGATCCTTGATTTGACGTGTGTGCGGGTGAGGGAGTTGCTGGGGGAGTGGGAGGGGGTGAGGGCGGAGGTGGAGGGGTTGAGGAGGGAGAGGGTTTTGCAGGGGTGGTGAGGGTTGGGGAGGGAGATCGGGGGGTATGGGTTGAGTGGTGAGCGGGGGCGGTGCCGCCCTGGTAATGGTGGGTATGGGAAAGGGGTTAGGGGTTGGGGGGGTTTGTGTTACGGGTCGGTGTTAATGCGGGCGGGATGACGGACGTTCGGACGGGAGTGGTTCCAAATTTATGTCTGCTGTCGACATATGTACTGTGTTTGCTGCGGGTGTTGAACGTGACTTAACGCGGCGAGGACTTTTGTGTCTCTGATAGGTCCACGACGGTCTGAAAACCAACGGCCTGGCCCTGTGCATTCAGTCAGCGGCGACCCCTGAATTTCAAAGCATGGATCCTCGAACCAGGGGCCATCCCGTTTTGGTACCAGAAAGGCCGTGGTGGGCGCGCTAGGCGATGCATCTCTTTGCTCCCATCTTTGTAAAGTGAGCCTCGGCCCCTGAGCGCCGTCAAGACTTCCTCGACCCGACACTCTGGTTGCGATCAGAAACACTGTCAAACCTGTCTCCACCAACGCAACGTGGTGAGCGGCAGGCGGGCGGGCTCCGCTGGGAGAGCAGGCTGATGCGGGCTGACAAATGAGAGATGAGCCAATGTTCCCGACCGTCTGGGGTCGCACCCAGGGGTTGCATGCAACCAGGTTCCGCCCAGCGCACGCCAGAACCGCGCGTTCGGGGCTGGATTTGCTTTGATCTTGTTGGCCCGCGGAATTTCGCATGCCGACGGATGTGGTTCTGCAGGGCTGATCACTTCCCTCAGCGCTGTAAAAGCTGCATCTCGAAGGATGCCGGATTTCCCGGTCAGCCCATGGTTCATACATGGTTGAGCCATGCCCCGCCGCGTGGTGGTGTCGGGGCAGGCTTCCACCTTTCATCAACGACGGCTGCCGTCACCATGTTCTCGCGGGTGTTGGCATTCTGGCAACAGGCGCCATACTCACCCCTGAATGGCAGCCCGGCCGCCGCCGATGGCGGCCCGACATCATCTCCCTCACCAAAGTCCTGGCCCGGTGTAACGGCTCTCCTAGCGTCACGAAGGATACGCCTCTTGGTGCCGACCGTCCTGATCATCTGCATTTTCCTCTTCTTCGGGCATCGCTACGATGCGCTCTCCAGCCTCCCGGCAGGGTGGAGGAAGGAAGACAGCCCGACGTCAGACACCGGAGCGCCAACAAAACAACCGCCGATCTGGGACCCGAGTACCGGCGCGCCGGCGAACGATGGCACAGTCGACTGGTCGCGGTTCGCCTACACGCAGTACGTGACCGACAGCCACTACCTGTGCAACTCGGTCATGCTGTTCGAGCGGCTGCACCACTTGGGCAGCCGCGCCGACCGCGTTATGATGTACCCGGCGCAGATGTTCAACCCGAATGCGGCGGCGGCGGTACCGGCGGCGGCGAACGGCCGCACGAGTGACGATGCGCGGTTGCTGATGAAGGCGCGCGACGAGTACGGCGTTAAGCTGGTACCCATCCAGGTGCAGCGCCGCGAGGGTGCGGACGGTACGTCCCGAGTGATATGCCGATGCTGTATGTATGTTGCCAATGCTCATGACAACCATTCCAGAAACCTGGGCCGAGTCCTTCACGAAACTCCTCGCTTTCAACCAAACCCAATACACGCGCGTACTCTCGCTTGACTCGGACTCGGTAATACTACAAAGCATGGACGAACTCTTTCTCCTGCCACCCTGCCCCGTAGCAATGCCGCGGGCATACTGGCTATACCCCGACAACAAGATCCTCTCCTCGCAGTTGATTCTAGCACAACCGAGCGCGGATGAGTTCGCGCGGGTGCTGGCACGCGTGGAAGAGGCCGGGGGCAACGACTACGACATGGAGATCGTTAACTACCTGTACGGGGACAGCGCGCTGGTCCTGCCGCACCGGCCGTACGATTTGGTCTCGGGCGAGTTCCGCGAGGCGCCCGACAAGCACGGCCGCTACCTCGGCAACGCGGACGAGCGGTGGGATGCTGTCGCCGCGTTCAACGAGGCCAAGTTTGTCCATTTCTCCGACTGGCCCGTGCCGAAGCCGTGGCTGGATATTGAGAAGACGAGGTGGAGCAAGCAGCCCGACTGTTTTGAGCGCGATGGGGTGGCCAGCTGTGTGGAGAGGGAGATATGGAATACGCTTTATGATGAGTTCAAGGAGAGGCGGAAGGTTAGTAACAGCAGTGTCTCTGCTTTCCTGTCTACCAGTTCATTTGCTAACAGTGTTGCAGCGGGTATGCACGCATGTCCCTGGGGAGCACTTGCGCCGGCGGAGGCAACGGGGTTAACGATCAGCATGATCAGCACGAGCTGTATTGCTTTGTATAAGTAGATATACACTAAAATGATCCCGGCGGTGATCTCGAGGTTTTGGGTAGATCCGGTCTTGGGTTGGTTTGGAGAAGGCGTTATCCAGGAATGGTTGGTGTTTTCGAGACTTCAATTTTGGAATGATTCTGGCATCGCAACATAGGCACTGCGATGAACTTGCCACTTGGCATTCAGGTTGCGGCACGGCGTTTTCAAAAGAGCCGTCTTACCAAGTACGCATTTCTCGTATTCGAGTGACGGAGTGTTGCATTTAAACCCACAAAAGGAAGTGGAGTATTCGTAGGGTTGTAATAACCAAAGATGGCCTTCGTTCGATTTGAGAATCTGCTCGAAACGGACTGTCTGGGGCTCCTTCCCGGAATCTGGCTGAATGAAACGCAAATTGCATGGCACCCAAACTGCAGCTCTTGCCCCTGTTTTCCCCCCAGACCCACCGCCCGATTTTCGTGCATCACCCGCCATTGACACGTCGAGTTAAGCTTTTTTTTTTTTCACGACACTGGTGGAGACCTAACTTTATTTTAACCACGTCGACCGATGAGGACCTACGGTGTGGTGTATACATCTATCTATACCATATAAGTAGTGGTGTTGGGTTTGCACACGATTATTTCAGAGCCGAATAACCACTCGAACGTCCTGCCAGGGAACTCGGTACAACAACCTTCAATCAAAAGATATAATCATCGCACTCCCGGTGGGGAAGGATGGATGTGACTGCGTCGAGCCAAGCGCGACAACCCGGGACCGGGTTCATGGCAGCCATTTCGACGGACACAAACTGTTGCACAACATGAGCCAACTGCAATGAATCCAACGCATATTACTATGGACGAGGGTACACGCTTAAACGACCCTCATGCAGCCGCTGCATCAAGGAAGCAGAAGCACAAAAATATGAAAATGCAGGTATTCTTGCGATTGGTTAAGCTGGCTGCTGCTGGCCGATGTTGGCCAAGCATGGCCCTAGGAGAGGAATGGGGGCTTCGGGTCTTGTTGATCGGCTCGGGACCGTGGTTGATCTGTCGGCCGCTCGACCGAATCACGATAGAACAACGCCTCGACCGTCAACCAAAAGTTAAGCCCGTGGCTTAACACTGCAATTCCACCCAGGAACTTCGAAAACCACACCCCAGGTGTCACCTCCCAATCGGGTTCCAACCCTACCCGGTTCCTCTCCACAGTCGCATCATCGGTCCAAGGTCCGAGACATGTTGATTCCGACTCCCGAAAGTGGCGTTCTCAAGCCGATAAATCCTGCGAGCAAACACTAACACCATGCTTATTGTCTATGGGTATGTGCATGAAGGGACGCAGCTTGCCTTTAGCGCGCTCGGCTGCCTGCCTTGACAGCGCGGGCGTTGACCCGAGAGCCATCCTCAGCCGCCAACCGCCGGTGTGTTGAGATGCTTCATGGAATCACACATTACTGACAGCCACATGGACGCCAACTACGCGGCAGTTCGGAAGTTACGCTTGGGGAAGTCCCGCCGTCGGCCAACTTGGTACCCGACCGCCGTCGTAGCAAACTGAAAGCTGGGATAAAAGGACGGCCTGCCCGATGTTGATGGTGGCCGTCTTCGATTCCCCATCCCATCTTCGCAAACCAACCAGAGCAAACTCTATCTCCTGTCCTAGTACACTCGCCAACATGCGCTTCATCAACTCCATCACCGTCCTCTCCCTAGCAGGCCTAGGCCTCGCCTCGCCGATTGCCGGCTTAACCGACGGTCTCACCGGCGGGAAGGACGGCGCCACCAGCGGAACCGACGGCCTCACCAGCGGCTCCGGCGCGACCGGCGCTGTCGGTGGTCTCGTACCGGGCGGTCTTGGCCTGCGTGACGACAAACACAAGCGCTACTCTGGTCAGGGCGCCCGCCGCCGTCAAGACGAAGAGGAGAGTAGTGGAAACGGTGTCCTCCTCCGTACCCGCGGAGAGGTCAAGTACGACAACGGCGAGCACGGTGGTGAGCATGGTGGTAAAGGCCAGGGACACAGCAACGAGGGCCATGGCAACAACCAAGGTCATGGCAACGACCAGGGTCATGGCAACAACGAGGGCCATAGCAACAACCAGGCCAAGGGGAAGGGTAAGCGGGAGGGCCAAAAGTCCAACCACGACAACGGTCAGCACGGTGGTGAGCACGGTGGTGAGCATGGTGGTGAAGGCCAGGGCCATGGCAACAGCCAGGGGAATGGCAAAGGCAAAGGAGAGGGCAAAGGGAATGGTAAGGGGGAGGGCCAGGGAAATTTCAAGCCGAAGGGCAAGGGTCAGGATAAGGGTAAAGGTGAGAACGAGGGTCATTACGAGGGCAGCAGCCAGTCCAAGTACAAGGGCCAGCCCAAGGGTGACCACGAAGGCAAAGGCTCTGGCGAAGGGAACGGCAAGTGCAACGAGGCGCGGCACACGCCCTGCCTGCACCCTGACGACGTTGATATCCTGGTGGACGCCTACGTGCGCATGCTTTCTCATTGGAACGACACCGACGCCAAGTACCTCGCCGAGAACTTCCGCGACACCTCGGACAGCATCAACATCCTGGCCGGCATGCCGCTCGGCGGCCCAACCTTCCCGACGAAGCAGGCGTTCATCGACCACCAGCACACTCAGGTATTCCCACGCATCCCTAACCCCTCTCCGGACTAACCCACCCAACTAACACACAACACAAGCCTGACAACCTCCCGCTGGAGATCACGCACAAGTCGCCCTACTCGTGCGACGAGATCGCCCTGATCTGGCAGGCCACCTTTGGCAAGGCCCAGAAGCAGGTGCGCGGCCTGACCATCCTCGGCGCCACCAAGGACCACGGCGACTGGCAGATCGAGACCCTCGACGTCGAGTTCAACAGCATCGCCTACCTGCTCGACATTGGTGGTTCCTACACCCTCCCGCCGCCGCCGCCGTCCTCTTAATCCGTCGGGTGGGGAATTTGGGGCATACAACACGCCGTCTGATGAGATTGGGGGGTGGGGGTGTAAGACAGAGTGGTTTTATAGGGGGGCACAAACAAAAGCTTGGTGATCCAGAGATCAAGACGGGTAAGGGATACAAGAGGTCTATGTAATCGCTAATTTTGATCGAGTCGAGTATAAGTTAGTTGTCGTTTCAATGAACTTGCATAGCCCGGATTGTCTTCATTCGGCCTCTGGCCATGGCGGAACAAGCCGCGTCTGCGAGCACAACGTCTATCTCGGGCTACCGAACACAGGGGGCTCTTCTTGCCAATGGATGAATGTTTAGGGCAACACTAAGCATGCGGAGTTGTCTTGGCGGTGAGGCTGTACACACACTGCCACATGCATGGTGCCTAAGGCCGACTCACCTCCTCCGAATTCCGGACAGCCCTCAAATGCCTACTCTATTCACTCTCGTTCCTAACACGGACAGCAGCCAGAAATACCAGGAATCATGGAGAAGCTACAGAAGACTCAAGATTATGACCCTTTTTGTTACACCGCGTCAAAGCTGAGCGCGGCGGAAACCCAGTTCCGTCTGCTGGAGCTTCTCCCGTCCACCGCCGAGCAGAGTGAGCTCTCATGCCGCATTCTCGTGAGCCAACTTGGGCAATCATCAAGGAAATACAAGGCACTTTCATACGCGTGGGGCAATGGCCGCATGTCACATTCTATCACCGTGCTCCCTGCAGAGGGCAGTGAGGGCAAACGCACGACCTTAGCCATCACGGAATCTCTACACACCGCTTTGGTCCATCTCCGTCACACCCGACAATCGATTTGGTTGTGGGTCGACCAGATTTGCATCCACCAAAAGGACCACGTCGAGAAGGGGAACCAGGTCGAACTAATGGGACGCATCTACGCCGGGGCTGAGCAGGTACTGGTATGGCTTGGTCCGGCAGCCGACGGTTCGGACGCCCTGATGGAGGTCTTCCTGACCGTCGGCCGGGCCGCTCGAGCCTTCGGCTTGGAGAGCTATTACGCTAAGAGGCAAGAGCCTCTGCTGTGGCGCATGACGAAAGATACGAAACCAACAGACCCGAAGACCATCGAGTACCAAGCATTGTTGAGGATAGGGGCCGAAACGTTCGCTCCCCTGGTTAAGAAGGATATCCCCAGACACTGGTTTGCACGACCCTGGTTCACACGAGCGTGGACGATCCAAGAGTTCTGTCTCTGCGCCGACACGGCCTTCGTGTGCGGGGCCAAGACTGTCCAGGCTGAGCTCGTCGAGATGGCCATCGGCATCCTGCGGATATCCTTCCTGGGCCCAAGCATAGGTATTTACTCCAGCGCCGGCGTTTACTCCGAGCTTTGGGATATCATTTTCGAAGATCCAACGGCGAGCCTCTTCAGCTGCCGGCAGGGTCGCCTCCGGTTCGACCGCGGCGAGCCCGGCGCCACCGGCGACCAGCTGCACGTGCTGATGCGCGAGCTCTACGTCGGGCACAACACCCAAGCCTGGCTGCACCGCGACCGCATCTTCTCGGTGCTCAGCCTGGCCGTCGACGCGCCGCTGCTCGGCCTCACCCCGGACTACAGCGAGCAAGACAACCCGGCCGTCGACGCGCGCATCCTCACCCTCGCCGCGCGCGCCATGCTCACCAACCCGGCCACGGGCAACCTCACCATCCTCAGCTACGCCCAGCCCCCCAAAACCCCGGTACTCGCCCCGCACCTCCCCTCCTGGGTGCCCGACTGGTGCGGCGACCTCCGCCCCTCCTTCTACAAACCCCACATGATCAAGCACCACTTCGCCGCGTGCGGACCCGCCCACCTCGCTGTGCACCCCCTCCCGCTACCAGCAGGAATAGCCGCCGCCAATCCGCGGGTGCTGGGCCTCGGCGGGTTCCGCGTCGACACCATCTCGGCGGTGGCCGCGGACCAGGCGTGGACGGATATGTCGTGGGATGCGGGGCGGTTTCGCGGGGTTTTGGAGCAAGTGGATGGGCTGTTTGAGCGGGGGATGGTTGAGCACGCGGGGGTGCCGGTGATGTATGGCGGGGATGGGGACAGGCGGGCGGAGGCGAGGTGGCGGGTGCCGATTGGGGGGTTGTTTTTGACAAGGGCGGAGGGTGTGCAGCGGGCGGTGGGGGGTGAGGTTGTGGCGTATAGGCGGTTTGTGGAGGTGCTGCGGTTTATTGGGGAGTGTGAGAATGCTGGGGCGGACGAGCGGGTGAGGAGGTTTGAGGCGTGGGATTGGGAGGGGAAGAAGGAGAGGGAAGAGTTGGGGGCGGAGTATCGTGACAGTATGGTGTGTATGGTAGGGAAGCGCCCGTTCTTGACGTCGGAGGGGTACCTTGGGATGGGCCCGGCGGGGGTGGAGGTGGGCGATGTGGTAGTGGTGTTCTGTGGGGCGAGTATCCCATTCGTGTTGAGGCCGACCGCGTCTGAGTTGGAGTTGGATGTGCGGAACGTGGAGTTATTTGAACTTGTGGGAGAGGCGTATTGCGACGGGGTGATGGATGGGGAGGTCGTAGATCACCAGGAGCTAAGCGAGTTTTATCTTCTTTGATGCCGGTTGTTGGCAGAGTGTGGTTAGTTTCTTGGGTATACGCTGTCCGATGAGTGTTCCCAATGAATCTATCTGATATAGGTGCTGTGGTAACCAGCTTGGGGTGTCCTGGGACAGACTATGAGAACAGCCACATGTAGCACGTCTGGTTTGGATTAACGGGTTCACGAAGTTAATCGACAGATGACAACGTGGCCAATGGCGCATAAGGTACATACATCTACGCCTGTTCTAATCCGACCTCTTGAGCAGCCCCTTTCGTACATAAACAACCCCAACTGGGTCATTCCGCAGAATTAACCTCTCACTCATACACGTAACAATAATCCCCATCGATGGTCGACGAAACCTCGCCAATGGTCCTCGAGTCCCCGATAATACCGAAGTCCATCGAGGTGTCCAAAGTGACGTTGTCACTCGGCGGGTCTGAAGAAGTCAGCATTCACAACCCAAATCCCAAACACGTTGGCTCAAGAACTCACCATTGGCCGCCGTCCCGGTTCCCCATACAAGGTATGTCCGCGCCGCCAGATCCTGCCCCTGCCAGATGGTCCACAAACGATCAACCTGGGCATGATGCAGCCAAAACACAGGGTCACTCGGACTAGCGTACACATCCAGCGCATTCAACCCAACCTGCCAGTGACCTGAAGCATGCACACCACCTGGCACACCGCCGGGTGCGTCCAGCTCCTCCACAAAACACCCCAGATCCCCAGCACACCCATCCACCAACGCCGTCACCGCACTGGGCCTGGTTCCCCAGCTAAACACCGGACTCAAATCCCTTGTCAAACACCGCGGGTTATACCCCAACCCGCCATCCGGCCCCGCGGGCTCATACCCAACCGGCCCCAGCCTGATCTCAAAAACCCCCTCCCGAAACGGCCCCGTCTTGACACACCCGCCCCCCGTCGCAGGTGGAATCACCATCTCCTTCCCCCCAGGTAACTCAATCACCGTCGGCACCCTCCCACCCACAAACTCGCCATTCCCGCCCAGCGAATACGGCCCACCATCAAACACCTCCGCCGCCCTCGGATCGGTATACGAAGTCGTCCAGTCCCAGTACGGCATTGGCCCGGTATAGCCGCACGGCGGGGCGCGCAGGGCGTGTTCGAAGCGGTGGATCAGGTGGCGGTGGAAGGGCAGGAAGAGGCCGGAGGCGTGCGCGAAGGGGGTCTGGTCGATGTGGGTCACGATGAAGTCGTCGTAGCGGGCGCGGGCGCCGGGGGCCTTTGTGGGTGGGGTGAGGGCGGGCTGGGTGTTGAGGCAGTGGATGGCGGAGATGAATGCGGCGCGTTGTGGGCGGGTGAGGCCGCTCCTATGGTTTGGGGTGGGGGGTTAGAGAAGGGGGGATTCACGTTGGGGGTTGGGGGTGTGACGACGCGGATAGGGGTATTGGGGAGAACCGACTGGCGGACAAAGACTTACCATTCTTTGCGAGGGCGGATGCTCTTGGTGGTGCAGCCTGTCGTGCGGTTACTGATGGCGTCGTGGATGTTCTGCTGGTATTGCGTCTGCAGCTCGAGAATCCGCGCCGACGCTGCGGCTTCGAGCCTGGCATCGCCAGCAGGGGCGGCAATGGTAAAGCAAGTCAGGGACAGTAGTCCGTCCAGAAGAAAGAGAAACTTCATGTTGTGGTAGCAGAAATGAATTGTATGTTTGTTGATGTTGGGTAGCAGTGTGCGAGTAGGAGCGATTGTGTGCTTGTCTGAACGTGGTGTGTAAGTGGGTAGGAAGCCATAAAGTCAGCAACCGGAGGAAGGATGCAGGGACCGGACGGGGACGAGACTTTCTTATCCACATCAAATCCGCTACTAGATGCAAATTCTAGAGCGTTAAATACAGGGAAATATGCCAGTGCATGGTGCGCGCATGTGGTAACGCGGGCGATATGGATTCGGATAGTCTTCTATTTGTTTGCTTCTTTTTTCCAGGCTTCAAACCTTATTACCTAGGTAGACACTGGACGGTGATCCCTCATTGTACACAGTACGCTGTAAGCAATCGAATTCGCCTTGTTGCGGGTATCTGGAAACTAAAAGAACCATGTCCGTCACTGGTATGTTGCCCCTTCCCAATGCTATGCAAAACCGGACCGATATGGCCAACTCTAAACTTCAAAATGCAAAATGAACCCATATATCCGCGTGCGAGAACCTCACGGGTGCGAAGCCAATTAACCCGTTTCCTGGCAACCACCCCGGGTATTAGTCTCACTTCAAGCGTCCTCATTAACGACCCCGGCTCGAATCCTAGTTCAAGAACCATTGCCTATTAATCCTCCTCCAACACCTCCCTCAACGCCTCCTGCACGCCAGCCTGGTCCTCAACCGAGACCTTGCTGGGTGCGCCCCGCCTCTTCTGCGAGGCCCAGTATTCTTGAAACCCCGGGACCGGTCCCGGCTGGTTGATCCCCGGTGCGCGAAACACGGCCGCTAGTGCCGCATTCGCCGCCGCTGCAGTCGTCGTCGAGGTAGCCGTTGACGAGAGGCTACCCTGAGGGGACTTGCTAAGATTGTTGCTCGCAGTCGAGCTCGTGATCGAGTCCCCATCGTCTGGAAGACAGAGTGTGGGGATGGCCGCCGCGGGGGTCACGGATGTGGATGCCCCTAGGACAGGCGTTGACGATGGGCTCGTCTCGGGCGAGGCGGTATCGTTAGTCGTATCGGCATTGCTGCTGTTTCCTCCCCAGGGTCTCCACGAAACCAACTTTCCCAGCGCCGAGGGTGCCCGAGATAGAGTCCGTCCGGAATCCCTTTCCGGTCCCCTTCCCCTACTAGGAGTAGACACAACCCTACCGCCGCCCTGCCGTGATTTCGGCGTGGAGAACTTCCGGGCCATACTGTCCCTGAGGATAACGCTACCCCTCTTCCCCTCAGCGCTGCTGCTCAGGAGCGTTGGTTGGGCGGTGACCGCGCTGACGTTAGTGCCCGCCGCAGTGAGACCGAGTGGTTGGAGCGAGAGCTGGCTGGGTCGTGCCCTGAGGGTGTGAATGTCGAGCCCGTTGGAGAGGGATACGATAGACTCGTGCGAGATAACTCGCCGCAGGCCGCGAGGCCGCTGTTCGACACTGGAATCGAACTGAGATGACGCGGGCGATAGTACATCTTCTGCCCCAATGTCGGTATTGCTGTCGTAGTCGGTGTAGGTAGCGAGAGACGGGGAAGTGATGCTCGGCACATCGTCAGTGGTGTAGGGGGAGGTATAAGCCGTGGGAGAACGATCGTTCATCATCGAACGCGTCATGGGATGCGGCCGCTGGGTGTAACCATGAGCTCGATGTGGCGTGTCCGTTGGAAACATGGCTGTTTCGGAAATACTCCTGAGGGAGTATTCCGATATCTTCTTTCTGTGCGCCTGCTTCCAGCCCGGCGAGGTTGGATCTACGGTCGTCGTTGGAGACGCCGGTGACGGTAGATCGGGGACCCTGTCAAATAGGGAGTCCCTGTTCGTTGACCGTGGGGAGGTGGGTGCTGAGGACGGCGCAAATTCGGAGTGGTTCTCGGACTGGAGGGACCAGCGAGCCGTTGACGGAGAAGGCTCGTTCGGCGACAACAAGGGCCCGGAGAGGGTGCCCCGCTGAAAGCGAGCGGCCGACATGATCGGTGAGGTAGGGGCAGAAAGCTGGGGCGGAGTAAAAACACCTGGTGTGAGCCCTTGCCTTCTCTTCCTCGGTTTCCGTGCCTCTGGCTTGTGCGTAACGTGGTAATGGTGGTGAATGTGTAGCTCCTGCGACACCCTCGGGGGCTGTGGCGGCGTTGGCGGCTCTTTCTGGGCCAGTTCGGCTTGCAGTGTCGTGGGCGAAGTCAGTTCCTGGCTGGCCGCCGGCTGGTGATACGCCAGCTGCTCCCGCAACATCTGAATCTCATCGTTGGAGCTGAGGAGCATCTCGCGAAGCTCAGCCATGCCGACCTGGAGGTGGGCATTATCCTGCAACAGGTCGCGTACAAAATGTGATACAACACTGCCGCTATTCTTGCTGTCCGTCATCGACTTCGCCGCGGCGGCGCCCTTGAGCCGTCCTGCTGCCGTGTTCAACTCCTTCTCCATAGCACGTTGCCGCTCCATGCGGCCAATAACTTCGACATGGCGCTCGCGCTCCTCCCGGGATTCCTTCTCCATGCGCTCCAGTTGTTCTTGTATGTCACTAAGACCTTTCTCAGCCTGTCTCCACCGGTACATGGTCGTGCGAGATTCCTCTTCAGTGCGCGCAATGGTGGTCCGCAATACAACTTGCTCTTCTTCTAGCAGCGCTATTTGACGCTCAAGGCTAATCGCCCTGTCGGTCGCATTCTCCAGCCGCCGTACCTCCCGCTGCGAGTCGAGCAGGGACGCCTCGAGAATCCCAATATTGGCCTCGGCATCCTTTACCGTGTCGTTTACCCGTTCTAGCTCGTCTCGTAGCGTGTGGTTCTCGTCGGCGACAGATCGGTTTTTGGCTTCGAGTTCCGTATTGTCTTGTTCCAATTGCTCGATGCGGGCCGTAAGCTCGAGTCGGTCGCGTTCGGCGGATGCCATGTAGGCTTCATGGCGGGCAAGGAGCGTCTGCAGGGCGAACGTTAGCGAGGGGTGGCCATCGTCGGGCTTCGGTTGGCGGGACCGCCATATCGCCCGGATTTCAGCCATTTCGCGTGTTTGCATGATGCGGTGCGGTGTGTAACACTACCCCGACGATTGCCTCGAGCGGCCCGGGTCCCCGGGGCGATCGGGGAACAAAGGGTGCATATGGAACTCGATGAAAGAGAGGCTATAGCAAAGGAATGTGGCGGGATAACTGACCTGCCCCATTCTCGCCGCAGTGTGCACATCCCGCTCGACGCTCGACAGAACGGAGCAGTTGTGCACCAGAAAGACGCAGTCCTCTTTCCCACAGCAGCACTGGAGGTTGCCGTCTTCATTTGCATGAACAGCAACGGCCCCCATTGTGTTTTGCAGCGAGCTATCATTCGCGGTCTGGGTATCTGCCATTCCCACTACTCCACGAAAAGGCAAATCTCCTGGAATGTCGATGGGGGCAGTCGCATCCTCGCAGCACCAATCGATCTGCTGAACGGCGTTGGAAGGGGCTGTGAGTAATTGATTACGCCCGTGCCGTTTTGCGCAGCGCAAAAGTCGACAAACGTCGGGTTCGGGTTTGGTTTAAGATCGCCGTCAATTGGGGATATAAGGGTTCGTGTCCGATTCTCAAAAGGCTGCCGTTGCGACAAACTGAGGATGAAGTCGAGTCGAGGCGGAGTTTGCCACTGGTGGACGTGCAAACGTGCAAAAGCAAACGTGGGGCCAAATTCACCGCCTGGGAGCCGCTAACCGGGATTCCGAAGGTTGCTGAATCTGAGACCATTCGAGTCCTTGGTCTCGAGCCAAAGGCGGGGCATGGCGAAGTGTGCTCGACGTCGCACAATGGGGCCGGCGAGTGTCAGGGCAGGCGGGCAGGTCGACAGACGGAGGAAGGAATGGTGTGTGGCTGGCTGGAAAAGTTGCCCAACAGGAAGAGAGTGGCCCGTTTCGATGACCGCAGGCGGGACACAGGGCGGGACATGGTGCCTGCCTCGTGCCTGCTTCCGAATACCACGCCAAGTCGCCCGTCACGCGGCGCGACCCCACACGTCAGGGGCACGCAGCCAGGCACGACCCACAGCTTCTTTCCAGTTCCTGGCGGTAAAGTTGGGGACAAAGCCATGGAATTCCACCCACGTTCGAGCACTCATACTAGCCCGGTTCCTCACCAAACTGTCACAAAAGCGAGGCCTTAAATTAAAATTATTTAAGAGGGTCTTAATATTTGGGACACTAGCCCTTGTAATTCCGCACTCCAGCCAGCCAACAGGGTGTCGGTACGAATACCTCTGTACCGACCTGCCAGAAAGCGTACCTAATTACCAGGTATGGACATGTATGTACCCACCCCGCAGGGTCTGGTTCCCCAAATACTGCTCCAATACCCAACTTCGCCAGACTGTCACATAAGGGAGACTCGCATGACAACCATTACAACCCCGTTCAACTCGAAATGGAGACAGAAAGTAGGACAAGCAAAGTAACATACAACACCGAGGATTCGCTCGTTGTCACCTCTGCGCCAAACACTCACTGCTAAACCTGGGCATAACCCTTCCTACATTGATGATCATATACCGGTGTGTTGACGTCAACCTTTTCAAGAAAAGGCGAGGTTACCGGGGTGCTTCGACATACTCGTCAGCGCGTCCATCTGAGTGATCGGCCCCGAGCTTGCTTTTTCCCATCTCGACCACCTCTAGTTTCTCAACCTCCCCTGGCCAACGCTAGCTCCAGTCCAAAATGTCAACGCGAGGTTGGCCCGGCTCCTTGTTAGCATCGAAGAGTGGTCGTACCCAAGTATAATCCTGCGTGCTTTTATCATTTTATAACTCCAGTTTTTCAGCCTCCTCCTACCGGCCCTAGTTCCAGCATGTCGACGCCAGGTTGACCATGCTCGTCAGCGTATTTCGCTGACCGTCCCCGAGTTTGACCTTGCGGATCTCCATTACCTCTATACTCGTACCACTACTCGGCCTCTTCCGACCAGCCCTAAATTAAAAAAGTATATGCAAGCATCATTCTAGAAAACTCTGTTAGTAAATGGTCTTAACCATACCAAAAAGTTAAAATCGTTCTTTTCTTGCAGTAGTCGCACATATCATGTGTCAGGACCAAGGGAATGCGAGGTAAGGTGACAGGGTACAAGCAATTCACAAGTCGTGTCCGCGCGGTCAAGGTGTGGTTCAACGGGAGGAAGACGATAGTTACATTGAATTCTCGCTTGAACTCCTGCCCTAACCTCCCACTTTTCCAATACTTCCTCCCGGACCATTTTCCTCCCAATCTTATTCCTCCATTTGCCACCCTAATTGACTGATCGTCCCCTTCTTCCCTGCTACTTCCCGGCGTCCTCGGCGCTCCGTCGTTGCACCTGTGCGCCTCCATGGAACTCGCAGGCTAGATCAGCATTGTAGAGTCGCCTCCTACTTTTTACCTTCGTGGGTGCGGGATTGTGTGGGATGGCCGCGCCGATCCGCCCGTTCTGATTGATCCACAACAAGAGCTGGAGACAGTTATTTAAAGTTCGAGGGACGATCCTAAATCGGTTGGTTGATAGACTTTGGGCAATGCCGCAGCACAGCCTATGGCAGTCTGGGGGTGGGGGTATCTTGGAAATGGTTGGGAAATAATACTTGTAAGCTGACATGTCCTCTATAATTGTAACACTGCTCTTATTTTGGCTGTCCGTCATTGACTTCGCCGCGGTGGGGCCTTTCGGCCATCCTGTTAACATATTCAGCTCCTTGTCCGTAGCGCGTTGCTGCTTCATATGGTCGATAACCTCAACGTGTAAGCTCGGGGTAATTGCCAGTTCATAAGATGGGCACAATGACACATGATCCATTGATGTTGTATCGTCTCTTCTATAAAACGCTATGCAAAATGTAGATCAACAACACAAACGTGACCGATGACCTCAGCTCAACGAGACAACTTACTCCCTTTCAGGGGCTGCTTCTAAGCCCGGACTAATTGACAGCTCCTGCCACCATAAGCCGTGAACAGCTTTCTCATTGAGATGGCTGAGTTGCTGGCTAAGATGGGGACAATAGTGATGAAAGCAAAAGGTATAAATATGAGGTGTACTCACGAATATCACCAAGACATGGACAGCAACAAGTCAGTCAGCAAGCACCAAGCCAGTGACAGCCTTTTCAAACGTTCATATTTACCATCGCCCCGGGACACTCCTTTCTCAAACACACAACCGCAAATATGAAGCTCTCATTCACCCTGCTCACCGTCCTCGCCGGACTCGCAATCGCCCACCCCGCGGCGGAGGGAACCGTTGACGAACGTGACGCCGCTGACGGACGGATTGAAGCGCGAGACCCGCTCGACCCCAACTGTGTCCGATGCGTCAGAATGGGATGCGGAGACGAAGCGGTCAAATGCCTCAGACGATTGGTCCCGTCAAGAATTGTTCCGTGTCTCCTGCTCAACTGTGCCGATGATTACGCCCGTTGTTGCCTTTAAAGCCCTGCTGATGTGGCTTTTATGGAAGTTTGGATGGTCAGGAGGCTGGGCAGGGTGGGAATTTCGTTGCAAATCTACTGGAGATGCGGGACGGTCTGGACGCTACTGTGTGTTGGAGATCATGGCTCTCGGCCGTTGTATGGGGTCTGGGGTTCTCTGTTGAAGTCTAAGTTCGGCTGATGGAGAGCGGATTTGGGGTTTATTGGATTTGACTAGCAACTCAGAGGTCAAAATGGAACTTTCGTTGAGCGCACCCAACTGAAATCCGTAGATCAGCGGGCGAGTGTAGTCTGTAACCAGGGGTGAAAATGACTAGTTGCGGAGAATGCTTTTAACATCAAAGTTGGAACACTGATTTCGGCCTTTACTTGTATCTAGTTATATGAAGTGACTCTCATCGGCTGAGGGAGTACATTGGCGAGTTTTCATCAAAACTGTGGCATCCAATTGCTCCCCTGAGAACTCTGGTGATTTCGCCCGTAAATGAAACGAAGCGGTCCTTCTTTGCTTCCTCAATGTACATTGCCAGTACATCCCAGAGAGGCAGAGACTCACCATTGAAGCTTCGCTTCAATAAACGAGATGAGAGTGGCCCACGCTCCGCCGAAAAAGACTGCAGCACCTTTCCTCTTGCTTGGTCAAAAGAATTTTGCTATGCACCTCGCCGCCACATCAGGTGGAAGACGGTTGATCAGTGCGGACAGATGTTTGTCCTGAACATCCCGGAGAAACAGGTACCCATCCAGACTCTCCGCGTTGTCCGGATCCAAGCTAACCCCGTCAGAGAACCGCACCCCATCACCATCCACCAACTCAACAATCCGGCTAACAAACCACTCCTTCTGAGTCGGTCCCTTAGCCGACATGGCAGCAGTGGCAAGACACCAAAACCGTAGCCCATCCGTAAACTCTCCATTATCCCAATATCTGGCATTCAACATCGCCGACCGTATCCGCCACGGCTTTGACTCTGCCGACAGGCGAGCACCATGATACTGTGTTGTGGCAAGCAGGAACGTCAAAGCCGTCAGCTGCACGGCCTCGTCAACCGGTCGCAGGCTATCAAGCAGCAACAGCCGGTAGAACAGCGCCTGTAACCGCAGAAACAGCCACGACTGCAACGACGACGACATCACGGAAAGCTCCGCCCACGCACCCCGGGCGATGTGCACGTAGTCGGCAACATCGGCGAGGATGACGCGGAGGGTGGCGTCAAGACATGAATGGTTGAGAAAGTTCTGTCCCAGCCGGCTCAGCGCCGCACTACCTGCATGCACATGCAGCCGCGTGAGGACTTTTCGTAGTGCCTCGGGAAGCGGACCCGGATCAAACGTCAGGGGGATGATGGGAGGCGCCATCTCCCACAGGGCAAGGTATTTGTCGGCCAGCAACGAGCTTTCCAGGACGTACGGGTCAAACACACCCCACCCGCCTGCTTCCTGGACGAAGTGTACCAGCGCCCGGAGGTGGGTGCGTGCTGTCTCCTGGCTGCCGGGGTTGCCGATTCGCATCGCCAGGGCCTGTCGCGGTGGACACCTCGCCCACAGCTCGGGCATGTGGTTCCACATCTCGGTGATGGCGAGCGCGTAGATGGACAGCGCGAACCACTGCTTATCAGCCACACGACCGGCTTTTGTATCATCCCCCTGGAGGTTCGCCAGCCGGAGTTGCGCTTGGCGGGCGGCTTTGCCGATGAAATATTCGGGTGGTCGTTCGTCGTCAAGGATGCCAAACATCCATGCCGCGCAGCTCGAGCCGTATGCGAGGGTGGCGTACATGAGGAGATCATCTTCAATGCAGCGTTGGAGGCGGTGCTGGATCACGCTGTCGTGTCGCATGGAGGTTGAGGGGGGAAAGATGTTGGTTGGCGCGAAGGCTTCGGCGAGAAAGGTCATCTTGACGCCTTTGCCAAAGGATAGCTGCAGCATGGCGTGCGACCCGGCGTCGCGGCCGACTACGGTACTGTAGAAAGGGTCGCTGCTGTTGTGGGTTGGGTAGAATAACACGAGAGACGTCGTGCTTCGATTGCTTCCAACCCCGCTGCCCCTCCACCCGGAGTCAGATTTTGCCATGTAGTCGTCGTCGCTGTTGGGTTGTTGGGTTTGGCGGGAGGCCCAGAACTCGGAGGAGGCTATGGCGGCGGACAAAGACGATGGCTGAGCCATCTGTGCTTCCAGCTTCTTGCGGGCTTCATCTTTGCGCCGGCGGTTTTGCACGTGCCGGAGGATGCGAGATTTCTCGCCCGCCTTGCTACGCGTCAGGATGCCGGACGACTGGTTTTTGTTTACAAACAAAAGTTCCGGCATGGTAGTCACTTTCCAGCTGGGCCTAGCTTCGCTCTTCCCGGCAGATCAATGGTCAAACGCTCAGGGCAACGTCGACACTCCTTGCCGTTTGAGTGCCTAATGCTACGGGATTCCGAGGTTCGACACGCGGGACTTTTGGTGGACGGGCTTGATGCGGTAGTGTGTGTTTGTGCGTCTCGGGGCTGATCCGGCTGCCGATTGCCACCCAAAACCTGGGCTTGGGTCGAATGAAGGAGCAAATAGCCGGATCATGAGGGCTATGCCTCTTGGCATCTGCAGTAAGAAGTAGACAGTACATATACACTACCCGATCCGGTCTAACGCCATGCAATCCTTCCCAAGCTGACGAGGCCGAGTAGCGGTTCTTGTTGCAACGCGCCCCTATGCGATCCGGATATGCCCCCTGCCGAAAGATATACCGGCCCTCTTTGGGAAGTCGGTTGGGTCTTGGGGGGAGGTCCCAACGGAATGCCCCTGTTTACAAGCCAGAACTTCGATCCTTCCATGCGAAGTTCTTGCGCCATCATGGATGCTAGTAAGGTTACTAATGCATGTGTCGGTAATAGGAGCACTTTAACAAATCTCTGGGAGTACGAGGATATCGAAGACGTGCTATATAAAGTGCAACTAGGCCGCCAACCCCCCCAGCCGACTTCGATATTACCATCACCACTACTCTACACATACCTACATTTGCTCTTCGACTCTCCTCAACCTAGCAGTACCCATACAACTACAAGCCAGCTACTCATTTCTCTTGCCCTGTTCACCATGCATTGGGCTTCAGCACTCGGCCTGATAACCGCGCTGGTGGCGCAGGCGGCCTTGGCCGCCCCTAACAAGGCCCCTAAGCCGGCTTGCCTCCCTGTCGTTGACCTCGGCTACGTAGGTTTTCGGTGTTGGTTATAGTCCCAGGAGAAACCGAGGACGGGATCCTAACAATCCGAGGTATAGGAACTTCACCAAGCCCTCAAGCACAACGAGACCACCGACGTGTACAAGTTTTCCAATATCCGCTACGCCCAGGCACCCGTTGGCGATCTCCGATGGCGTAGCCCAAAGGCGCCCAAGACGGATCGTAGCGCGCCGAAGAACGGCGATGGTGTGAGGACCTGTCCGCAGGGTGTTCCAGACTGGCAGTCAAGGGCCTTCATCCCAACTGGGCGCTATACCGGCGGCGTGCCGTGGAACCTCACCACCTGGGTGGAGGCCATCGATGCGTCCACTCCCTTCGATCAGGCCATCTTCAACGGAAACGTCACCGAGGATTGCCTGTTCCTAGACCTCCATGTTCCAGGCAAGGTTCTCTCTAAGGCCATCAAGAACAAGAAGGGCAGCCGTGATGTGCCCGTGCTGGTTTTTGTACACCCTCCCGGCCCTTCCCTTAAAGCCACCAACTCTAACATATCCTCTTTCTTAGATCCATGGCGCTGGCTACACCTTCAGCTCCAAAATCGGCCATCCTACGCCCGGCTTCCAACCCGACGGTCTGCTCCGCGCCGCCCACGAAGCCAACGGCAAAGGTATGATATTCATCTCTCTCAACTACCGCCTCGGCGCCCTTGGCTTTCTCGCCGGGCCTGAAGTCCGCGCCGACGGCAACGAAAACGCCGGCCTCCTCGACCAACGCTTCGCACTTGAATGGATCCAAAACAACGTCCACCTTTTCGGCGGCGACCGCGACAAGGTAACCGTCATGGGCGAGTCCGCCGGCGGCGGGTCCATCATGCTCCACATGTCGGCCTACCAACATGAAGGCAAGAAAGCCCCCTTCGCCCAAGCCATCCTCCAGTCCCCCGCCACGCTTCTCTCCGCAGCAGCCCCGCCGTCGGCATACAACGACTTCCTGTCCCTCCTCAACGTCACCACCCTCGCCGAGGCGCGGCAGCTCCCGTCGTCCGCCCTCGTCCTCGCCAACCAGGAACAATGCCGCACCGCGGCGGCAAACACATACATCCACATCCCCGTCCAAGATCCCACCACCGCCCCTCTCGAACCCCTCCAAGCCTTCAACAGGGGCGCCTTCGCCACGTCGCCCATCAACCTCCTCGCCGCCCACAACTCGCGCGAGGGCGCCTTCTTCTTCGACCCGACAGCCCGCACCGAGGCCGACTTTTTGCGCTGGGTCAAGTCCTCCTTCGCGGGCCTGTCGACGGCGGAGATCGCCTCGCTCGCCGCGGTGGTCTACCCGCCCGTGTATGATGGGTCGCAGGGCTATGTCGATCTGCTTTCGCGCATGATGCATGTGTGGGGGGATGCGCTCTTCGACTGCAACTTTTTGTATGCGAATGAGGCGTTTGGTGGGCGGAGCTTTGCTTGTGAGTACCTAATTCGTACTTTTCCGTGACTGTGAGCTACCTACCGGGGGGGGATGCTAATTAACTGTTGGGTGTAGATGAGTTTGGATCGCCAGGCCTGCATACGCAGGATCTGAAGTACACGTTCAACGACCCGGGTACGCCTGCTTTTGAGCCCATCATGCAAGAGATTTTGCAGAAGACGCTTGCCACGTTTGTTGTTAATGGCACGCCGGTGTTTAAAGGTCAGGGGAAAGGGAAGGTTGCTTGGCCGAAGTGGGGAGATAATCAGATGTTGGTTAATATTACTGCGACGGGTGCAGAGGTGGCGGTTAATAATGTAAATAAGGAGAGGTGTCAGTGGTGGGCGGAGAGCAGGCTGGGTCTTTAGCTTGGGATAATGGTCGCTGATGCGAAAAGGAGGTTGCGGAAAGCCAAGGTGGAAACGAAGCTACTCGCAGCTAGAAGACGTATGATAGAGGCCTAGGTAGGTAGAGAGACGAATCCACGGATTTGGCCTTGGGAACACCCCCGAGATTACCCTAAGATTGAAATACGTGTACAGCTCACAATACAAAAAGATAGAAACCTCGCTCCCCAATACCAAGATAGATATCACGAATTCTACATTCGGGAAGCCGGCAGCGTTTAGCGAGACGCAAGAGGGCATCTAGCAATTTTCTCATCTTAGCTCGATCAATCGAAAGGCTTCCTCAACCCAACTCAATAACCTGCGCCAGCTCCCCGGTGAGGGTGCCGATGTCGTCGGAGATATCGGCCAGTTGTTTTACAGTCAGCGAAAAGGGGAGGATGATGGCAGATTGGAGAAGCTTAAGGTTGAAGAAGTCGGCAAGAGAAGACGGGCGATATGGCTAAGGCAGACTTGGAAAAGACTTAAGCAAGTCACAGTCAACATGCCGTAACATCAGTAACCGTCTTACTATGTGGTACAGGGAGATATTTCCTTAGGGCACAGGTTGAGGTAATGTCAGTCAACAACTTACTGGGGAATGGGATTGGGTCGGTTTACTTTTCTATCATGATGTTACTCTAAGTTTGGTGGCGCAACTCAATCCGCCGAGAGCGACCAACCGGAGACGACTCGGAACCGCTCATGTTCGAGACCGGGCGGGTAAAATGGGGTACCCTTGGCACCGACAGCAAGGAGATCGGGTGGTAAGGATCTGGAGCGTTGGAGGCCCAGCCCGACTTCAACTGTTCTAACAACACAGCGCAGCTCTTACGGCTATTAGCCAGAGGATTATATCGTACCAAGCGGGATTGGTCAATATCACATGCTTAGCGATTAGCATCAATCCTACACAAATATTCCACCTTAGTACCTCATAACTACTATTAACCACTGCGGCGATGTCGGCGTCCCAACTCCCTAGCATCGACAAGCAGCTCGTCACGCCCGACAATCCGCCACGGATAGACCTTGATGGCATGGACCACGCGCGATGCGCCGCCCTCCACAATTACCTCGTTGACTACTGCCTGGCGGCCGATGGTCGGCTCGATCCAGATGCTGGGGGCAGCCGCGCCACCTACTTCAGCACGCACGGCGACGCGGCCGAGGCCGTCCGCCCAAGGTTGCATCCCTCGGTGGTCGCTTTCCTCGCTGCGGCACACACTCCCGATGTGCCGCTCTTCTTCTTTGTTGAAGACTTGCCAGGCCCGGACGGCGACTTCAACGGCCTCTTCGACAACTATACGGCCGACAATGAGGGCGAGCCCGAGGACTCCATCGTGCGCCTGTACTTCCCCCACATGGACGTCTGCGATGGCGGGTCAGGCGGCGGCATGCTGTACCACCAGGCCCGCCACCTCGCCTGTTTCTTTGTGCACCCAGACGACACCGAGTTTGCGTTTCCAATGGACGAACGCCGGCACAACTGGCATCCCCTGGAGACCATCCTCTCCAACTGGATAACCCTGATCCACCTCGGCAAGGTCGTCGCCTCCCCGACCGACCAACCACCCCTCTACGGCGGTGTCAAGGTCGGGAATTGGGAGTGGCGGCCGTATGGCGATGGCCAGATAGCGGGGTGCGTCGCGGCGTGGGATCGGCTCTGTGACGCCATAGAGGTACGTCGTCGACAGAGCCGCGGCGCCAGGGTCGACGACTCGGATGACAACCATCCCAGGGAGCCCTTGCTGACGCCTGAGGCCATGGACGCCGCCAAAATCCCGGATCCCTCTTTCGCGCGCGCCTTCCTGGGCCTCGCCCACCGTCCCCGGCACATCCGCCAGATCGCACCGGGGCTCTCTCTCCCTCCTGCGGATGCGGCTGCTTTCGCCGCCGCCCAGCCCTTCACCCACCTGCCTCGGAGGGTGCGGGTGCCGCAGTGGCACGGCATGGACCGCGAAGACATCGTGCCGCCCGTGTATATCTTCTTCAGCGACGCGGGCGCTCCGCAGGTCGACGTGTCAGGCCGGCGGTCCTCGTTCCGCCTCTACTGGGGCGGCGGTCGCGGCATCGTGCCAGACGGCATCCCACTCCCGTCTCGCGTGCCACCGGGTGTTTACAACGAGTGCGTCGTGCGGTCCGACCTAGATGCGACTGAGGAAGGGTTCCGGCTGCCGCTGCCGTTTCGCCTGTATGGCGCGCGCTTTAGCAGTGGGGACGAGATGAAGGATACGGTGGCGGATGAGCTGTTCCAGCATGGGTTCAAGCCTTTCGGGGGACACCCACACCGGCCTCAGCGTCTGGAACGGCTGTTGGACCACTGGGCAAGCCTGGTCGAGCGAGGGGTCTGGGCTGTCGGGCCGCACGGGGTGCAGGGGTCAATCGAGGTGTTTAAGGATGCTACCGTGAATTGGGCAGATTATGCGATCCCGTCGAGCTGGTGACCATGCCGGGTTGTGGGTTGAAGACAATTCCTTTTTCCCTCAGGCTCCGAGTCGCCATAGCCAAATCTCTGCCGTGGTAGGTTAGGGAGGTGCGGTTCGATGGTTTGATTTCAATAGAGGAAGGCACGCTGGCGGCGGCGGCTGGCCTCTTAGGTACCTGAAAAGTCTGCTCCGGCCCTGGCCTCTCTCCCAACCAAGTAGGGAATTTGGACCGCCGACGCAAAGCAGCTTCCTCAACCGGACGTAGGAACATGACCAAACCCGAACTTAGAACCGAACCTTCATTTCCCCCATACCCAATGGTCCAGCTTGAACTCTGGCATCAGGCCGCCATGCCCCCCTGCTTTCTTCCTTCTCCTTTGCATCTTTGCCACGCCGACTCCGAATAATCCAGAACGCGTCAGCGTTTGCCGCGCGCAGCTAAGAACACGATGGGGCTGCCATTTTGCTGTTCTTTTTCCCAACGTCGACGTAAAAACCGCCAGGGATCAACCTCTTGCAAGCGATCCATTAACCCAGAACACGATTCTCCTGCGCCATCCTCGCCTTCGCCCCTAGCGTTGCCTGACGCACTCCCGTCTATCATACCATCCTCTCCTTTCTTGCTCTCGCCTTTCGGCCCTTCATCCGCGGCACCGTCTCCAGATCGGTCCCCCAAGCATCCGTCCCCCAAGCGCCGCGCGGCGAGTTCTCCAGCCATTCGTCGACCATCCTATACCCTGGCGCCGTCTCCTCGTTTTCTTGCACGCGATGCATCTCGGCTCTCGTCCTTCGAAACTGCCCCCTTGGCACGCAGCAGCTCTGGGATCACCTATCACCAAGACGTTATCCTTGCGGCCTGTGAAATCTGGGAAGAAGCATACAATGAGGTCAAGGACGACGAGGCGCTGAAGCCTCTAGTAAAAAACTACGAAGCGCTCTTCAATACCGTCACAAAGGATGGCTTTCTCGACTCGCGTCGCTCCTCGCGTATCCAAAAGGAGCCCTTGACTGATGACGAAGAGCATAGCAACGCCGGCGAAGAATGCTTTACGAGACTAGCTCAAGAATACCTGGACCTGGCAAGGCGGGATTCTGCCAGCCAGAGTATTGTTTCTTCCGCAGTGCAGTTCATCCAGAAGACGAGAGACGTTGTCGGCCTTGCACTCGCTTCCTCGCCACCTGCGTCACTTGCTTGGACCGGTATTTGCACCATTGTTTTGCCTGTATGTGTTCTCTTCCAGACGTTACGTGCACGTCAGCTGACAAAACCAGATCATCGTCAACCACGCCGAGCAGATTGCTGCCCGGGAGTCGGGCTTCTCCTACGTCATGTCACGGTTTACATGGTACGGTCAGGTTCTCGATCTTCTGAACCGAGAGTACTGGAAAAGCCCGCAAAGCTTCTCCGCACTCCGACACGCGATCCACGGCGAGATTGTTGCCCTCTACAAACTTCTCATAGAGTATCACCTGCGAGCATACTACACCTATTGTCGCCCGTTGACTACGATTTCCAGGGACATCCTCAAACTCGATGACTGGAACTACATGCTCTCGGAGATCAAAGAGAGCGAAAAGCGCCTGGAGGATTACATGAGTCTCAACTACGAACAACATCTGCTGGACAAACTCCACACGCTTTCCAAGGATGCGCTGCACAAACAGCGCTTTGAGACGCTGCTCAAGTTCAAGTTCCCCGACGACCTCCCCTACGCCGTCTACCAGGCTTACCTCGACAGCATCGAGTCACCAGAAGATGGTACTGGGGCTGGGGTCCTTACACATCCAGTCTTTCTAGAGTGGGCTACGGGCAATTCTGGTGTATTTGTGTTGGAGGGTATCCCGGGCTCCGGCAAGTCAGTTCTGTCAAAGTCCTTGTTGACGGAGCTGCCAAAGTGGAGGCCCTCGTCAATTTGCGCCTTCTTCTTCAAAGAGAACGGCAAGGCTCAGAACGGAGCCACAACCGCGCTCTGTCGAGTTCTAGATGAGCTCTTCCGAGAGCAGCCCGACCTCGTTGACAGAATATGCGCCAGAGTGGATCACCTTCTCCCGGAGGAAGTGCGATGCAATTTCGATCTGCTCTGGGGAGTGCTCGAGGAGGCTACCCAGGATTGCGAGCCGGGGAGTGTCACCTTTGTTCTGGACGGATTCGACGAATGCGAGCCGGAATCGGCTGACAAACTGTGGCAGAAGCTGACCGAATATCTTGCTGGGCCCAGCCCAAGGGTGAAGTTCTTCCTCACCACACGCCCTCTAGTTTCGGCACCGCAACTGATATTCTCTCCCGGCGTTACGGTCCTAAAGCTCGAGGAGGACCCACATTGCCTTAGACACATTAGCAAAGACATCGAGAGCGTCGTCATGGCCCGCTTCGATGGATTTGCGCTGCGGTGTATCCAGGACACCGGGCTGAGACATGAACTACTGGAATTCATTCGGCCGAGGGAAGACAGGACGTATCTGTATGTCAAGTTGTTGTTCGACTACCTTGATTTGAGAATGCGGGACGGTCTGCCGCGAGTGCCCCGTGGTTGGATCGACATTTTCAAGAAACTGCCAGCGACGGTGAAAGAGGCATACGTTGGGTTCCTCAACCGGGTTCGGGAATCCCAGAGGGACGACGTCAAAAGCTTATTTCGGATCGTCCTTGCCGCTGCGAGGCCGCTCACTCTTCAGGAGGTCAATATCGCCCTCAATATCCGAGACCTTCCAAACGGGAGCAAACACGGCCTGGGTCTACAGGACGAGCACTGTTTTCGGAACTGGATTCTGGATGCTTGCAAGTACTTCTTGGATGTCTACAATGGCAGGGTCTACTTTATCCACCAAACTGCCAAGGACTTCCTTCTGGCTGGTCCAGGGGAGAACGGACACAGAAAGCCGGATTGGCTGGGCGATTTCACCATCCAGGCTTGCCATAAGACGTTGGCCGAGAGTTGCATCTTGTATCTTTCTCTGGCCTTGCGCGTACTCTCCCGATTCAAGGGCGTCGCCACTACCACGGAGAATAACGGCGAACACCACATGTGGGACGATGCTGAGCTCGCATTTGCTAGCTACGCACATTCCTTTTGGCATAGCCACGTGTGTGTGGCTCTCGACGCGGATACGCCGAGTGGCCAAGAAGAGTTCCTCAGCCTACTAGAGTTGTCGCGTCCTTGGTACCGCAAGATGGTGACCGGCATTCGACTGAAGTCGCCTTGGATCATGATAAACGGGGCGGCGCTGGAAAGAGCCCTGTTGCCGGATGACATTAGGGGACCCTGGGGTACCAATTGTCGAGATTTTGAGCCCTGGCAGGGCCGAGATCTCATGAACGCGGCGATCGATGGAAGCCATCTTGTCCTCACTGACCATAGCGGGAAGCCACTGCCTCGCACCCCACGAATCCATATCGAATCTCCACATGCCCTGCAGCGCTTCAGCTCAGTCCTCCGCTCAGTGTCAACAATCCAAGCCGTCCGGGCGCTGACAACCTACCAACACCACTCCCCGCTCCCACCAGACTGGTTCTCAGTCCGCTTCACCAACAAACGCACCCGCGCCCGCGCCGACCCCCTCCACCTCCACGACGGCGACGTCCTCGCCTACACGCTCTCCAACCGCACCGACACCCACACCGCCTACGTCCACATGCTGAGCCTCAACGCCTCCTGGACCGTCGGCACCCTGCTCTGGAACGTGCGCATCCCCCCGCGGCAGCAGCGCACGGGCGAGCTGACCATGGCGCTGCCGCGGCGGGTCAATGATGATGACCCGCCCGAAGCCGAGGACACGATCGTGGTGATCTTTTGCGTCGGCGAGCAGTGTGCCGAGCGGCTGGTTACGCCGGCGGAGTGGTTGCGCAGTGTGTATGTCCCGCCGGTGTTGCTGAAGCCTGGGGTCGGGAGTGTAAGGGTGCCGGTGTGGCCGGGGTTTGTGCCGCCGCCGAATTGGGTGGTGATGGGGTTTGGGGTGAGGACGATGCCGAGGGTGAGGGATGAGGAGGGGGTGGAAGGGGATGAGGGTGGTGGGTGAAGCGAGTGATGACGGGGGATAATGTGTTTGGGTTGGGGTGAGTGTGATGCGTGGGCGTTGTGAGGCAAACAATGTAGTGTTTTCTGCGCTTGGTCATATTGCCTTATTGCTATGGAGTGTCGATCAAGGTGGGAGATCGGCTTGCTTTTGCTTGCTTCTGTTAAGAATGGTTTATTTATTGGTTGTACACACTTACACGGATTCAAAAAGAGTGGGAGCAGACTCAGCAGAGGACTTGGGTAAGCAGTTATGCTAAACGCAGTTATCCGTTTTATTGTTTACTGACTGGAGCTTTCCACCCTGGTGGAGGGTTAAATAGTGCAATATCTGTCGCACAGAAAGCAACGATGGAGCTCACTCGGATTATGGCATGATGTACCCACTCCCTGTGGCCACTTCGGACTGAATGCCGGACCGCGAATACCCAATTGATGCGTATTTCAGTTACACATCCCCTGACTTAAGCTCAGCGTGACGGCATTTGGAATGCACGATACCCCTGAGCTAACAGCAGACCCAACCAACCCGGTTCCCGCTTTCGACAAACCGCATCACAGTTACCTGCATTGTGTGCTGAGCACACGGGGGGCGCCCAACCACAGCGCTTGTGTACCCTCGGCCCCGCAAAGGGCGGGCTGGTTGCCATTGGCCCGCTGGCTTGAGCCGCCGTCCTCGAGGGACTCTGGCCGGGGGCCAATGCGGATCTGCAAATCATTGTTGTTTGTGGCAAACCGGGATGTGATCTGATCTCCGGGCAGGGGGGCGGTGGGTGATCCGATGTTGACCGGGGGTCACCACAACGGTTTGTTGAAGTGGCCGTCACGCGGTGGACTTGTGATGGCGTGTCTCGGGTGGCGACAACGGCTTGGCCCGTGATGAACCAACTGCCTTTGAGGTAGGGTTGTCATGGGGGATGTCCTTGGCCCGGAATAGGGGCGACGGTTAAGTATAAGTAAGCTCGCTTCGGCGAGGGTTTTGCATCCATTTACCCCGGGCCATTCACCACCACAAGAAGCAGCATTACCGCATAGTTCTTCACCTTGGTCATCAACACCACGGTTGACATCACAATCAACCTAAGCCGCAGTCAATCACTCAACATCCAACCAACCCTCCACCAACTTCAACCACACCAGTTGAACCACAACCGCACCGCCAAAATGCCCTCACTCAAAACCCTCCTCCTCGCCGGGCTCACAACCCTCACAGCCACCACCCTGGCAGCACCCACCACCACCCCCAACCCCACCACCGCCCTCATCTCCAAACGCGCCACCTACCACCCCTCGGAGAGCGCCGAAAACGACTACTGCGGCGAAGCCAACCCGCGCGCCACCTCCGGCGACGACAGGCCCCTCGTAGACGACTGCACCGCCCTGCGCGCGGCGCACGAAGCGTCGGGCTACTGGCTGGTGACGGCGGCCGAGACGCGGGCGGCGCAGGACTCGGGCGCGGAGCGGTGGACGCGGTTGGACGAGAAGGGGACGTGTGCGTTCGAGGTCAGGCTGAGCACGGATAATGATGGCGAGGGGGAGCCGGGGGTCGTGGATTATCGGTTTGGGACGAATGATTTGCGGTTTTATATTAGTGCGCATGCTGGGAAGGGCAATGCGGTGGATGGGAGGGTCGGGGTCAGCAGTGGGGTGTGGTGTCGCAGGGTGGAGGGGGAGCAGGTGAGGGTGGATTGGAGGGTTGTGAGTTCTTGAGTTGGGGGTGGGTGGTGATGGTGAGGGAGTTGGGGGTGAAAAGGGGTAAGGGTGGGAATGACTGGGACTGGAGGACAGGGGGGTTCGCCTGGAGATACTCAACTAAACGTCTGGGTCATTGGCTGGGCCGGTCCTTCGAGTTGAGGTTAGATTCATATGGCCAAGGGGAAGAGGCCTGCTTGCTTGCTAGGGCTGGGGTCCCCTTACCGATTAGCGTTCGTAGCGGTGCCTACGTCACCTTCATCGGGGTTTCACTCCATATTTTCTCACTTGATATTGCTCCGCTTACTCTTCAACGTGTCTTCACAACCCGTGTTCGTTGTCTTGTCTTGCCTTTCCCCACAGACCACAACCAACCAGCGCTGCAGGATTCTATGCAAGCTCCGTCCGGCCCTTGTCCGGCCTGAGTCACCCGGGCTAACCTGCATCTCGGGTTCCGCGGCGGGCGGGGCGGATCTTAGCTCTGGAGTCCCAAACAACGCTCGTATAAGTCGAGACCTTAATTCAACCTCAACCCTTCACTATCAGTCAACTTGCCTAGCCCAGCCAACTCAACCAACCACCACAACAAACACCCCAACCCATCGCCGCCATGTCCACGGTACCCACCTCCTCCCTCTCGGCCCGCGCCGTGGCTAGCTGGGAAGACAATGCCGCCTACTGGGACAGCAGCATCACCAAGCACGGCAACAAGTACTGGAAGCGGCTGCAGGAGCCCTCGCTCGCCCGTCTCATCGGGCCCTCATCGTCGCCCAACCAAAAGCCCGACCCGAACCGGGAATACCGCGCCCTCGAGCTGGCCACGGGCAACGGGCTCTGCGCGCGCTGGCTCGCCCACCGTGGTGCTTCGGTGCTGGCCACGGATGCGTGTGAGAACATGCTCGCGCTGGCAAAGGGTCATTGTGAGCCGGGCACGGTAGAGGAGAGCATCCGTTTTCGTAGGGTGGATGTCACGAGCGAGGAGGAGTTGGGGGCGTTGGCGGCGGAGGGGCCGTTTGATGTGGTGTTGCTGAATATGGCGGCTATGGATATTGCGGACTTGGCGCCGCTTGCGAAGAAGCTGTCGAGCTTGCTTGAGGTGGACGGGGTGTGAGTTCCCCTGAACTGCTACCCTTGAGCTGGGGAGATGGTTTCGACTGTCTTGCCGGTGTGCTGAGATGCTGATAGGTTTGTGGCGACGGTGCTGCATCCCGTTTTTTTCACGTCCAACGCTACTCGCAGCATCGAGGTGGGATACAGCCCTGTGACGGGCGAGTGCGAGATCGTCCGGGGTAAGCTGATTAAGGAGTACATGTCGGTGCCCCCGGCGGTGGGCATTGCGATTCCCGGGCAACCGGTGAAGCAGGTTTGTTGTTTTGAGCAAGTTGCACTTCCTTTACTAATGATGGTAGGTTTACTTCCACCGTCCGATACATGAGCTGTTCGGCATCTTCTTCAACGCCGGCCTGGTCATGGATGCCATGGAAGAGTTGGCGTTCACCGAAGAGGACGCAGAAGACGACAGAATTGAATCCTCCAGCAACTACACACAGCTACCGGCTATTCTTTCATTCCGCATGCGGTTGCCATAGGGTTGAGGGCCTGATAGGAGGAAATGGGGACCTATGTCGAGGGTATAGGATGGAGTTTGCGCACCTTGCTGGCTGTGGACTAGAATCTGGAACATTGTCGTATTGTCCATCTTCCCTCTCCAACACTTCACAACCCCCCTCCCCAACACCAACCCTCACTGCAAATTCACAAACAACCCCCCATCCACCAGCAACTGCGCCCCCGTCACATACCCACTCAACTCATCACACGCCAAAAACACCGCCGGCCCGGCCACATCCCCCGGCACGCCCGTCCTCCCCAGCGGAATCCTCCCCTCCATATACGCCCTCTTCCCCTCATCCTTCAAATCCTCCTCATTCAACTGCGTCCGCACCGTCCCCGGCAGCAGCGCATTGCACCGTATCCCATACTTCCCCAGCGCCACCGCGCTACTCTGCATCAGCGACAACACGCCCGCCTTGGTCGGCGTATAATGCACCTGCCTCCCCCCCCCGACCAGCGCCGAGATGGACGACACCGCAATAATGGACCCGCCGCCCAAGGGTACATTATGCCGCGCCATCTGGCGCGCCGCCGCCTGCACGACGTAGAAGGCGCCGTCGAGGTTGGTGCGCACGGTGGTGGCGAAGAGGTCCGGGGTGAGGTCGTCGAGCAGGTCGGCGAAGGTGCAGACGCCGGCGTTGGAGACGCAGATGTCGAGGCGGGCGGTGGAGAACTCGGCCAGGGCGAAGGAGACGAGGGCCGGGCCGGTGGCCGGGTCGCGCACGTCGCCGGGCAGGTGGGCGAGGCGGCCTGAAGTGGTGGGGTTGATTTTGAGGAGGGTGGTGGCTTCGGTTAGGAGGGAGTCGAGATGCGGTTTGTCACTGGGGAGGTCTAGGTGGTTGACGGCGACGTTGCAGCCTTGGGCGAGGAAGGCGAGGGCGATGGCGCGGCCGATGCCCGTGGTGCCGCCGGTGATGATGGCGGTCTTGCCCGCGAGGAGGTTGGTGGGGGGCATGTTATGGTTTTGGAATTGATAGATACAATTTGGGAGTTGGTAGTGTTATGTTTTGGGTTGGCATGAGATGTGACCTTGTTGTTAGGAGCTGGATTTGTGTAGGACATCGACTTGCTAGACACAGGAAATTCACGTCTCGCTCTGCGGCCCAAAGAAGCGAAAGTGAGGGGCCAGATGGCGGGGTAAATACGGTATCATTCGGTGGATCACGACATGAAATGTAGTTTCGGTGACGATAGAGTTTTGATGTTTACCAAGTCAACCTTGTGCTGCTATTATCATGGCTTATCTTGGCGCGATAGCAATATCGCGCATGGAATACGTCCTTTTGTGCTTCATCCGCTTCAATGCTGATGTTGTTTGAAAGTTTGATCCTCGACTGCCGTTGTCCCCACCTTCCCCGCGCCCCACTCCTGCGGGCCCAAGGTTCCACATCTCGGGTTGAATTGCAGCGAGCCGGGTCGAGACGGAGACAGCCCCATGGCCACCGGATCGACAGGACGTTCCCGTTGGCGCGGCTAGGTCTCAAACAGGCGTATCGGGTATATCTCCGTTGGCTTGACTTGAGCAAAATATTCCGGCCAGACGTGGTAAAGAAGGGAAGGTTTCAACGGCACGCCTTGGCAGATGACGTCAGGGGAAGCAGGGGACAGTTTGGTCAGGAGTAAGGGTTGGAGCAGTTCCATCATTGTCCGTATTTCCACTGCAAGCCTATGGCCTGGCGGGGTCTGTCAACTTGACCCTCTTCGCGCTACCCGCGATGCCATTGGTTCCATTCTCGGTTGTGGCCTCCTCGGCCGGCGTGCTGAGCGAGTTCATCGGCGGTGTGAGCAGGTAGGTGCTCGGGATCAGTTTGGCTTTCGCCACGGGGTTCAGCGTCAACCCGAATCCGGGCTTGTCCAAATCGGCCGCTGTCAAAAACCCCTTGGTAGGGATCGGCTCGTCCAGGAACAGATCCCCAAACACGGGCAGCACGCTCTTGCCGTCCGGCGAGTTGGCCAAGTACTCCTGGAACGGCGTGTTGGGCTGGCTGATCACGAAGTGATAGCTGTATGGCCCACTGGCGTGGGGCACCACAGGGATGTCATACGCCGCCGCCATGGCTGACACCTTGAGCAGCTCCGTCATACCGCCCAGCCACATGACATCGGGCTGGATGATGTCGAGGTTGCGGCCCTCGATTAGCTTGCGGAACCCGTACCGCGAGTACTCGTGCTCGCCCGTGGTGAACTTGAGCGTCGGGTGCGCCCGCTTGATCTGCTCGAACCCATCCGTGTCGTCCGGGCTGAGGCACTCCTCCCACCAGTTGATGTTGAGGTCCTCGCAGGCTTTGGCGATCGCGATCGTGTACGGCACGTTGAGCGACATGTAGCAGTCGACCATGAGCGGGAAATCCGGGCCAATGGCCTCGCGGTGCTTGCGGAGGAACTCGACGTTCTTCTTCAGGCCGGCCTGGCCTTCCTCGGGGCAGTAAGGGAGTGGCACCTTGGCGCCCCAGAAACCCATATCCCTAGCCGCGGTGGGCTCGGGCCCGGTGCAGTAGAAGTCGATGCGGTCTTTGGTGTTTCCGCCGATGAGCTTGTACACGGGCTCGCCGCGGATCTTGCCGAGCAGGTCCCAGAGGGCGAGGTCGATGACGGAGATGACGGCGACCGGCAACCCCTTGCGGCCGTAGAACATGGAGGCGCGGTACATCTGCTCAAACAGATGGTTCGTGTTGCGCGGGTCGGCCCCGATTAGGAAGCGCTCGAAGTGCTGGTGCACTAGCCAGCACGCCGGCGGCCCTGTTGCTGTTAGCAAAAGCTACGCACACATTTCGGAGGCTAACACCGCTTACCGCCAAAGCCTGTAGCAAAACCGACTGTTCCATCCGTGGCCTCGACCTCAACGAAGAACGAGCCCAGCACGTTGATGCCCCAGCTGGTCCGCGAAGCTCGGTACTTCTCCCATTGCGAGCACGGGGTCGAGATGGGTGAGTCAATCAACCTGGGATGTCAGCGCCGGACGTGACGGAGAAACAAGGCACCTTACCAGTGGCCCCCTTTGACATTGTGATAATCACCGCCTGCAGCCTGTTAGCTAGTTGCTCTCTATTGCCCAGGAGAATTTGTCATCTACCTGACCCAACACCGCCAATGACATAGGACCTGATGGCCTTGATGGTCGGAAATTGTCGTGCCGCAGCCATCGTGCTGAACTCTGTGACACCAGACACCAAGGATGCACGAGTGGGTAATGGGTGGGAGAGAAAAGCAGCGCCAGAAAGTTGATGGGTGGAAATAACTAATGCCCTGGAACCCAACGCTGTCTTGGCGACGGAAGAGGTGAAACCGTGAAAGTATGTCCAGTGTAAAATGACTCGACAAGGCCACCTTTGGGGTTTGTTAGTCGCACCTATGGGCTATCGGGAGCAAACGGGGCAGAATCGGGGGTTGATGCCCCGATGATGGAGACGTGTTTTGGGGTCGACCACCTCGGGAGTCGCCCCACGCGAGTTCCCCCAGAACTCGCTCAACGCTGCGCACCCCACATCCAGGAACTCGAGCTTTGGGGGGGGGATTGACCAATTGGCATGGGACGAGAACGGATCGAATTGGCGAATGTGAAATATTCCGAGCGCTTGCTCCTTCGTTTGCCCATCCCAGGCCATGAGACAACATGGATTACATTTTTCTTCGGCCTCACACAGTACACCTCGAATGCCTATCCTAAGTTTGCAGTTTCGTACTCTCCATCCCACCCTTCGCCGTTATCGAAACATCCACGGGTAGGACATCCACGGACACCTGGCATGCATGGCGCATGGCGGGTGTCGGGTCGTGTCGAGCACCGGCAATGGGGGCTTGGGAGCGTGATGCCGGAAGCGAGAGGCCAAAGGGTTTGGCTTTGATCGATCTCATTACCGGCCTTCACAATGAAGGGCTTTGTACCATCACCATGGTATGTCGGGGAATTGCGCCAATCGAACCATTTTCTTTGATAGTTATTTAGAGCTGAGGTGCCCCCTCCTTTCTCTGCTTCGGAGGCACAAAGCAATGGAGATGGAATGTGGAATTGGCGTTTGTCGGCACCCCACATTCCGCCAATCTCGCTTCCCCACACCCCAGAAAGTCAATGGCAGTCTCAAAGGGGAATCGGCAGGGCAGCACGGGCCAAGTGGGCGAGCGGATGGGCTTTGTTCGGACCACGGAACTCGGGAGGGCTTGCACCGCGATAAAACGGCCGAGGTCTCCCCACAATTGCGTCCATCTCGCTCCTCTACTCAACATTACCCCGAACCGCTCCACGGAGCATCGGCTGCCACACTGCGCCTGTTCGTTGGCGGGATTGCGAAAGAAGACGCGCCTCTGTTTGGTGACAGGCTGCATCGCTTTTTTGGCACGTGTCATTCGGTCCCGATACCCGAGACAAACGGCGAAGAAAGGTCCAGACCCAGGCTTCGGTGTCGATTGTCCCTCTCCCGCTCCACTTCTCCTCTTCTGTTGGTGACGGAAACCGTTGAGGGCAGTGAGTGGCCCATCACTTGCCGTTGATGTACCCTACCATGATGCAGCCGCAAGGTGCTCGGTACAATGGCCACGACCGCGACCGGGAACACCAGTCGTCGCCGACCTCGACAAACCAGCATTTGCATCCTCACCCTCACTCTCAACCGAACCCGCATTCGCAACCCGACCCCGCCGACAGCGACGATGGCCAGAACAGCGCAGACGACCTCGACAATGATGACGACCAGCCCGATGTAACTCGTCTCGGCAAACGCAAGCGCCCCATCTCCGTGTCGTAAGTAACCGAGTAACGGGTCGCGGTGGCAGCCTTATCGCCCTCCCGGTTCGCGCGGTCGGATGCTGACGCCGCCCAGATGTGAGCTGTGTAAACAGCGGAAAGTAGGTTCCGGTCCTTCGTTGCTCCAGCTCCACGCCATAACCATCTACCTCCTCTCGGCATTCGGCTGACCAGACTAGGTCAAATGTGATCGAGGACAGCCGTCGTGCGGGTGGTGCAGCCGCAATGGCGCCGTCTGCGAGTACAGGGAAAGAAAGAAGCCAGGCCTGCGTGCGGGCTACGGCCGTGAACTAGAGCAGCGCCTCGACACTTTGGAGGACAAGCTCCGGGTCCACGCCGAGATTCTGCAGTCCTTGACCTCGAACACGAGTCCCGTCAGCGGACACGGCGGCAACGGTCCCGGACCCACACATCATGCGGCACCAAGCACGAAGGGCAGCAATGCTAGCATGCCTAGTGACCATGGAACACCGCGCGAGGCCATCCCACCGATATTCGGCCGCCCGGGCCACGACACACTTCGGACTCCGCAAGCCGAGACCGCCCTCTTCCTCCAGAAGCCCACAACGTCGCTCGACTTTGGCCTGTCGACGGCGCCGGGTCATGATAGCTTCCCGGCTGTCAGCGGTATATCACCGACGAACCACATCCAGCCGACTGTGCCGCCGAGCGCCGCGGCTCAGGAGTACTACGGGACTGGCCACGGCGCGCAGCTACAGTCACCTTCGACCGCCACGCAGAATTCGGGACAGATAGGCTCGGAGCAGGAACTCCCTCCCTACGACTTGCTGTATGCGTTGGTGGATCTCTACTTCAAACATGTCAATACGTGGTGCCCCATTCTGCATCGCAAGACTACACTGGATTCGCTCTTCGGGCCGTCCATGATCGACGACGAAGACAAGATCTTGCTTCATTCCATTGTCGCCACGGCTCTCCGGTATTCGACCGACGTTCGGTTGACCGAGGAAAGCCGACAGCGCTACCACGATGTGTCGAAGCAGCGTGTGCTCTTGTATGGGATGGAGCACCTGTCGGTCAAGTCACTACAGGCCCTCGTGATCCTCGCATTGGATTTGTGTGGTAGCAGTAACGGCCCGCCTGGGTGGAATATCATGGCACTCATCACGCGGGCTGCGGTGCAACTCGGGTTGGCCGTCGAGAGCAATTCCTTCTCCGTGGCACCCAGCTACACGTCCATTTACACCCTGCGGGCTATGATCCTGCCGGAACCACGCGACTTCATCGAGGAGGAATCAAGGCGACGGCTCTTTTGGATGGTATACTTGCTTGACCGATATGCCACCATTGCAACAGCGTTTGAGTTCGGTATCGACGACTGCGAGATCGACCGAACACTGCCCTGTCGAGACGACCTCTGGTTGAAGAACCAAAAGGTCGACACTCGCTGGTTTCGCGGCGACGACACCAAACCCGGGGGCTGCGGCCCCCCTGAACACGAAGTAGACAAGCCCGAGAACCTCGGCGCCTTCAGCTACTACATCGAGATTCTCGGCATCCTCTCCAAAATTCACCAGTTCCTCAAGCAGCCCGTCGACATCACCGCCCTCTCCGACGTCGAGACCTGGCAGATGCGGTACAAAGAACTCGACAACGCGCTCGCGACCTGGAAGTTCGGCCTGCCGGGCGACTACGGGTACATGGCGAAACTCTTCCAGCCCGCCTCGGCCAAGACGCTCAACTGCGGCTGGGTGATGCTGCACGCGACGTACCACACGGCCTTCATCCGGCTGCACTCGTCGGCCGCCTACCCGACCACGCGCTCGCCCATCTTCACCCCGTCCTTCTCGGCCTCGCAGCGCTGCCACGCCGCCGTCGAGAACATCTCGGCCCTGTGCGAGTTCGTCGTCGCCAACGGCCTGCTCGTCAAGCTCGGCCCCCCCTTCGCCTTCACCCTCTGGGTCGCCGCCCGCGTCCTGCTCGTCCACGGCAGCACCGTCGAGCGCAAGCTGGGCACGCAGATCGGGACCTTTGTCGATACCCTCCGGCAGATGGGGCGGTACTGGCCCGTCGCGGCCCGCTATTGCAGCCTCCTGAGCCGCGTGCTCGACGAGCACCGCGACAGCGAGCGCCAGGGCGGCGGCGAGGTGCCCGGCAGCGTCAGGATCTTGGCGGATATGCGGCGCACCGCGTTCGATCTGGACTTTTTGATCAGCCGCCAGCCGCGGCATGTGCCGCCGGCGAATGGGGGTGGGAATGGGAACGGGGGAGGGGCCGGGGGCGCGGCGGGCGGGAATGGCGGGTGGCAGAGCCGGCTTGCGAGCGCCACGCCCGCGTCGAGGACGCCGGCGCCGAATGAGCTGGAATATCTGGACGTGTTTGACTTTTTTAATGTGCCCCGGCTGCCGGTCGGGCCGGGGGCGGCCGCGGCGGGTGCGGGTGCGGATGGGGGAGGGAATGGCGTGGAGTCGGGGGGTGGGAACTTGAACGGGGCTGTGCCGGGCGAGTTTAATATCACGGACTTTATGGTGGACGTGAATCGGGACTGGCTGTTTCAGCAGGGTGAGTCAAAGTTTCTGAGTTGATATCCGGTCGGCTGGATGGTATGGAAAAGCACTGTATGAGATATGATATTTGAATGGCGCCAATATCCCTCTTAATAGATGTCGGGCGAGGCAATTGTTGCCGCTATGAATGACGAATAGGCAACATCGAGGAGACTCAACGGTTGAAAGCCGGGTTCCGTTTGATGAATGAGCAAGGCATGGGACAAAGAAACCGACGAAGGCTGAGCTCTCCTAAACCGATGTAGATCCCATCCAGCTCGGGGTGGTTACCATTCGCGAATCGAAACAGGGTTGCAGTCCGTCTTGCACATGGTTGGTAACCACTCACAATCCCAGCCCCCAAATCCCAGAATCCTCCTCGACCAACGACGCGCGGCTCCTTTGGCGGGGCGGAAATCCTCCTGTCACTCAAAACGAAGGGCTGTTCCCCGCCATCAACTCCCAGCCTTGACTTACATCTTTCATCATTTGCACACACAAAGAACGGTCGGCAACATGGACGAGAAAGCTTTAGGCAGCGCCTGGCCGCAGCCGCCGCCGACGCGAACCGAACCCGCTCGACGACATGGCTCCAAGTGGTGCTTCCTACTCTCCCAGTGGCGCTTGCTACTCGTTGAAGCCTTGTTCGTGAGCCTTTTGCCTTTGGGTTATTTCCTCGCCTCCGGCTTTGGGACCCGCGAACGTCAAATCCCCCTAGCCAGACCCGACACCTCCTCCCCCAACCCAATGGACCCCTGGAGTGATGTTCGTCCCCCTCCCACCCCTTTCACTAACAACCAAACCTCTCTCTAACCGCCCCTCCAGATCACCCCCAGCCGCGACCTTGTCTGGCACCCCTGCTACACCACCTTCAACCCCACCTTCCTCTGCGCCCGCCTCACCCTGCCCATGGACTACGACCGCCCCCTGCCCACCTCCCCCCTCGACCCGCCCGTCCCCGAAGTCCACATCGCCCTGCTCCTCCTCCCCGCCCAAACCACCAGTAACAGGTCAGCAAAACCCCCCAAATCCCCCGTCGTCGTCAACCCCGGCGGGCCCGGCGGCTCCGGCGTCACCCTCACCCTGCTCGCCGCCTCGGGCCTGCAGCAAGTCCTCGGCTACGACCAACCCGTCCTGGGCTTCGACCCGCGCGGCGTCATGTTTACTACGCCAAACTCCGATTGCTGGTCGAAGCCTCCCTCGAAGGACTGCAAGCCGGGTAAGGGTAAGGGTAAGGGTAAGGGTGACTGTGGGGATGGGAAGGACGGGGTGGTTGCCGGCCTGATGCATCGGCTGCAGTGGCAGCAGGTTGCGGGTGCGGTTGGGCTGGTGAGTGAGGGGGGCGGGGCGATGCGCAGTTTGGAGGTGGCGCAGAGGGGGGTGAATGGGTTGTGCGCGGAGAGGGATCGGGGGTTGGACGGGGAGAGTGGGCTGAAGTGGGCGGGGACGGAGTACGTGGTGAGGGATTTGGTGGAGGTGGTGGATAAGTGGGATGAGTGGGTTGAGAGGGAGGGGTTGCCGGAGAGAGAGCTGAAGGGGAAGCTGGTGTTTTGGGGGTTTTCGTATGGCTCGTACCTTGGGGCCGCGTTTGCCAGGGCGTTTCCGGAGAGGGTGGGGAGGTTGGTGTTGGATGGGGTGGTGGATGCCGAGCTGTATGAGGACGCCGTGTGGGCGGAGAGCTTGGTGGATGCCGATAAGGTGCTGGGGGAGTTCTATCGGTATTGTGCTGAGGCCGGGAAGAAGTGCCAGTTGTATCGGAACGGCGACAAGACGGAGGATGTGAAGCGGAGGTTTGAGACGGCCATGGAGAGCCTCCGGACCGACCCCATCACGTTCACGCACCCGCAGTACTTTTACCCCGCCATCTTCCGCCATGACCTGGTCAAGCAGCTGGTTTTCGTCGCCTTGTATTCGCCGATCCAGGGTTTCCCAATGACGGCATGGCTGGTCAATTACGTCTACCAGCGCAACCACGAGCTCCTGGGCAGCATGTTCCAGGACGAACAGCTGCTGTGTTCGATATCAGCGGATCCCATGCTCATGCACATGCTTACTGATGCCCAGCGCACCATCATGTGCAGTGACAAGGCGCAGCCGGTAAGTCCACCACCCCCCACTGCTCCGCTTTGACAACTAATGAGTATCCGCGCCAGGTCAACTTCACGCTTGCCGAGTGGGATTCGGCCTACCAATCCATGGCCTCGACCTCCCAATTCGCCGATATCTGGACGGGGCTCATGATGCAGTGCAGCGGCTGGGACCTCACCCCGCCACAGCAAGATCCAAACAACCGCTGGGGAAGTGACAAGCAGATCGAGACGGCCAACCCCCTCCTCTTCCTGTCCAACACCTACGACCCGGTCACCCCGCTCCGTGCCGCGGTCAAGATGGCGCAGAAGTTCAAGGGTGCCGGGTTGCTGGAGCAAAATGCGTCGGGGCACTGCACCCTCTCGGCTGTGTCGAGGTGCACGGCCAAGGTGGTCAGGGAGTACCTGGCGACGGGGGAGGTTCCGTCGCCGCCGAAGGGAGCTGACGATCAGTGCCGTGGAGACTGGAAGCGGTGTGATGCGGATGAGCACCCCTGGGGTCCTAGCCCCGGGGACACGCTTGCAGCCTTGTCAACCGAGGACAGGGACATGATGGAAGGGTGGCAGCAGCTGCGAGAGGTTATGGATGGGGTGAAGAAATTTGGGGTCGGAGAGGGAAAGGGCTTGGATAGGGAAGCGATCATGGCTATGGCGAACTTGAAGTGAGTTGAGGCATCACTGCGACCGGAATGTAAATCAATGCTCCGCTCTTGTATTAGCCCATTGTTAACGAAACACCTTACCTCGAACAGACCTTCTACTATGCTGTAAGAGAAGCTACCTGATTGACCTTGTATAACTATAGCATGAGTTGTGTCTAAGTCTCGCAATACCCAGTTTTAACACCAACCAAGTTGAAAGGGTAGCTAGTGATGCGACTGTACAAAGCGAAGAAAAGATCTGAAATGACACACGTTTCGCCGAAACCACAAACCACAGGTTGGTAGTCAGGTGTCTTGACTCCATGCCGGCCTTAGTCTGCCTGCACCCAGCCATCCAAATTACAAAATGCATCCAAGTACTTCAACGAAGAGCTCTGTGGGCCAACGACGCCAAGCACGGCGGTGCCATCATGGACGAGCCCATACCGGTAAAAGAGCCCCGCCATTCTCGCCGTCTCGATCGTCCGGAACGCGGCGTCCGAAATCATATCACCGGTCTCCTTCCGAAACCCCCCCCAAAACAGGCGGCGGAGCTGCTGCGCGTTGTCGTAGTAATGCCACCCCTTGGAATCCATGTACCCCAACAAGTTCTCCAGTCCATACAAGGCAAAACCAAAGGGCAGGACCCGCGCCTCGGCCCAGTCGATTACGCCCGTCAGCTTACCGGACAGGCGGTCGACGAGAATATTCATCTCGCAGAGATCGCCGTGTGTCAAGACGAGGGGAAGATCGCCCCTCGCAAAAAGAGAGGGGAGGTCTTGTTTGACTTTGGCGAGGACCGGAGTGAAGCGCGGCGGGAGGGATTCGGCGAGGCGGTCAAATGCGCTCCCGAACTCGGTGGATAGGGCAGTGAGGGTGTCCGGATTCCTCCGCTGGGGGTTGTTCCAGCCCTGGGCAAAGAACCTACATGAGTAGGTATGTCAGCTAGGTTCATCAGAGCACAAGGTGAGGTTGGATGGTACTTTGCAAAGTCTCGGACTGTTTGTTCCTTCAATCTCACTGTTTCGGGTGGCTGAGGAATGGATGTATCTTGCGCCATAATGTAAGGGACGCCCGCGAGATTGTTCATCTCGTAAATACAAAGGGGTTGCGACTCTCCAATGATTCCATGGTACGTGCAAGCCGGAATAATTGCCCCGTGAATGGTCGCGGCTAGACTCAAGAGCTCAATATCGATCTGGGAATTGGAAAACCGAAATTGGAAGATTTTATCCGTGCCAACGAGGACAGTATAGCTGAACATTCCTTGAAGCTGGACGGGCTTGACCGGGGACCCTCCATGAACGCGGGCGAAATTGTCGCATTGCTGTCTCGTGGCGGTGGTATTAGCATGGAAAAAGGCCTCGATGGCCGAATCGAGGTTATAAGGGACTTCCATGATTGGAAAGGAGCGCGTTATGAACTGGCTGCTAACCAGCCGCAAAAAAGGGGGTGGAAGACGGAGGTACACGGCAATATGCACCGAGCGCAAGTATGCAGTTAGAAGGGCATTTGGAGGGTCACGTGAACTGGCGACGAGACGTGGGCGAAACACCAGAAAGCGCGACTGCCCAGGCAGCTCCTGGGTTCAAATGTGATGATACCCGCCAGTCCACCACCCACAGCTCGCACCGAAAATGGTCATCGCTTTGAGGCATAATCTGGATGAAGATTCACCAAATTCCTCCATCGCACAGCGCCCGGTCTCGATCAAACGTATCATCGCTCTCCATCCCCGCGAGCGGCTTTTCGTTCAGCCCTTGCTCTGGACCAACCGACAGCTCGCCCTGCTTGGTTGTCGAATCCATGTTAGGGACGAAGCCAGTTGCGGAAGCGGCCTTGGGGTGGTGCCGCGAGACTGGCCCGCTCCGAAGAATGGCAACCGCGTCGACGGCAAGCTCCTATCTCTATTGACTCGTCTTCGGAAACGCCAACCAATTGCAGATGAATTGGAAGATACTGTTCGCAGGCTCCTTCGATTAGCCTCCGGCAGCGTCTTATTGAAGCCGAAGTATGCATCCTGTGGCCGTCATTCAGCTTCTCTGTCAACTCGCTGACACACCCCCGAGTCGCGTAGCCAGTCTTGAGTTTGAGGGGCGCTCATGTGCCAGCTTTCCGTACTGTCGCATAACTGCCGGAAATGCTACTTTTGCTTTGTTTGACGCACATGACATTGCGCAAGAACGCTACCGCCTTTTCAAGCCACCTCCCACCAAATTCGCCGCCATGGATCTGCCCGGAGTACAACGTTGTAACCGGCTCTTGAAACGTTATATGCCCACCGAGCACGAAAAAGATCCATATTTGGTGGCTTTTGTCATCGCTCTTGCGCAACAAAGTCGGCGTCACATGATGCAGCAGGAGCCGGCCCTGTCTGCTGTTACGGTGAGCTTTGTGTTCTTCTTGCCCATGATGCGCATGCCTATCAACTGACTGGTCTTGGAAGGTCCGGATCCTCTTCTCAAGCAAAAGGTCCCCGATATCGTTCAACACGTTTGTGGCTCATGTACCAGTCACCTTTCTTCACAAATTAGATACTCCAGCCCAGGAGCCACCGCTTGGCTCCGATCTCGACATCCACCACTGCCGTGTTTCGCTGGAGCCCTTTGAGAATCTTCCGCACCGTCTTCTCCATTGTCTGGCACGGGACTATGCTGAGAAGACACGAGGACAAAACGAGTAAAGTCGACTTTCACCCCAGTGCCAGTTTTCCCTTGCCGGAGAGATCAAGAGTGTACGGGGGACCGAGGATTACCCCAATGGAAGAATCAAGAACCAGGCTCGCGCTGAACCAACCCGACGATATTATCGACGGCGTAACGGCGGCCCGTAGGACTGGCTAGATCAAACCACTGTGTAGCCCAGAGCTCCAAGAAGTCGGTCATCTCGCCGTGTGCAACCAAGGCCGCGACGTACGACCGAGAGATTTTAAATTGCAAGAAACGCATATATCGCCGGACGACGGCGATTACGAATACCCTAAGGTAACCAACCACGGACACATCGTCAGCAAATCATCGCCACAACCAGCCTAGGGAAACGTTGCGGCACGAAACCAGGGGCTTGTCTCACGTCTCGTCGGGCAAAACAGCGTCTTCCGCCTCTTCCTGCCACAGCCGCAGCGCCAGCGCCTCGCACGTCATCTGGCCCAGGACCTCGTCCGTCAACACGGGCACGCCGTCCTCCAGGACGGTGAAGCGTTTCTTCCCTTCGACGAGGGCCGGGCAGTGTGCGGTGCGCCCGTACCACCCCCCGCCGTCGTCGTTTGCATCCGAGAGTGTGTACGACACGAGTTGTCCGTCCGCCGTGGCGCGGATGAGCTCCCCCCTGGCGGTGCTCCCGGTCAGCTCGCGGGCGATGCCGGAGAACTCGACTAGCCGCTCTGGCCGGTGGTGTTGCGTGTCGTCCTAGGGCGGGCAGTTTTGGGTTACGTGTCGGAGGAAGGAGGCCGCAATCTGGATGGTGGCGAGTTCCGGCATGGCCGCCGAGGTGTGGACGTCGGCGACGTAAGCGGTGCTGGAGTTTTGGGATGACCCCTGCCCCGAGGGTTTCGAGGGTGAACTCGACTGCGCCTGCACGGTCTGGCTGTCCACGAACTCGGGGCGGTGGGGTTGGGTCCGGGTTCGCTTCGGTCGCGGACGGGAGTTGGATGCTGCGTTTGCTGCCTCGGACCCGGAACTGTACGCGCGTTTTTCGCCCTCCCCAGCATCCGCGGTGTCTACGTTCATGGCATCCACTTCGCCCCCGTCGCTGCCCACGCCGCTCTCGTAGCCAATCTCATTGCTCTCACTCTCATCGTCCCTACTGTCCCCGCTACATCCGTCTCCATCTCCAAACTGCGCCAAGGCGGCCCAAAAAGACCCGAGGCTCGCCCCGTACCGGTGTACCAACTCTGTTTCCGTAAGCGTCCGATGCTGAGCCAATACCTCGCGGGGGCCTAGGTTCCAGCAGAGCCCGAAGTTGCGGCTGCTTGCGGGCGGCGACAATCCCATCGTAGAATCTGTCTCGGAGATTGGGCAGGAGGTGGCCCTCCCTGTGATCTGACCGGGCAGTTCGTACCACGACACGCGCTGCGAAGAGCTGGTTGGTCGACCATTGGCTGCCCGCCGGGATGGTCTCGACCTTGTTAAGATCCTCGACGGTGGAGGGGGTACTGGGCCGCGAAGGTGGAAACGTCTGTTATGGAGTTGAAGTAATACATCTTGGCCTCTTGATTTCGTGTTTTGCTGAGCGGGAGAGGATGTCGAGTTTAGTGACGGTCTTTGACCCTAATCAAGGGGAGGTTTTGGGTCGCAGGCTCGGTTGTGTGTTGGGTCGGTTGTTGACTCCGTTGGGCTGAGTGTGTACCCAACCAGCGGGATTGGGTCGCAGCATATCGTCCTGAATTCGGCAAAGTCTTTGATCTACATGCACCGTACCTAGTCAAGTTTCGGGATTCCGCAGAATGGGAGGCGTCAAATATTGCTTTGTTGGATGATGGTATTGGATATGATGCTGTTTACCTCATAGTATGATATTACATGAAGGTTCTCCATTATAGATACGGTTTAAGAACCTCCTTAGTATGCTCCCAAATCCTCTCCCGCGCATTCTCCCGAAGCACAGCCATGACGCGCGCATTCGGCATGGAGCCGCACTTGTAGTCGACCTGAAACAACCCCTCCGTTGCCGCCACCACGTTCCGCGTATTCACGCCCGGCTTGCCCTTCCACGGTACGCCGCGGCTGCCATACGCAGCGCTGGTGCATTGAAACAGGTTCCTCTGCCCCGACGTCTCGTCGCTCATCGCAAACATGCCGATGAGCCACCCTAAAATGGTGTGGGCGACTCGGGCGATGATGCCCGTCTTCGAATCAAATGTCCGGCCCAGATTGCCCGTGTTGACCCAGCCCGGCCACGAGTGGACGAAGACCACATGAGGGTTCTCATCGGCCAGCTTCTCCAGCCCCAGCGAGTTCATGGTGCCGTATTGTGTCTGAGCCTTCATCATGCCGAAGTTCCCCGGCTTCCTGAGGTCGATATCGTCAAGCTCGACCTTTGCCCTGGACAGCCCCCCCGCCAAAACACTAACAACCCGGGGGGCTTCCGCTTGCTCCAAGAGGGGGAGGAGATGCAAGATACAGGCCACGCGCGAGTAGTACTCGAGGCTCTGCGAGACCTCGATACCCTCCGCTGTCTCGATGCGCTCACCGAAGGGCGCGTAGCCCGCGGTCAGGAACACCAGGTCGACGTGTCGTTCCTTTTGCTTGATCTCGTCGCATACTCGTTTTGTTTCGGCGAGCAAGGATATTTCGGCTTCGGTCCAGATGATTTGGGCCTTGGGATTCATGGAGCGCAGCTCTCGGATGAAGGCGAACGTGCGTTGTTCCGAGCTTTTGCGGCCGACCAGGTAGATCTTGACACTGGCGCCGGTGGCGACAAGGGCTCTGATGGTGAGTTTTCCGATGCCAGATGTGCCGCCCATAAAGACGGAGACGCGTGGTGCCGTGGCATCGTTAATCAGCGCGTTGGAGGCGAGGATTTCGCTGTAAGCAACCATTTTCGGGGGATGAGAGGTGATGATTATTGTATTGCTAAATAATATTGAAACGAGCTGGGCTGAAAGCGGCTGAAGGTTATTATTTATATTCACGAGGAACTTGAAGTCCGAGCAGCTCGCTGCCTATCCGGAAAGTTAAGCCATCCCTGTTGTGCCGACGGCGGACTCTCGGACACCAATTCGCCCGTCCACGCCATTGGATCCTTCATTACATGAAGCCCCACCCAGGGCCGGAACAGAATGTAAGACAGCCATACTTTATATTCCTAAAGTCTTAACCACCCAGTTGGTAATTCATAGAGACTTTAAACTTGTATATGTGTCGGGCTAGTCCTTAGATGTATGGCTTTTAACTTAATTTCATAGTGAGTGTCTGAGCCACGAGAGGTGGTTCGGGCGGACGGTTTAGTGGTATTCGTATTACATACTCGTTTGTATTTGTTTGACATTCCCGTAATTGTTATCGACTGACTTTGTTACTCACGGTCTTTACAATCCGACCAAGGAGCGACGTAAACTGAGAAATAGTTTCAGTCGAGCAATGTTTTTATCCGATTGCCAATGCGGGAAGTGACAATCAGGGTCGTTGAGGATGCTATTTCCTAATCCGGCAGTTTCACATGGGCTGCTCTTTCCTTTTTCAGATCAAAGCTTGCACCTTCCCGCCAGCCAATCGCATTCCAGAACGGGTTAGCGCGGTTATATCCGGTATAGTGTAACGGTTAACATATCGCGTTTTCACCGCGAAGCTCGGGGTTCGATTCCCCGTACCGGAGTTGTACATTTTTTATCACTTACTGAGTTAAGTAGGGTAATTACAAGTTTTATTTTTAGAATATAGAATTCGTCTATATAAAGGAGCTGTTAATCAAAGCGTATTATGAACTAGATATTGTAGTCTTCCTATTCTCATATTATACTTAGACTCATAGGATGTAATTACGTCGATATTTCAACAAATTATTAAGGGTCTGAGGAACCTAGTTCTCGAGAAATACTGTCTTCGGGAAATAGTTAACGGACACGTCGGCGGCAACAACGGGATGCAAGTTCTCTAGCGCCACAGAAGGAGGGGAGTGTACCACGGCGGGAGAGTCGGCCGAAACGCTATTCTGGTCGCGATGCAGCTAAGAGCCCCCATACATCCTATGTCCACATGCCATTGGCCTAGGTACGGTACTGGCCACGAGCCGGCGCCACTGCATCTGTTACAGTCCAAGGTCTCGGTCAGTTTATCGGCTTTCCCTGCTGAATGGAGAAACGATAGTTGACCTCACCTCTACGGGGTAGGAAGATTTGTTCAGCTGCCAATGGCCGTAAGAAATCATGGCCTTGGCCTTGATGTATGCATGTGGTCCTGGTGTTTCGAGGGGAGCTAAATGATGGCTCCCATGTCAGGCGCCAATTCAATGTCCACTTCACGTGCGACTATAGAAGGACACTCAATGACATGCGAGGGCTAGTGAATATTATCAGACGCGTTAATGTAGAAGCAGAGATTGCGAATTGGCCGCTAGGAAAATCGAAGACAAAGAAAAAGCTAAGGCTAAATTTGGGCCGTCATTTCCGACACCGTCCTGCACAGGCACAGTCCTCAAAGCTCATCGTGTGGGTACTCGTCCCGCGGGTATTTACTCGCGTCTCCCGTAGCTTCCCCGCTCGTCGGCAACACAAACGGAACGAGGAACCTCTCTTCGTTCGGGTCGATATATCCAGCGTCGAAGATCAGCTGCGGGTCTTGGTGGCTTGTAAACGCTGCCTCGTCTCTTGGGATCGGCTCCAACTCGTTGGGGCTTGGGCCCTGATACTTTTTGCCGAGCTGGCCGTTGGCGAGCTGTGCCTTTATAAACTTCTTCGCATCGTTGAAGAGAACCGAGTAAGTTGGGATGCCCCGCTTGCGACGGATATTGTTTTTGATGACCGTCGTGATACCAACCATCCACGGATCCCTGCCTTTGAGCGCCTTCACGTTGAATTGCGTCTCGTGACAACCTGCAAGCAGGACCCCCGGCGTCGCGCTGTGCTTGTCAAGCATCCCGCCACCCATGCATGACGAGGTTAAGATAGTGAGGTTGACCCCTTTTTCGAGGTTCTAGATGGGTAGCCGGAATGGTAAGCTATAAGACGTCGCAACGAGTAAGGCTAACTTAGGTCCATAGCAGTGAGCACGCTTACCTCTCGGATGGCATCAGCCAGCCAGTCATCACTGACCACCTCCTTCCGAGTACCGTCTTCATTCTCGGCAAGAATCCAACCCTCATCCATACCATCTGATTCTCCAGATTCCTCGTCGGGAAATGTCGTGCCGTGAGCGTCGACATACAAAAACCGTACATCGCCGGGCCTTGCGTCTTTGCAAAGCTGCGCAAACTTGGATTTGAAATTCGTCGCCGTGGGCGGGTCCTGCCCTAGGGTGCATCTCTTCGGTCCTGTGGCTGGATCGACGTCAAAATACACCATCTCGACGTTGGCCTCTGCAAATCCCAGACGCTCGACAAGCATCTCTTGCACTGTGAAGATGCCATTGTCAGTGCTAGTCCCGAAACGCAAGATCAATCCCTGCGTCCTTCGTTAGCTGGCGTGGCACTTTCTGAAGACAGAGGTAGGTAAGAGGTAAGATACCTAGGTACTCACCTTTTTCTTGTTCGTGTCCCTGAAGTCAGTCCGCTTCAGAGAGTAAGGCGCATTCGAGTCCCGGTCGTTGGACGGGTTTGCCATACGGAGCAGAAGGTTGGTGCCAGTTGTATTCATCGTAAAGTTGTACGTATAGTATCCATCGTTGAATTGCGCGCTCACAGTGCCGTCCGACTTGGGTTGAACACCGGTCATAGTACCGCTCACGGTATGGTTGGCCTTGGGGTTCCCCTCGCCGTCCTTTGTCCACTGATGACTGAGGATCACGGGCTCTCCATCGGCTACGTCGCCGGGTATCACTAGCGTTGCCATCTCGTCTTGGCTGTACTCGAACCAGTGAAGCTTTCCGGTGAAGACCGAAGTCGTAGGGATGCGCACAGCATCGCCATGTCGCTTAGAGAGCGAGACATTGCTTTTGTCACCCGACGGGTTGGACATGGTGAGGGACAAGGTGTTGAGGCCTTCCGATACGACGCCCTCGAAGGCGTAATAATCGAAAGCGAAGCGTACGCCATATTCTATGGCTGTCTTGGTCACGCTGGTGATCAGGCCCAGCTGTGTAGTGTTGCTCTTCTTGTTACCGTTGGTATCAACAGTCCATTGCCAATAGGCGCAGACGGGGTCGTTGACGGCGAAACCGGCGGGGAAGACGATCGTGATACACTCGTCTTTCGCGTAGTCATACCAGTTGACTTTTCCAACGTAGACGTGCATCGTGGATAGGATGGAGACTACACACAGAGTAATAACAAGCGTAGGCAATCTGACTATGGTCGAAAGAACAGGCAAACGTAAGGAATTTATCCCGAAATCATGAATGGGAAGAAAACCTTTTACGTTGAAGCGGGAGGGGCCCGGGGGGGCTGAGTATTCCTATAGGGCTTTCGTCCCCTCCCCGCCTCCCCCTCCCCCTCCCCCGTTCCCCCGTCCACGTACCTCAACACGGGACGCAACATCCAGTGTCCGTTGGAGGGAAAATGTGGAGGCGGCAAGTACCCCTCAAAGTTGCCAGCTCAAGGATCGTCGCATTTAGGTACGGCTGCAGGCTACAAACATGCAGTGTGACTTGACCTCCATGCTGCTGTGGTACGTCGGGCACCTGGGCGCATCCTTATAAATATGCTTTCAATCTAGGCAGGGCGGGGGTGGTCGACCTTCTGCTAAAGGTGGTACTGTTATTGAACGCTCTTAATCTGGGACATGAGCTTTCATGTTACATACCCTAAGTCGACCCAATATCACCCCATTTGAAGTTCGAGAAAGTGACAGCCGTGTCCGGGTGATTCTTCTCAATGAATGCCGGGTCGCCCTCGGTCGCGTTGCATGGCCCAGCATCACCGCTATCCAGCCAGTTCATGAAAGTGTCGGGGTGATTCCAGATGACCATATGCAAGACCATGCCCCTCTGAATCGCTTCTCCCATAGTCGGCAACCCACCGCGCTGCTGGAACCACGACGCGGTCGCGTTGCAGTACCCATCGGTGATGGCCGACACTTCCTCGCCTCCGACGGTCGTGGACTGGTTCTCGATCACCTTGCCGTCCTGGATGTACACTCTTTGGATCTCGGTCAGCGTGCCGGTTGCCTCGCCATTGTCGGTGACGAATATCGTCTTGACGGTGAATTTGCGCTTCGTGTCGACCTTCAGGCCCGGACCGTAGTAGTCGTGAGCTCCGTTCAGGTATGGGTTGTAGCTGCATCCCCACTCGTCGCACACGCCGACGTCCTGGCCGCACTCCTCCTCGCTGGTGCACTTGTACAGGCCCGTGATGTTGCACGAGTGGGGTGTGAGTGCTTGAGAAAGGGAATTCGACTCCCATATGTCCATCTCGTTGCAGCACGCGCCGTATTTGTGGTCGATGTTTGCCTAGACGAGTTGTGAGAATGCGAGGGGGGTTAAGCAGGGTAGGTAGGGCAGGGAGATGGGCTCTTACTATGCCTTCGATCCAGTCGTGCTGCGCACACTGGGCATCGCAGTAGCCACTTTGAGGGAGTGTCAGCTTTGGAACTCATCAACCAACTAGAAGGAATAGCCTCCAGGATGTGTATGGGGAGACTGACGTTCCGTACTCGGCACCAGCGGGATTCAGCTCACTCCGTGCCCCGGTCATGTCCATCTCGCCGATAACCAGAGCGCCATTCATGCCACACACCAACTTCGACAAGTCGACGTCAAAGGTGAACTCCTGATTCAGCAATTTGAAAGGCTCGTAGTTCTTTCCATCGGGAGCCACAAGAAACACCCTCGGGCTACCGACGGTGAGGCTTCCATCGGGGGCCTTGACGAACTGGCTCAGTGTGATGGCGTCTCCCTCCGTGGCCACACCGCGGACAGCATAGTCCACTCCTTCGAGCGCGCAGTTCTTTGCGCATGCCTCCACGTCGGTGCAGTCAGGACTGCCGAGCCAGCACGGGGTACTAGGGTCGTCGACTTTGTGAAGCTTGCGCCAGAGGGCATCATGGACCACAGCCGTCTCGAAGGTCTTGCACCCGTCCTTGAGTGTGCATTTTTGAGTCGGCAGCTTCAAATGCTTTTCGGGCACGGCGGTGCTAATTTGCTGCGCGGCTGCGAGAGCAGGCAGAAGAAGGGCGAGGAAGCCCGGGTACGTGTAAACCATGATGATTGAACGACTTGTGATGAAGGGATGGGAGCGTCGAAGAGGTGGATGGATGGCTGGGGGTGAACCCCCATTTTAATAACAGATTAACCCTGGGGGTTCCTAGGAACAGGGGATACACGGCGGGCCTCCGCCGGCTACTTGGCGGGGAGTTGGATCGCCGTTCTTGGAGGCCGGAGGGGGAGTTGTTGGCTCCGGGGCCTAGAGACCGGGACGGGTCCGGCCCCCGGCCCGACGATGACGTCGGAGCCAACCGCCCTCACCTCCGTTACTCTCTATTACTCTCTAGGCACTCGGCACTATTGGTCAACGAGGCATCGAGATCCACGGCTATTGCCGGTCCGTTCCCACCGTGACAGTGAGCTCCAGAGGAATTACCACTTTCCGTGATACCGAGACACTTGGCTGCTATCGGGTTGTGGAGTTGTCTTGTGGGGTTGGGGAAGCATTAGTCGGACCTGCGACGGTGTCCCTATAATAGTTGAGCTGATAAAAGGTCTGCTCTTAATTATTCGTGCTCACGGGCCGGTTACCTAACAAAGTGCTCATTAAATCGCCAATCAATTCCATCAAAACTGCGTTTATAATGCGATGAGGTCCGCGTTGCGCTCAAGACCAAACCGAACAACCGGGAACAACGGTGCTGCATACGGTACCGACGACTGTTCCTGATGATCGTATATTGGGAGTGCAGAGAACGGCGGCTTCGGATTGGGGCGCTTAGTTGTCAAGGAGTCGTGTTACAACAGCCGGTAGTATCTCCCGGGAATCAATTTTAGCCTCCCCCGGGCGACCCTCCCCCGCAAAACCCCCATGGCGGGCGACGTGACCACATCCCGGCCATCAACGGGCACGAAGGTCTCCCCGGCCCAGGCCCCAATACCTACATCACCGTTGGAACCACCACCACCTCACGACCCCAGACCCAACCACACACACCACTTCCTTCCCGCGACCCCATCCCACAACACCCTCCCCAACCAACCCCGCCTTATTCCACCACCCTCTACACTCCCAACGCCTCCTTAACATAATCCAGCAGCAACGGCCCGACCCGGTCGGCAATCACGCGGTCGCCCTCCAGGTTGGGGTGCACGCCGTCGCGCAACATGGAGGTCGTGAAGCCCGTGTAGCAGTCGGCGACGACGATGGGCGACTCCTCGGTGCTGAGGCCGGCCGCCCACTCCGGGATGCGCGCGTTGATGGCCTGGATGGCGGCGTTGGAGAAGGAGAGGGGGATTACGAGGTCGACCTAGCAGTGCGAGGTTAGTTTTCGGGTTTGGTGGTGGGGTGGCCGGGAGACTTACGATGATCTTGGTCTTGGGGTTGGATGCCCGCATGATGCCGACCATCTTGGTATACGCGTCAATGACATCCTGGGTGGTCTTGCCGCGCACCACGTCGTTGGTGCCGAGCATGAACATGACGATGTCGGCGGGCGTGGTCTGGAGCCAGTTGGTCAGGTAGTTGTTGGCGATGTCGACGGCCAGCCAGCCCGAGTGGCCCTCGTGGTGCTGGTCCCAGTTGGATGTCGTGGGCCGGCAGTTCTGCGGGTTGCTGTTCTGCGACCCGACGTACTGCACCTGGTCCGCGAGGCCGGCCTCTGCGAGCTGGTCCCACACGAAGGCCCGCCAGCAGGTTATCTCGGTGATGCTGTCGCCGAGGGGCACTAGTGTCTTGTTAGGGGGGTGAGTTCGGTCGCTCGGAAAGGACAGCTTACTGATCTTCAGCTTCTGGGCTTGACGCTCGGCGATCTCCACCGGGCTAGCCAGGGCCAGGCTGGCCAGGCTGAAGACTGAAAGGATACCCGACACGTGCATGGTTGCGGTTCTTAGCTATACACACTTGGGACCTGTGCTACTATTGGAGAAATAATATGGTCCAGTCGGCGCTTTCTGCGGCATGAAGCTCCTTCTTATATCCCAACAACATGGTTCGGATAACAGGCGGTGTCAATCCTAGGCAAGTACACTTCCTTCTAGATGCAGAAAAGAAGCACTCTAAATTGTACGCGTATCCTAACTGAGCACTAGCACACCATCAGATTGCCGTGGCCGAGAGCCGCACCGCTCTCCAGCCCATTCAGCGCCTTCCAGACGGCCGGATGTGACGGTCAGATTGATGCCAGATGCACGTATTTATCTACCGGGTTTATACCAGGTCCTTGGTCGGGCGAGGGGAGCTCAGAGAGCGGACTACGCTACTGTTCCGCGCCTATTTCGGCCGTTTCGAGTCTTTACGCATAGGACTGGCAGCCAAGCTGGACGACCATTGGTGCTAATTTTCCCTTCGCCAGATGAGGATAAATGGCACAATTACCGGACGGGTCCGCAACTGTCAACCTGTCATGCACCCACCATATGTTCGGAACTCTAACCGAGGATTGATTGATATCCGGTAGGGCCGGTGCGGGGCCTTCATTAAGGAGACCCCATGCTGCGCAACAATTCGATGCTTTGTCGTTCCCTACTTGAGTCGAACTGAGTGTTCTTGGTAGGGGGTCGCTGAGGGCCGTTCTAGTGAATCCGATCACCCGGGATAAGGAGTCAGATATAGCCGCCGAAGTTAGCTAAGGAAATAATGAAACACGACAAAAGGGTCCAAAGGTAACAAAAAGAGAACAGGAAACTCTGTGAGCAGTTCCATTCTGTGCTGACAACTGTGAGATTCGAACTCACGCCTCTTGCGAGAACGCAATGCAGCCCCTTTTTTAGGGGAAGGTAGTCCTTGAGTGCGTCGCCTTAGACCACTCGGCCAAGTTGCCGTGAATTCCGTTGTGGAGACGAGCCACATCAGTGTAGAACAGGAGCCAGCTTGGGGAGGGTGTGGAAGTTGACATGCATCAGGGTGGATATTGATGGTTGGAACCACATATGGCATTCTCCGCCTGCATTAACGTATCGTCGGCCTGAACAAGTATTTCGATTCAGCTTGCACTCGAAGTGATCAAAAGTGATTGGAAACATGGCATCGATTGTTCTCGGAATCCGCATTCAGGGGCACTATCCGACATCGGAACCTTCCCTGGGACCCGCTCCACCGCGTAAACGTGAAGATCGAAGACGGCCATCAAAATAGCCATGTTTGCGGTTTCGCATGGCTTTGACGGAAGTGTCAGGACTCACGTGCAGCCGACTGAAAACCACTCGCCCCAACCCACTTCCGAAATGGGTGCACCGTGGGCATACTGATGTGAATGAACAGTGGTAAGGGGGCATTGTGACTTTGTCCATGGAAAAGCCACACTTCCAAGGGTCAAGCCATCGTCATTGCCAAGGAGACGTGACATGGCAACGTGTTACCGTGTATCACGTAAAAATAAGAAGTCCATGTGTAATCAACAGGCTCTGGAGGGTCGTTGAGCAAGTGACAATTCAGTCTTCACGGACATATCAACGGCGATCAGACATACAAGGCTAAACTACGATAACGGCGGGATGGCGAGGTTGCACTCGTTAAACTTCCGGGTAGACGTCTCTGCGGTAGTGTTAGGACCAGCCAGATGACCAACACTGCAAGCTTAGAACTTACGTCCGCCTACGCAACGGCACCTCCATCCTGACCTTCCGCAGCAGGTCATGGTCGATCACAGCAGTACCGATCTTGGGCCCATCACTGGCGTCCCCAAGGTCGACTAATACTGTCCCCCACGGGTCGACAATCATGCTGTGGCCGTAGCTTACCCGTTTCTCGTTATGGTTGCCGACCTATGCGGCATCAGCACTCAGCAAGCAGGCCCAACAACATACAACATAGAAGGACGTACCTGGGCGGGAGCAATGACGTAAGACTGTGTCTCAATGGCTCGCGCCCTTAACAAAACCTCCTAGTGCGCTTTCTCGGTGGGGACGGTAAAGGCGGAGGGGTAGGTGATGATGTCGGCACCAAGACGCCGCAAGGCGAGGCTAATCTCGGGGAAGCGCAGCTACACGGCGTCAGCCAGCGAGAGACGACGGCAGTGCGGAGTACCCACATCGAAACATATCGTCGACCCAACCCTCCCAACCGGCGTATCGAACGGTGTCTCAATCCGCATTCCCTTCTCGACGGACCTAAACACACCACAGTCAGACCAACAACCAGCCCCTCAACCACTCAAAGACACGCACTCGCTCTCCTTCAACACCGGCCCTCCCCCGATATCCACATCAAACAGATGAATCTTCTGGTACCGATGCGCAATCTCGCCGCGCTCGTCTATCCACAGGACAGTGTTCTTGAGCTTGTGGCCGTCTAGGGTGGGCTCGTGCACGCCGACATGGATGGGCAGCTGCCAACGGTGCGCCTCGTCCTGCAGGCCCAACACAAACTCGCTCTGCTCGACGGGCTGGGCTAGGCGGATGCTTTCGGCTGCGGAGCCCGCGATGTAGTCGCTTGCTTCGGGGAGGAAGAGGGCCTGATGTGGAGGTGGTTAGCATGATGTCTGAGATGGCAGTGAGAGAGGATGGTTGGGAAAGTGAGCATGGATGATGGAGCTGACCTGGGCGCTGGCTTGGGCTGCTTGTTCGACGAGGGTGCGGCACTGGGTAAGATTGTGGGTGATGTGAGAGGTCGATGTTAGCTGACCTACAGCCTGCTCACAGAGAGGGTGTCAGCTGGAAAGGCGTGCGGGTTCAGGAGAAAGGAGAAGAGTCGGAAGTCGTTCTCGCTAGACACCAGGGTCGTGGCTTACTACTATCCGCGCCCTGTCATTTTTCGAATTGTTAGAGGGGTTAACTTGTCCACTTTCGTCCGTCATTTTGGTATTTCATGGATCAACAGTGAGAGCATTCCAAAGTGGACGGTGAGGGTGGGCGAAGGAAAACAAGGTCAGACGACGAAATCCCCGCACAGGCTGACGGCAGCACGCAATTTTCGACACTGTGTTCCGCAGTGGGCTTGGTTCCCAACTCTCAACCTCACCCAGGCACCAAAACGGAAAAACACTCTCTGAACGGGACTGAATCTAGTAGGAATCATGGCTTGATACCCACTGGTTCGTCATCTTAGCCGAATGCATACGTGCCATTAAGAATGGTTTCTGGGTCAACATTGCTGACAGCACAGTGTTTATTGAGTACTTCTCCCCCGAGCCCACTTGAGAAACACAGCTGCGGTCGCAATAAGCCTTCACAACACCCCGATCTGGGTAATCTTACCAGCCAAGCACGTTCTCCCCTAGATGTCACAATAGCAACACCACTGACGAACATGGCATACCTTCACGGGACCAAGACCCATCCATCCTTAGACGCAAGGTTGGGTTCGGAATGTCTCGGAACTGTCGTGAATTCATGATTGCCCAGCTTTCCCGCCTGGGGCAACCCTCCTGGGATGGGGTCGTCATGTCGGCATCCGCAAGCCACAAACTGCAGTGCTGCAGCCTGCAGCCCTAATCGACCATCGCACACACAACCACGCCCATTGGCGTACCACCGGTTCCCTTGCCTGTCACCGGCATTCGCGCGGCTAGGATGATGCCCTGGGGTTCGCTGAAGAGCCGAATCTGTCAAGGTCGGGCATCCTCAAGCGCGCCTGGCCATGCATGATGATGCATCCTGCAATGCTACAGCGCTACTTCCGACACAGGCCTTGTAGAATCGCGTTTGCTGTCGGACCGGTTCCTCTCCCCCACACCTGTCTCTCCCTCCGACCCCGGTTGTTGCACAGCCCGGAGATCCGAATAGTGGGACACGCGGCTGAGCTTCATGCATCGTTGAACACAAGAGTTTTGTGGGACTGGGGTCAGACAGAAGTCACAACTTTTGACAGGAAGACAGATCATTGCGGGCAATACGCAGACAGGGAGTGAACAAGTTTTGAGGCATCAACCCCAAAGTCCGCTGCACCCCTGGTTGGCGAACTGTGATGGGATGTGCCGGCTCTCTGTGGTGACTCTGCTCCGATCCCAAAATAGCAGGCTGGAAATACCAGAGTTGGCTTCCATGCCAAAAAGTGATACCGGTGACCTTGGATGATGCCGAGCAAAACCTCGGCGAGATCCCCGTCGGAAGTTGCGGAACTTGGCTGCCAGGTTGCACAAACCTCCCAAGCACAACTAGCTCCAAACTGATTTTTCTGCCACCTCCTGTGATGAATTAAAATGTATCCAGGATCCAGACGTGCTCCCCCGACTTATCAGATGTTCTGCGATCAGCGGCGCGGCCAGGTGTGGGTCCGTTTCGAGAACAATACGAAGAGCGCGGCAAAGGACAATACCAACACAGGACGACTATTGCGGGACGCGCTTAGCCACCTGAATGGCCCACCGCTCACCACTTCTCATTGTCCCCTGCAATATGCTACGTCTGATGGATGATGGTATTCTTTGAAGATAGCCCACCCAAAAGTGAGTCGGTGCCGAAGGGGAGATGGCCTGGTCCGGTCTGGATCTTGGGATTGTTCTTTGAGGACAGCTCAGCAGAATAGGGGTCGGCTGGTTGAGGAAATCCTTCATGTCCGAAACGACCAGCTCAATCTCAGCCGCTGTGTTGCTATCATCTCCATCAACAATTCTCAGAACATGGCTCGGAGGGTTCTCATCGTGCCTCCGTCAACATCAAACTGACATATACCGTTCAAGTGCCCATTTCCAACAGCCATCAACAGAGCCCTCTGAGACACCAGAACTCATCACCACACCAGTTCCGCGACAAACCCATCACCAGCCAACCTTGCACCTCTCAAACTCCCTTCTTTTGTCTCCCTTTCTCTTCAACACCAACGACACAACCATGTCCAACACCACATCCCCGCCACCGGGGCTGCCACCACCGGCCACCCCGTTCGACCCGCTCAACCAGACGTCCTTCCTCCTCTACGGGGACGGCAGCACCCCGGTCCCCTTCAACACCTTCAACGTGACGCAGATCTACCTGCAGGCGACATCGCTCTCGATCCTGTACGGCACACAGATCGGCGCCTGCTTCATGACGCTGGTGGTGGTGCTGGGCATGACGCCGCGGGCGCGGTTCCGGCGGCTGCCAACGCTGGTGAGCGTGGCGGCGCTGGCGCTCAACACGGCGCGCATGGTGCTGCTGGCCGTCTTCTTCGTCACGTCGTGGGTCGACCTGTACGTCATCGTCGCGCAGGACGCCACGGTCGTCCCGCGCTCCGACTTCTACCTCAGCGCCGCCGCCACCGTCCTCAGTGTGCCTGTGACGGTCCTCATCCTCGCCGCGCTCTCCATCCAGGCCTGGTCCATGCTGCGTCTCTGGGGCCCGCTCTACAAGCTCCCCGCCGCCGCGCTGTCGCTCGTGCTGGTGCTGCTGACGGTGGCGTTCAACATGATGACGACGGTGATCCAGACGCGTGCGATCCTGTACGCCGACATCAGCCAGATCGCCGACTGGGTGCGCCAGACGTACCTGGGTCTCATCACCGCCTCCATCTGCTGGTTCTGTTTCCTCTTCAACATCCGCCTCGTCATGCACATGTGGACCAACCGTAGCATCCTCCCCAGCCTCAAGGGCCTCAAGGCAATGGACGTGCTGGTCATCACCAACGGCATCCTGATGTTCGTTCCCGGTAAGCCCTCCCCCCCACCTTCACCACCTCTTTCACCACCCACCCCCCACCCACGTACTAACCCCCTCAACAGTAATCTTCGCCGCCCTCGAATTCGTCCAATGGGACCGCTTCGAGCCCGGCTCCATAACCCAAACCTCCGTCATCATCGTGCTCCCCCTGGGCACCCTTGTCGCCCAACGCCTCGCCAACCCAGCTTGGTTCGGCACGGGCCACTGCGCCGCCGACACCTCCTCCTCAGCCAACACCACGGGTTCCGGCGCGGGAGGATCGTCGGCCCTCTCCCGCGGCGCGCTGTCCGGCACTACTACGGCGACGAGCGCGCGCCGCCCGCTGCTGACTAGCGTGCGCAGCAATACGAGTGTGGGCGGGGGTGTGCATCGTGGGGGTGGGGGCCGTGGGAATGTGTCGACGCATATTGCTGCGGGCGGGAGTGAGGCGTCGTCAGTGGGGGAGAAGGGGGGGGTGATGCATGTGGATGGGAGGGGAGGTATGGGGGAGGGGGAGATGATGGGGGTGGATTTGGAGAGGGGTGGTGGTGGTATTGGTGGTGGTGTGAGGGTGGATTATGGCATTGAGCGGAGGGAGGAGCGCTTGCTGCCGACTGCTAGCGGTGGCTCTTAGGCGGAGTTGCTGTTTAAGCGGGCGGTGGAGGAGGCTGAGGTGGTTTAGGTCGGGGGTAATTAGCTGGGGATGGAGTTGGGTGGGTGAGGCAAGGGAGGCGGGTGGGTTGTTGAAACTTCAGATTGCATGGCGCCAGAGTTCCAGGTTGTTTCTTTCGGGTTGGGCGCTGACCAAGTTGATCATCGAGGATTGCGCGCTGGTTTCCTTCGTCAATACTTTCTTCACAGGCCGTGGATGGCAGATTGTAATTACCATTTCTTGGGCTGGTACATTTTTGCCCTCATTTAACACATCTTGTTCATCGATCATCGTTGTCGATTCCAATCTGCACCGGTGTCTTGGTACTGTTGTTCGGTCCCAAAACCCTCAAAAGCCGACCGGGACTCAAAAAACACTGCCAAAGACGTAGAGTGGCCCGGGAAGGCGTGATGTTCTTTCCGCCTCAATTCCAGGGGCACCTTCCCCCAAGCCACTCTGCGAGGGACAACGGAGTGCTCTTTCCCGTCCCTTTTGGGCTGCGCGACCTAGCTGTGGATGGGACGTGGAAACCTCTCGGTTCGATGCCCGGCTTTCTTGTCTCAAAATGCCCCCGAGTCCAAGTGGAAGCCTGAAGATTTCAACGCAGCACGACGACACACACCACTTCAGCCTATGGAAGGCCTGGGCATTCCGCCCACTCGGGACTTTTCAGATTTGAAGTTAAAACCGGAACCTCTACGAGTATCACGCAGGAGTCATTTGAGCCCGCAGAGCAACCGCCCTTCCGCTTGCAAGCATCTCTACCCCGACGCGAAGACACATCGACCAAACCGAACGAAAAAGGGGGGAACGACCGATTGCGGCAGACAGACAACGCCTCACTTTGCCGCTCTCGTGGCCAAATTCGAAATGCTCGACGCTGTCGGTAACGCTAACGCAACACTTCATCGCCAACCCACTGATCTGGTCCCTCCACAACTGGCTACGTTCAGCGCCCCGGCTGATATCCAAGTTGTCTCAAACGAACACAGGCCTGAGCGACTCGCTGCTTGTTTAGTCGAAAGTGACAAGGCCCCCACCGATAAAACCACCGCAGCAACCGTATGCTTAGCCGCAATGATACGCGAGGGTCCGTCCAGCCCAAACACAGAAAAGGAGGCCAAGACGGATCAGGCGCCCAAAAGGCCGGAGGACTGTGGCACGTCCGGGGACTAGGTGTCTCCGAAGTCTCGAACGGATCCCATTGTTACAGACTCGAAAGAATTAACCACATCGGTGCAGCGGGCAGCTCGCGCCGCTGAAGGTCGGGGAGGCAGGGCCCCGTTGTCGGTTGCGGAGAGGAGGAAGCTATTCGAGGCACAAACAGGTCAGTGTAAAAACTTCGACTCCGTATTGGATACAGCTCTGACCCAGTAAAGGCCATGTGGTGATCTCGGAAGCCGCTGGCAAGCCCGCCATTACGCAGTCTGCGACAACGCTGCTCAATCATGATGAAAAGCCACGAAGAGAGTCAACCCTCCGCAGCACCGACCCACTCCTAGCACCCACCCATCCAGTCTCAGGGACACGGTCTCCCGATGCGCGCGCTCGTCAGGCATTGCAAATCACGGAGCTTGATTGCCATCGAGCTGCTGGTCATCAACACCCGAAAGAAAACCAATATAAACGCCACAGTGTCGCGGATCTGCGCCGAGCCTTTGACCCAGGACACTGGCCGACGCCGGATGAGGTGTCTAGTCCCTTACTCCCAGATACGCCGAAGCTACCACGGCCGCCCAGTACCGAGATACCGCCCAGATCCATAGGTCAGTCAACCATACGGCGCTCTAGGCCACAGCTGGATGGGCAGCCCAGTGACCTCGATAGTGTTGACATGGCTTGTTCGCCAACTCGAATCCCTGAGCCGCGAAATAAAACGCATGCCCGGCAACGCGCAAAAGCAGTCACCGTTCGGCAGGCTGGGGGAAGGGGTCTTCGAGCAAGCCTCATTAATGAACTGTCACGGACTATGAATCGGAGGAATGGAGCGCCCAAACAGGACCACAGTACCGATCAAACCCTGGTGGGCGCCTCAGGCTCCGGTTCATCAGACTCAGAACCATTGCTGCTGTCAAGGACGGGTTCTGTCGAAGACCACCCCGTTTGCCCCGGCTCGAGTGGCAATGCGCAAGCGATATTGCCGAACAAAAGGATACAACAAGTTGGAATGGGACCCGATGCAGATTCTGTCAACTCTCCGGAGATTTCCACAGGGACGACAGGGGCGCCAATGACTTCTCCATACCTTCAGCACTGGAGAACGAGAGGGGATAGGAGATCACTGAAGTCCAGCCCAAGCCTCCCAATGATTGTACCGACGACCATTGCTGCGAGCACTCGTAGCAGCATACGCCAGTGCTCTTCCCCAGAGAGTTTGATACACCGTGGCGTAAGGTCACGCGGCTCAACCCGGATGTCAGCGCATGCCTCTTCCAAAGGGCGGTCGGGAGACGATCTCCTAGAGATCTTTGGAAGTGACATAGCCGAATCTGGAGAGTCCCCGGTGAAAGACAGAATTAATCTGTTTGAGAACATGGGGCGCCCGCCCAGCATTGAAGAGAGCGCCCGACCCATGTCTCGAGTCAAGGGGAGTGAACCATCGGAAAGCTCCGTTGAAGAGGAGTTGCACGTGGAAAAGAGGCAAACATGGCAGCGCAGGCTCGCGTCCCAAACGCTACGATCAGTGTCTCTCACAGGTCGTAGAAAGCTGCGCAAAGAACCCAAGTCAAGGATTCCCGTCCTGAAGAAGCGCCGTCGACCAACTCCCGCCGCGGCTGGCTCACCATCAGCTGTCTCTACCGATTCGAAGCGAGAGTCAAGCTTCTCCTTCAAGGCGACTCTCCGAAAGATCTCAAAATCCAGCAAGAACTCCGAGAGCCGGCTCCCTTCCGCAACAGCCACCCCGGTCGGACCAAGGGCAACCCCCTCCATTGAACTCCTGAACAAAACCGCCAAAATCGCCCCTCGACCCTTCCACAGGACCCAACCAATCCCCACCCACGAGATCAACGGCATGCCAACCCAAGAACCGGCATGTAACAGCCGGCTCACATCCCGCACTCAGCACGCAAATGATGGCACAAACATAAGCACAACGGCGAGCGTGACTAGCGCCGGTGTCTCATGGGGTCGCCGCGCCGCCGCTGTCGCGTTGGATATCGGGCGCCGCTTCAAGACGCAGACCCAAGCCCAGGCGCGCAAAGCCAGCTCTTCGGGGCGTTCGGGGTTGTCGTATTCCACGCTGGTGAACACCACGCCCGTGGACGGGGATGACCGTGGGTTTGTGGCCGGGGGCTACGGCGGGGAATGGCTCGGCGCTGTCCCTGCTGACGATGCGGTCGAGGAAGCGAGATCCCGGCCCGCCACGGCGATGTCAATGGGCGGAGTCGCGGCGGGGTATGACTATGGCCGCGGCCGCGGGGGGTAGGACGCTGCTGCGCCGGTGTCGCTGCCGGTGGTGGTGGTGGGCCTGCATGACTGCCATTTGGTGCATCCGCGGCCGGCGAGGGTGTTGGATTTGGGGCGGATTGGGGCGTTGGATGTGCCGGTTGGGTTGCGTAGTTGGGGGTGGGAGATGGGGAGAGGGTGGGGAGGTTGTGTGGGGGTTGGGATGGGGCATGGTATGGGGTATGGCATAGGGTGCGGATTGGAGCATAATATGAAGCTTGAACTGCGACATGGCATGGACATTGGGATTGGAATGGGCCATGGGGGTTTGGTGGTGGCGAGAGCGAGGTTGTAGAGTTATTCAGGGGGTTGGCTGAGGTTATGGGTTTGTTTACGATGACATGAGAAGGAAGTTGTATTGTTGACTTGGTGGTAGTGTGGAGATTGGTGTATTGTTTGTATGTCTTTTCTTATGGTCTAGGTTACATCAGCAACGCGGAGGTCGAAGCTCAAGCTTAAATGGAAAGCAATAGTGTTCCTGGATCTCGTTCGCCAAACCTGACGTAGACGCGCGAGGAAGCGGGCGTTGCGTCAACTTTGTTGTCATCGAGAAACAGACAGGCATGTGCTTTCGACGGCCTTGATATTTTTTAAACCCTTCTACAGACGACCATAATCCTTGGACCTCATGCTCATGACACATTCACATCATCCCCACTCTTGTCCCTCAGCACCCTTCTTCCACAACTTCAACTTCCGCCCACTCCCCCCTACTCAGCCAAGCCCATCCCCCGCCCAATCTTCTTGACCAAAGCCTTCTTCAGATACCACTCCCTCGCCATCCCGCGCGTCATCTTGGCAAACGTCTGCGGCACGATGCGGCCGCGCTCGACGGCGCGGCCCAGCACGAAGATGGCGTCGGCGAGCGCGCGCTCCTCGGCCACCAGCTCGTACAGCTGGTTGCCCACGACGGTCGGCGCCACCAGCAGCTCGTCGATGTCGGGCTCCGGGTGGTTCGCCGACCCCTCGATCACCCCGTCCGCCTGCCGCAGCGAGTCCTGCAGGATCGCCGTGTTGGATGTCAGCAGTGCGGTCAGCTGCGTCAGCTGCGCCGACTCGGCTTGGAGTGTTGCCATGGCTTGTTGCATGGCGGCGCGCTGTGCGTGGAGGCCCTGCAGGGAGGTGGTGTTTTGGGCGCGCGCTTTTTGCCGGTGCATGTAGAGGGTTTGGGCGAGCTGGTGGAGGAGGTGGTCCTTTTCGGGGTTGGGGGGGATGGGTGGTGCGGGGACGGCTGAGGGGGAGGGGATGGCGAGCGTCAGGTCGTCGTCCATGAGGTCGGGAGGAGGGGGCGGTTTGGGTTTCGGTTGGGGCTGAACGGGCGGCGGGGGTTGTTGCCAGGTTGGCGGAGGGGTGTTGTATTGCGGAGGGTGGCTGAAGGTTGCCATGTGCCGGGGGTCGGACGGTGGGACGGGGGCCTGCTGGGGACCCGGTGGGAAGCCGGCTGGCGGAGGCCCTTGATACTGCGGAGGGCGTTGAGGAGGGGGATTTTGGGCGGGGGGGGATAAGGGTCCCCTTTGCGCCAGTGGAGCTTGTGGTCCTTGGGGCGGCAGCGGAGGGGCTGTCTCGTAACGCGAGGGTCCAGGTCTCGGGGGTTCCTGACGCGACATCGGTTGCCCGTTGGGTGCATGGTGACTCGGTTGGCCGCCCACCTTTGGCGGAGGCGGGGGGACTGGGGGTCCGCTCTGTTGAACGGGAATTGGAGAGGGTTGCGGTTGAGATGCGACCTGGGGCCCCGGCTTTGGTGGAGGTGGGGGTGGTCTTGTATCGTCCGGTGCCGCGGATTGTACTCCGCTGGCAGGTCTCGGGGCGAGGTCGGGCGGCAGCGGAGGTACGGGAGGCGGTGTGTGTGTTTGTCGGGCGGCAGGAGGTGGCCCTTGTTGGCGGGCAACAACCGGGGGCTCCTTGGCGAAGATGTCTTGTAGAATAGCCAGAAAGTCCAGGATAGTAGATTTCTTCCGTCACAAATCAGCTCCGTATCCTTTCTCCGGCGATATACCACAACTTACATCCCAAAACGTCGACCAGCCAACAAGGTAGGGGTGATAGACCTGACCCTGTGGGTCAACGTGCTGACCAGGACGGACGACCATGGTCTCGGTCGGGGTCACGTAGGCCAGGGGAGGCTCGCGCGGGTATGCGTGCGGTACCCATATCGATATCGGGAAACGGTAAGTTGCGCCGCGGAACAGGACCGGTATTGTCCCCGAGAGATGGAGAAGCAGGGCAGAGTTGCCGTCGGGGAACGCTGTGAACGCACTGTTAACCGGGGCCACAGGCTACAGTTGAGAAACACCAAGCTGGGATTGCGGATTTCATACTGTGGACATCAGTCCTCGGCGACAGAGATGGATACTGTGACAGCGCTTGGGCTACATCGTTGTAGGTTCGATTGACATCGTGATATTCCTGGTGGGAGGAGGAGAGGGGTCAGCTTCTTGGCTTCGATCGATGAGCGAGTCCGGGCGGCGCACACTTGTTAGGACGCTGTAGAGCCAGTTGAGCACATGTTGTTGGACCACCATGTTGGCTGGTGCGGCTGCGGCACGGGGCTATCGACGCATGGCCTTCACTGTCGAGATGTGTTTGTTGCCGCAGCCTACGAACAGCAGCGCAATGCTCCCGTGTGGAGGTGCCAAGCCCCTCCGATCGCGTGTCTTGGCGCGCCATGACGAAGTCAGTGCTTGGCGGTGAGGTGGCCCAAGCTCCCCAGATCTTGCCTGCCGCGACCAATTCGGTTGCTGACGGTCTTGCTGCGGTCGACCCTGGATCGACTGTGGCGCGCTTCCTCGTGTGACCCCACATGCACACCGCGCCACATGACGAAGGGTTGGGTTCGCCTGCAGTTTCGCGACCATGAACCCCGGTTTGTTGACGCTGCATTGACATTGACATTGACACCTTTCGAGTTTCAACACGTTTAATGTTATTCCGTTACCAGCATGACTGATACTTCAACATCCTGCGCCCAAGCCCGATAAACCCGCGACCAGCCGGAATACGCGGCAATGCCGGATGACGCGCAAAATGGCAGAGGTCACACTCTCGGCCCGGCCGCGGCCGTTGTCGGCCCAAGGCACGGAAAGGTCCTCAGAATCGGCCAACAGCAACTCTTTGTGACTGCGATATTTTCCCCGTTCCCCACCATGCCACAATTGGAAGAACAGGATTAGTGTTTCTAGAAACCCGATGCCGCAAGTGGAACAGCCAGGATAAACGAAACAGCCCTGAAGAGGGGCGAACTTTCTGGTCGTCTGAGGTTTGGCGATTACAAAGGGGGCCCACTCCTCCGAGCCAGAGTCTGCGGCCGCTACTGCTCGACTCATCATCATCCCTCCTTCCTTTCCCAAACACCGGCCTGGACTGAATTTTTCCTTCCCAACTCTTTTACATGCCCACGCCACATCCCAGTTCTCGCACGGCTGAGGAGTATTACAGAACTCATTCTGTATACTCCTTGCGTCAGGACTCTTCTCGTTTAACCTCAATCGCCTAAGAATCAGCAACATTATTTTCCGCTCCGCATTGGCTAGTAGCAAGCGAATTGGCTTGTCCTTATTTCCACAGCCATAAGAAACAGCATCTAAACTCCAGCGAATTTATTCCTCCCCCTCGGGCCCGTCCCCCCAGCGGAAGGCATGCTTCCTTCAATCCCGGTCTTGGCCGACTATGGAATCTCTCCAGCCCACGGGTTCCTCCCGAACGTCCTGCCGTTGACGCGACTCCCGGACCCCTACTACAACAAGTGGGAGGCCATCGTCGCGAACCTGCAGGGCCTCATCCTCAGCAGGCGGCTGCGTGGAGTCGTCGATCGCCTCCCAGTGCTCTCCACCATCGGTCTGGAACATGACGCAGAATGGCGCAGAGCCTACATGCTGCTATGCTTCATGGCTCACGGCTACATCTGGGGTGGTGACAGCCCCAGTGACCGCCTGCCGGCCCCCATCTCGGTCCCCCTGCTGGAGATCGCTGAGCACCTCGAGGTGCCGCCCGTCGCCACCTACGCCGCGGTATGCTTGTGGAACTTCAAGCCGCTCTTCATGGACGAGGAGATCGATAATCTCGAGAACCTCGCCACCCTGACGACGTTCACCGGCTCGCTTGATGAGTCGTGGTTTTACCTCGTCTCGGTGGCCATGGAAGCCCGCGGAGCCCCCATCATCCCTCTGATGCTCACCGCCATCGCCGCCGCCCGCGAGGACGATGCCACCACCGTGACGAGCTGCCTTAACACGTTCGCCGAGCGGTTGGATGACCTTTCCACCCTGTTGCACCGTATGCACGAGAGCTGTGACCCGCACATCTTCTACCACCGGATCCGCCCCTTTCTCGCTGGGAGCAAGAACATGACTGACGCCGGCCTACCCCACGGTGTCATCTACGAAGATGGTTCCGGTAAAGAGACGTACAGCCAGTACGCTGGTGGCAGCAACGCGCAGAGCAGCCTCTTCCAGTTCTTTGACATTGTTCTGGGCATTGAGCACCGCCCGACGGGCGAGAAGAAGCCGCAGGGCGCCGGGAGCGAGGAGACGGAACGCCAAGGCCGCGCGCCGCCCCCCAACCACAACTTCATCACCGAGATGCGCCGGTACATGCCGGGCCCGCATGCGCGCTTCCTCAGCGACGTGCAGGCAGTAGCCAACCTACGTGACTACGTCGAGCGGAACAGCGCCAACCGCCCGCTGGCCGTCGCTTATGACGCCTGCCTGTCCATGCTGCGGGCCCTGCGCGACCGCCACATCGCCATCGTCACCCGCTACATCGTCATCCCCTCGCGCGAGGTCCGCGCCCGCAGCCGCAGCCCGGAGGCCACGCGTCGCAGGGTGAACCTCGCCACCGGCTCCCGCCAGCGCCCCCAGGCGCCGGGTATTGCGTACCACGCCGAGGAGCCGGACGCTGCGAGCGGCGGCAAGAAGAACCTCAAGGGCACCGGCGGCACCGCGCTGATATCGTTCTTGAAGCAGGCGAGAGACGAGACGGGTGAGCCTGCCGTCGAAGAGTGGACCAAGCGGTTCATGAGCCGCCAGCCGCGGACCGAAGGCCAGGGAGACTTCTTCGCCGGTAAGCCCGAGGAGGGGGCCGGCCTCGAGGTTGCGGCGAACACGGAGGAGGTGACGGTGCCCGGGCTGGCGGGCAGCTGGACTATGGATGATGACGTCGGTGGCATTTGTAATTACTAGGGGTAGAGGAACTTGAGAGCGGGAGTTTAGAGCGTTAGCAGAGTAAAGCGATATCGCTAATAGCATTTTTGACCAACATATGTCATGTCCGTTGTCATCCACTCATAATGATCACAAAAAGAGACAACACTATCCATGCGGCACAGTTTAGTCCTTGTACTAAAAAGTATATTTTCCGTTCTAACGTTTATAATTTGTGAAATCCGAGCAAAGCAGACAAAACAAACAAGTTGTAACAAGACACACTCACATGTTCTAGCTTACCCACTCTCCCCATCAAGCAGCCAAAGCCACCCCATCATCGTCCCTAATCCCCAGCCTCTGAAACTCCCTCTCCCACTCCTCCTTCTCATCCGCCGTCACATCATTCCCCCTACGGAACCGCTCCTGCTCCTCCCCCTCCTCCTCCACCCGCCTCACATCCCTCAACAACCGCCTCGCCTCCCGCTCCCTCTCCCTCCTCTCCTGCTGCGCCCGCGCCGCCTTGGCCATCTTGCGCGGCGTCGTCCCCATCAGCCACAGGCCCATCTTGGCCGCCGTCGGCATCGTCTCCAGGTTCACCCGCAGCACCTGCCTCCCCCTGCTCCCATTCCTCCTCTCACCACCGTCACTGACCTGATCACTGACCTGGTCATCATCATACTCCATCGGCGGCTCCACAAACGGCAGCCGTGACGGCTCGGCGTCTGCGCCCGAGGGCGGCAGCCGGTCATACCCGCCGTGGTAGCCGCCGAGGCGGGAACCCTCGCTGGCGCGCGGGTCGTGTTGCGGTGGTGGTTGCTGCTGGTGCTTCTGGAAGACGGGGTTGGCGCGGGGCTGGGAGGAGGCGCGGGAGTCGGGCCGGAAGAAGGCTGAGGAGTTCCGGAACTTTGGGGGGTAGGTGTCGGAGCGGTGGGAGGCTCTGCTGGGGGGGCGGGGGTCGTTGGGGTTGAGGGAGTGGGTTGAGCATGACGAGATGGATGGGGTGGGTGGGTGGTTGGGGCGTGGGGTGATGCTGGGGTTGGGGTTTGGGGAAGACATACTGCTTGGTTAGCGTTGGGTGGTGGTTTGGATGGAGGTGGGTGTGGGTTGTGGTGTGGTTTGGGGGTCGGGCATGTCTTGCGGCGTTCAAAGATGTCTCCGATGAGTAGGTTTTATACCGCTTTGCTGAAGAACTGGCCACAATGAACTTATTCCGTGCTGGCTGAACAGGCGTGGGAGGTGCATCAGTTTTGACGGGCCACATTGTTTAGTCCATGAATCCCACAACGGAACAAAGGAGTACCAAAGCTTTGGGTTAAGAAACCTTTTGGCAATTGCGTGGGGCTCTAAAAGCGTAAGGCTCAAGAAATTCTGCAGCAACAAACGGGTTAATTGGGTTACCGGGACCATGTCCTAGGCGGCGGCTTGTTGTCTCCATCGTCTCCATCGTCTACAGGTGCCAATCTAGGTACCTCGACCTGAGACGTGGTCATGGTCTGCGGGAGCCGTTGGTCGTCCCCCCCGTTCCACCCAGCAAGCTTTCGTAATTTGAAGGACGGAAAAAGCTCGGGAGAGAGGTTTATGAGAGCGGCCCGAGTGGGTTGGTTCTTAACCCAAGGAGCGCTGGGCCTGCACGAAAATGATGGATGACGAAGAACAGAGGTATCGTGTATGCGCATCGAGATTGCATCCGCCAAACGCCGCCCATGAGTTACTAGATAATCCGATATCCGAGCATCCGGTCCATCTAGTTTGTATCGTACAATAGTCTTCCAAGTCTCGTACATGTATCCGTCCGCATCGTCGTATTCCTCGTTTTTCGGGATCGTGATATTCGGTCGGTTACTCGGGGCTAAAATGGGTCAATACAGGAATCGCGTGGGAGGCGGAGGGGTCACAAACCAGAGGATGGCTCCGGCAAACCCGCTAGCTAGGAAACTGACAGCGACCTGTTCATCGATTAGCGGGGTCTTGATATCACGAAGATGGGTAGCAACTCACGCCAAAGGCAGCGACGCTGCGAAAAATGGGGGCGTTCTCGGAGACAACGAACGCATTGTAGACGCCAGTGATGGGGTTGTAGGAGCGGCGCGAGCCGCCGAGACGCTTGGGAGCCATTGTGATATGGTGAGCTGGTCGGCTGGTGATCTTGCGCGATGGGTGCGATGGATGGAGAGGTCTTGGTCGTGGCGGGACCCTGGCGGCGATGCAGAAGCCGAAATTTTGGGCGAGCAGGGATACGGGACGCACGGACCCTGCTGCACGGACCACCACTGCCTTGGCACGTGCTTGATCAAACTGAATTGGAGGCGGAGGCTCAGTCAACAACTGCCCTTTCCTCCACGAGTCTTGGCTTTTCCTCTCGTAGAAGGAACGGCAGTCCCCAAGAGCGTTGTCGGCTACTAAATACTTCCAGACGTTTTCTACATCGGCATTCCCCCCCACCCCGTAAACACCAGAGAAGTTCAACTCCTATAACTTAATACAGATTAAATGTAGAACTTGCTGTTCTGGCGCCATTTTCCGGTGTCTTGATAGTGCAGGGCGCTTGGTCACAGCCAAGTACTGAGTACCTCGCCCCCTCCAATTCTATTAGTGGACCCTACCACTCTCCAATAAACGTTCTAGTCTTGGGTACCTGTAGTTAGTTCGAGAAAGTATTAACTTCGGAATCTAGGAATCCGTTTTCTTCAACTTGTAACAGCGTTGACGAGTCAAGGTACCTTAGGTCGGTACCTAAGCGCCCCCAACTTCGATAAGAACGGTGCAGCCTAGCATCTTCTCTAACGCCCCTACCCCGCAACACCATGCCGACCACACAGCCGACCACACATCCAGCACAGGAGGATGACCACGAAGCACGATTCACATCATGCTCCCGAATTATCCCCAACCTTTTCCTCGGTAACGTGGTCGCGTCATACCACATCCCCACACTCCAGGAGCATGACATCTCGGCCGTGGTGTCCGTCATCGAGGACAACAATCCCCGGTGGGAGCTGCAGGAATACCGCGCGTTGATCCCAGCCGAGAACCACCTCATCGTCCCCGCTGGCGACACAGACACTCAGGATTTGCTTGTTCACTTGCAGCAGATATGCGACTTCATCGATGCCCAACACGAAGTGGGCAGACGAGTGTTGGTGCACTGTATCGCGGGGGTGTCGCGGTCGCCGACGGTAGTGGTGGCGTATCTGGTGAGGAAGTGGCGAAAGGGGCTGGACAAGACGCTCAAGTACGTCAAGGGGAAAAGGAAGGAGGTGCGGCCGAGTCCGAATTTTATGGAGCAGTTGAGGGTGTGGGAGGAAGTTGCGTATGAGATGTGGGAGGATAGCGACGCAAAGACGGCCAAAGATCCGTATCAGGCCTATCTCGAACGGAGAAAGGAAAGGTTAAGGAAGAGGCTATGTGTGAGCTAGGAGAGTGGGTTGAACTTGAAGGAGATGAGGTTGCGGCTCGGGACTATGAACGGCAATGGCAATTGTGAGTGCCCAGATTCGTCTCATACAAGTGACCAGACCACCATACGAGCTTCAAAATGATGCGTTAGTATTGACTCCACGCCAATTTATTATGAAGATCGAGTGCAGCAGGTATGATATTCGGGCAGCTAAAATGTACTATGGAGTATCGAGAAAGAATGACCTTTTTAGATATTGCTATTCCTGGATGGGGGAACTCAACTTCTAATTACTTCTACTTAACATGTGTTGGGGCGATTGTAAGCTTCCCGCAGCCCGGCTACTTCGAAGACTAGGATAACCCTACAGATTAAGCAAGAGGCAGCGTAGCGAACAAGAATAAAAAATGCATCCTCGGGTGCAATAAACATGACTCCCGAGAAGACGATGGTGCCAAAGACAAGGTGGACAAGGCAGAGCAGCGAGTGAAACCAAGAAGCTGCCAGAAAAAGAACCGACTCATCAGCCCACTGAATACAGACAGGCCCACCGTTTTCCTGCTTCCCCAAAAGGGTGAACTCGAGGGCGAAATAGCGTTTGATGCTATGGTGCCGGAGGCTCCATTCCGAGGCTGGCAGACGTCTGGCCCGGATATGGAGAATTCCAGCGCCAACAAGATGCACAGCAAGTCCAATAAAGGTCCACACCAGCGGGTAGTAGATAAAGCTGGGCGTGAGCATGTTTATTGCCTGGGTGCCGAGTTCCCAGTTGACGATGGAGACGTTTGCTGCCGCCGCGGCGGCGAGGACGTACTGAAAGGCCACTACTGACCGGCCGCCGTAGCGGCGCAGGCGGGACGCGGACGTGTCCCAGTTCTGGCGGTACCGGCTGGCCCGCTCTGCCGCTAGGACCTCGCTGGGTTCGTATGCGTCGAAGGCTCGGCTCATGTGGATAGCGGGCGACCCGATGGCCAAGATGGTGGTGAGTAGCGGTCGCTTGCCAATGACAGCGAGAAGCGACATCTCGAGCGAGCTGGCTCCGGCCAGGGTGAGAAGGGTGGGTGCAAGGCCGAGGACGAGCTGTGAGACGGACAGGCTGGCTTTGGTGAACTCAGAGGAATTCTCTATGAGGCACTGGATGACAGGCAGCGTGTATCTTGAGTACTCTCCTCCTCCCGCGTCCCACGGAGTGCTGACATTGCTCTCGGTTCCGTAGAGATAGATATCGTATTCCCGCGTACAGTTTTGATGCAGAATGCTGTCGAAGATGAAGCCGAACCGCGGATACCATGTTTTAAACTGGTTGTAGTCCCGTACGATCGCCTGTACACTTTGCGTCAGGGCAAGCATCAGGGCCACGGTGCTGACAGGATGGCGAAAAAAACCCATCGTTGCATAGGTGGTAGGTAAGGTAGAGGCGAAAGTGAGCGGGTTGGCCAGATGGGCCATCAACCCAGCAAAGCTGGCAAGCGACATTGCGATTCAATACGCGAGATATGTTGACAGCCATCGTCTATCTTATACTTAGGTACCTAGGTAGCATTACGATCTGTCGTGGTTCCCCCAGCCTGAAGCCCGAATATCATTGGTCAAATGATGATTCAAATTGTTGAAGGCTCTCTCATGCCACTGAGTCCAGCTGTCATGATCCCATTGGACTCGCGGCGATCATTTCCTCCTGCTCATTAGCGTAGTTGCCCGTGGTCCTTCTTGGGGTCGGAGATCCGCGAAGCCACACCAGCGAGAACCACCTAATTGGGGAGGTCTGGGCCTTTACGGCGGTTAAGAACTTACAATCACCGAAGACCTAACCGCCCAGTAGGTACTCGGGATGTCCCGAGAGTCAGAGCTATGAAGTTACGGCTGTGATGTGTGATGGCGGTGGCTCCCGGTCGCTGCCTGTCCAAAAACAGATCACATTGCTGCCGATTGACAAATTAACAACTGGTGTACTTGTAGGGAGTATACACATAGCGGGGGGTCCTGAATACTTGGCGGGGGGTCTACGGCCTTACTTCGGGGAAACTTGGCGGGGGGTCCAGTTTTTCCAACCCCCCGCCAAATCGTTGAGTCATCCATCGTGCATTGACCGCTTTTTGTTACGGGTAATTGAGCGAAATGTTACCGCTATATACTGGGCGTATATAGTTAGTATTTGCGAATAGAAATTCAAAGGTTGGATTCGTAGGTATATACAGTATGTATAGGCCGGATAAATGATATTCCGACCTACGTTTTGTATTACGTTGTATAAACGTAAATTTAATTATCTATCGAAATTATAACTTTAAATTCTTTTAACTTTCAACCAACTACTCTACAACTATAGTTATATTTTTACCTATAAGTTTATTTTATTTATCGCTAAATCGCTTATTTACAATATCATATACTAACTATATTTTTATTATAGATTTACCAACTATATATATATAAAGAAAACATCTATTAGAATTACTATATACTCCCTCTAAGTATATATTAATAATAAGCGTTTACTAGTCTTAAAAAATAGCTACTAACGAGATACCTATATATATCTATATAATATATAATACCTTTAGTATATAATATATATATTCTATATATACCTTATTAATATTTAATAGATAATAACTCTATATACTATATAGAGAATCTGTCTATCTAGTAGAGTTACTACTATAGTATATTATCTACTTTGTATATATTCTGTATATACCTGCCTAATAAAAGCTTTTAGGTCCGATCGAGAACTGTAACTATAACTAGGTCCTACTATCCTATAAGTAGGTCCTAGAGGTAGGTAGTAGGAAGTATAAGTTCATTCATAGTCTATATACTATATATATATTAATAATTAGTAGTTTCTACTATTACTATTACTGAAAATACCGAGGTCTCCGAAGATAGTACTATAATATCTACTATTAATAGTATAGTATATATCTAAGTCCACTATACTCTCAGTATATACTTACATTATATCCTTAGTTATAACATTATTATTAATCCCAACAGCAATATTATATATAATATTACTTACAGTAACCAGCCCGGTATAAGTTTCATATATATATACTCTATATAGCTATAATAGCTGATATTTCCTTTTAGCTTTGTTACTATATTTGTATAGCCTATCCTAGTATTTATAAGTATAAGATACCTATACCTACTTTATATATATTTATAACTTTAATAGTTAATCCCTTATACAATAATACCAGTATTATAGAGATTCTAGTTAGTTAGAAGTATATATTTACCACCTACCTAGTATATATATACTAACTATAATAATACTCTTTGCAAATAGGTTCTAACATAAGGTTAGTAATATACTAACTATACCTATAAGCCTAGGTATATCTAGAATATACTTAGTATATATACTATAGATACTAACCTTCTTATAGATATAGTTTAGTCGGCTCTTACCTATATAACTTTACTACCAACTATAAGATAATTATATAAGTCTAAGCCAAGGCTAGTATATACCCTGTATATACTAATATCTTAATACTTATAATCCCAACTTCGCTAGGAAGTTTAGCACCCTCTTTCACCATATTATAAGTTACCCACCTACCGTATATATACTAACTATACCATTATCTCCTAGCTATATTTTACTATTTATCTATATTTCATTCTAAGTTACTTTCCCTACTTAGTTTATTTCCCCCCCCCTAGGCTCTGTATATACAGCGCCTAAAAAGCGATAACAGAAACAACAGCCTCGTTTACTACTACAAAGTCAATAAACCTATACCCTCCCCCCAGTAAATCCACCTACCCCCTCTCAACAGCAATCTACCCCCCCCCCCTCCTACTATTCTACCCACCGTAGAGCTACCTACCGAAGTATATATACACCCTATACAAGCTTAGGTCCTATAGCCTATACGGCTAACCCAGCAATTATTATATATTTCTATTAGTTAACCTATTTCGTTTTTAGAAATTGATAACTAAGCTTCAGCTATATTATATATATCCTATATATACTAACTATTTACTCCCTTAGTCTATTTATCCCAATAATACCGGTACAGCTAGCCCAACCGCTCCTAGCAGTACCAAACGTAAGGTATTATTTTATACCTTAATACATTAACAAAGTATATACTAACTATATCTAGTATAATGATAATAATAATAGCAAGTCCGAGCCCGAGACCCCTACTAAGAAGAAACCTATAGGTAAGTTACTCACCTACTCAGCATATATATAACTAACGCTTTATAGCTATAAAGCTTCCGTAGAAGCCGGTCTAGAAGAAGAACTAGCCTAAGCCGGGTTTACACTAAAGTTTTTGAGATTTAGGTAGGTGAGGCCCTGTAGTGCACGCACTGACAGGGCTTACAATGCACTTTGGGGAAGCAATACGCAGTACTATTGCTTAGCTACTAGTAGTAATTATAGGGCCTAGGCCCTGTAACAGTGGTTAATTTAGTGGGTAGACCACTATTGTTTTGGGAATGCCTCTGTATTTGCTATCTTAACCACTGGAGTTGGATTTACTACTTCCTTCTCATATACCCACCGACCGGGGTACAGTGCCGAATTCGGCCCAGCGGTCTTAGTGGTAAAAAACTGAATCCCGCAAAACTCATTTATATAGGTTTAACTAAAAATGGGCTCACCTGCTCGCAACCGTACCCAGAAGTGCCCAGACCCACTTGCACTACTACCTTAAAAACCGGTATAGGGTAGGCCGGTTGGGGCTAAACGGTGTAGGGTAGGCCGCTTGGGAGCTAACCACCGGTGTAGGGTAGGTCGCTTAGGATGCTAAGAGGTATAGGGTAGGCTGGTTGGGAACAACCGGGTGTAGGGTAGCTCGCTTGGGAAACCTAGGTGTAGGGTAGGTGTAGGGTAGCTCGATTTGGGAGAAGCTAGCACTTAGTGAAAAGAAGAACTAACCTTCTTTAAACTAAGATAACTAGCTACCCAGTAATCGTACCGCTACAACCAAAATACCAGTATATAGCTACAGGCTATACAAATTCAATTACAGTACTGTAGAGCCCCCTAGATGGCCACAGTACTAGTAATCTGAACTCTAGGGTTTAATACCCCCTCTTTATAGGCCTGTATACTTAGTAGAGTATAGAAGGTTTAAACCTTAGCTATACTAGTGAAGAGAATAAAAAAGACTAACTAACTAAACTAAAACTAAAGAACTATAGTAGTTAGATACTATTTACAGGCTTTTCTAGCTGTTGAAGCTATATATAAAAAGGACTAAATTATAGGACCAATTTCAAAACTATTTATAAAGGGAAGAAATAGTAGGGAATGGATAGGCTATTATAGTAGGTAGTCTAATCTAATAACCACTATAAATGCCTCGGCTTCTTTAAACCTAGTAGGTCTATAAACACCCTAAAGAGTTAGCTCGCTAAAGCCTTTGTAAGCCCATCGGCCGGTATACATTTAGTATTAAGAAAACTAATGGAAACTAAGCCCCCTCTAACCTTCTTACATACATAGTGGAATTTCAGCAGTATATACTTAGTTCTACTATGTAGAGCTGGGTCATAGGCTGTAGTTATAGAGCCAGTATTATCCTCAAATATAGGCACTGGGCCTATAATTAGGCGCTCTAATTCTTTAAAGAAATCCATTAGCTACTGAGACTCCCGTATAGCCTCTGTAAGTGCATCGGTTTCGGCCTCAACTATTAAAAGGGCTATAGTAGAAGCCCGTTTCGATTTCTAGGTTATAGGTCCACCGGCCAATTTAAATAAATAGCCGTAAATGGATTTAGACGTTTCTTTATCGCCTACATAGTCGCTATCTGAAAAGCCCACTAATTATAGGCTCTTTGCCCCCTCTAAAAGAGTATTTACTATATCCTTTTTAGTAGGACTATAACAAATAGCTAAATCCTTACTACCGTTTAGATACCGGAATAGGTTTTTAGCGGCATTAAGATGCTCTATAGTAGGGCCCTGTATAGCTCGTAAGAGCCACTATACCGTAAAGGCTATATCTAGCCTTATTAGGAGTATTAGGTATATTATAGTACCTACTATCTTCTAGAACAATTTATAGTTGGACCTATTTATAGGGCTGCCTTTACTAGATATATTAGATTTATAACTAGTAATTCCTGATTATAGGGGTATAGAGATTAATCGACTAGAATCTAACCTGAATATCTTTAAAGCTTTTTCAATATACTGTTTTTAATAGATATATAGTATTCTCTTTTCTCTAACCCTCTCTATTTGAACTCCTGTCATGATCACTGTGCCAGACGCACGGAAGCGGGGCGCGGGACGCCCCGAGCCAATCGTCAAGGATGGGAGCGTCAGCCAATAAGAAGCGGATCGTGTGGGAGAATTCACGATCCATGGGA